CGAGAGCACAAGTTGTACCTCCGAGCGGAGAAGTGCGACTTTGAAAAATCGTCAATCGAGTACCTCGGAGTCATCATCTCCCACAACCACGTCGAAATGGACCCCGTCAAGGTCGCAGGCGTCTCCGCCTGGCCGACTCTCGGAGAACAAGAAGGACATTCAGCAGTTCCTTGGGTTCGCTAATTTCTACCGCAGGTTCATTCGGGACTTCTCGACCCTTGCGCCCCTCTTTTCGTGCTCACCAAGAAGGACCAGCAATGGACTTGGGGCGACGCGGAGGCCTCCGCGTTCCAAGCGATCAAGGACGCGGTCACCTCGGAACCAGTCCTGGCGATTCCGGACGACGCACGGCCTTTCCGACTCGAGGCGGACAGCTCTGATTATGCGACGGGGCGGTTCTTTCACAATCCGCCCCGGACGGGAAGTGGCACCCTGTAGCATTCTATTCCAAAAGCTTAAATGATGTCCAGCGCAACTACGAAATCCACGACAAGGAGATGCTCACGATCATCCGCGCACTCGAGGAGTATAGACACTTCCTCGAGGGCGCCGCACACCCTGTCGAGATTTGGACTGACCATAAGAATTTGGAGTACTTCAGGAAGACACAGCACCTCAACCGGAGACAGGCCCGGTGGTCCCTGTACCTCTCCCGGTTCGATTTCACGCTGCACCACAAGCCTGGCCGCGACATGGGTCGACCTGACGCCCTCTCCCGGAGACCCGACCACGGAGTCGATTCCGACAACTCCGATGTCGTCCTTCTGCGGCCTGAACTCTTCCACGTCCGCGCACTCGAGGGCGTTTCCATTTCTGGTCCCGGCTCTGAACTCCTCCGCGACATCCGTGATGCCCTCTCCGGTGAGCCTGACCTGGAGGAGCCCGTCGCACTAGCGGCCCGGCAACTTCTTAAGGTTCAAGGTCAAGCTCGAGGCCCCCGCTCCTCACGTTCTGACGAGTGGGCCGTCTCCGGCGGTCTTCTCCATTTCCGAGGAAAGATTGTCGTACCAAAGGACAAGGACCTCCGGAGACGCTGATGAGGGTGGATGACGGGTGGGGAGACCGGAGATGAGACCGACACTACACAACTAAAACTCAACAACAAAACAACAAATAGTCGTTCTGTCTGAGCGATAACCGTATAACACCGTTCCAAACGTCCAACAACCACCAATAACCGTCTCCTAATACGAGTGCAGAACCCTGGGAACAGAGCCTGTACACGGGTGTGCAAGGTTGTAGGGTAGATCGAATGAAATCTTGTTAAAGATTTGTTTTGTGGTTGTCCTTAAGCGTACTATCGACGAAATCCAGCAATAGGAAAGCGCCAATACGATGCCCAGAACCGTTTATACTCGTTTGGATCAGGAACTAACTGCCTTAAACCCAAGGAGTCGTCTCAAGTCAGGAACTAACTGCCTTAAACTCTCGACCGCCAACCGAAACCAAGTGTACGCCAACCGAAACTCTCTTATACAGCAACCGGAACCCTCAACTCTTTGATCACAACGCCTTTTTACTTGAATGAAAGAGCTAGCAGGATGATATTGACAAGCTAGATCCCCAGATGCACCTAGTAACGCGGGGCAATCCGTGAATCGCTCAAATACAGGACAGAGATATAAATACTAAAACAGAAAATGATAAGATCAGGTAAATCGCCACAACAGAATGATGGTCCATGTGCATAATTTGTAAGGTATCGTTTCGCCATAAGGCCCAGAGTCGAAAATCCAGGTCTAGATGACCGGTAGGCGTGTTTGGTGTCAATGACCTTTGTAAATCCTCCTTTATTGCGACCGTCTATGCATTTTTTTTGAACGGTCCGCTAACCGTTGTTGTTATCGTCGTGTTGCTCCACTTCCTAGCTTTCCATCGATATCCATGACTTGAGGTTAACCGCCAGACACCGTTAGGCAAATCTCTTAACGAGATAGTCGCAATCTATTGTCGAGTTGTTCGGTTGGACGGTTGCGGGTTAAGGTCGCCGCGATTTGCAGCCAAGCCCTCGTTTCCACTGAGTCATGCTTCCCGTTTAACCGCACCTCCACATGTCCTTGTCCTTGCGTAAGCTCCAAACCGCATTCCAATGCTGTCAGGGACTGATCCGTTCAAGCCTGGTTGAACCTTCGCCGGAGCGTTCTGAGTTCGAGTCCCAGCGTGCCAGACCGAATATGCCTTTTAGTTTACACTCCCTTTTGGTATATATATAAAGGATTGGATGGATCCTCTATGTTGGTTGGGCTCTGCTGTTGTTTTGGTTGTTGTAAGAGTCGTTCTGAACGGCCAGTTGCTATCAACAACGGTCGAGTCGAAACGCCTCCTCGCAGATATCTCCCTAACTGGCCATTTGGGACTCATGCCAGTTCCTAGACGTGCGCTGTACCCATGAAACGAACGAAAACGGTGGTTTTCTATGTGTGTTCCAAAATGCGGCTTATCAACGCATCATCGAGCTCTGCCATGACACCCGAGTCGCTGGACACGCAGGTCATTTCAAGACCCTGGAGTTGGTCTCCCGGAACTACTGGTGGCCTCAGATGTCTCGCCATATCGGCCGGTATGTTGCGACCTGTGACTTGTGCTGTCGCACCAAGGCACTCCGGAGACTGCCCCACGGAGAGCTACACCCCATGGAAACGCCCCCAGAACGCTGGCATACCGTCTCCGTCGACTTCATCGTAGAGCTTCCCGAAGCCCATGGGTACGACGACGCGATCATGGTCGTCGTTGACACCCTCGGAAAGCGCGCCCACTTCTCGGAGTGTCATACGACGGTCGATGCAGTAGGGGCAGCCCGCCTCTACTACCGGAACGTCTGGCGGCACCATGGGACTCCGGAGAAGTACGTCTCCGACCGCGGCTCGCAGTTCATCGCGGACTTCACCCGAGAACTTTGGCGCCTAATCGGCATCAAGCCCGCCACGTCCCACCGCGTACCACCCGCAGACAGACGGTCAGACAGAGCGCGTCAACCAGGAGTTAGAGCAGTACTTGCGGATCTTCACCAACTATCAGCAGGACGACTGGGATGAGCTGATTCCGGCCGCGGAGTTCGCCCTACAACAACCATGTTCACTCCTCTACGCAGCAGGTCCCCTTCATGACGGACACGGGACGGCTCCCGCGCATGGGCTTCGAACCTGGAGTCCGTTCTGCCATGGAGTCGGTGAACGAGTTCCGCGACTGGATCGCCACTGGTGTTGCTGAAGCCAAGGCTGCGCTCACTAAGGCCAAAGAGGAGTACAAGCGCTACTACGACCGGAGACGCACTCCGTCTCCGGAGTTTAAGGTTGGCGACCGTGTTTGGCTGGATGCCTCTGACATCAGGACGACTCGCCCCTTGGAAAAGTTCTCCCATCGCCGCCTCGGACCGTTCAAGATAGTCGCGGAGATCAGCAAAGGTGCCTACAAGCTCGACCTCCCTCCGCGCTACTCGAAGCTCCACCCGGTCTTCCCCGTCATCAAGCTTGAGCTCGCCCAGGACGACCCCTTCGACGGACGCCCCGGCTACGACCAGCCCCCTCCGGACCTCGAGGACGGAGTCCCGGAGTGGGAAGTAGAGGCTACCACTACGGCTCATTCTATGCAAAAGATGCTGGCAATTGCTTACCAGGCTAATGCAAAAGATGTCAGACCCCTTGTATTTGCTGATTTTCTCAATGGAACTGATGCATATGACTAATGTTTTGACATATTATGTCAGATAAATCACCTTTTCTTCAGGCCGATGACTCGGTATGTAATATTGAAGACTTGATAGGACAGAAACAAGGAAATAAATAATGGCTTAAGTAAGATTGATCTAACAGAATTCAGCTATCAAAAGCAGTGATGGCAATCAAAAATCGTTCCACATTAGTCAAAATACCTTATTGCCATCAATCCCATCAATGATATCATCTCCCAGGTGCTAAAAACACAGTAATACTTCTGTGAATAATATATCCTAGGCCCTTGCCATCATCTTTTGCATTAGCCTGGTAGGCAGTGGCCATCATCTTTCGCATAGATGGAGCTATATGAGCTGATTCCGTTCCGGTCTATGCGTCGAGACGCCGCATTCAAAGGGGGGGGTGATGTCAGGGGAACCTCCCTTTCGGCCCGGAGACGCGCCCGATTCCGGTCCGATTCCGGTTCCGACTCCGGTCCGGCCCTCCATCTCGCCCGCACAATCACCGATCCGTCAACGCCCTCCCGACGGTCGCCCTGGGACCTCGCCTGCGACGCCGCCCAAGCCTTCTGTGCCCGACAGCGGCAGCTACGGACAAGCAGTATATAGTCAGCTCCCTAGCAGGCGGACCCTTAGAGTTTCTTCTCTTCGGATCCTCCCCTGCTAGGTCAGCTTCATTTGTATTCGCTTACCAATGTTCACTCTTCGGATCCTCCCCTGCTAGGACCTTGATCTCAGGCCTCCGGGGTTGCCCTTACATTGGTTGGGAAGCTGAAATCTTGTAAGACAAATTGCTATAAAAGCCAAGAGGACCGCAAACCTTTGGCATGTACGCAACATGATGACAAGCACGCGCTCGAGGTTTGCCGCAAAGCCATTTGGACTGGTTTCCGAAAAAAAGATATAGCGGCCATAACAAAGCGGTGCCAAAGTTAGCGGGATGGGTGAAGTCTGACCAGAACATAAGAGCGACAATGCATCGCTCTAATGTGCAATCAGGCTTGGGTTGTTGTTGTTGAAGCTTGGTGTATTGCTTGATATAAGCGTCTGAGGAAAATATTTCGTCATAGACTCGTTGTGCAGGCCCGCTGTCGTTTGGCTGCCAGAATTGGCGGAATGAGGTGAATTAGAAGGATGTAAAATTGTTATCAGTCAACACAGCCTTGATTGCTTCCGTTAGATCGCGGAAATGCAGACCAGGGACTGAGTAACGGAGAAGAGACTCATTCTCCATGCGTTGGCGATTGTCGGGGACGTTTATAGCGATGTCAACCTTCTGCCAGCCATCCTTTGTGTCCCCCGATTCACCGCGTAAGTATTTGTCGAATCAATAGGTTTCTGCTTTCAAGTCAAAAGCGATCAAGTCTGCTAACTTGAATAACAGCGACTTGAGATACTCCAATAATTTCATTCCCTTGCTAATGCTCTTCTTTGCAGAGCCGGTCCATATCCAGTTCATGAAGCCCCATGTTATGAAGTTTTCGAACAGTCCATACAATATGTCGTTTATGGCAGTGACAGCTTGCAGGGCTTCCAGCGGAGCAGCCAGCGGGGACAATTGGGTTTCCCCAGTCATGATTTGATTTGGTGGCTTGGGGGAAGGAATATCAGATATGTCGCCGAGTGCAAGGTTGGTATCGGGATTGTGGCTGGGGAGGGAAGGATATTCGCGAAATGGACCAAAATTGTTGGGGGATGTGTGAATAGGCCATTGGATAATATTTTCGGCAATTATGCTCGCTTGTGGTGCCTGAGGCAGCTCGTCCATGGGCTTGTCCGGCAGTGGCACTGGTGCTTCTGGAAGTTGTTGCAAGATTTTCCATGTGGGTTGTTTGGCTTGAGCTCCACGGCTAGCAGGCTGCTCAGGGAGGGGAGAAGGCTCCTGTGGTGGTATCTCTGGCGGGGGATTGACAAAAAGTGGTTCATGTGGTACTGGTTCAGGAGTTTGCAAGCGAATCTACCAGCCAGTTAAAGAAGAAAAACTGTCTAGCATTCAACGCACATTAGGAACTTCAGCTATAGTAGTTGCCCGTTCTGCTACAGATATCCGAGCTGCAGCTTTGCGGGCTCTATATGCAGCCAGGGCAACATCCATTCCATCATCCTTCTCATTAGAATCTTTGCAGGTGTTTCGATGAATTGTGAGGGATTTGGAATTATTGTAGACATGGGTACATGGACCCTGTCGCTGGCAGTAAAATAGTGTGGTGGCCATATGGTGCAAAATGTAAAGGAGTGTGGTTGTCGAGGAAGAGACAGAAGAGAACAGATCACACCGTGACGAATTATGATCATAAGATCACCACTACTTCAAGTTTGTCATTTCATCTGCTACCAATAGTACGAGTGACTTTGTGGGGGGTACAGAGAACAGGTATTAAGCTTCATATGAATGCTCCCGAACCATCTCAGCATCACACCAGGGGCAAAGCTTGCGGCAGTTAGGAAATGGCAGTCTAATGACAGTTGAACTGGAAATTTTTTTGCTTTGTTCAAAGCAAAGAAACCTTCATTTCTTTCCAACTGCCATTTGCCCTGCCATTTCCAAACTGCTGCAAGGTTTGCCCCCAGTATCATCCTCAATCTTGATGTCGTCTGAGTCGTTGCTTTCCCATTGTATCTGAGTCAGCGGCCATCGCCTCGTCTGCGGAGGAATCATCACTGCTTTCGGAATCGTCCGAAGTAAACTCCTCGTTGTCTTCTGGCATCCATCTTAAGAGCAAGCGCTCATCTGCACTTGGCAACTTGGCTGCACAGTGATTATACTGTCGAATCATTAGCAAAACACATCGGAAGATGGAAATAGGATACCTTGAGTGCCCAAACGACAAGATCGCACGACTTAGTTGATTAATCAAGATACGACTGGCTGTTAAGTAAGAGAACACTCACAATGACTGTATTCACAACAAGATTAGCCATAAGGAAACAGCGACCAATGGCAAACTCCATCGGAACGATACGGAGTCGAGAACGACCATTGTCGAGATGTAATTTGATCCACCAAGGCTCCGCACCATAGCGACTATTCCAGCCATGCAGAATAGCACGTGGACTAATACCCCCACTGAATGCTGCACGGGGTTGGCCACCCTATGCGAATTGGATGACAAGATAGTATTTATCATGGAGCTATGACCAGTAGTTAGTGAAATCCCCCAAGTAAAAGACCATGACGAACGGGGTTATATTCACATGTAAGCTCTTGAACAGTGCGCGTGGTTTTGAGAGACTGTGAATAGCTCTAAGGCATATTATAGAGTATAAGTCGTAGACTGCAGGGAGGAAGAAAGCCAGCTGGATATGGAAGCAAACTGGTTGATAACACTGTCAATACACCATCCAAGCTGCCAACCAATGTCTCTGAGCTGTCACTGGCTGGGATTGAAGCCTGAGGATCAAGCTATGGAATGATTCAGATTTGTTGTTCAAGATATTATGAGCTGCTTACAGTCGTTGCGCTGTCATCCATATGTTGCAAGAAAGGGCTAGCATCCAATCCAGACATTGCGGAACCTGTCGACATGGGAGTAGGACTGCTTTGTGGACTATACTTGTGCTTGTCAGAGTCAGAAGCCTGAAATGCGAGCCTTCGATTAGTTAAGTGCGGGAGAAAGTTGCATAACTCTTACCGACTCGATGTCAGAATCATCGCAAAACAATTGACGTCTTAGTCGTGCAACCATTGTAGTCATCAAGCTTGATGCGTAAAGTTTTATAACCAGGAGTCTGGTTTGAGAAGTCGATTTGGACAGGTGAATCAGTGTATGGAGGGAACAAGAAGGAAATAGCAGGAGCTAGTGTTTCGGTTAGGTTAGGACAAGAGATACAAGCGAGCTGAGGGGCTTATCAGGGAATAACAAGGATTTTCGTTTTGAACAGCTAAGTTCCAGCAAGACAATATGGCTTGTTCCGTGTTTTGTTTTGGTCGAAAACAAGACCGCGCGTTGCAGGCATGTGATGTCTGTTAACGCGTTTAGTAGTCAACCTCCTGAGGGACTATAAAACAAAAGAACTTATCGGGTCAGTACTTGCCTTCCCTTTCTTCTGCCCAACCATGGCTAATCCGCTTCAAGACTCCACCAACGTGCCTGTTCCAGCTGCTGTTGCTGTTGCCCAATGCCTCCAAGCGGAGTAAAGCTTTTCGCACGAGTGTTGCCATCCGCGGATGACAGTGCAGGTACCCGCACTTAAACATCCGCAGGTATTGTATCCGCGGATGGGACACTCTTATTCCCACAGATCCTTAGAATACAGGTGTGGAATATTACCGCCACGGGTACCCGCAGATCCGGTTTAGATCACCGATCAGTGGCACTGTCTGTCAAAATGCCACCTCAGCGCTGACCATGACCTGGAACCACAATGCGTGGCCTCCTGGGCTTTGTCTGCGTCCAAGCATACTTGTGGGCTCGGTATAAAAGCAAGTCAGGCAGCCTTTCCAACCCCAAACACCTTCCGCCTTCCACTATAGGCAAACGATCCCACGGCACGGACTCCACTACCGAACTCGAGCCAGCCGGCAAAACGTCAGAAAGCGAACACCCCTGAGGAACGCGACGCAGAACTTCTTCTCAGACTCAAGAAGCTCAACAAAACACTTGATGTTGAGGACAACGAGGCCGTGTTGGGTGCGTCCACTACACTCTTGCTGTTTTCTTATTCACTCATACATGGGATTTTTTTAGCCCTCCAAGTCCGTGAATGGGAGAAAAAGGGCACGGAAACCTACTCACATTACAAGATGCCCCCTACCTTGCGCATGGGAGAAGACGGAATCATCCGCTATGTCTTCATCTGCAAACGGTGTGTGGTCCTTGTTGCGATGCAGCCCGATTCTGATGTCTCTGTCAGCTTCCCGTCAAAAAGTATAAAACGGGCCCGCTACGATACGTCGACAAGCAACCTTGGCAACCATATCAAGACCTGTGAGCCTGGCGCTGTCACGATTAAGAAATACACGGCTTCTGGCGACTACAATCACGGTCGCTTTCGACTCAATCTTGCACTCTGGGTTGCCGTCCACAACCGACCTCATCTCATAGTCAAGGATGCCGAGCTCGTGGCAGCGTTCCGCACTCTTCAGCCGAACGTGCACGTCCCTTGCAACGACACCGTGGCTCGTGATATCAAGATAGTCTTCGAATTGACGAAACCAGCGGTCAAAAGCCTGTTTTCTGTATTCATTCCTGTTTATGGCCTCAATTGGAGACTAACTACATATGCAGAAACACAAGGGCACGCTCCACGCCATGCTCGATGGCTGGACATCACCGAATGTCTTATCAATAGTCGGGCTCGTCATTCAGTTCGTTGTTGACAACGATATTCGGACCTTTCTACTGGACATGATTCCATGCGTCGTTGTCATCCTCTTCAATACCATTTTACTGACATGTCTTGATAGTCTTAGTCTGTCCCATACGGGGAGTAATCTCGCTCGGGCTATCTCAGACACATTCAAAGACTATGGAATCGAGAAAAAGGTCAAATTTATCGCACGACTGTTCCCAACTGACACCATTTCTTGTAGATTCTTGGGATTGTCGGCGATAATGCAAGCAATAACGACACCATGATGGAGTCGTTAGTGGAGCTAATGCCGGAAGGCTCGCGGCTTAATTTAACAACGCGCATCCGCTGCTTTGCGCACATTCTCAACTTGGTTGTGAAGGTCAAGAACTCGGATGGCCATGCTGCGAACAATTACTCATATTTCACAGGCCATTCTTTCCATCTTTGCCCCGCCTAAGGGTGCCCGAGCGATACCCACGGAAGAGGAGGACGAGTTTGATGCCGAGGACGATCTTGAGGCCATTCAGGTGCGGGAAGATGTGGATGAGGCTGTCGAGGCCAGCGATGCGGCCGCGATCGAGGAACTGGACCTCCAGGAGCTTGCAGAAGCTCGCGAACTCGATTTATTGCTGAGTGACGAAGAGAAGAAGCTAGCCAGGGATGCATATCGGAAGGTGCATGAGCTCTAGGCTAGTCGGTGTCCTCCTCATGCTTCCCAGCTCAATCGGCTCGGCAGTCGCATCTTCAACTCGGAACGTCTGCGAAAGCAGCTTACCGAGATCGCAATATTGCTCAAGCTTAACAACGCCAAAAAAAAGCGCATGATTCGTGCAATTCTGACCCGCTGGAACACTATCTACGATGTGATAACGCGTGGTCTTGAGCTCCAACCTGCTCTCGACCGTTTATGCATGAATTCGACGGGCCGATCAAGCATCAAAAGTCTTCTTCTACAGCTGGTATAGCTACTTCTACACGAAAGATGTGGACAATTGTCCATGGGTGTAATGTGAAAGATGTGGATAACTGCTCCTAGGTCACGGTTGTCATGTTTTTTAAAAGGACTAATTAATTATTTGAGGGGCTTGTAGGGCCCTGTTGGTGATGGGATCATTGCCTTTTATATATTATTTGCAATGTGGAACCATTTTTGATGGAGATCAATTGTTTTGATGATTGGATGGTGTTATATCAATGTGACATGTGATTACATCAATTCCCTTGCCCTGTATTACAGACTGTTCCAAACTATAATACGAATCATCGGCCTGAAGAAAAGGTGATTTCTATTGCTATATATGGTATTAGCTTAGTCATATCTATCAATTTGGCTCTTTAATTTAACATTTACTTTCTAGGCTTGTGACTTCTGGACAACTGTCCACATCTTTTGCATTACAGCTGTGGACAATTATCCACATCTTTCCTGAAAGACAGGGTATATGGGGTGCTTCTAACCAGCGATGAATGGCAGCTGATGTCCCAGCTTCGGACATTGCTTAAGGTGCATGGGTTGCCATAATTATAGCACATGCGCTGACGTCTCATCATGGACAGCCCTTCAAGGACGCCACTATTCGTTTTTCGAAGAGCAAACACCCACGCATCTTCGAAGTCATCCCCGTTATCGACTTGATCAACGAGCACCTTGAAGACACAACCCATCTGACGGAAAGCCCAATGTTTATTCACCCCAAAGCCCCAAAGCCTACGCGATCACCACCAACACGGCGCTCAACATTCAATACTGTATGCATGGCCGCAGTTGACGGCCTTGGGATTCTCGACAAGTACTATGCCAAGACCGACGAATCGGTGATGTATCGGATCGGGATGTGTATGTTTCCTCGTTTCCACGCTCGCTTGTTTACTGACCTCGCAACTATCTAGTGCTGCATCCAAGCTACGGGATGGCCTACTTCGACCAGATGGGGTGGCCACAAGACTGGAAAGATGTCGTTGTTGATCTAGCACGGATGCAATGGACCGAAAACTATCGAGTGGATGCTCCAACAACAACGAATAATGAGGTGGGCCTTTCGTCTGACCCGAGCAGCGCACAGTATAACAAGTTTTCAGATGTTTGTCGAGAGGACGATTTTCGATAGGCTCGACATGACGCCAGTGAACACCGATCCATTTGAACACCTTATTGCGTCACCACCGATTCCGAAGGACAGCTGCCAGAACCTATTGTTGTGGTTTGCCACAATGTCGCCATATTGCTCTGTGGAAACCTGGAGGCCACCCAGGAAACACTGAGGGAATCAGACAGCCAAGTCAATGGAACTGTGCTGTATTCTGCAAGGATCAAGTACAGGGAAGAGAGAGTAACTAACTGTGACTAGATGATGTAAACTATGCTGAGCAGGTTTACACTCTGATCCTTCGCCAAATAATCAGGCTTTAATTCGCATGGCACATGACTTTATTGGAGCGCCGGGTGAGTAGCTTGCGAATTGTGATCGTATCTTTTCTCATATCTCTCAGCAACTTCCATTGATGTGGAGCGCGCTTTTTCACATGGGGGCGGAATGGTGACCAAACGTCGTCATGCTCTGTCTCCTGAAACAATTCGTGCCAATGCATTGGTATCGGCCTGGCATCGTGACGGCCTGACCCCTGAAGACGAAGTGATCAAGGCCTTGGGCTCCCGACAATCGCGTAAGAAACGGACCACTGCTGAGGCCACTGGTGATGAGGAGTCATCCGCCGATGAGGATGAGTAGCTTAGTTTGTATAATTTGTAATAAATATCCTTTTCATCCGTGCCATCCGCAACCCGTTGGCAAACCTGCGGGTAGACATCCGTGGATGGCACCCTTACAGATGACGGATAGTCCGGATGCAGGTGCTGATTTTGAGAGATCAAATACCCGCGGGTTGAATACAGGTATCAACCTGCGGCCACTCGTGCGAAGCTTTAACTGAAATCATGTATTTATATCAAGTGGTTATAGAAATAGAAGCCCATCAGTTGAACATCAGCTAGTGATTAGACAGTTCTGATACTACTATTCAGCTGCCACTATACATCACTTAATGAAAGTTGTTTGTATAGTCAAAATAGAGAACTATCATTTTGTGACAATTTGTGACATTCTGCGATGATTGTGGAAATTTCCTTTTTTGGAAATTTCTTATATGTATCACTCTATGTTACAGTATATAACTATATGACATAGCCACTAAAACTACCAACTCCAATCTCTATTGACGAAAGTTCCTTTTTGGGACGCTGTGTCACCTGTCATATAGTGTGCCTCCGGGAGACTTGGTCTGGATGACCTATATTGTATTATTCACCTTTATTCACCCCTTACATACTAGACTTGGTACGAATTTTGCCTTAGAGCTCAACTTTATTCACCCCTCTCCCCAGCAATTATTCACCTCAGGGGATGTTCTGAAAATACTGAGCCTTGTCAATGGCACCCCGGCGGGTTACCACTGATAACTCACAGTGTTTTGTGGGCTAAACAGGTGTGCTCTACATGAATGGTGTCATATATTCACAGGTATATTCTACATTTGTCTATCTAGATGGTATTTCTCCGCCTATCGGGTCTAGTTCACCTGCCTGGTGAAGATCCTGCAGAAAAATGGTGCCAGGTATTGCCCGGTTGGCGCCGAGCAGCCGGGTTGCGATCTACAGCCAGGTTAGTCAATTGTGGCATCTACAAGGCAATGCCGTGCCATGTACTGACTTCCCGATTTTGCTGATGTACCGCTAACAAGAAGAATGCCAAAGAATACACTTTCAAAGTTACAGCAGCTTAATTATAATCTTTGAGTACAGGGAGAGTTCATATCTAGAGCAGACCCAATATGTAATAATACACTTTTTTGATAAATATTTAGGCTTGAATGGGATACACTTATTGTCAAAAAATTATGATTAGGAAAAGGATAGTCTCAATATCTCCTAGATTTGATATCTAACCAGATCAGCTTTTGCATCCTTTATCTGCTCTATTGTTTTGAACCATTATTCACAATTGAATCACAAATAAATTATGCTTTGGGGACCATTTTTTTTTGCAGAAACACTGGTGTGACTGAAAAAGATGATAATGAGTCAAGTTACAATTCGGTCAAATCAGACCACAATAATGCAAGTCCAATCCACAGTCCTACCACAGTCAAGATTGTGCTTCGCGGATCCAAGACTCTCGCTCCATTTATATGGTGATGGTGTTCCTGTGCATGGCCATCCGGCCGTGGGTTATGCAAAGACCACCACTTTCTCCTCCTTCCCGTACTGCCTAGTGCCTCCTGCATTCCTTTCCCCCCGTTCGATGTTGCGAGAACTCCCGCATCTGCCGTCAACGCGGTGAGTGTCTTGGTATGCACAGTCGTCGCAAACGTCTTCGCATCCGTTTTGCCTGGCCCATCATCCTCGAGGAGGACAAGAGCGAACCCTGGTGCTGGCACCTGGACTTGGCACATCTTGGTGAGCGGGTCGCAGGGAATTAACTTCACGTCTAGAATTCCGTGGAGGCGGCCGTCTGAGGATAAATTTGGTCCAAATGACTATGCAAATGAGCAGTGGTTTCGAAGAATGCCGGAGGAAAGGACTGCACCTGTCCGGCCCATGTGATATTCTTCAATGAACTAACAGACGGCGCCACCAAGTATCTGCGGACTTTTCGTCGGCATTCATGTCCCCAGAGAAGGAAGGACAACGCACTTGACATTAACATGCGTCAAGTTGGCCTTCTCCGTCAGAGATATCGTGGCCGTGTAGTCACCTGCACCACTCGGATCGCTGATAAAATTGAAGATGGCGAGTCGCTTCAGGACACCGGCTTCGTAGATTGCATAGCCGGGCGTGTATATACTGCCATTGTTCATCTCGAGGTCCATGATCTGAGATTGGTTGGATTTTCCGAAAATTTCGGCGCCTTGAAAAAGTTCTTGAGACATATTGGAGAATGAACAACACCAACCTACTAAAGCCGCGTAGAAAATAGGACCGACAGACCAGCTCTTAAACATCGACTGGTTGGTTGGTGGGGCTGGGGCCATCAGTGAACACATAAGTTGAAGAGGATCACAAACGGGTAAATGCCTCAAGTAGAGATGAGTTTAAAAAGTGTTACGTAAGAAGACAGACATTGTAGTATGAGCTGAGCCCACCGAGATGCCTGCTAATGATTATCTGGTGAGTCTGAACCGAAACCGTCAACTCACCACATTGCGCCGGTAAAATTGCTATATGCGAGTTGTAGTCCATAATCAAGAGCCCATAACGCGCTACCGAACGAGTCGCCACGCCGGGAAGCCCACCACACGAGGCGCTGTTGGTCTCGAGCATAATGAATGGTAAACCGAGTCGTTGGGCAATGTCAGTGCTGTTGAGGTACCGCTGGACAGCGCTCGTGGCGGCCGTATGGTTGAGATAGCTGGCAAAAACGTCCTGTGGGTTGATCTTTACAGGCTGAGGACAGTTATTCGAGTGATAACTACAAAATTTGCTTGTTTGTAAGGAGAAAGAAGGATTGACGCACTATTCTGCGGAAAGCGCGGCCAAGGACAGGTTGAATTTCTCCAGAAAACCCGCGTCCCAGACATCTTCGAGTTTCCAGTGGCTTGATATGCTTGGCCCGATAAGTTTCTTCCTGGCGAAGCCATAGTGCCCTTTCAGTGTCATGTCGATAAGTTCAAAGTCATCCACATAGTCAGAAGCGTTGTAGGCCAACGGTCGAAGGTGATTCCTGCGCTCAGGTAAGCTTCAGCCGCAATGGGTTCATCCCACTTACAGTCCATATTGATCAGGTTCATTTCCGACCTGAAACCCGAGCAGCCTGTCGCCCAAGATGGCCTCCGCAGCAGAGACGATACCTAGTCGGAGATGCTGCGTATCGTTCATGGGAATGCCGAGGTACCAGTGGACATCCACCAACGACGAAATGTTGGCCAGCATGTACAGCACCTCTGGGGTGTAAAAAAGCGGTGGACTGGACATCACCATCTTGTTGACCCTTCAGTCATGGACAAGGTCGTTACGCAAAAGCTCACCGAATCACTTTCCAATGGCGGTGTGCCTTTCTGCATCATCACTCCGTTGGGAAGAGAAGGCACCAGTGTAGCTGTGTCCTGCGAGTTGCCTCCAATCCGCACACGAACTGACCCTCCTCGCGCTTGGAGAGAAGACATCAGATTGAGGAACGGCACTTGAAGAACCGATCTTCCACCATGATAATATCATTCGAGTGCAAAACAGGGTTGATAAGCCTTACCCATTGAGCCCAACTGGTACCATTCAGTCCCAAACTCAACGAGAGAAAGCAAACACGCACGGACTTGGTTTATGACCGAAAACTCGATCGAAAACCCGAAGAAGTGGCCTCCTTGCGGAATGGACGCCCCACTGACGACAAAGTTGTCAAGTTGGACCGAAAATGCGGTGGCAACTTCAGAGACAGGTGGCGGGTCGAGCATTGTCGAGTCGTATGCGGCTGCGTCGGTGTAGGCGACCACATTTGCTGTTCCAGTTGCGGTTCCCATAAATGGTTGCTGGCTGTACACTGTGATGCGAGCAAACACACATGGTATGGACAAGAAGAGGTCGACAGGGACACGCATAAAAGGACGATGGAGCAAGTTGAGGAGCAGAGTTTATTGGCTTCACCATTCCGTAGCGCTTTAAGGGCGACTCTTGGAGCTAATTTGGGGCACGAAGTAGAGGTGCGCGTCAATCGTGCCGCAACACATTTGGATTTTGGCCGGAGATTGTCTAGAGCGGGATTAGCAAGCTAGTGGGATTTCTGATACCGATAGGTCTGCATATTCATGCAGATCGATTGCTTGGAGTTCAGCACTCTGCATCAATATGGTCAAAGTGGTTTGAGAAAAAAGTTGGTGACAAGAAACAGGTGCCTGCGTGACGTTGTGATCACTTCCTCTCTCAAGTGCTACGGTACAGTCCATGGACCTACATCTACATACTATTATTAGTGCTATAAGCGTCCACGCGTCGCACTGTCTTTAATAACAATATCATCACATCGCCAACAAAGCACCAACAACGCTGCCAAACATCCATAATCCCGACAAGGTTCTTCCCCTTCCTGCAGCATCACTCTTCGCCTTGCCTTTGCTCGTCTTGGCGTCCATAAAGTTGGCACCAGCCTGGCCATTCGAAGCTGCCAAGGCCGTGGGGTCGATCATTGCCGTATTAATCGTCTTCGTTAACGCCGTCGTCGCAAACGTTTTGACCGCCCCGAAACTCTCGCCCGAGCTCGCCATGTCCTTGAGGAAGACGAGAGCAAAGCCCGGGGCGGGAACCTTGATATTGCAGGTGTTGTCCGTGTTGCAGGTTACTGTCTGGACTTGCTCAGCACCAATTGGCCGTCCGTCGGACTGGAATGCAGCGCCAAATGTCTGTTATTTTAAGAATAAGGAATGTGCAAGGTTTTTGGATTGGTCGAATTCTTACCTGCCCAGCCCAGGTGATGTTGTCCTTTGCAGACACCGATGGCGCTAGCAAGTATTTTACCTTGACCTGTGCGGGTGTCCCATTGGCTTCACCGCTATCGCCACCGCCAATAGCAAATGTCATGTTATAATCACTCTCCCCAGAGGGATCGGTCACATAGTTAAACAGCGCCAGCCGCGCCAAGGAGCCACCATCGTAGATAGCATAACCAGGGGTGTAAATGTTGTTGCTGTTCGTTTGGAGGTCGATTATCTGTGACTGGTTGCTCGTTCCGAACGCTTCGGCGACCGCCAACATCGAATAATATACCGGGCCGATGGTCCATTGGCGGAACGTCGACTGGTTGGTTGGCGGTGGAGTCATAGGCTAAAGAAAGTTAGGGAGGCGGATAACACGTTTGCTAAACACAAACATTGTAGTAGACATCTAGACGTCATTAGATTGTGAGGTGGCAGAGAAGCAGCACACAAACCTTGGCCACCGACATGAAGCAAAGCCGTCGTAAAGTTGCTGTAGGCGAGCTGAAGTCCATAATCCAATGCCCACAATGCGCTTCCAAACGAGTTGCTGACACCCGGAAACCCACCACAAGAAGCAGTATTCGTCTCCATCATCACAAATGGTAAATTGAACGTTTGCGCTAATGCTGTGCTACTGAGGTATTTCGCCGCAATGTTTTGGCCAGCGGTATGGTCAAGATAACTCGGGAAAATGGCTTGAGGATCGATAACATTGGCGGCATTGGGTCCACCGAATACTTTGGCGCAATTGTTTGCAGGGTAAAACGACATCGAAACTGCTTGAAGACTTTTTTCGTGGTCGGGAATGAAATTTACATCCCAGACATCCTGTGGTTGCCATTGACCAGAAAGACTGGGACCTAAAAGTTTGCGATCGACAACGGCGACTTTCGAATCTGCACGAAGAGCAGCATCTATGATTCCAAACTCATTCGAGTAATCCTGTGGGCCATAGGTTTTGGGTCGATGGTCGTGTAATGGGTACTGGTCCGGTTCGTTCCCAACTTGGAAAGCGATGAGCCTGTTGCCGAGAATAGCCTCTCCATATTCAGCGATGGCGAGCCGCAGATGGCTAGTGTCGTTCATCGGAACGCCTATATCGATAAAATGTTACGATATGTTCAACCCCGCTGCAGGCTACAAGCTTACCAAGATACCAATCAACGTTCACGAGCGAGGACACGTTTGCAAGCATGAATAAGACGTCGGGAGTGTAAAGCAATGCGGGAGTGTTTGTCTATAGGCTTAATGAGACTTTGAAAATTGAAACTACGCGTTTATTACGCACGGGATTGGACGTGTCTTGCTTTTGTTTCTCTATCATCTTCCGATCCGCCAAAGATTCAACTAACGTGGCTGTTTCCTGGGTGTTACCGCCGACTCTGATGCGAACTGAGCCGCCACGAGATTGTAGGTTTGAGATAAGGTTGAGAAATGGAACTTGAAGACGGGTGCTATGTACTTTGAGGCAGTTGTAACTCAAAAGAAGGCCTAACCAACCTATTAGTACCGACTACATGCGAAGTCAGCATGAGATAAGAAGCAACACGGTGTGTCTACTTACTGACGGTGTTTATTACGGAAAACTCGACCGACAAGCCATAGAAGTAACCACTTTGCGGAATAGATAGACCCGGTACAGGTGAATTATGCAGTTGCTGAAAGAAGGTGGTAGGCGGAGGAGGGTTTGGGACGGGTGGAGGATTGAGTATGGTGGGGTCATAAGCTGCTGCTCCCGTGTAGCCTGCCGCAGCCGCTGAACCACTTGGTGTAGCAGTCGTTGCAGTGACCCCCAAAGGTTGCTGGTGGTATACCGTGATGGACGCCCATGCTGCTGGAAGAAACGGGAGTGCGTAGCGGAGCACTGAACGCATGCGAGGGGGAGGGAAACAAGATGCCGTCTCCCAGGCTGTGGTATTCAGTCGATGGTGACTAAAATAACAGGGAGGGTCGTGGTCGTCAGCGTGTGAGTTCGAGCCGGTGTGGAAAGACCGTGTCGGCTAGATTCCCGCTGATTGGAGCAAAAAATAGAAGACAATCGTGCTCCTGGACCCTTAGCCCGTTGGCAGTCGCATTTGAGTTGCATATGCATTGATTTTGACAGTTGGTCACCGCGAGACCGTATCCTGTGTGTATATTGGAGGACTCGAGGTGAAGGTTGGATTGAACGTGGGTCACGCAAATGTGACCCACCCACATTCACGAATCACGACTGTCCACACAACCGCAACTAGTCTTGCAAGTCTTCATGCCACCTACACCTCCTCCAAAGACGCCAGAACCTGAGGATAACTGGCCTATTCCTAAATTTAACCTGCGGGTGGAAGACCTAGATCATCCTGGTGCCCAACTCTTCTTCGCTGCCCTTGCCAGTCCAGGAACGGATAAGCACAGTCGACACAACAGCAATGGCGTGTTAGAAGCACTCAAATATGCGGTAATCGCCTCGTTCGAATGGCTCTATGCTGTCCCAGAATGCGCTCCAACCAAGTGTGTTGTTGGCTCGCAATTCTTGCTCAGGGCTGACCGTCAACCACCAGTGTCAAACAGATCCTACTGGTTTTAAGGCCAATGGATGGCGTTGCGTACACCTTCGGTTCTCATCACGAGAAGGAAATCCACTTTTCGCTCGACCATATCGAAAATAGCCGAGACCGCGCTCGAGAAGAGATTCTCGGTGTCCTGGTCCACGAAGTCGTACATTGCTATCAGCACAATGGTAATGGGACAGCTAACGGTGGATTTATTGAGGGCGTTGCTGGTACGACTCTTCCGCTTTCTTCTCGTCCATCAACTGACGACAACCCAGACTATGTTCGCCTCCACTCTTCTCTCGCCCCGCCGCATTGGCGACGCTCTGCCCCATCTCGAGAGGACAACTGGGATGCAGGCTATGAGCGGACGGCATATTTTCTCGACTGGCTCGAATCTACATCCGGAGAGGGGACAATACGCAAAATGAATGCAGCGCTATCAGGGGAGGGCGTGACTTGGGAAAACGCACGAATATTCGAGATCTTTGGCGGTGCCAAGGTTGGAGCACTATGGAGGCGGTATCGGGTTGAAATGGGCGGGGAGTCAGTGACGGAGGACGACGAGCACAAATCGAGGAAGGTCGAGGTCGATGAGACGGCAGTGTAAGTTGCTCTGCGTCACGAAGCTGTCTTCCCTGACTATTCACAGGCGCAGCTACAACCCAGTCTACGTGTAATAAGATTACCATGGTCCTAACTTATTGCTATGTTATTAAAGATCGGAATCTCAAACAACTGTTTGGACGGAAATACTTTTTGGGTCACCGGCTACTACAACTTCCGTTGCCGACGAAAAAAAGCTTCCTCCAAAGGAAAGCCTTGTGAAGACTCCACCGATTATGATCTCAGGTAAGATCTCCTCCCAGCTCAAGTTTCAGCTCTGCACATCAACGGCGTCTTGTATTCGAGAAGTTCGTGGATCCTCAAATGCTGCAGAAGCATTCGGTCAACGGTGACTACATGTAAACGAAGAGGCTTTTTTTTACCTTGATACGACTCGGACGAGGAACAACAGTCCTCGCAGCAACGCACAACGAACGAGCTTTCATTGCAAGCACCTGTTCTCCCCAGGATTAATGATGGGGTCGCGTGCCTTGAAGGGCTGCCGAGTCAATCCTTCGGCGTTCGCAACTTACGACAGCGACCACTCCGAGTCAAGTCCACTCTTATCACTTTTAGTCCTACGTAATCCGGAATAACCCATATGATATACTTGCCGTTGTGGGCGCCGCTAGCTGGAATCGATTCCGGCTCGAGCGAGAAACCAAACTCAATCTCCGATGTTTCTGCTCGCTGGTCGAACGATCATGAGCTTTCCCTCAGGATCGGACACAATGAATGTAGCAACCGCAGACAGCGCCTCCTCCCCTTTCTACATTAGCGACGTTTAGCCAACTAGTCGCGGTCACCACGTCCCATTTTTCAAGAGCCCTCCACCCATGATGATACTGGTTGTATTGCGACAATGGCGACAGGACAAATACCAACAGCGACTTCTACCATGGCTACCTGACTGTAATCGTGGAGTTAAAGGATTAATTCTCCCAGTTAAATGTCCTCATTAAGTAGTGAATAGATAAATAGTAGCAAAACAGAGTGGTGTTAACGATACACTTTGCTAAGTAAGTCATACAGTTCATCGCAGGTTATCTGGCCTTGAAGTTAGCCTGCATCCTATAAAAAAAGGCCGATAAACGAGCCTTGTCACGATTCCAGCGGCTGTTTCAACGCGCGTCACTTCCATTCGCATGGCTTCACTCCCTTCTTCTAGCCACTTGATGTACTCGACGGCGCGGAATAGGACCCCGCTCTTGCCTTTGCTCTGGCCCTTCCCGCGACTGCCGCTGCCCTTTGGACGACCGCGCTGCGGCATGCCAATGCCCTGAGCACCTGCCGGGGCCAGAATCGATATCAACTGCGCATATCCGTCGCGGATTGCATTGCGCCGTTTTTGTTCAGACATAATGTGGTTCAGGCGCTTCTGGGGCGTCGAGAGGAGGGGCTTGTTGGCGCTGATATTGGCTGGGATCGAGCCCGTGCTATTGCTCCGGGCCAGGGAGACTGACGGAATTTGTGGTTGTGGTGGCTGGGGAGGAGGGGTGCCATTGGTAGACGATTCTGACGCGTTGCTCGGCGTCTGGCTGTTTGCTCGGAGAATAGCGTTGTAGTCTGGGCGGCTGGACACAGAGCGTGGCCGTGATGTCGACGTTGTTGTCGCCCTTCGTTGTTTTGTGGACGTCGATGGCTCGGGAACAGTATGGAGATGCGGGTTAGAGTATGGAGCCCTTGGAGACGAAAATTGGGGCGGTTGGTCCTCCCATCCAAACGTATCGAGAAAGCCGAAAAGGTCAGAGGTCTCACTTGGAGAGAACAGGTCAGCCGATGAGGGGAGAGGGGGAGGCGGGTTGCGAAAGAGGGAGGGGTCAAAGCTGAAGTTCTCAAAGTCCGCAAAGTGGGAGGTCATGGTGGCTTGTGGAGGGCAGCAGTTGCATCAGGCTGCTTCAAATATCGACGATCTCAGTTTGCCGGAGACGAAAGAAGCGTGACGGCAGCTGATGGATCACGCTAGCAGTGTGACATTCCCCATCCGTCGTTGACCCGGCCGCCCACCACGTTGCCGAGTATGTCACACGCCGACGAGCCCCAGCCTGAGCAATCGAAGAAAAGTAGAATTGTTATGCCTTTCCGGGCTCCATTAGCGCTCATTACACTCCAGACAAGCCTTCTGTGCGACGAGCTTGCGTCGCATGTCACACTGGGAAAACCCGATGCAGCGAAACTCTGCCTTGTCAGAATTGCGTCAAGCGGGGTGTAGCATCCCTGTGTGCTTACCCCGACGCAGAGGTCACCAGCACGCCCCCAACTTCAACTAGCGAGCAAGCAAAGCCTCAACAACGTGACGACAGATCGACTCCCATCTCCGCGATTGTGGCTGGCACGGCTCCCAATCCAGCGTTCACCGTGGCTCCTCCAGCATATCCAACCATGTCAGGTCATCAGCCCTACTACGAACAAGCTAGTTCCTCCAGTAATCCATCTTATTCAGTTTCTACGACTACCACCCCGTCTTTTCGCCCAGCCAAACGACCCCGTCCTCTGACAGAAGAAGAGACTGCCTCGATAACACGCAACTTCACCCGTGGAGACTTTTTCGTCGGTTCTAATGCCCCAGTCCGTATCGACCCACGGCTGCCGGTCCGGCTGATGCTTGGAGAGGGAGACCAAGTCCAGTGCGTTTTGTCATCCGCCTCCTCTGCTTCGCTCATATACGACCTAGTTTCACTGTTGGGAACTATGAGGTAAGCAACCCTTCGTGCCAACCAATTTAGACGCCGGACTGAGCCCGATTCCAGCCTTGAGACATCGTCTCTGGAGCTTCGTAGACCAGATGTGCCTGTTGGTGACCTGTATCTTTATCTATACGATTGAATTTACAACGGTTTTTTTGCTTCCGCCAATCCCTCCGTGATCTTCGATGTGGCTGGGCAAGTAACGCCGCCTTGAGCTAACGCGAGCCCCTCAACAACCTAGCAAGTTCAGGTCTGCTCGGCATTGACCGCGGCGTTGATCTTCACGCAATTTGCCATTAGCCGAAGCCCTATGAGGCCCTATTCTCGAGTAAGTGAAGCACAAGCGCTCGCCTCTGTTATCGTTGAAACTCGCCCAGACTACTTCTCTCAGGCAGTGTTCTGTGTTCACTAAGCTACCTAGACAACCTTCGCATTCAGCGCAAGAACGGTTTCGCCAAAGCTACGCAACTCAATGGGCGAGAGGCAGGAAACCCGGCCTATTGGGTCGAGATGCTTTGCAGTGGTTTTGGCTGTCTTGCACTGGGGCCCTGTCGAGGGATTGAAGATTGGCGGACGCGAAGAGCGGAAGCGAAGCGACGCTATAGGAGTAAGCATAGAAACCTCCATCATCCGTCACGATAAGATCCCTAACTCATTGTTGTCGCTCGGAGTTTAGAGATGCGAGAAAACTACAAGATTGCGGGGAACTCGAGCTCAGAGATAACTGCCACGTGGCAGAAACACGGGCTAGAGACCATGTCTCTCACTCCAATACTGCAAACAAGGCTATTAATAAGCAAGGACCAGAGATACTTCTTGCCAGCAGCAAGCGGTAACACTTGGGGTAAGCTCATTTCAAGCTTTTCAAGTTTCCGGCAAGCCTGCAAGTTGCTAGACGCTCACTAACTTTCTGAGTCTGACTAAGCCCCACTCGAAGGCTCATTGACAACTTTCATATGAATCATCAACTCCAACTCAAATTGATATCGTTTCCCTCTCGCTTGACGCTCCTCGTCAATGCATCAGAGCCCCCGGCTGCGACTGGCAGCAACTGCGCGGCAATTTAAGTGAAAAACAAGTTTTAAACAACTAGAGTCTAGACGACAGTCACAGAAGGCTCAAGGAAAATGGTTTTTGCGCAAAGAATATTGTCGATACTGGCAGTCGTGGCTTTGCTTGAAGAAGTCGAGCAAATGCAACAACTATCTCCGCCTACTGCTAAGCGATGCTCAACGACTGATTAGAGAGTTTGATATCGACGGAAATGGAACAAAGGCCTCAAGGCCCTCAACAACCACCGAAACTTCACTGGCAGACTGCGAGACGACAACTGTGAGCAGTACATGTTGGATTTACTTCGATAATCTTTAAATTTGATATGCATATAGAGTCACAGACGTATTATGCTACTACTCAGGTCATTCAAGTTGGGGCGATGATTAACCTTTACTACTTGCAAAGCCTTTGGGGTGGATGGACGGTTAGCTAGGTTGACATTCAACGGTGCCTGCGAACGCCACTGGATGCCCGTTGCTGCACTCTCCCAATTGTTGCCGAAGCTGATAATACTATACACAAGTGAAGAGACACTATACTTCAATAGCGAGACTTGGCAGTTGCTATGTAAGACTTGTTTCGAGTTCCGCATCGTAAGTCAACACATTGAGTTAGTAAGGTACAAACAGATCCGAATAATGTAGAGTAGGAACCGAAAACAGAAAGACGAAAGCAAAATTAATCTTACAAGAAACGAAGGCACGAGGTCTCGCTATCCCCAGTCTTCCTCCAGTTCTCGTGCAAGGAAGTCGTCTTCCTCGTCATCACCGTCATCATCATCTTCTTCTTCTCCAGAGTCGTCCTCGCCATCAGAAACATTGGATGCTAGGCTTGCGACAGTGGGAGGAAGCCCTTCAGTCGTTATTGGAGGCAGCTTCTTGAAAGCCGCTGTCGATAGGTCGTCGGCGGTGACCCCCTCCTTTAGTTTCGACGCGCCAGTGAGCTTTTTGCGCTTGCTCAGCGGCGAGCCTCCTTCTGACGGCGTAACACTCCTTAGACGTTTCCGCTTACCACGTGACGGCGTTCCTGGCGCGCTGCTATTGTCTCGATCCCACTCGTCTTCCGACATCACACTCCGCTCACTCTTGCCCCCGTCTTCGTCGTCGCTCTCGTTCATCGCAGCATCGACTTCGTCGTTGATATCGTCCCAGTTGATGGCATCAAGCGCAAGTGATCCGTCGGCTGGCCTGGACTCGTCCCATTCTTCGTCTTCGTCCTCCTTTTCTATTGTCGTTGGAGCGGCGGTCGATGAGGGGTTAGCTGATACACCCACGGTGGGTATTGGGGCTCGCACGCCCTCAAGAAGATATCGAGTTTCGTCTTGCCGTGCGAGGAGGTTCAGGCAATCAGCAAACCACTCAGATCGAATGACGTAGATTCCGCCTCGCCGCATGGCTGTATCCGCTTTGACGGTCCCGGGCTAACAGTTGATTAGCGGAGACAGAAACGATAGTAAAATACTGACCTTAGCACAAACAAGATGTGTCGTCTCGGGAGTCAATTCGGTTGAACACTTTGCTCCAAACATTCGCGCTAACCGCCAATGTTCTGATGTTTGTGGGTTTGTATCAAGCGGGATGACGCCAGAAAAAACGAGGTGAACGCCCGCGAGAACTTGAGCGCGTTTTCGCAGCATTATTTCCTACGCACAATCATTAACAGGCAGGGACGTGAAACAGAGAAGCTCACAGTGACATCGTAAGGTGGCTTCGGTTTGGTTGGACCGTTCCGCCTACTGGTAGCCGGTGGCGGGGGAAGCGTCTCATGGCTTGACCTTTCGTAGACGGTGTAAAATTCTTGGTGTACCTCCTCTAACAACTGGCGAATACGAACGAGTTCGTTGTCGTCATCCTTCAGCAGCGCTGCTGTCATGGGACGTGTTGTTTCAGGTGTTGGATGTTGGAGTTCTTCTTGTTTCTTTGCCAACGGCCGCTCTTCAACTTGTGCCTCCAATGCGATCGTGTTTTCTTGGATTAATGCCTTCTCCGCGAGTTTTGCTTGATTCGCAGCTGCCGTTGTGGCGTCAGGATCAGGTGGAGGTTCAGGATCCCCTCCGGGTGCTAGTCCTTTGGGTTTTGCAGCCGGCTTTTCGGGTTTTCCTGGGCCAAGAATGTTGTTCTTAGGCAGGAATGTGCCGTTGATGTCCCCGATGCCCACGAAGAAATCGACTAGATGTTTCGTCAGTTAGAAGAAATATCAAGGGAAAATACCTGCATGGAACGACTTTGAGGAGGTTTGGTATCCACTCCCAGACGTCTGCGCGGTCATCGATGACGACTACCATAGAGGTATCGCAGGGAAAGAGTCGCTCAAGACTTTTTCTAGTCATGTTGTTGCTCTCGTCTCGACTTAACAGTCGTCGACCAAATATATCGCCTTTAGGGTCAATTAAAGCGCACACTTCTTCTGCATAAGCTCGAGTGCCCATCGTGTAGACGTGCATTTGGTACTTGAGCGACATATCTTGGAGGAACTTTTGCCAGCCAGGTCTAGATTCCAGTTAGCGCTAATAGGACTGAAAACGGCCACGTACCTCCTCTTGATATAGTAAGTAGGTCCCTCGTGCTCCGGAGTCTTGCTGAAAGAGTCATTCTTGAGTTTGAACTCAGCGACATCTTCGAGTGCATCCCAGTTAGGGTTACAAATGTCGTCTGGGTTTTCATCTGGTTTATCTACATGCCGGGCTTTCCAAGCCGCACCGTCTGCTTTCCATTCGCCCACAGTTGGATCAACAGTTGCATGGACAATCGTTTGATCAAGGTCAACGATGAGTGTGAGCTTCCGAGCCTGGAGTAACTCCTGAATATTCTCCCGCTCAATTCGCTCCGCTTCTTCCAGCGATACCGTAGGGCCATTGGCCGAATGGGTCATCTGTATGTTCGCACGGGACGAGTCGGCGAAGCCAATGTAATCCGCTCTGTTTCATTCGTCAGACCACAGCAACAAAAGTTGACCAACGACGTACACAGTCATATCCCTTCCACAGACAACACACATTCCTCCTACTTGCATGCCATGTTTGCACTCCTCCAATACCAGCACAACGGGCTGTTCGCGTGCTTTGCGGGCTGAGATGACATCCCCGACGGTGACAGTCCAGTTGACGATGTTGCCTTCAATGGCCGAGTCCCAAGTACCGAAGCGTGATTCGGGTTGGGCATTTCGTTGGGCTGGGACATGCACAAAGGAGTAGGTTAAGAGCCGCGTGCCCCGCTTAATTTGGGAATTCGCGTCGATGGAAATTACTTTGATGGGAAAGGGAAAGGAAGGAGGGAGAAACAAGTCGGTGGGGGTGGGCTCCGAGTCTGCCATAGGCGCATTCCAGGTCGATGTAGAGGGAAGACGCGACGTTGAGAGGGTGATCTTGTATGCGGTCACGAGATTGTCATTCATCTTTTGTTGACGTTCAATGTACCCCCCTTGCAAGTCTTGTTACAACTTGGACCCAACACTTCTTGTGAGCCAACAAAATGGGAACAGATGAATTTGTAGTCCTATGAGCAATTCTTCGATGGACCAACGCCAAGGTCAATACTGTACTTCTGGGTTTAAATCTTTCAAGTTCGAGGAGAAACTTGTATTGTCTTCTAGACCCTATTCCTATCTTCCCCTCCCTCTTCCTTTTCCGCGGCTGGATTTTGACCGACTCGGATTTGTTTTCTTCTCTTGTACCCACTCCTTATCCATTGCCTCCTCCCATTCCGCATGGGCCTCATCAATATGATTTCCCCAGCTACCGTGAGCCTCATATTCGTTAGAGTCCGCCGCTTGCGCCGAGGTTTCCAAGACGTGTAAAACTAGCTTCACAACCTCGTCGCTGTTGTAGTCTCTCAACGGCCATTCGATCCCGCCGTTGTAAATATGTTCTCGTGCTGCGTCTAACATGGTTATGCATTCCAGAGGGATATACTCTGGTATGACGATTCTCCGTCCTTCTCCACTTTGCGAATTGATATCAGCCTGGAGAAAGCTGACATCCCAGTTTTCCCGCGGAAGCTTGGATGTGGCGAGTATACCATCCTTGAGTCGGTCGAGGTCCCACAACTCCGTGCTGTAACTTCCATTAAACCAGACATAGTCAGTTCCTCTGCCTTGAATTGGGGGCCGGGCGGACTCGAGAGTAGTCCAGCAAGTGAGAACCAGGATAGCAGCAGCAAAACGAGAAGCAGGAGCTGGGTCTGAACCGCTCATTAGTGCCTTGACAAACACAGGGGTAAGCGCTTGTTGCCAAAGTCTACGGCATTGGGTGCGGAATTCGCTGTAATGTGTGAAATAGATTCGTAGTCTAAGCTCCATTGGCAAAGCAGCTGCAGCCGCCAAAATATCGTCCTCGGTCTTTTCGCCCGGCGCGGGCGAAGACGTGGAAAGCAGAGCGAATGCCCGCCCTATCATTGTTGCGTGGACCATGCAAGTCAAATATTTGTTTAGTGAGACTGCCGGTTCACCTCCCCAGTATAGCGGCGGGGTAACATTGTTTGTCGTCAGGTCATGAATCATGAATGCGAGTGCTGCAGGAAGAGCTGGGTCGAGAAGATGAGGATTAAGTAATTCGTCAATTTCTTGAGGCTTTTGGTGGGCAGCGGTGAGCAGGGCCGATATATATTTGGGTGGCTGAGGGATGACTAGTCGCAAGCGAGTTTTTGGCTCTGTGTGGTCAGGTATCCAGGACATGGTCGTTGTTGCGCAAGCGTCTTCGGGATTTGCCCGGGCTAGTCAGATCACTTTACAGTCGTCTTTACTGTGTGACCTTCTGTGACCCATCGTTTGGTTGATTTTTTGACTTCGTTGAAGTCCGTGCGTCGTCTTCGACTTCAACCAAGCCAGTGAAGAAGCCAATAAAGCACCAACACATAGCTCAATATCCATTCATGACCAACAAACCTGACTGTTCAACCAATTGCGACATCGCTGATACTTGGAAATTAGACCGCGTTTGACTCTTCCGCTGGTTGTTTGGACGACGATCCGCCTTAAACCCGCACCATCACAGTCAATCACCCAATACCAGAGATAGTACTTGGACACACACAGAAATAAACGTATCCTGCACTTATTTTGGCGGCTTATCAGCGCAGGTCAAGAAGCGATAACGCTCAAGACTGGTACTGTTTCCCTTCTCTGGGGCAAGAAGTCATGCCAAAAGCAACATCGACCAGCATGAAGGACTCTGACATCGCTCTCCTGCAGGGACAATTGCTTCCCAACTCAGGTTACCATCGGCTGTTATACCTTCAAATCGTCGAATCAGCTCTGTTTCTTCCCTCGTGGTCCCGCAAACGTCGATCTACCGAACGAGCCCGGAGATAGCCGTCATTCATTGGCTTCATGATATTATACGATGACAGTTTATTCTGTTGGATACTCCTCAGGCTACACGGACACATTGGCACCGATTCTGGCCTTGAACGTCGTGATGTCAATGCTCTGGATCCCACCGACTTCTTCGATGCAAATTGGATTCATAGAACATTCTCTCCACTCGCAAACTGTCCTCCAAGCTCGTCAAATATAGCGACCACGTTCTCTGTGATGACCTTGCGGTCTAGGTCTCGTTCCGCCACAGCGGTACCGGACCCTGCACTTCGTAGTATCATCGGATTAGCCATGCTGACGTCTTCGAGAATGCAGACTAAAATAAGTCGCGCCGGGCCGAGTGCCACACCCTACCATTTTCCAGCAAAGAACCTGAACAAAGCCCTGGGATGATGCTCGGAGAAGCTTTGCCGCCTGGCCGGAAATCCTGACGGAGTTTCTTGCTTACCATCGCGTGGCTCCTGTGGTAGGCCGCGATTTGTCCGTCGGCCAAGTTGCTCGTTCTGCGTCTTGCCTCCCAGTTGAGCCTCGCAGGTATGGAAGGTGAGCATAGATCGATACTAGGAGAACTTGAGGCTCCTGGCTATTTTCGATCACTATATCATTTCAGCTCAAAGCTTGCAGGCCCTTATTGGTTGTTAATTTGCATAAGCTTACCTATTACTAGTGACGCGTTTTTTCATTAAATTGGCTCAGAAGTGCTCTGCAGAGCACTGTACAAGCCGATGTGCAGTCTAAAAGTCACCAAAATAAACATTCACGTTCAAACTTGGCGCTCTATTTTAATTAGCGCTTTGCTCGCAAGCGTGACCGGGAAACCCAACTTGTATGTGCATGTCTAATCTGAACGCTAAGGCTAAATCGGAAGGAACGGAGTCATCTCCGACCCAATCTTGATGCTTGGTGCAGTTTGATGCTTCAGACTTGTTTGGATATTGTACCGTTGAGTAGTACTCTTCAGGCAATTTCTTGACGACTATGAGCTATCTGGCGGAGTTAGAACCCAAAGGGGGCGCCCATTTTTTTCGAGTTGGGCTATTTCGACTGTAGCTGCGCCACGGTAACGCGGATGGTCGATATGAAAAAAGCGTTATTTTTGGGCGAGTTTCAGGTTCCGGCTAAACGTGATGATGATGATGATGAGGAGTAATAACTCGTGCGGAACGACGATGGAAAGCTAGGGATGCGCTTTCGACTGAAGACTCAGAAGAGGACAAAAGAAGACGCATCTTGACGTGAGGTTGGGGAAAGAGAGACGACATCGGCGCGCACGGAGAGAATTCGTTGGAGAGAAGTGGCGCTGGAGTCAGTGAATCTCCTAATAAGGTCGAAAGGCCTTCCTCTCCGGTTTGTTTTCGTACTCTGTCGCTGAGTAGTTCCCGCATTAAAGCCGAGCAATGCGGAATAAACGTAAAAGAAAAGCTATAAAAAGCCAGCCTCCTGGGTGAAGAGCCGATTCTGGACGAATATAGACCATGAACGCGCAAAGGCCGTGGCCAGCCAGCGCTGGGTAGAAGACTCGTAAGGTAAACTTTTGTGAGACGCTGAAACAGTGAAACCTAGAAATCCGATAAAGATCGAAAGGGTCTAAGAACAGCGCGATAAATATAGCACACGGGCGCCATATGTAAAGGGACTGCTGTCAGACGGTTAGTCACAGCTGTCACATACCATTTCCTCTCTCGCCCAACCGAATGCCTCCAGCAGTGAAGCAACGACGTGGTTGGCCGCCACCGTTGCTCGCGTTCCTATCAGCCAAGACCGCTGGCTCCTCAGCCATGGCAATGCCAGTTGATGAGCCACCCCTCGTCAATGTCGTTGCTCTTCACAGACACCGACTTCCAACTCCGACCGACCCTGCAGCCCGTCGTCACGTACCACCTCAGTACTCCCCCGGAAGAGATGGATTATGGAGGAGGATTGACTCTTACACCCTTGTGGGCTCGACAATATGCGATGTGCGTCTAGAATCAGCGGTAATTTAAATAACTGAAGCTGATTCCAGCAGACTTGCAAGGTGACCCCAACGACCATCAAGGAGACAGACACCGAGTTCTTCAACACGATTCCCTCTGGCTGGGTGCGCGACACCATATCAACCCCCGCCCGGACATCCATCACTGTCGCACTCTCAGTTTCGCTTGCCGTGTTCATCTTCTTGACACTCATTCGCTGTCACTTCTCTCTACGAAAGAGTCACCGGCGAAGGAGGGATCTCGAGAAGCAGAAAGCAATAAAACGGGGAGACATCCATGCGAGCACAGAAACCCTTACCCCGAAACCACCCACTGGGCCCAAGTCCCGCAAATGGATGGCCAAAGCGACAGAACGCTGGCGGGAGAATGCGCGATATCTTGCTCGTCAACGCAGAGGTCGTAGGACTAGTCGGAGAGGTTCGACAGACTCACTCTCTGAGCCGAAACTCCCAACTGAACCCTCCACTCCCCGACCTGCTTCTCCTTCTCCGTCCACAACCCAAACCCTTTCAGGCCCAGAAGAGGTCGAGCCCTCACCCGAACCCACTCAGGCACCGGCATTGGAGCCACCAGCCTATCTTTCCCCGCCTCAGCTTAAACCCTCACCAGCTATGGACCTGCGCACCATTCTGGCGTCAGACTCACCCTCCATCGACACTTTTCCGCCTTACACCCCCCGACCAGCGCCAGACGAGTCTTGTGACTACTTCAATCCCCAACCCGCAGTACCTCCCGATAATACAGCCCATTTAGCAACAGACGACAAAGCTTTACTGGCCCGTCTAGCAGAGCGAGTATCGGCACCTGACATGCGTGCTGGCTCTTCTCGGCCAACTAGCTCAGTTCCCACCCAACCTACTCATGTCGAACCAAGGGCCCCTCCAGAAGATGACCTTGACTATGACTTCGAAGGCTTCGAATGGTCCTCGACCGATCCCTCATTCCAGCCCCCTCCAGAGCAACAAGCTGAATGCAGTCGCAGTCACAGTCGGCCACCGTCATCACCGCGATTGCCTTCACCTCCGCCCGCCATTGATGCTTCGAGTTCATTCGAGAAGATGCAGCTTGAGCGGGCATATGCAGCGCATGATCTCGATCAAAACATCGATTTAGGCGGGCCATCGATGCCATTACCTTCTGCCCCCCCTCCTTTCAATCTTGAGGAAGGGGTGGTGAGCGTACCGTCAGCGCCAGCGTTTGATGAATTTGATGACGATGTCTACCCGGAAGCGGGACCGAGTTCACCCAGGGCACCGCCATTGCAGGAATTGGAGTTTGAGGAGGACCAGTTGGAATATGCGGACGAGGACGAATTGAGGAATGCCGCTACCCTGCAACACGACCCAGACCGACATCTGCAGGATCCGCCTTTGGTGACTGGAAAACAAGAGGCTGAATTACCGGAGGGGGAAAACCCAAGGTCGTTAGAGCATGAAGCCCACGACACGGGATGGGACGGTGGTTAATCGCGTCGATGACTGGATGATTTTTTGTTTTTCTTGACTCTTACCGCACTGCTCAACAACTCAACTCATATCCATCGCACAGTTTTCTTGTATTTACCAACGCATACTAGGGGAAGAATGAAATGAAAGAAGTCGTGACAACTGTTTTTTTTTTCTGAGGTACCAAAGCCAGCGAAAATTCCACGCGCTTGCCTCCCGGTCCGGTTCGACCTCACGACGGTGGACGCACAATTCGCACCCTATTTTGGCGGCCAGCGCGGGTTTGGTGTGGCAACGGAAAAACGGATGGGCTCTCCCGTGGACTAGCGCAGATGGAGATCGATATCCAAAAATAGTACCAGTGCAGAAACTGACTGATGGCAGGCGATTTGGCGAGGTATGCAAGTCGCTGGCGCTGGCAGTTCCACCCGTACCTTGTTCATCTGACCAAATGGGACTTTGTGAAGAACGCCGGAGACATGTCAAGGACTCTGGACAGCAGCAGCAAAAAACGAGGCTGAAGTAAATTCGAAAGCAAGAACGCAAAAGCAAACATGCGGTTTTCCATTAGAATAAAAACTTGACATTCTGGTAAAAGTCCACCATGGGGTTCTCCCCATTCCTCAACCGCGTCTTGTCAATGTCGCCGTAAGTGTTGAGGAACTGCGCATGCGTGAACACACTTGACTTGCGCTCCCCCACGGGCAGGCCACTGGCCGATGTCACGCCTTCGATTGGCCGCCGCCGGTTGCTCGGATGGTAAGAGGAGAAAAAATCTGCACCGAGAGCTGTCGACGGCGAGGGGGTGTCAGCAGGTTCCGCCAGGGTGTGCTCATACATGTCACGTAGTTGTTCGAAGTTCGTCGGGAAGAATATGTCGAAGTAGCCAGGGGCGACAAGCAGCGTGGTAACGGGGACAGTCGTGTTTTGGAACCGCGTTTGGACGACAGGGGCGTTCTGGCCCTTTATGGATTCCGGCATGGAAAAGAAATCCGAGAGGAGCAGCCGATGTCGCGGGAAGTGGGTCCGCAGCGTCCGGAGGAGACTCAACAATCGGGTCGGAATATATTCAGGGGTAGAGAGGTTGGGGGCAAATGGGAGGTTTGCATAGAATTTCAACAGGGGAGGAGCAGCCCTAAGGAGACGAGGAATCGCTGGGGGGTGTGCTAACCGTGTCCGTAGTTTGAGGAAAGAGGCAATAAGCGGATCGGTTACTGGAGAGTAGATCATATCGTAGTCTCCTCGATCGTCTACCGTTACTAATGCTTGTAGTGGTTGGAGAGTTTTGAGGTCATAACGAACCATATCATGCGCGAAATTGTCGATGACTTCCATGGCCACAACGAAACACGGCGAGTCCTCTCTCTTGTCCCAGCGAAATATACTCTTATGGACCACCTTCACACAAGGGTGGCGGGAAGAGAGCTTCTTGCGTTGTAACCCAACAAGGCTGCCTGAGATCTCGATAATGTTGTAGCGCGTGCGGTCGTAGACCTCTGGGTAGTTTCTCTTGAGGAAATCGAGTATGTTCATCGCCAACGTGCCATTCCCAGCGCCGATCTCGTATATGACAAAATCCTCGTAGGGAAAGTATTTGAGGAGATACTCGGAAACCAGACAGCGAGCAATGGCCTCGCCATAATGCGGCTAGGATTCCTCAGCAATGAATTGGTCAGACATAGAAAGCGTACCTTAAACAACTCTGTGGGTGTATGCCAAATCTGCCTGCCTGGCCCTTGATGTTCGTCTGAGCCATAGGCTGCATAGCGCTTGCCAATTTCCTCCTGGAAATCCACCGAATTCCGGAGTTTGGGGAAGTCGAACACGATGTCCTGCGTATCGAAAATCACGGCTTGCTTGGGGAAGTAGCCGTAGTTGGGGTTGTACAAGCAGTCTTCAATCCAGTCGCGGACGAGCATCTTCACCTGCTTAGGCTGCTTAGTGCATTCCTCGAGCGCATTCGCATCGACAAGCTCGTATGCTGCGAGCTCTTCTTGGGTTTTGGCATCGCCAACAAGCAGCGAACTAGAATTATAGTTCCATTTGTCGGGTTCTGGCGGCGGTTTGACGGGTTTGGAGACAGAGAGACGTGGGTGTGATTTTCGAGGCGGCTTGGAGGAAGCAAAACGAAGAGAATTACGCGCGATTTGGCGGCATGTGGAGGTTGAGGCAAGAGCCAAAACCATGACACAAGACGTGACTGACGCGCTTCTCACTTGTTCCATCTCCTTCGCAGCATGGAGCAGGTTGTAACAACATGGATGGTTACGGGGAGAGATGAAGAGGTGGATGCTGCGGTGTCTGGTGAGTATTTTTGAGGCATTTTCTGCTTACTGATACTCTACAGATGTTAGTCAGGGTCGACTGCTTGGAGTGGTTAAAGCCTTGGGCCAGTATCTTACCTCAGAGGACGACACCCTACGGACCAAGGGTAGCAAGCTATATTCTCCAGCCGTGCATTCTAAGCCTGTACTCCAGGCGTCGAGTTTCTATCGACTGTTATTGTAAAATGCCCACCAACCGCGCTGAACCCGCAATCAGTCAAGGTCCTATCGACTTTCTTTTGCGACAAGCTCGACGACACAGAGACAATAATCCCCGCGTTGAAAGGACTGGGCAGTCTTCCAGCGATATGCACCGGAGAGGACGCGGAGAAGATTATCAAAGCGTATGTTCTTAATGGTGTCTCTGGCTTCAAATTCAGATCTACACAGCATCTTTGCCCATGTTCGCATGCGGGCCCTGGTCCAATCAGTGAGATTTTCAGTCTTCTCCATTGTCGATGGGTTGGTCAAGCACCACAAAGAAGGTGCGTAAATCAGTTTCTCGACATCAACACCTTAGCCCGTTTTAGTCTTGAAAAGCATGAAAAGCGAATTCGTTCGGCCATATATTTCTCTCGCAGAAGGCGAAAAAGACCCACGTAATCTGCTCGTCGCGTTTACCATTGCTCGCGTAATCTTACTCGAATTCGATCCGACTCCCCACATCGAGGCACTATCTAACATCCTCTTCTGCTACTTCCCGATCACCTTCCGACCTCCTCCAAATGACCCATACGGAATCACTGCTGATGACTTGCGAGTTGCCTTGCGGTTCGTACCACTTTCCCTTTTTTTTCTGCTGTTGGCTCAATCGTTGCAGCAATTCTCTCAAAGCCCACCCAGACTTTGGCCCCTTTGCCATACCAATATTCTTAGAAAAGCTTGGTGCAGGTTCCCCAGCAATCAAGGTATGTTGGGCTTGAAAAATCTGAGATCCATTTTTGTTAACGTCGAAAAGCGGGACACATTACAAACAATGGCCCAATGTTTCCCCGTTTACGGCCCCTTTCTTGCGCGGAATAATGCTAGGAAGCTCTGGAACTCACTGAAACTAGAGGTATGCTAATTTGTTTTGTGCCCTATCCCACCCCGCTTATCGTCTCAGAAAGATTTTTCAACCGACAGACCCGCTCACCGAAGCAGAAGCACTCGCGACTTTATCTGCACTCATCATCACAATACACGAAGACGAAGCCCAAGACGATGATATCCAAGGTCTCGCACGTGATGCTTGTGAGGAATGCATCGGAATACTCCGCGAACCGGAGAAGAGTCAGGCACGGGCAGCAATCAAGGTTCTGTGTGCCTTTATGGCCACAACACGTTAGGACTCTCATTTGCGCTCCGCGTTTCGGTTGTCTGATGGATTCATAGCATCGGTATCAAAGTATACCCTCGCAAATGTGGTACCCCACCTCCTTAAACTCTTCGCCGACCCGCGAGAGGTGCCTGCCAGGCCATCAGTGCTACTGCTACTCTCAGAGGTGATCGCTGCTGCTCGTGATGCATCCAAAAAGAGTGGTACCCCGTTGTTAGCATCCTACAAAGATGAAGTTCTTGGTGGTTGTGTGTCCGGTCTCAATGCTACTGTGACCATACGGCCGGCGCTTGCTGGGCTGACTGGTCTTGTTTCCACCCCGGAACTTATCTCAGAAGAGGAAATCGGATTCATTGTAGTTAAAGCTAACGAGAATTTGGCGCAAACGCTGGACGAAGACCATTCTGACGACAGGTATTTACAATCATATTATTTTCAAAGCGGCTTCATTGACTTGGCTTTCAGAAGTGCCATCATTAAACTCTTCCTCACCATTTCTGCACGCTCACCGCTCCCGATTCGCGACCAAACACTCCCCCTTCTGTTCGCCGCCCTCCCGACAACAGCGCCCAGTCGAGAAGACACTGCTGCACGATCCAAGTACCACGTCGTCCTCTCTGTTCTCAGCACACTCAGCCCACCTGCTCCCCTTTTCGCTGCGCTGATTTCGGAATTGCATCCGCGTATCAACTCTCTCGCATTTCCAAGTGAACACGATCTCGACGAAGAGTTATCAGCAGCCTTGCTTCATTCGCTGCTGTTTGCGATACGTCGCGCGTTAACAACAAAGATCGACGAGTCGCACGATGACATTGGGAACTATGTCGAGACATTGGTGCCTACCCTTTTTGGTGTATGCGTACGGGCGGCTTTACAAGGAGGCCCTGCGCGGGACCGGCGAGTGGTTGCTGTTGCTGGGGATATCATGAATTTGGTTGTTCAGCGACTTTCGGTGGAGTGGGTATTCTTCTAACCCCGTTTTTGACCTGGTTAACTCGGATTCAACAGACAACAGCAGACCTTTGCGTCCAAACTGGTTCCAGGCTTTCTCTCTGGAGGAATCGCAGCTATCTGTGCTAGCGAACATATTGCTGCAGGCTTCCGATTTATCCCTTTCGAGGTTGGTCCATTCTTTACCGCTTTCTTCGGGACCATGATTAATATCCTCCAGAAGGATGGCACTCCCGCAGAGAGGGACCTCTTGGTACTGTTCGAAGCCGGAATAGCGCCTTTGAACCCGGCAGTCAGAATTGACGCCGATATCAATACGTGTCTGCAACAGATTCAGGTTCAAGGTCTAGCATATGCAGAGGACAGCCTCCAGGAAACAAGTGTGATCCGGCTTGTTGCCTCAATTGTCAATAAACACGTCGATGGTCGGTGTCTACCATGAGTCTCATGATACTCACTCAGACTGACGATGGACAGAACTGGCGCCATTCCTTGATAGGATGTCAACAACGTATTGGTCGACTCAGATCATTGGCTCGGCAGAACCCGAACGACGGAGACAGGCAGTCAGGATGTGGACCTGGGTGAATATTGTTTCTATTGCGTGTCCACGCGCCAATTGATCATGATACTAGTTGAGCAAGGCTCTGTTAGTCCGAAGTCATCCTCAAGCAATGTCATTCGTTAATCGCCTCTTCGACGTGTTTACTGATCCGAACATTGGGACGGATGCAGCGAAAGCGTTTGGAGAAGTTGCTAGCAGGGACACAATCCTGACTAAAAAGAACGGGGCGGTTGTGAAGGTGGGCCAATCCCAGTAAGTAGTCAGTGGGGACTTGACTTTGTTCACAGATACTTTGGGCACAGAAATTTGCGACCGGCATCTTACCTCGGCTTATGAGCGGTGCGAAGGACAACAGTGGTTGGTTCACTTCATGGATTGACTCCAATCATGCTCATGTTTTTGTTTACTAGATGCGACCCTCCAACACGCCTACCTTGTTGCCCTCACCTCCCTAATCAAGTCCGTCCCCCATGCCGCATACTCCCACGAAATGTCCGCCCTCCTCCCACTGCTCCTCCGCGCTCTCCCAATCCCGGACTCCGACATTCGCGCGGATGTAGTCGAAACCCTCCTGGGTGCCGTGTCAACGTCGCCGCCCGCCCATGACAAAGAAAGGGCAAAAGACGCCTTGACAGAAGAAGACAGCGTGCTCAGCCAACACGCCCCTTCGTTGGTCCGGACAATGCTCGGTTGTGCGAAAGCCGGGCCCCTATCGACCGCGCGATTGCGTCTCACCTCGCTGCGGCTGCTTTCTGCCCTGCCCAGAGTCGTGAGATATGCGGTTTTGCATCCGCTCAAGGCCGATGTACTGCGTGGGCTCGATGAGGCATTAGACGATCCCAAAAAGAACGTGCGAAGGGAAGCAGTTGACGCTCGCGAGGTTTGGTCTGTAACTATCTATCTTATTTTCTTCGTGAACTGATAGCTTCTGTAGGTTTAAGTATAGTGGCTAGGGTACTCTCCGCCCAAACAGTAGAATTGTACCATGTGATCGTGTCTGATGGCGAAGCCCAATATGGCAAGTTGCCTACCACTTTAGGAAACTGTGTCTATTGCTCCTCGATCAATGTTCCGAGCGTCATAATCTGTACTGCGGGTACCTCCAGCCTGATATTTGGACACAGCAATACATCTGATTGATTAGTCAACAAACACAAATACAACAAAGATCGCGAGTACAAAGCAGCTCCATATCTATTGTCCAGCAAGCTCTAAAATGAGGCGTGTTGCCAAGTCCATGAATACAAATGGACTCATTACCGCTTCCTCCGCGGGTCCGTATAGCTCGGCCATCGACCGTGAAGAAGCAGCGATTGAGTCGACCTCGCCATTGATGGGCGACTCTTTGACCGCGGGGTCAAATTTGCCTGCGTCTGGCGCGGTGGAGGCGCGGTACGACTTCTTGTGGTGGAAGTCGACCAGATAGTTTTGCGCGTCAACGTTGTACAAGTTGATGTTCATGAGGACCACGATGTCCTGAACACGGGCACGTGTCTCGATGCAGAATATGCTGCTCGCGGCACGCAGATCCTCGTCGCGCCGCTCATCGTACACGTGACGGTCGCGTTCGCGCGGTGGCCGGCCAAGCGAGCCGAGGTTGGTCTTCTTCTTCCACTCCATTCCCATGCTCTGCAGTGTCTTGTAGATCTCCAGCATGACCTCCATTGGTGCGCTCCTGCTCCGAATGCCAAAGTGCCATCGAGTGGCCTTGGCCGGTCGTCTGCTGTTGGCACGGCCAGTCGGAGAAGTAAGCAATGACTGGTCTGCTGTTCGGAGGGAGGAGTTGAGGATAGCAACGCTTGACGGAGCATTGGGGTCTTCTGGAGCATTGACAACTTCATCAAACCCGTCGTCTTCCGGTGCCTCCTCCTCAAATTGCTCTTCAAAAGGGTTGATGTCAAGATCAGCACCACCTGGCGATAATGCGTTTGGTGAAATGACATTGCGCGGCTGTGGACGAGTCAATTCACGTATATTAAATGGTGGAGTGCTCACATCCATGGCCGCCAACTCCGCATCACGCTCCTGCTCCGCGTATATTGCCACTGAAAGAGTATTAGCGAAAGCTTTAGACCAACTTCAAAACACACAATTCTTGCCAACCCGCTTCTTGTCTTTCAGTAACATATAGGCGACCTTTACCTGGTTTCCCCGAACACCATCATTCCGCCGCAGACTATACATGATTTCTTCTTCGTCCGTATCCTCCAAACGTGAAGCTAGGTCTTTGACGATCTCTTCGTCGATGCGTCCTAGCCCTTCAACGAATTCGAAGTCGAGAGGTACAGCCGGTGCCGAGACAATTGAGCTCATCATGCCTACTACAGGGCCTGGAATTGGGGGAAGCGGCTTAAGATACCGAGGAAGCTTGACGTCAATCCAAGGGTGGGTCATTATTTGAGAGACGGTTATGCGTTTAGTGGGGTCTGCGACCAGCATTGATTTGATTAGGTTTTGTGCTTGCGGGCTGAGATGCGTTGGCGGCTCGTAGTCCACATCTGGACTGAGTTGAGCGACTGACAAGGATAGGCAAAAAGCGTAACTAACTCTCAATTTTGTGGAAGAGTTCTGAGATGTTGGAGTCCTCAAAGGGGAGCTTTCCGACCAGAAGAACATAGAGTATAATCCCAGAGCTCCACACGTCTATTTCAGGGCCAGAGTACCTGAAGCCCTTGATAACTTCTGGTGCCGCGTAGTTGGGACTGCCGCAACTAGTAGCCAAGAATTCACCATCCACGGTCTCGTTTGATAAGCCGAAGTCAGCAATTTTCACATTGAGATACTCGTCAAGGAGGATATTCTCTGGCTTGAGGTCACGGTGGACGATCTTGAGACGGTGAGAGTACTCTATTCCGGACATTATTTGCTGGAAGAAACGGCGGGCTTCGTCCTCGGATAACGGCCCGTTGTGCGCGCAATGGTTGAAGAGCTCGCCTGCCGCGTATTCTAGCACGAAGATGATGTCGCGCTCGGTGGTGATGACCTCGTATCTAGATGCCATGGTTACCTCAAAAAGAGAAGTAAGGCGAATCTCACAGCTTGATGATGTGGGGATGACGGAGGAGCCGCAGATATTCGAATTCACGCCTGACACGGGCCTTCATCTTGTCGCGGTGGATGATAGCTTTGGAAAGGAACTTCATAGCGACATGATGGCCCGTAACTTTGTGGATGGCCACTATTGCGGAGCATGCTTATTCAGAGAAAGAGTTGAGCGAAATAAGAGTCCACGCACTTTTGACTTTGCCAAACGTGCCCTCGGCAATGTCGCGCACCACCGTATACATGCCCAGCTTCTGTGTATCGTAGACCTCGGGCATCGTGGGTGGAGGAGGGGAGTCTGTCATGGCGGAAGCAGACCAGAGGTCGTGACAGTCCGTGTGACGTCTTCTCCTTCAAGCCACCAGGATTGGACTGGGTTGCACCTGGCAACGACCTACCTATTTATCTTGACTCATCTTGGAGAAGACTCCTCAAAACCGGAATGGATGGATTCGGCCAGAAGTTTCCAGCTGCCCTACCCCAAGCAACAACTGCTGGACACAGTGTCTCTGCTCCCGTCTCACAGCCAGCCACCCAGGATGTAGAAGACACTCCGCGAAAAGGAAATAAGCGGAGAAAGGTCAACCACGCATGTCTTTACTGCCGCCGAAGCCATATGACGTGCGATGAAGGCCGACCGTGCCAGCGATGGTATGTTCGCAGTCCACCACCATTCTTCTCATAATCTAGCCACGTAGTATCAAACGCGAGATAGGGCATCTTTGCCACGATGAACGTCGTTCCAAGACCCTTGATAAACTACCAACAACCACACCTTCCCCGTCGACGACTTTTAACGGCACAAGTGTCCCTACTCCTACATCGGCAACACCCTGGCCGAAACCACAGTATTTCAACTATCAGTCAGAGACGCTTGGGAACGAATTCTCAGTCCTCACGTAGGTAAATACGCTTCCGCTTTCGTAATTTGTCCAACATATGTTTTTATAGCGACTTTCTTGAAACGTTGGACGACGGGTCATTCTTCGCCGAACCACAAACTCAAACCCAAGGCCCGCTCATGACCTCTGCATCGGCCGGCTTCTCGCGATTCAGCACCACCACCGCTCCCCAACAACCAGCACTGTCACAAACACCTGCTTCACCAACTCCCCAGTCAGCTCCCCCAGCAGTGATTCCCTCGGCAACCAAGACGGAGAAGTTCTTGCTCACCGCGGCAGATCAAGAATCCGGGTCCCGCGACGAGCGGCTGAGTCGCGTTATTCGGAGCAAATATGAAGCAGGCTTGCTAAAACCGTACAACTACGTCAAGGGCTATGCCCGTCTCAGTCGCTGGATGGACCGCAAGTGAATTCCGCTTGAGGAACTGACCGACGTCAGGCTGACCATGGTGTAGTGTCTCACAAGAATCGAAGCAACAGATTTTGCAGCCTCTTTCCGTTCTTCGACCGAAATTCCGCGCGGTGGCTCAGAGTCTCCGCGACATAGTACGCCCCGCAATCTCCGCTGAACATGGTGCTGATGGTCGATTAGGACCTTGTATTCATCGAAGAAGCATTTGAGCGCATGCTTCTCGATTACGACCGCGTCTTCTCAGCGATGGGTGTTCCCGCCTGTCTATGGCGTCGAACTGGCGAGATCTACAAGGGGAACCGGGAGTTCAGTGAGCTAGTTGGCGTCCGTGGCGAGGATATGCGTGATGGCCGATTATGCATCTACGAACTGATGGCGGAGGAGAGTGCTGTGAACTACTGGGAGGTGCGTTGAATAAGATCCTACATTTGCTGTTCTCTGAATAAAGTCTAGAAATACGGACATGTTGCGTTCGACTCTTCCCAAAAAGCAGTACTGACGAGTTGTGTCCTGCGATATAAACCCGTTTTACCGTCCTCGACTGCCGCACCAAATGCGGCATCCGAGGTAGCAAAAGCTGCGAGCGAGCGCGGCATGGACGACCGACCCCATGAGTCGCCTGAGCAGGAAGGCGGCTTCATTAATTGCTGTTTCTCGTTTACCATACGACGCGACAAGTGGGGCATTCCAAGCATGATTGTAGGCAATTTTATCAGGACGTGAGCAGTGTAGTATTATATGTATGCTAGCTAGGATCTGGTTTTGTTTTGTTCATTCGGAAGTGTAGCTCTTTCGACCACACGTGACCTGTACCAGCTTTCACTGCTTCAGGATCTAGGATTCCAAGCTGTACTTTTCTTTTCAGAACAGCCACAAGTGCGCATCATCATATTGTTCTCGTTAAGTAGAGATACGTTGCCGCCGCGGAAGCGACAGCATTCGACGGGATCTGCCAGTATCCGATGTTTTCCTTCTCCCACCAAGATCTCTATGACATCTAATAACACGACTACACTACCAGTTTCCTACCTCCAGGCGGTCCACATATAAGAAGGTCATAGCTGCGCGTCATAGTTCTCTACGTCAAGACTCAACCTGATTCAGACCTATTTAACAGCCACCTTGCTGCGGGCAGGCTATATCGTCCACTATGGCACTCACCCTCCGGCCCCAGCCCTCGAGCCTGAAGGTTCTCGCCCTCAGATATGAATCCAACTCTTTACCCGGGCGGACACTCAACGAGGTTTATGGCTCGCTGGGGTCAGTCGCAGAGACTGTCGCCAATCGAGTCGCGCATCGCTTGGGGATGGGGCCGTTGTCTGCCGCTGACCGAATCAACCGGTTTTTTGACGGGGAGGGAGGAGAGGCGAAGGAGCGGAAGATAGCTGGCTTGCGATCGGACCAGAGCATGATTGGCATAAAAACGTTGAGGAAAGACTGCGCCAAGTTGCTAGCGTATACTGCGTCGTGTGTTTCCTCGTCCTTCTTGGAGAATGAGCCGAATTATTGAAGATCTTGCCAGAAAACAAGCTACACGAACAAGAATCGACGCGTTTTGGTGTATTGTTGACGTTGCGACACGATACCCTGGTTTGCGCCATTTCTTCCTCGAAACACATATCGTCCCTTCGCCTGTTAGCGTGGATGGACTGTGTGCTTTCTGGAAGCCTCAACATTGTCTAAGCCCTGAGGATGCAAAAGAGTTTGATTTCGTTGTCAAACTCACTGCGACATGTCTTGCTGACGGCAACATCGCGATTTTGGTTGAGGCCAATCCAAGACAGAACCCGCGTATCGAGGGCTGCAACACTGGGCTCACAGTCGTCGAGTTTTTGCTCGTCACTTTATGGTCGCGGTAAAGGTGTTCCACTAGTATTTGTGAGTGGTCTGACTTTTTTTGCCGGCAGCACTCTCGCCGAACCGTCAGTGTCGCTCTCCGTCCGCTATCTGGCCGGAATACTCGAACTGAAGTCATTCTGGCTCCAGTCGGGGCCCATCTTCGACGATGTGCTGCGCAAAGTGAATGAACACGTTTGCCAGATGCTCGAAGACCTTGACATCAAACAACAAGCCCAAGACGAAACCGAGTCCTTGATGGACTTTGACGGGCTCGATGCCCTGTTGACGGCATTGCAAGCCGGGATTCATGATATGACGCTCAGTCGCAAGATGGAGACGACGACACTGCAAGATTGCAAATGGTATCAGAGCGCAGAACAGGTTGTCTCATTGCTGAGATTGTATGTTTTTCGGAGGTTTAATTGTGTCGCTGACATTATACCTCAGTCCTAAAGCGGAAGCGCTGTTCCCAAACGCGCATGCATGGGCCATCACTGACGAGTTTCAGCGGTGGTTTCCGACCCCATATCGAGTCCAGGAATTCACAGTCGTCGTTCCTGTGTGAGGGTCAAATAATTTGTGCATATTTTGGTCGCTAATCCGCATTAAAGAACAGGGCGTGATGCGGAGGATCACGAATACTTCGACCAAGGAGGCCATTCGGTAGTAACCGAAGAGGATGACGTCGCGTCAGATGTGAGCTCGGTCTCAAGCGATGCGACGAGTGTTATATCGAAAGAAGCACTGGAGGCGGAACCACAGGCAGCACCGTCCATAAGAAGAAACACAGACAATGAACGATCGGCAACGAGCGAGTCAAGAATTGACCCATTTGATAGACGGTTCTTTAGCTATGAAGACAGGGATGAGGAACGGGATAAAGCGAGGGGCACGTATTTGTTTGGTCGGGAAGTGGACGAACGATTTCGAGAGGCAGGCCTTCCCCTTGGGCCACCGCCTGTGCCTGGCGCACCGATTCAGAAAGCCCGGCCAAAGATATCTGCGCGTTTTTTCAAAAGGATACGATAATGTCCATCCGATGGAATTAGCAAACGAGTGTTCACAGCAGGCAACATTAACAGTGTTGACTTCAACTCATGTATTACTAGTAAGCCATTGCACTACTTGCTCCCAAAGCTCTTGGTTTTTGATGTGAGGAAGGAATGCCCCGATCGCCCCAATATTGTGGGTTCGCATGGCATGAGCAATGGGCGTATTCGGAGGCAGTTGATGATCTTTTTTCTCGACCGTCGAACCAGCACCAAACCATAGTAATTTCTCCACCAAATCCTCGATAACGTTTCTATTATCCAGTTTGAACACTTTGTGTAGGGGCGTTTCACCACGGTTATCAGCAGTGGTGGGATCGGCCCCGCGTTCAAGGAGGAGTTGGACGATTTCGTTCAGAGGATCGCCATTGCGAGGCCGTAGTGAATCAAGCAGCGCGGTGCTTCCGAAAATGCCTGGTGCATTTATGTCGGCACCAGCGTCGAGTAAAAGCTTGACAAGTTCTAGAGACCTGGAGTCGGCCACAGCGACGTGAAGAGGAGACACATCGTTGAGTCTCCGGAAGTTGGGGTTTGCTCCAAGTTGCAAGAGCAGTCCTATGATGGAGGGCTCGAAGTCCGTTTTGAACATGGCCTGTAAAAGAGGAGGGTAGAGGTAGTTGTAATCATTGTCCTCGCAATAATCAACGTCGCAATCTTCATGAGCTCCAAGGAATTCCAGAGCTCCGATGATTTCAAGAGAGCCTCTTGCAGCTGTGGAGAAGGCCCGTCCGATGTACATACGCCTTGTCTCGGCTCCACTTCCGGTTCGCTGGATCACCCCATTGTGGTTTGCGAAGAGGGGCGAACGGTCATTACGTCCTGGAGCCACCCGGAGAGGAATAGGAGCAGAGGGTGGAAGTATTGCGGCCAACACCCGTACGACATCACTGTAACCATACTCAACAGCCAGATCGAGGGCGGTCTTATTGGAGTCCAAGCCCAGTCGTCCGTAAGCCCACGTTTGCCTGCGCTCTCCGTAGACATCCAACAATTTCTGGACCATTCCAACATCTCCCAAAGATGCCGCTACATGCAGGAGGCCATATATATCATCTTTGAAGACGACCTCGAAGTCTAAGTCCACTCCAGCAGCACTGAGTTTGTCCAGAACGTCTTCTAATTGGTGCTCAACGGCAAAGAGAACAGAGAGTGGACCGAGTGTCTCGTTCTTTGAGCAGATGTCGTACAGAAGCGGGTTCACGATACTATCCAGAGACTTGCAAGTTCTGGATAACGCGTTGATTGAAGCGAGGTCGGGTAACAACGCTAGCCTTGGTTCCAAGCGCTTGAGGGGATAGTAGATCGACCTGTGTTGCGGTAGACGAGCATCAGGGTCAATAACAGAGAGATGACTGACAGAGGACGCGATATGGAGTATCAACTCGACAGGAAGGTCAAGTAGGACCGTCATGGGTTTGTTGAAATCGATTATCGAGAGCACAGCCATCATGATGGAGTGATCGCCGATTCCAGCTTTTTTCATGACCACCGAGACGACAAAGCTGAAGGCGAAGCTTGGGGCGCTTGACGCGTCTCTAACGAATCTAGAGGATGCTATAGCGCCTCTACTCGAACAGCCCTTCGCAGAGACCCTCGCTGACCTGACTGCTCTCGAACGCGCAAAACTGCAAACTCTGGTGCCATATCTTGTCTATGACCTCGTTTTCAGTTTGTTTCCTGTTATATTCGTCGCATAGAGAATGCTAATGAGGGTGCATATAGTATACCTCAAGGCACAAGGCTTGGATCCAAAGACCCATCCTGTTGTGGAAGAGCTGGTGCGTGAATCTGTTCTACACATGAAGCTTTTGTCTTACACTCGAGCAGAATCGTGTCAAGGAATACTTTGGGAAAATATCGTCTGCAGAGAATCCAGAGACGCCGTCAACACAGCTGGACAAAGGTGCTGCAACGCGATTCATCAAGCATGCTATTGCCCGGGCGACATACGGAAACAAGGAGCCTGAAATCGAGGAAATACCACCTTCTACATTCGTGCCTATGAAAGTGACGGACAAGATGCGTGAACGGGAGGAGTATCAGAAGGAGCTGGCGAATGAAGGAAGTGAGGAAGAAGACAGCGATTTGGAGATCATCAACGAGGAGGAAATGTCTACAGTGAAGGATAAAGGAAAGGGCAAGGCTGTCGAGCAAGAATTGGAGTCGAAGCCGGAACCTGTCATGGGCAGCAAAAGGCGAAGACCTATGGCCGATCCGTTTGCTGGTATGTTTTTAGCACTCATTTTTTTTTCGTCCGCTGATGAGCATATTAGGTTATGGGGACGATGAAGTTGCTACAGCGCTACATGAGGAAGGATCATCCAAAAGGTCAAAGAAGAAAAAGAAGGGCATCAATACCGAAAAAGCGACCAGCACGGGCGAAAACAACTCCAAGTTGCCCAAGAAGAAGAAGAAAGCGGAGAAGTGATCATAAGCATCGATACTCGAAGTTCTGGTCTGTGTATTGCTGCAGTATGTGATTGCCTCAGCTTACTGGCTCAGATTGATGTTCAAACAAGAACGGAGGAAGATGTTTTCAGACCCAAGGCCATAAATGGAAATTTCAAGTTTGTGGTGATCAGTTGGCTCGTGTTGTGATCCAGCGTCCGTTGTTTACTCTACTACCATTCGTCCATACACGCACCCCCACCAATGAGCGAGGAACGCCCAAGACCACCCCACTCTCCACCAGAGTTCTCACAAGATCACGCCTCTCAAGCTTGGGGGAAAGAGAACACTGCTGAACCGGTCAATGTAGATTATAGCGCCTCCGCCTACGTTCCTCCCGATACAATGTTCGAGCAGAGTATAACCAATCCCGAAACAATGGCAAGTCTTGGGTGGTGACACAGTGGTTCTGTTTGCTCACGTCAGCCTAGCCTGTTCCGTATCGAGACTGGACGTTGGAAGTCGCCGTCAATCCTGTTCAAGCAGAACGGCTCCTACACTTACTCCAAGCCTACGAGAGGACTGCGATGTACCAAAAGGCCACCGTAGAGCTGCGCCTGCACGAGACAGTCCTCTTTCTCGACTTGCTTCGGCATCAAGTTGAGCTTGCAGCGAAGAGAATGCAGGATGTACAACTGGCAGTTGGCAGAGCCAAAGCAGTGATGAGTGTATATGGCTTGGGAGTTCAGTCCCTGCCCCCACACTTGTGTATATTGTCATGGAAAACTCTGACACTTATCTCTTACAATGCATGTATAAAAAGTCGACATTTTCGAGGCGTGACGATCTTACAACTCAACTCGTGACAGTATTTGCCTGTTCTGAACTACCATGTCTTCAAGAGATACTTGCTCCCCGCGCTACTTTCCCCTCTCTTCCCCGCCTCATTCAAGATAATAGCGATGGAGATGACGGTCCTGGAGCGAAGAGGACATCGACCAGAATAACGATGAACACGAGGAGGAAGAAGACAGCAATTTTGCAACGATATCCAGAGCCTGAGGACCCTCCGCCTCCAAGTTGAAGAAGACGACTTCAACAGTATTTCCCAAGATGATTGGCTCAAATGGCTCTTCGCTCTTATCTAAATTCGAGTTTCTCGAGCAAGTGGCAATCAAATTCAAGCGCGTTCAAACCAAGGGCCTCGAGGCAATCCGTCGCATTCCGACAATACGAATCCTCGCCATTGACGCCACTCCCGCCGCAATGAGACTGCCAGCACCGGTCAAATATCTCTATGGCGCAACGTCTCCACGACATCGTCAACCCGAACAAGTAACACGTCTCATGCAGTTATTTGAATCCAAAAGACGCGCTTTGCTATGCGTTCAATCAATAACTTGTGATACTCATTTAACGATGCTAACCGCAATTTCCACGCTACATTAAATGGGTTGCGGAAAATTCACGGAAATGCGAGCATTCTGCGAGCCATCCTTTTCCACCGTCATCGACACGCCAGGCACACCGTTGACCGTTGTATTCGCCCACGAGATCGCTGGATAGCCGGTAATGAGCTCCAAATTGATATTCTCGAAGACCATCGGTTTGCTCGGGTAATCGCTGGCCTTTACAGCCCCTTCTTCCTCGACACTCAGAACTAGCTGCGTTGGGGGCAAGTCGAGGACGAAGCCAATCTCCATTGGCAGCATTTCCGGTATGCTGGGGAAGAATGCCTGGTACCATATGGCTCCTGGGGGAAGGTCCGTCGCGGGGTCGGGGCTGATCGACATTGACAGAGAGTCGCCAGCGTTGAGGCGGGCAACGAATCCTATCGTGACAACGAATATAAATCCAGGCTGTGTGTCAGAAATGTTTTCGACGAGTAATATCGCCGTCCAGAATGGACCGCCTTGAGCAGGGCTGCCGCCGTACTATATTAATGTTTGAGCAGAGCAGCACTGAGTGGGAGGCAACTGACCTGGAGTGCGGTTTGCATGAGCGTAATGGGCGTCCCCTTTTCGTCAAGCTGCTGAAGACCAGGGCCAACGAAAATGATCTGGTTCTCAAATGTCGTGGGCTCCGGGGGTACTGTGGCCGATGCATTGAACCATTTGATGCTGTCTGGAGCATTCAATGTCACGAAGGTCTGGCTTGTTCTGAGACTGGCGTCTTGTCGAGCAACAGTCGCCGTCTGCTTGTTGAAGAAGGTATGGATGAGGGTGCCGTTGCGTGAAAACAGGTGAAAGTCTCTGTTCATTTGTTGGAGCCGCGATCCAGGTGGCCCATTGAATATTGGTTTGCCAGAGGGCGTATAGCCCACCGGTTGGAGAGCAAGAGCCGTGTTCGCGAGGAGTACGGCGGTAAGAGAGCGAAATAACCTCATAGGATGAGATGTTGGAGCGACTTTTGCAGCAGAGACAGTCTTAAATAGTGACTTGACGGGTGAGTTACTGTCCCCCGTCTCCCCAGATTTTAAGCCCGCTGTGAGAATACTTATGGGAGTCCAGAGCAAAATCGGAGTTGTTGTCAGCGAACTAGGTCTTTCGTATAGAATGCTGTAAACCTGGAGCTTGTCCGCATCTTCGAATTGCTAGCGTTCCGAAATGTGCTCCATTCTAGGGCAAATAATAGCTGTTGATGGATAGATCTGGCATGACCTTCACAAGGTAATACAATACAATACTTGGACTACCACTGGTATTTGTGAGGCAGTTTGAACTTGGAGGGGAACCACATACTTTGAGTATTGAGGAATTTAAAGATGATGACGATAGAGACGTTAGGACTACATATTGGTTTTCGAATTCTTCCTTCCACTTCGAAAGAGTGCGGCTGTTCCGAGTCAATGTCTTGCTGTCTTTCAGCTCAAGTATGTAAAGACAATCATTGACCAGAAAATATATTTGCGGAGTGGAAGTTCATGAGTTCATAGTTTGGTCATAGCAGTTGGCATTGACTGGGACTTGATCGTTACGGCTGTAAGATAGTAAAAGAGTCAGCAGCGAAAGACAGATTTCGTCTTGCTGAGACTTGCTCATGCCCTCATTTGCGATTGGAGCGCCGATGTCGAGGTCATTCATAGGGCAGTGCATCACGGCGTTGGTGTACAATCGATGAACGCGTGTCGAGGAAGAGAAGTTCGGCAACCAGATAATTTTGACGGAGGAGTGGTGATCCAGAACTTTAAGGCTCTCTCAATCGCGTTGTAGCCACAGAAACCAGCTAAGGGGCGATGTATATGGTCACTATGGACGTTGGACCGAGAAGAGTGCTAGTTGCTGGGGTGCCGCACTGTTTACGGTGACCAGGCCTCAACCAGGCCTACAAACGCCGAAAGTTGATTTGTTGGTTGCGGCAATTCTGTTCTAGCGCTGGTCTGAGCGACTCAGAGCGAAAGAAAGGTCTGAGAGAGGGAAGGAAGGATAAAGAAGCGGAAGTGAACGGCAAGAAAATCTAATTGTTGCCATGATTGCTTTGAGCATGCTCGCGTGATAAAACCTTCTTGCTCTTGACTTTTGCTCTACGTTCTCTACAACTCACCCACACGCCAGACAGCATCTTAGCAGCTTCTTCCACCTTCTCTCCCGCTCTTCCTACACCCAACCAACCCGTGATCTCCAGCCTCGAGGCTCCGGGACGGCAGTCGACCTCGTGTTGAATGGGATGCAAAGCAGTCCTAGCCATCGGTTTAGCACGGTGACGGACCCTCGTCGTAAACTTAGGGCAAGCCGCCAACAGGCACAAGACTTTGTCTTTGTCGAGTCCAATATTCCTACCGACCCTAACACGATGGATGCCGCTCGCCGCCCACGAATCAACCAGCAGGATGGCCCGTGGAGCGTCAGTGTGGCAGAGTCGCCAGAGGACCAGCGCTCCTACTCTATCTACATAAAAAGTGTGTGTTGTGGCCACTCACCGACTGTTGACCTCCGAATAACTTTTTCCAGCTCCCACCCACAATCTCACCCTCACACGAACAGCCCAAGAGCTTTTCGACCTGGATAGAAAGCTGCGAGAGTCGCATCCGGGCACCAAGCTTCCCGATTTGCCAATCGACTCGTCCAAGCGAAAGACCAAGTCTGTCTTCCTCAATACACTCTCCCGACTTGCTTCACCAAGCACCAACCGCACTTCCCGTGCAACATCCGCCACAAGACGCACCCCCGTTGCCTCCCCCCAAGCGGAAACCACTGACCCCTTCCTCTCTTTTGGGCCGAGCGAAGGCCCAGTTACCCCATCACCATCTCCTTCTGGTCAAAGTACCGCATTGGCCGCATATCTTACGACCGTCAGTAATGCCCCTACACTCCGTCAGGCCCGTGTTTGGAAGCGATTTGTCCGTGTTCGGACCGACGACTTAGAGAGTGTGAGGGTCGAGCGAGCAATCAAAAGGGTACGGAGCGATCTTGCTTCGCATACTGGCGGTGGACTTCGTGGTAAGGAGAATATCGCGGTCGATGCTGGGATCAAGGAAGATGAATCGCCCGAGCCTACACCAGTGACAGCGACAGCAACAACAGAGGACACTGCTAAAGAGGAATCGCAACCTGACCCTCAGCCGTTGTCTGCTGAAGAGCCACCACCCCCACCAGCGGACGCGGAAACAAGCTCACTTCGTGAAGCCGCAAGGATACCTCGTTCTCAATCCGCCGACCCGGACAGGTCTTCTCGTCTCTCACGCGCTTTTACCAACCAGGAGGCAGAGCAAACCGATCAGGAAGATATGACTTCTTCGCAAGCCGGCGAAACAGAGGACGACTCGAGCATTTCCACAACAGGAAACGACTCGCGACCCAAGAAACGTAGTTCCAAGAAAAAATTACGCGGAATATCGGTCCCCCGAAAGAGCAGTCGTAAGGTCGTCATTGACGACTTCGACATGATGCGGGTGTTGGGCAAGGGCTGCGCGGGCAAAGTTCTCCTCGTCAAGCACAAGAATACCTCCGATTTGTATGCGCTCAAGGCCATCACGAAACGTCACGTATTAGCTCACCAGGAGCTTCAGCATACGCTTACAGAGCAAGCTGTTCTCAAACGTATGGCTGCGGAGAACAAGGATCCTTTTGTGGTCAAGTTGTGGTGGAGCTTCCACGACAAAGAGAATCTTTTCCTTGTTATGGATTTTCACCCAGGAGGCGATCTCGCAACACAACTTGCACGCTGGGGTCGTTTAGGCCGTGACCGCGCTCGGTTTTATGCCGCCGAAATCGTCGAAGGTGTCGAAGGTCTCCATGCGGCTGGCGTAATCTACCGGGATCTCAAGCCAGAGAACATTCTGATTGGCGCTGATGGCCATATCGTTTTGACTGATTTCGGGCTCTCAAAAGAGTTCCCACGAAGGACGACCGCGACAACAGCACCGACAACACCGACCGGAGCTCGTGAGTTCGGTAGCACCGGTGCTTTGCCTGCTTCTCCCCCATGGTTACGTCCGGAGAAGGGCGGAGAACTTGCAGCTGGTTGGCCTGGCCAACCAACGGGTCAAGCAGCCGATACGACCACCACATTTTGTGGCACTGCCGAGTATCTTGCACCAGAGGTCATCCAAGGGCTTGCATATAGCTATGAAGTCGATTGGTGGAGTTTCGGGACGATGTTATACGAAATGCTAACCGGAATAGTGGGTTTCTTCCTCGTCTCTCTAAGTCTGACTGAAAGCTCGCATAGACACCCTTCTGGGCCAATAATCACTCTGACATGTATGTTCGAGTGTTACAAGACGAACTGCAGTTCCCCGATGACCGCGCTATGGACCAAGACACCAAGAGCTTGATTCGGGGACTGCTTCAACGGAATCCTGCACTCCGAATGTGTGAACCGCGGATAAAACGGCATCCGTATTTCTCCATGATGTGTGTTTTGCATCAGGACCAATATCATATCGCTCATTCCCTTCCAGAGATTGGTCCCATGTCTATTACAAACGCTATATTCGTTCGTGTTGCTAATTTTGGGTGTCTGTCTGTTACTAACGCTTTTTTAGCCCCGTATATTCCTCCCATTGATCCGTCCAACGCAAGCGATACCCAGAACTTCGATGACACTTTCCTCGATATGGAACCGGTATTGGACGCGGCGGATGACGATGCAATGGACACTGATCAGGAGCCCGCGACGGACACTGAGCGAACTGACGGCGAGGATTCTAACACCACACCCTCGCAATCACGCAGCTCGTCAATACAAATACCAAACGGGCAGGCGGTCACGGGACCAAAAGAGGAGGACGAGACGGTGGACGTGTTTGATGGGTATTCGTTCAAAGGGCGGCATTCGGTCCTGATCGACGATGAAGAGGATGAAGAAGAAGGAAGTGGTAGTGAAGAAGTGAGCGGAGAAGATGATGATGATGAAGAGGATGTATTGCGCGATGTGGATGTCCAGTTGGAGCCGGAAGCGCCGCAAGAGACTGGTGATATTGAGGAGACTGTCGAAGGGCCTGAGGAGGATGCAGAGCCAAAGACACCTGAAGCGAGGCCAGTGGTGCCTGCTGGGCAGGTTCCGCCGATTGAAAGCGAAATTTCTGAAGAGCCTCGAGAAGAAGAACCAGAAAGGAGTCAAGATGTCCCGACTTCTGCACCTCCTCCGGTCCCCGAGAAGCCCGCAGCCCCAGAGGTCCCCCCCAAATCGGCAAAACCTCCCAAGCGTCCAACGCGTCGCGAGAAATCAGGGGTTGCAGCCCTCGACAGGCGACTTCCCGAAGACGACCTCGAGAAAGACTCAGAATTCGACGAAGAAGACGAAGACTGGGACTTTATCGATGCTGTTGACGGAGAAGACAGGAATGGGGCGAGGGGCACAAGTCTGTTTGCCCGTGGAGTTGTGGACCGGTATCGACTGGCTGTCTTCCGCAAAGCATCCACGCCGAACGCCAGATCGGTCTCGGGTCTCTCACAAGCTGACACAGAGGCATCAACGCCAGGCGGGTCCCCTTCCCCTTCACAGCGTCGTGGCCGGACTGGGGCTGGATTGACCTTCCGAAAACAAACGAGACAATTCCTCCGGCCCAAGTCGCCGGCAGTACCACCATCGTCCTTCTCGTCCAAGTCAAGTAGCTTCACGGCTGGTGGCTTGCTCACACCGGCGACATCAATCGCGGCTATCTCGCCTTCACTCAAGTCAAAAGAGTCGGCGATGTCGATGGGAGCGTTGAGCTCAAGTTCTGGCGATGGCGAGAACGGGGGGGTGCTGTCGGACAGCGGACCGTCCCTTTCCAGAGGGCGAGCGGCGACTGGGTCTTCTTCGCCCGAGACCGATAGGCGGAAGAGCGGTGGGGGCGGGAACAAAAAGCTCAAAAAGTACAAGGAGAACGCGGAGAAGGTGTTTTCCTTCCTGTCGTCTCCCCGCGAGCGCGAAAAAGACAGGTCGTGAGCGGTTTGTTTTTTCTTTTTGTCTATGCGCTCCTCTATGCAATGAACTCGACGACCCGTTATCTTAGCATTCCCTTTTAAATATCCATCGCAGAAACACCAACACACGTACCACATTCCTTGCTCAAACGTTGACCCTCGTGGTGGCCTGGCGGTGGACATGCAGGCATATTACTCATTTGTTTTCCCTTTCTTTGGTCTCTGAATATCTCTAATTTGTCTCGTTGCTTTCGATAGTTTTTTTTAGTTGTCATAGAAGAAAAGAAAGAAGTCACTCATTTATGGAATTTCTGCAGCTTGTTGTTGTACTGATTCCAAAAGCTAGAAACTACAACAAGTTTGTCTATCTAATGCTCCGTACTACTAAGTAAACTTTCCAACACAGGTAAAGAAGGGGAAAGAGAAAAACCAAGAAAGTCTAGAAAAGCAACTCGACTCCATTGATTTACGCGCAGCCATTCGGCGGTTGCAGCAACTTGAGAACCATTCCTGATGGACTTCGACGGACTAGATATTCTCTACGCTGTCCTGTTGTCTGGAATTCGCGATCTTGTAGTTCTCCGTGGCGTCGAACCAGCTTTGCAGCAAGAATGGTATCAGAGCACACTATAACTCATGTCTTCCCTCAGATTGTGCGTTGGCTAGTTTCTTCTTGTCGTGGTCTTCGTATTTGAACTTGTCATACAAGTCCAAAGGCCGAGGCACTACTACCAAGGGCACATGCATGGGCCATCAGCAAACAGTTCCGGAGTTGGTTCCGACGCCGTATAAGCTCGAAACCTTCACGGTGGTGGTTCCTTCGTGAGCAATTTATGGATGTTATCTGGACCTCCTGATGACTTAGAGGAGACGATGTTCAACCAGATGACGAGTGCGGTCTGGCTTAATAATTTTTCTGGCTCACTCGACTGCAGCTTAGTTTCGGGGGGACGATGATTCACTACGAAGGACGTTCGACTTTGACGCGGAGAGGTACCCTCTTCCTCCGCATGCGACCCGACCATGTACGCTTCATTTCCATTCCTGATGGCATTCCGCGATTGACAAGGAGCCAAAAAGTCGAATCTCCCACACCCCTCCCTCAATATATGATGCTAATGGACGACGAAGGGTATTTATTCACTGCAACTCTAAACCTCTTTTTGATAGCTCACTCGAACAGCCAAGTGATCCCAGGTACAGTCAGGAAGCTCAATTGGGATTAGCCACAAATGACAATGGGGCAGCAGCAGAGAAGAAATACTACGTAGCCAGATTCAGAACCTTTTGCTTAATCCCAGCATCATCTGCCACATGCGTTCAAGGGCAATCGGAACGATTTATATTTCAGCTCTGCGGAAGAGTATTTCGTAAATCTTGAGAGGCCTAGAATGGAATCATTCACGTCTAAAACAAGTCAGTAAGATAAAAATGTACAGAAAGAAAGGAAAAACGGGAACCACCCGCAACTGAAATAAAAGAAGCCAGAGCTGGTTAGGCTCTGAGATGGGAACCACCCACCGGAAGCGACGCAAAGTGGTGAGCTTTGCCCAGAGTGCCATTCGATCCACGGCAGCCACTAGGTTGATCGACCATCGGGCCCCTTGCCAGAGAGTTGGCACGCTCGCCACCGCTCGTACTCCCATTTGCGCCGGAGCAAAAACAAAGAGAGCCGGCCGCGGGTGGATGCGCCCTCGTCTCCCGGTCATCCTCGTGCATATTGTCCAACTGACGCCCCAACAATGCGAAACGAGGGAATATATCGAAGTTGCGCGGTGGCAACTGGAGCATTCGTCCTGAAGCTGGGATTCGCGACATCCAGTCGGTTTGAACCACCACCACGGGGGGTCGTTCCGTGGTTGCCTCTATTTGTCCTGGGTAAGCAGAGCCAATAATGGTTGCTTTCACGAAGTCTTTTTCGTGCTTCACGTTCCTATACGTGGCACCGCACGCGCTGGCGGTGTGGCAAAAGCACTTTTGCTTCGCCGCAGACATTTCAATCTGCCTTCACGGAATTCTACCGTGGTCGGGCCAGCCCTCGGCTGTGGCGCCCTCACGTTTACAACGTGTTGCGGATGTCAACCGCGATGTTCTGTACAAGAACATTTTCTCCCTTTCCAAGAGAGCTGTCGGCCCTTCGCGAGGACTGTCGCATCGATTTCGTCGATATAGCGACTGACAGATTCAGTCCAAGAGAGTTGGCACGACTCCAGGTGGCAATTCGTACTCCAGGTGTGTGAGGAGCCGGGTAAAGCGGGGAGTCGTCCTCGTCGTCTCGGGCAGCTTCGTGTTGTTGACGGAAGCTGATGTGGCCAAGGCCAACGACACACAGATGGTGGTCGGGACAAAAAGAGGTCGAGGTGACAACGTGTCACCGGTAACGTGATCAACTTTCTTCCAAATGCGTCAACATGAATCATTGTCTGACTACATTCCAAAGCCATGTCTAGTGTACGTCTACACTACCAGGTGGATGCACGAAAGAGACAGTATCCATGTCGACTCCAAATCGAACACGGTCATCCACAGCAAGCAACTCTAAATCCAGCAGGTTACGGTCCAAGCAACTCTCCAAATCCAATCCAAATCCCAACCAAACGAGCTAGCCTTTATCTACGAGCTAGTCGTTGAAACAATATCAGCGGAAGCTTTGAAAGCGACTGCTTGAATAACTCGGAATTCAAGTGCAAGCCGGCGCGATCATGGAGGTGAGGAAAGGAAGGGGGGCGGTGCACATATTCCAAAGCCCTCGTACTTTCTCCCCAGCAAGCAAAAATAATCCATTATATGCGGAAGCTCCAAACGCGACTGCTTGAATAACTCGGAATAGCGAATCTCTGATTCAAGACGACGCGGTTATGGAGGTGATAACAAGGAAGTCGAAGAAAAGAAAGTTGGTGGTGGTAGTAGTGCTTTTTTCTTCCGCAGCCTTGCCCGAAGTCCTCTCAGTGCGATTTCGGACGATAATTTCTGCTTGAAAGTCAGGACCGGCGGCAGTGAAGGCGATCGCAAGCCCCAAATACGAGCAGCACTTGAATACTTACTGAGATAGTCAACAAATGAAATCTCATCTGTTGCTATCACATCCGGCAGAACTCGGCATCGGGATGAGTAGTCACCACACCGCCCAACGGCTCAGTAATGGAAGCAGGTAAGTGCCTGTTGGAGACACTTGACAACCATTTTATTACCCTCTCATGATCAGGATGTAACTCTCCGTCTTCGAGCTCCAACAAGGCCATGGAAATGACCCGTAATCCGCCGAGGTCCTTTAAATTGTCGGCAAAATAGATCAGAAAAAGCAAACTAGTTTGTTCGAAAGGTTCAAATATTCTGAACGACACTATTCGAAGTTCAAGGCAGGAGTCTAGGGCACACCTCTCTCTTGTGTCTTGACAACTTGAAGGTCATCAGCTCTATTCTATGTCGGTGTGAGTCGGCTCAGTCGGGACGACACGATTCTGACACGAATATCTACATTGCTTCCACTGGCACTCCAAGCTCCAGCGCTTCAAGTTGTTCAATTGATTCACAAACGCTCAACTGGGATATACGACTGCAAATTCTCTCAAGACGTGTAATACAGCACTTGTCAACCACTCATAACCTCAAGCTTCGTGCTGCGCATCACCCAAGGACTGTGTTGACTACTCCCAACAAATATATGATCATCATGATCTGGAGATTCTTGACTCGGAAAGGCGCAATGCTGGCAGCGACCGCATGAGATGCTGGGGAACGTCAGCGCAGTTCAACTTCGGAATCCATCTTGATTGGTTGCCATTGTTGCTCATGTTCCCATTGCAAGAGGACCTTTAAATAATGGCTCCTTGCCTGTCACTGTGATTGTCCGGAAGTCGAAGTCAAGCCAAGCATCTAGGGACGAGCTGGGAAGAGTGAGCTTCTCTCAAGAGCCAACACCATAACACGGATCACTCTGGAAATCGTTCAGCGACGGCTTTGCTGCGGATTGATCACAATAATTCAGCATCTGCAACAACTCTTCACTTTCCGGAACACGAAGAGCTATCAGCGCCGCTTTACCGGCAATGCCTTCTCAAAATACTCCAATTCTCTATTTTTGTATGCGATCCACACAAGTCTTCCTAAGATCTTATTGCGAATTGAATGTCTTTGCAGTTTCTCTTTCTCACAGCGGGCATGAACCTTCGCCAAGTACGAAAATCGTGGACTCGGAACGGCATTCACCATCATCCACGAATATAAATCAACGTTTGCGATATAAGAGCGAGCTTGAACGCTGTTTAATTCGAGCTATGCAGATCTTTCGCACTCTCACCGCTGTACTCCTCGCCAATACCGCTTTCGCACTGGTACCCGTTGGTCATACTCCCTCTGGCAAACCAATCTTCAATGCGCCGCCTGGCTCGCGCGTCCAGCAAATCGGCAGAGACTTCCATCTCTTTGCGCGCAACGGAACCCTCATTCACACTTTTCTCCACAAAAAAGCGACGAGGCTCGCTCGACAATCAGACGATACGAGTCTACGAACGTCTCAGGCCATTGTGACAGTGGGCCCAAACGACACAATAGCGTGGGTGAACGCCTCGGTAGTGGTCCCTCCCCCCGCTGCGACATACGAAAGCCAAATCATCTTTGTTGGCCCGGGACTCCAACAGCTCGACGCGAACGGCACGGCCATCACACTCTTGCAGCCTGCGTTGCAGGTCAGTCGTTTTCCGCATCTTCTTTTAATGGAATGTTAACATCCACAACTCAGTATGGCGCCAGTTTTGCCCAAGGCGGTCCCTTTTGGACCGCTGTGTTGCTCATTGAAGAACCTCCCACCGAAGGATTTGGCTTCATTCTGACCGTCGGGTTGGACCCCCGCGTCAACACTGGCGACCGCGTTTCAATGGCGATCGGCCCCGACCCAGCGACGGACCTGCCGAAACCGTTCATCTGGTATCAAGCCCTTTTCCCGAGCATACCAAACCTGATTCCGTTCGAACTTGGATTCAACCCCGATTTACCTCCCACGCAGGCGGTGATAAGTCTCGAGGAAGAGGGGGCTTTCGCAGCCAGCGATTACCCCAGCGAGCCTGTCGTCTTCGAGAATGTCAATCTGACGCTGACCACCGGCTTTCCTGAAGTTTCATGGAATACGGGCGTCAATGGTGCCCCTGGGGTCTCGTTCACGGTCGAGAAGGATGGGTCGCAGAATGCTCGTATTTCTCTCAGTTTCCCGCAGAGTAGTTAGACATTCTTATGTCATTGGTCTAGCAAGTACAAGCTGTGGAAGCCCATTATCGATCCTTCATCGCTGTTGAAGCTATTGATACAGATTTGTTCAGTTTTCTCTACAAAACGTTGACTTTGGGCCACTTATATTGCGGTCCGACCAGTTGCACACACATCCCGCCGAGCTTGTGGCCAGCCTCAACACATTCGTCGAGTGTCTTTCCAGCGACATAAGCACCGAGGAAACCACCAGCAAACGCGTCGCCCGCGCCATTCGTGTCGACGATTTGGTCGTCGGTAAGTGCATTGACACCGTAGATTTTAGGGTTTTCTGGTTCAGCGGAGGAGACCAGGACGGTCGATTCAGCGCCTTGAGTGATGACGACAATGCGCGGTCGTGATGCGTTGCTTTTGGGGAGGAGGGCAATGGCTTTGGCAACGGCAGGCATGTCTTTTGGTTCAGCGAGACCGTTTGCGGCGGCCCAAGCTTCAGCCTCTGCTTCGTTTCCAATGACGATATCGCAGAAGGGGATGATTTGCTGGAGCTGGGAGCCAAAGAATTGGGCAATGAATGGCGCAGAGAAGTTGATCGCGAAGACCTTGAAAAAAGTTAGTTCCGAGTTGGGAAGTTTGTGAAAAGAGCGGGCCTTGGATGCTGCAGAGGCCTTTTGGCTGAGATAGACAATGCTTTCTGTGCCATGTGTGAGGAAGTATCCCTCGACGTAGAACACTTTCGCGTTTTCAATCAATGGCGCGACGAGTTCTGACTTCAAATGAGCGATATTGAACTTTTCCGCCGCCCTCAAGTTGGTGACCAGAGACCTGCACGGATTGTAAGGTAAGCTGAAACAGAATAGCGAAGAATAACCTGCTTACCGATGGTGACCCGTGATAACGACCGCGCAAGCACCTGTCTTCTCGCCAGGCAGCACATAGTAGACCTCCCGCAGACCCTCCCGTTTGTTTGCCGCTTTGAGTTGCTCAGCGAGCTCATCGTCGCCAACCGCACCGGTGTATACGACGGAGTCAGGCGGTAGGACATACTGCAAAAGCGATCAGCGTAAAATTATCGCTCCCATCGCTGACTCACCGCTGCCCCACGCGCCGCGTTCTGAGAAGCCCCGCCAGCGACATAAGTGATCTGGTAGTCCTTCACAATCTCGGCGTATCTGACTTGGGTTCAAAATACAGCCAGCAACGCGTGGTCGACTTGCATTGGCTCGTGCTTTTCCTCAGCGAGGATCGCGTCGTTGGCTTTGAGCTCGTACTTGGCAAGGAGGGCCTCGCCCTTGGTGACCTGCATGTCCAGCAGGGGATTTCCGATGCAGAAGAGTTCGTAGGGCATGGTGGCTAAGAAAAAGTTTGTGGAGAGATGTTGATCGGATGATCGAATCATGTGATTTGATTGTGATCCAAGAGCAAGTACGCCTACTACACGCGCCAACCATACGGAAGTTGCCCTAGAGTCAGTCCCCCCTTATGCTTATGAGACTAACATTGCTTCTTGTGCAAGTCGGCCCCATCACAATTACTGAGCACATGTCACACATCCCATCACGTAGCATCAAAAACTTGTGGGTGATTCATCTCGATAACGGCTCCATATTTTTCGACGATTCTTTCACTAGAATAAAGGTCAAGGTGCCCTCTCCGACGCTCGGTCCAACGGCGAGATGGCCGAGCGGTCTAAGGCGCCAGACTAAGGCCAGTTGCCTATGCAACACACCTTGTCGATCCATTCGATAATCTGGTCTTTCGGGGCGTGGGTTCGAATCCCACTCTCGTCACGTTTTGCTGCTTTCTTTGCTCGCCTTGCTGTGCGGCCGTGCATAATGTGTTTTATAGCAGCGGCGGTCGATGACTCTGTCTAGTCTCTCTTGTCACACACTCCCAATTCACTCTTTTTCAACTAGTCGTAGACGCCACCCACCTATCATCGAAACCTGCTGCTACTCCTAGGCTTGTTCTTATCTTCTTGCGCGCCGCAGCGGCGCGTCTAAAGATTCTCTTGGAGTCGATCAAACAGTTTGGATGCCTAATCGATTACATAGCTCGGATAATTGAGGTTACAATTCCCGCGCTCACGCGACAAGTGTATTCAATGTGTCCTCCGAATATGGCCGCGAGAGTTCAATGCTTACGACGATAGGCAGCAGTAAGTAGCATAGTAATGACACCATGAGAAACGACATCAAGTATATATTGCATGGCGGACTGTCTAATGAGCGAATAACCCTCATGTCTTTCTCCCAACACACGCTCAAGCTCGCGAATAATTTGGAGTTCCGTTATACAGATAGCGGTGCCCCGGCCTTGTCGACTGATTATACGACTTTGGTTGGAATTCATGGGATGGGGTTCAATGGAGGTCAAGCTGCTTGTGCTGTCTTAACATCGGAGATCTAATGCCATTTCAACAGACGGGTTTGAACGGGTTCATGAACACGCACACAAGAGCAACATGCGGACCATATTCATCAACCGACGCGACTACCGCGGCTCAACGCCGTACGCCGAGGAGGAGTTGGCCCACATACGGTCTGGGAAAGAAAGCATGTTTGCCGACTTGGGCCTGGAGGTCGCAATGGTATTGGAGTACTTCGTCGACGCTGGTAAGATCGGAGGCGGTGGAATTGTCGTGTTTGGATGGAGTCAGGCCGTGCTGTGGGTCTTGCCGCTGCTGGCGACTGCGGAAGCATTCGACGCAGGCTTGTATGAGAAGTTGGAGCCTCATCTTCGCGGTGTTGTGTTATATGGTAGGAGTCTTTAGCAATTCGTCGTCATTGACCCAGACGTCTTTAGACCCTGCCTTCAAAGTCCCAGAGTTTACACCGGTCTCAGACACTAGTGCCACAGCCGCCGATCCAGAGAGCGCGGGGAAAGCATTCGGGAAATGGGTTAGCGGGTATTTTCACCACCCTGGCGGCGTTCCGTCATGGGATGCAGCACCGACCCGGTATACCCTGGACAAATGGACCGCCGAAGAGGTTGAGCGATGGTGCGAGCTCACGGTGGGCATGAGGACTATTCCAACTAGGTTTGTGGCGGTTGCATTTGAGTATCAGGCTGATCTTCGCAGTGTCGAGGAAACAGCCCAGATGAATAGCAGTCTCGAAACGATGACCAACAGAGCCTTTTTCGACGATTCGATGATTTCGAAGCGCTTTCCTAGAGCGCATTTCCTATATCTCCATGGTACAGAGTCTCCCGCCTTGTGTGTTTCGGCGTATGTCGGCTTCAAGGAGCGGACTGACAAAGACAAAACCTCGAGAAGAGTCACATTCGCGGTGGTACCGGAGGCGAATCATTTTGTGAGTCGTTGGGTAGCCATATATCGCCTAATTTCCTTGCCAGATGCACTATGAGATGCCAGAGGTGTTGTTGCGGGAGATAAAGAGCGGTTTAGCTTAGGCTTAGCGTGGAAATATTTAGACCAAAAAGAATTCTGTCGAAAAAAGATCCAAAAATGGCCCGATCAATCCGAAGTTCTCGCTTGGTTTGCTGCTTGCCTTCTACCATGATGACCCCCTCCGAGTCGCTCAACCTGAACAGTCTGGCATCCTCTCTGCCCTCACACTCTCTCAATGCACACGCCGAGAAGGCCCTCCTAGACAACTTCAAAGGTCCGTTTCTCTTCTTTCATAGTACGTCACCTAACCCGTTGTCTAGCCGCTGCTCTGAGTATAACGACACTCTATCGCTCTTCACGCCATGCATCGAAGCGGGCATACAATGCTGGCTATGCTGCCGCCTGCCGAGACCTAATGGAAATGCTTCAACTCGGGGTGTCTGATTCCCAAGTACTCGTTGGAAAGAGTTCCGAGTCTGGGATGACCGTCGGACGGGTTATGGACTGGGTGGAAGCACGGTTGGAGGCTGTCAAAGCTCGGGAAGAAGAAGAAGATGAAGAAGATGGAGTTAACGCAACGGGTTCATCATCGAATCAACCACCTCCTCCCAGCAAGGTGTGTTGTGAATTTTCTTTGATTAAAAGCTTCGACTTATACCCCCAAAAGCCCTCCTCTTCTTCTCCCCCTGTCAATGCCACAACACCTGTGTCTCCTCCGCGCCCATCGATACCACTCAAACCGACCCGAAACACGAAACTGGTTTCGAGCCCGCCAACCAATCTTTCCTCAGCTCCACCCTCACCTGAGACCATGACGTTCCCTTTCGCAGAGAATGTTCCACCATTAGCACTTGCCGGCACCAAGCGTCGACACGCTATGATGATGATGCCCAATGCTCCAACCAGCTCGACCATCATCACCTCAGCGCCGTCTTCATCTTCCAATTCACCATTACCGATCTCGCACTCGCATTCCCAGTCTTACCGCCGTCGGACCCGAAGCACGCGCGGGCACGGTCTCTTCCCGCTGAATCAACCGGTGATAGATACCTTGATGGATGTCGAAGATGAAGGCGGTCGGGAGCGCAAGCGTATTGCCAGGCGTTAATCAGCGCTGTCCTCCTCCTCCACGACTGCTTTTCGCTCTTTTTGGAGTGGTCGTGTAGCACGTTGGGCCTCGCGGAGAGCAGGAAGCTGGTTTGGTGAGTTTGGCGTCGCTTAATTATCTTCCTTATCTAACGTTTTTTCAGATTTTTAGATGCCCGTGCATTCATGTAGTCGTCGTATTTCACCTAGGTAAACACACTGTACTTTATCCCACCATGACCCCAATGTCGATGAACAACGAATTGAAATAACGAATCAGTGTCTATGAGGCACTTTGCAGGTTTACAGGCAGCGTCATGATCGATGGGAAGCATCATTCAGATCCTTCTTTCCAACAAGAAATTACGAGGACTTCAGTGACTTCACGGAAGTCCACTGAATGCTGGCGATGGATAGCTTCCACAAGTCGACAGGCAGACTAATGCTGACTACAAGAAACGACCTGAAGGGCAAGGTTTCACCTCAAATCGAAGCAAAACGTGGATCCTCGCATGCGAAATTGAGAGACTTGCTCACAAAAATGTGTTTAATGACTGGTATTCAAGTCTATTATTGTCTGAGGCCACAACTTGTAGAGAGCTGGCACTAAAGTTGACCGACAGAGTCAGCAGAAGGTCGACAGACACTTGACAAAGACAAATGTAGTCCGTGTCAAGGTAGTACGGACCTTCGAGGTTAATTATTGTCGCCGTAAAGAGACATAACCAAGGGAGGCCATATTGTCCCAGTCACTCGAACAAAAGGGAGTGGGTCCAAGCTGTGATCTGATGGCATCAATTGCCAGCGATGTACCTTGGTTCGGACCGTTTAACGCCTTCTAACGCCGACTCAGCGCCACACCAGAACAAGCGCTTGAGCCTTGGGGCTTGCTATAAAAGTGTCAAGCTTCAACAGCCTTGCACCTTTTGATCCTACAAAACCTCTAACTTCTCATACGTATTTTATTCGAACTTCAAGTTGGCCATTGTCATGCCTTCACGTTCTAGTTCAAATTCACGCTCGGGCTCTAATAGAGTCACACGATCCGCCACTGCGACTAGACTCGGAGCTACAAATGAATCTAGTAGAGATTCTGAAAACTCTCCAACTAGTCCAAAGCTGGCCTCCTCAGTTCAGCGCTCGATGCTCGGCCTTGATGACCCGCTGGAATACAATTTCAAGGTGGAGATATTTCCTCGCTGGCATGATGAATGTGGCGCACATTTGTGACATCGTGCGCTCTCTTCGAGTCTGACCAGCCGTGGCTTACTAGTGCTTTTGTCCTGCAGGCAAACGAAATCGTCTGGATTCGTAACAACGACAAGTGGATGCCGGGTCGGATATTTCTGTCCACACCCAAATTGCGGCCCAAGGACGTACGTATATTCAAGTTGTCTATGGATCACCTGTTCCTTAATGACTCGTTCTTGTCGACAGAACTTTCTCTGCTGGAATGTGGTTTACCAGGACAAAGCCGGCCACAGGTTGCGAAAGTACTTTGCGCCACTGCTGGGAGAGCTGAAGCCGGACACGGCCAGCGTCCGCCAACTATTACAAGAGGCACATTGGATCTAAGGGAGCTTAGGTGGTGGTTGATGCCACAGAGTACCCCTAAGATCTAGAGTCATTGGAAAAACTCGCCCTCGACGATGAACAATCGGTAGCTATTCAGGTTGGCCGTAAAGATTGCCAGACAGCCCAGTGCTCAGCAATTTTGAGCTGAACGCGGAGTGGCGATGTTTGGCTGGCGGGTCAAGGGCACATATTTTCTCGAAGGGTTGTTATATAGAGACATATATTGTAGCAGAAGCTTTGTCGCTGGAAAAAGCAATCCTCTAAGTAACCGTCCGCTAACGCGTCGATTCGTGAATCGTGATTGGGTGTGACCGTAGGTGACCGTGATATCGTGTGACTTTTTCTCTATGCAAACCCCACGCGCTGTAGTCGCGTCGGTTGCACCAAGTACACATTATCGGCCTCAGCAGCAGCAACTACCCCCTCGGCATAATACAACAGACGGATATGAGCGTAAGACTCGATTCTATCGGGAAGACCACACGTTTGACGCGTCTTTCCAGGTTGGTACACAGAAACAACCCCACATAACCGTATGGTCCTGGCGCTCCGATCTGGTATTCACCACGAAATCCATTGGGCCCTCGAGCGCCTTCTTCGACTGAGCATCGGCGAAATCTTCTACTTCGAAAAAACACCCGGGCTCGTCGACGCGTTGTTTGACTGGCCGGAGTGGTACGTGAAGGAGGGCTACAAGGAGATGGGAGAGACATACCAGTTGTTTTCGCCGTCATCCGAGCTTGTTCAAAAGCGGCGTCATGCGCTCGACTCGCTCGCCATCTTGCGAAACGCTGCGTGGTTTGAGGCGAATACCAGAGAACTCATCTACCATCCGCGGTCAATGCCCCTCGTCTGTCTCGCATTGGCCAACCTGGACTGTGCGGTTGACGACCATGCCGAATTCTTGCTCAACGTCATGGACTTTTGCTACTGCTTTTCGGCGTATTATGTGGTCTATCCCAACCTCGTCAACACCGTCTGGAATCCGATTCCCCGTCTTTGCCACATTGCAGGCACAAGCAGTAATCGATCACTCATCATATCCGCACTCCTCGCTCTCAATATCTTCCTCACCAACCCGCAAAACATGCCACTCATCACGCCAAATTCACCAGCACTCGAGGCGTCGTTGCGCTATCTCCCGCTGGTGGTTGATAAAACGCTGCTGGAAGCGGTCTTGAACTATCTGTTCACGCATTTGTCCCACCCAACAATGGCGAAAGAGTTTTTACTGCATCCACAGATGCCGGCAACGGTCAAACTCCTCGTTGAGGTGCTTTTGAGCGAACAAGTCGAAGAGTCCGAAGATATTGTGGTCGAAGAGCCGAAGCATATCATCCCTACGGAAGCTGCTTTTGCAAGAGACTACGAGTTAACGAATCAAGATCGGGAAACTATCGTCAAACTACCGGAACCCCAACGGTGCTATACGTGGTATGCATATTCCTGCCGTTGAAACGCCTCTAAATCGAATCAAATTAGGATGAAACTGATGTTTGTTGCCAAACGGTACAGCGAGCTGACCCAGGTCGAATTCTGGAATCACTACGAAAAGGCCTTTGGCCCGCACAAGAGCCAATATCCGATTCTAATCGCTGCGGACGTAATTAAGAACGTCAGCGTCGTTTTCCCGTCTGCTCAGCCGATGGTGGAAAATGGCAAATTCATCGTTCGTGGGGTGGATAGGCGGAAAGTGTCCGGAACTGATCCACGGTTTACTTGTTTGTGGAATCGTGCTGGTTGTCGTACAGCGTTTTCAACTCTAGGCGAGTTATTCGACCATATTCTGGGCCATCTCGCCCAGCTCCAAGGCGCGGAGTCCCCTTGTTTGTGGGAAAGCTGCAGTCATGCATCGTTACCTCAAGCCGCCCTTCGACACCATCTCCTCACACATCTCCCCAGCCCTAACGTGCCACAAACACCAACATCGCAAAACGACCACATCACAACTTCGGGCGAATCGTACCCGATGAAGAACCCGACAACAAGGGAGCCACCGCCGATCAAGACGACACTGACCGTGCGCAAGGCAACGGGGAACCCGCCTTCTAACTCGCTCACCGCTTTGCTTTGCATTCGCATTCTGTTCCGCGGCTCATTTTCTGCGTTAGAGGCGGCGCCAAGGGCAGATGACGAACGATTTGGGTTCCCAGGGGTGTCGGAGGGCCCAGACGAGCTCGAGTTGGACGACGATATGTCCGCTGAGAAGGAGCGCGAAGGCGTGGCACGTGGACGGAAAGCGTTTTATGGAGTGCGGAAGTTGATGCAGAGGGTTAAGCTTGCTGACGAGCCGCTGATGGACTGGATAACGGAGATGGTGGATATTTTGTAGGGTTTTTCGTCGTCTTGTCTATGAGGTGGGTGGTCTATGATTTTGTCTCGAGTTTTGGCGCTGATCAACGATTTTTTTTTTGGTTGATGGCGTTCCCCGACCATCGCCAAATATAACTTGGGGGAACAGAAAATCCAGTCGTAGCCGCTCTTCTCAACAAACCCAGATGTAGCTCTTCCGATGTCAAATACCCCGGCATCGACCAGTCGTACCCTGAGCTCCGTTGTCATCTGGCTTTATGAAAATGGAGGACGGAGTATAGGACGGAACATACTGCCATTGGAGGAATTGGCCCTGGTGGGACCATGATGGCTCAGCCTTGACGAAGGCTCCCTGTTTCGTCACTGGGTCGAAGAATTGGTGCCAACATGGATTGTTACTATCCAGCGCGATGCTCAATCTTAACCTCACTTCTGTGAGCAGGAAGAGCAGATGCTTGCTGCGCCAGGTACCAGACGGAAGACTGAACTTGTACAAATGTCCGGAGTTTTATTCTGTCCCCGAAGCGCTAATAGTCGGAAACGTTGACCAATATTAAATATCTGGAGCGGCGCTCATACAAAGGACCGTGACGGATAAATCACCACCAGCGAGGATGGGCGCAAATGCGCCACTAAAACGACGTTTCAGGTATATTTGGCCACCTCGGTTCCACGCCCTCGTTGTGTGCCCAAATTGATTAAGTTGGAGAAGTACCGCGAGATGCGCATCAGGTAGTCGTTGGACCACTTGAAGAAAATCGACTCAATTTGAATGCCTCATACTACCGTGACGGCCTGGCCACGGTGCTCCTGTTTAGATCTAGAATCAAAGTGGTCGTTCTCGCTCGCGGATTCGAGGAGTCCGGCTTCGCAGCAAGTCCACAAAGCGACGCACGCATCGGATCTGGAGAAGGGTTGGAGAAAGAAGAAGTCGATTATTACGTGAGAGGTGATCACTTCGTGAATCGGAAGGCGTCCTCAAGCCATCCATATGCCTTACGGTACTACCGTCTTACGCAACCGATTTTCGTGTCAAACTTAGCGGAAGTCGCGCGACTCGGGCGCAAGAAAAAGTTTGTTTGCTTTGGCGCCGAGTTCGTTCAAAAACTCAAGGAAAAAACCGGAGAGATGGTCATCGTCTTGGGGGTCATTTATTGACAGCGGTGAGCCGCTAGAGACGATCGCAGAGGCTTGGAGGGCCGGTGGAGGGGGCGAGACCGAAGGCGAATTGAATGCGAACAAGAAACGACAAGTGTCAAGCGTGACATGTGACCGCTTCAAGGGTCAGCTGGATGCCTTTAAATTCGCCGACTTTTGGCGTGGTGGAGTGAGCCCACCCAAAGCCCCCCTGGTTTGAGCTTCTCTCCTTCTCACCACCACCACAAGAACAATGTCCGACGTCGAGAAAGGCCATGGCTCCTCCATTCACAATGTTGCGCGCCCAGTACCAGGCGCTCACATTGCCAACCCTGGCGCGCTTGGTCTGCTTGCCTTCGCGTCAACAACGTTCATGTTGAGGTAGGCTCACTGTTGGACTACTTCATATTCCAATAAAAACGCGTTTTTAGTTTCTACAACGTCCAAGTGGATGGTATCACCCATCCTAACGCTGTCGTTGGAATGGCGCTCTTCTACGGGGGTCTTGCCCAGTTGCTCGCTGGCATGTGGGAGTTCCCTCGCGGGAATACATTCGGCGCGACTGGTACGATATAGATTTTCTCTTCTCACGTCTCTCCCAAATTGACTATCGCTATCAGCCTTCTCATCGTATGGCGCGTTCTGGCTGTCCTATGCAGTTGTCCTTTGGCCCAGCTCTGGTATCATCGCCGCCTTTGAAGACCCCAAAGAACTCGACAAGGCGCTCGGCATTTACCTCTTCTCGTGGTTCATCATCACCTTCATCTTCCTGTGCGTTTCTTCTTTTTTGTCTTCTATCAATGTCCCCATACCCCATGGTCGTGGTTACCCCACATATTCTGGGCCCCATGTTTGCTTGGCTCTCCATTGCGAAGACCGGCCTCTGGGCACTGTCTGGACCTTTCCCCGTCCTCTCCCCGCAATTCAATGTCCCGCCAAAACCTCTTCTCCATTTGTCCATTATTTCCCAGAAATGACATATTGCCTGACGGGCGATCTCCTCTTCACTCTCCTACACGGTCTCGTCCAAAATTATCTTTCTCTCGTTCTCCTTTCTGTCTTTTCTGTCGGTCTCGATGACCGTCTTTTGCACAATTTGTCCTGGTTGACCCTGCTAGACCGTTGCTCGGTACTGGTATTCTACCGAGGGTGGCGGGATTCTAGTGCGGAGAGTATGATCCGACAAACTGCCATTCCCCGAATTCGCTCATCTTCCCCGAGTGTCATTCATTTCTACGCAACATTCCTTTTACCCGATGACTAACCATACCCCTCCAGGATCGTCTCGCTCCGCAAGTCCGTCGGGTTCATCACGCTGCTCTTCTGCCTGGACCTCACCTTCCTTCTGCTCGGCGCCGGCAACTTCGTCACCAACCACAACGTCCGTCACTCTATCCGCCGCCCATGTCATATCACGCTAACCGTATTCGACAGGTGACCAAGGCTGGTGGCGGAGTGGGCATCCTCACCGCGTTCATCGCGTACTATATCGGGCTCAGCGACATGCTTGCCGCCGAGCGCGCGGCTGTGATTGGCCTGCCCGTCGGTGTCTTTAAGCACGATTAAGTGAAATGGAGCGAAAAAGTTATAGCTTAGCACGACCCGCTATACCTGCCTTATGTGCCCCCTCTTATTGTACTCTGAATACGCATCTTAACACCGCCGAGTCCGTCGCTGTGTACCAGTTGTTTGCGCGCATGGTCGGTCATATGCTGCACGTGATCGCGGAGGAGGTGTGTGATCAGCCCCAGGATCAGGTCATCCACCCACACCTCTGAGATGATACTGCAGCATATCCGCGCAGAGGATGAATACAGCCGAAGAAAAATGCATATGTACTTAATTGAAAGCGGCTCAGTTTAATTTTGGCTCGCGGCCTTGTTAGTGCCTTGTTCTCGACCATCCTTCATGGCCGGAATCCAGATCAAGCGCCACCATCGAGCACCGCCTATGGGTCCAGCCGCCCACGAACACGTCTACGACTATAGTGAGTGGGTTTTGAAACTTTTTAGGTTTGAATTTTCGACCGCCAATTTCCAGCGATTTCAACAGCCATGTTATTTCCTCGACACATGGCAATCGCGATTTTCATGCCAGTGGGCCAGTGGCAACCTGTGGCAACCCGAAAATCGCTGCACAAGCGTGGTGTCGGGATCAGCAGTCCAGCGTAAGTCCCGCCTTCGCTAAGTAAGCCAGGATCCTCAGATGCTTAGATGCTAATAATAGATGGTCAGTGGCGTCAGTTGGGGGGTTTGAGTCGTTGCTTGCTGACGATTCTGTTAACGGGGACAGTAATTTTATTGGCCACAAGCAGACATGGACACTCATGAGTTTCACGACTCCGCTTGCGCTGATCATACATAGCACCATTTTGTGCCGAGTGTTCAAAAGAATTGTGTGTCATTATAGAGTCGTATGTAGCCGTACAGCTTGAAGTGATTTGCGAGCCTGTCCGTGAGTAGAGTGCCGAGTCAGCCTGCGCCTGTAAAAATCAGCCTACAAGGATTCAGAGGTGTAGAGTGCCGATCCGCCAACCATGCTAGTACTTTGAGTCGGCGCTGGGCATCAACAACATGCGGAAGCAGCAAGTTTTCGACGAGCTCATACTGCTCCGCCTTCATCGCAACATCAACCGGCGTCAGCGTTCTCAGCCAAGTGCCATTTCCATGCCGCTCCGTTTCAACACTTGCGGTCGCCCCTGCAGAAAGGAGGAGCTCGACCACGGTGGTACCCATGGGGCCCGGAAGACGGATAGCGCAGAAAAGTGGGGTCGTGTTGCTGTTGTCGGGCAGGTTGACATCCACGCCAAGGGAAAGGATGAGCCGAAGTTTATCGAGGCCCGCCTCGGAGGCACATGTGGGTATTGCCCGATGTAAGATCCCGCGTCCGACTCTGTCTGTGGCCGTGAGGTTGGCCCCAGCGTCGAGCAGCATGACAATGATGTCCGCGTGAGTGGCGACCAGCAAAGGTACACTGCCTCTGTATGGGGGGAGGGAGATCAGGAATCGCACCAGCAGCAAGGAGAAACTGGACTGCTTCGCGGTGTGCGCTTCTGGCGGCTAGAGTCAAGCAGGAACTGTGTTCTGAGAAATCTTCTGTTGAGTAGTAGTTGACGTCTGCCCCGTAAGAATCAACAAGCAGCTTCAAGACATCTGTGTGCCCATGCTTCGCTGCGAGTTGGAGTGCTTGGCCTAGAAGTCGCCGTCTTGCCTCAACGTTAGGCGGTGGACTAACATCCGCCAATAGTGCAACGATGTCGGTATGCCCTCGGCTGGCAGCATGTCCCAGAGGAGTGATGTCGTCCACTTCTTCATACACCCTCGCAACCGCCTCCGCGCCAAACAACTCCAGGAACTTTTCCACTAGTTGTCTTTCCCCGAGTAATGCGGCAAGATGGAACGCTTTGTGAATTCCGAGACCAACAGGGTACACAAACTGCAGCGACACACCTGCCGTGGCCAATCGAGTCAGGAGGTCGGGTTCGGCTACTTCCACAGCGTGGCGGAGAGCGCGTTTACCGAATACTTGGTAGCGCGAGCAGGCGTTCAAGAGACTCCAGCTGTAGTGTTGGTGTAGAACGCTGCATGTTCGTGAAATAGCGCTCATTGTCGCTGTGTCTGGCAAAATCAAGCTTGGGGCTAGGGCCGGGTAGCCCTTGCCAGCGCCAAAGAGCCCATATTGAGGAATTTCACGGGTCAAGAAACATGCGATGTGGTGGTGCAGCTCTGGAGGAAGGCACAATATCGTGGCCATGAACGTCGAGTTCCAAAATGAACCAGCTGATGGCCCATCAGCGCTGCATCAGCTGTCAAAGATAACCATTCTTGCCTTTTCGCTTCACTCCACTTTAGTTCCTATTCCAAGACGTATGTCAGCCAGTCAGCCAGCTTGCCTTGAGACGGCCGTTGTCAGCAGAAAATGCAAATGACGGCTCCCCGCTGGAAACTAGCGCTCGACAAGGCGCTGGCTGCGTCCCCCAAGGCAACTGGTACGGCTGGTAAAGAACGTGAAGACAGCTGCTTGAACTTGCTCACAGTCATCCAACTGGCGTCGATTGACGTGAATACGCCAGTCCCCCACGTCCGTTCGCTCGTCTTTCGCTCGTTTGTGTCGCCGACGAATGATGAAAGCCATCCTTTGCTGCTTGCGACAACAGGTGGGATTGATTTACTTACCGCAAAAGAAACTAACTGGAATGTGATAGATGTCCGAAGTCCCAAGACCGCGCAACTGATCTCAAACCCGCATGTACAAGTTGTGTGGTATATTGAAGGCACGCAAGAGCAATACCGCATTGCTGGGACCGCAAGAGTGATACCAGCGCCGGGTGAAGGGCTCTACAAGCATTTTGTGCACACTCTTGTCGAGCTACAGAACACGGCGAAACCAAGTTCTTTCGACTGGGAGGCCAAACGACTGGCGGTATTCCGCAGTATGAGTCCATTCATGAAGGCCAGCTGGTGCAGACCGGTACCCGGAAGTCGGCTAGAAGGCGGGCAAGAGGAAGCACGCAAATGGCCTACCGAAATTCACGAGCCAGCGGCGGACGATGCGGAGGCGAAGAAGTTGTGGGACATGTCGTTGGGTAATTTCGCGTTGGTGGTCATTGAGCCGAGTGAGGTGGACCATATCGAGCTCGCGCCAGTGCCAAATCTCAGAACACGGTATTGGCGGTCGAATAACGGGGTCTGGAAGGATGAAGAGTTGGTTCCCTGATGGTACAGTACAAACAAGGGGGTGTACAAACAGTTCGATAGCAAAGCAAGCAAAGACGTTATAAAGATATTCAAGCCTTGACTTTCTTATTTCCTCCACCTTCATCCTCGTCATCTTCGCCAGCGACGTCTTCAAATGACCGTTTCTTGGAGACTGGCGATGCTTTGGAGTAATCTGCTTCGTCTTGGTCGTTGTAGTCATCATCCTCATCGTTGTCTTCATCGTATTCTTCTCCTTCATCGTCCTCGTCATCGTCCTCTTCTCCGCCAGCGCCATTGGGCTGCAAACGACATCATGAGCTATATTTACCACACAGATAACAAGACGAACGTTCGCTAACAGCAGCGCCGTCAGACTGGACTGTTTCTACGCCCTCTGTTAGTAACCTGGTAGCATACGAAATGGGGGGACATACCTGTGTTCCCTGATCCTCCTCATAGTCCTGGTTCATGGAGAGTTAGCCAGAAGTAACTTGAAGATACGAAATCGTGACCAACCTCACCACCGTCGCCGTCGTCTTCAGGCTCCTCATCATAGTCGTCGCTATCCTCTTCCTGCTCTTCTTGGAGGGATGTCACGGTCTCTGGCTCAACTACGCCTTCTGGTGGGTCTTCCGCTCGAGGAGACGACATTTAGGCCACAGTGTCGTTGTTTTGTGGTCAGATTATAGGAGGGGAGATAGCGGAGCTGGGAGTGTGATGGGCTGACTGAGCGATGGGCGGTGGTGGGAGGAAACTTGAACCACAGTTGGGGTTGACTTGATAGAGTGCTGGTGAGCGCTTGCCGCCGCCGAACAATCTCCCACTGCTACCTTTTTAGGCAATCCTATCACGTGAGCGTAAATTTCTACCTCGGCGATGTCCGGAGGTACTTGAGTGCCGAATAACAATAGCAATAAGACGACAAGCACATTGACAGATGAGCACGTCCTCTATTGACTTACCAGGTCACAGAAGTAGTTGAAGGAGAACTGCAGAATTCAGCAGCGAAACCCATCTATTCCAAGTAATTGAAGTAAAGAAAGAGAGGGAAGGAGAGAACAAAATCTAAGAAATGGATAGATCTTCACACAGACGACACCAGGTACTACTGAAGGAGGAATCACGTTCTCTGAAAGTCTGGATCGTTTGGCGTCCCGCGCAATCCGGACTTTTTGTTCGTCATGCCGGCGTCCCCGCATGGTCAGAGCATCTTATTCCTCGAACAGTTTCCCGGGCTCTATGTTCCCCCTCCTTAGTTGCACTGCGTTTGCGAGTCTGAACAGTTGTAAAAAATTTAAAAACAGAGTGAAGAAGAATACCCGTTCTTGTTCAAATGCAGTAAGGTTGGGCTGGTCGGTTTGAGGACTGCAGTCGAGCTGAACATTGGAAGCTGCAAGATCATCAAAGACACGGAAAGATGTGAACGAATAACCTTTCCCGACACTCATCTGCTGTAGTGCTGCCTCGTACGCATATTAATGGCGCTTAGCTCTTTCAACAATCGGCGAAGCAAATTTTGGCGATCCGACTGGCTGATGTATAGTAGTGTATCATGACCATTGACCCGGCAACTCAGGCCAAAAGAGCACGTCATTCGTCGCTTCGGCCTCGAAGTTATGAGCAAGACCAAATTCAATAATAATTTTGAGGTGATCCCCAACGATAACCGGATTGCCAGGTTTAATGTCGCGATGCATGATTCTGTGCTAATGCAACGCAAAAGAGACCGTGAATCTGCGACCAACGTCAATTGAAATAGGTCCACAATATAGGACATGCATACCAGTTGTCTGCTAAACGTATTAGTAAATCTGAGACTTTGTCAACGGAACTCCAGCAAGGCAGAAGTCGCCCTTCAAGTTTTCCATGCGATATAGAAATAACGTGAATCGTGCCAAACACCATGAAGCGTCAGGAAAGCAGGTTTTCCCTCTATAATTTTCGAGAACCACTTGGATACAGCTTGTCGTCGTTTGTTTTGTGTTTTTCGACCATCGATGGTTCCTCGGATAATCCACTCGCCCTTTGGAATTCTTTTGATCGCTATGTGGTCACCCATAGCAGTCCCTACCTCGACCGTAACCCCTCCTGTCCCCAGCATTTTCAAAAAGCACAGTTGTTTGTGGTCGAAACTCAAAGTGAAGCCGAAATATTGCAGGGGTTTCCAATTCACGCAAGCCCCAGAAGGTGCGATCATAACATGGGATGTGGAGCAGGTACAATGATTGAAAACGTCTTTGTAGGAGGAGGCGGTGGTGGTGGGGCGGCGGGAGAGTAAGGATGAGAGGGAATCTCAACACGTAGAGTTTCGTTGTAGTGGTCGTTGTCAGCCTGAGTTCAAGAGTTCGACGAAGGTATTGCGACTCGTTGAACAACCACTCTGAGCATACCGATGGCTACGATGCAATTGGGAAGCGATGGAAGCGCGAAAAGACACGGGATACGAGTGGCCCTATGGACAAGATCGTCGTTTGTGGTCAAGAAACAATTTGTTAGTTCGTCACGGTAAGGCACGTCACGAGTCGCCGATAAGCCCTCATTTCTCCCAGCATGAGACAAGCGCGGATGTATTCTAGCCGTCTTAGGAGCGCGAGCGACTTCAGTCGTGAATAACCATGACTGCCATTACCAACATCGACCAACTACCTGGCTCTTTTCCGGACCCCAGCTCCCTTTCGGTCTTCACAGATGACGAGGCCGTTTCCATTGCGAGAACAGTAGCGCCGCAGATAGTTGCGCTTCTCACGAGTCCCGAGAAAGACGATTTCGCCCAGCTCTTTCTAGCTGGCGCTTTCTGGAGAGACCTTGTGGCCTTGTCGTGGACATTGCGCACTTTTCATCCCACCTCGTGAGCAAAGCCAAAAATACTTCGGAATTCCATCTCTAATATCGCAGTGCAATCACAGAAAGTGTCGTACCATTAATAAAACGAGCCTCCATCGACTGCTCATCCATACGACTTGACGAAGCACATGTTGTGGCCATTCCATTCCCCAACGGCGTTTCGGTAGTCCGCGCACCGTTCACTTTCACCACCTCTTCTCCTTCGACACAGTGCACCGCTGCTTTTAAGATTGTTCGGCTTAGCACCGGACATCTCAAGGTCCTTACGGTTACAACCGCACTTCATGAAGTCAACTCGATACCCTGGAGAAAATTCGATCTGCCAGCAGCGTTTTCACCTACGGTTCCGACAACTCTTGATGTATTGGTTGTTGGAGGAGGTCACGCCGGACTGAGCATTGCAGCATACCTAAAGGCCCTCGGAGTCGATTTCGTTGTGGTAGAGAAGCAAAATGCAATTGGCGACAGCTGGAGCAAGGTCATCATTCTCGCTATCCGTTTTCTTCCAGATGCCAACTCGCACTCTAGCGCTATGATAGCACGACTCTGCACACTACCCGTGTTTTTAGCGGCTTGCCGTTCGTTGGCTTCCCCTCCGATTATCCACAATACATTCCTGCTAAGCTCATCGCCAACTACTACACCGATTATGTGAACAAGCTCCACCTTCCAGTCTATTGTGGGCGGGAATGCGTATCAGCGACTTGGGATGCTTCCTCCGATCGATGGGAAGTTACTCTGAACGACATATCCGGAAACCAAACCATCCGAGTTCGAACTCTGGTCTTCGCAACTGGCATCGGTGGACGTTTCCCTCTGGTTCCCGATCTTCCAGGAAAAGTACACACTATAACTCTGACTCGAAGTCACTCAATTCTCGTTAGGATGCATTCAAAGGCCAAGTCTTGCATTCGATCGATTATACTTCCGCCTCTCGTTGGGCCGGGAAACGGGTTGCAATCGTTGGAGCGAGTACAACTGCATGTGATGTTGCCCTGGACTGTGTCAAAGCCGGAGTTGAAGTCGTTACGATGATCCAGCGCGGAGCAACGAGGATTTACCCACAAGAACACATCACGCGAGTGCAGGCGCGTTTCTGGAACGACGACATACCGGTTGAAGTAGGCGATTCGATGGCGACAGAGGACCCGATGGTGTTATCGGCTGCGCTAAGCTCTATCGTGTTAAAACAACTGCAAAATTCCTACAGGTGAGTGGTTTCTCTGTTGTCTCTGATGAAGATATCAATGCCGCAGTCCGGAATTTTATGCTGGGCTGAAAAACGCTGGGTTCATTGCAGCTGTCGACGGTTCGGTCCATCAACAAATTTACTGCCGGGCGGGAGCGCATTATCCAGATGTTTGCATCGTTTTGGCGTTCTAGGTCAAACCCATTGACTGCTAAGTAGATTGGCGCATGTGGTGCTATTTCGCGGGGCGAGGTCAGTCTATCCCATGAGAATTCGCGTCTTGGTTAATGTTTGAATAGATCCAGGTCAAGTCAGACGCAAACATTGACCGTATCCTCCCCACAGCAATAGCCTTTTCCGACAATACACGTCTGGACACTGACGTCATTGTCTACTGCACTGGGTTCGCACTCCGCTCGTTCTCATTTCGTGGCTCACTGAGAGGAAAGGTTCGAAAAAGATGCCAGAAATACTGCAGCAGCCATCATTGGGAAGGATACTGCGAACATCTTAGAACCTGTTTGGGGGCTTGATGTTCGTTCACTTTTTTCCTTTTCTCGTCTTCGAGACCTGATCCTCGTTTCATAAGGCTGAAGGCGAAGTACGCGGCTGCTGGCGGCCCAGTGGTCATCATAGGATTTGGTTTCATGGCGGAGAACTGCAGACAATGAGATATTACGGCCGCTTTCTGGCTATGCAAATCGCTGCGGAGATTGCGGGGGTTAGACCGTCACCGGCCCGGGCTGTAAATCCTTAGACCCCAGTGTCTGATCTCCTTCGGTTTGCATTGTGCAACTTACAGTACGGGAAACTACGGAGAATTCAAAGGTGCTGTTCATAGACAGACGGTCAACTCCGGCCGACCAGAAAGAATTGATTCTAAAAGAAAACCCACCAACCTTGGACGCGTAGTCAAGCTGAAGATGGCCTCCATCTATCAGTGGGGGTGGCCGTCACTGACAGATTTTAACTGAGAAACATCAACAACAGGAAGGGTTGTTGTGACTTATTCCGTCTCTCTAGATATGTAGTTTATAAAATCCTTAGATTTCAGCAGCAGCGAATCCGTATATATAAGGAGCTGCCCACACAGAGACAATCGTGATATTAGGCAATTTTTTAGAAGTAAGAAAAGGACCCGTGCGAGTCCCTCTTGAGGTAGGATACCGAAATCCGGACAAATTTTTGGAATCTTTGATGGAGGTGTGACCAAAATCCGGACAGAATTTCAGCCAAAACCGGACATATTTGATCTAAAATCCGGACAAGACCATCGACAACGTCTGAGGTCTGAGCGCAAATCCGGACAAAAGCACGATTTGGACTCTTGACTACGAGACTTGAGGTCATTTACTACTTTAAGTACTTAGTTTCTAATATACCCATGACAACCAACAATTAGGCTGAGAATATCCGGCAAAGACTGTTTTACTGTTTTACTCCGCATTTTCTACCTACTTTTAGTGTGATAGGAAAAAAATTGAGGTTGAAGCGGAATCCGGACAAATTTTTTGGATTTTCGGTATGTCTGATCCAAATCCGGACAAGAGAGGCCCAGGCCGATGTCCCAAAAATCCGGACAAATTTTGGCCAGGATGATTTTCAGAATCCTACCTCAATAGGGATTCGCACGGGTCCTGTAAGAAACCATTTGGAAGTGATGGTCACGTGCGGCACAATGCTCGTCTCTCTCTCTCGACAAACCCCACATATGGCAAGGCAATGCTCATACGCCAATGGACCATTCTCAACAATGCGACATGGACATAGCGTCTATCTAGGAGATGCAACATAACAGCTTTCGTACGGCAAGACATCATCGCCGGGTTGGCATTCCGAACGCTTTCGAAGCGGATGGGACCGTTTCTCAGCATAGATACCCTCACGGTCCATCTATTGACTAGTAATGCTAATCATGCAGCTATGGAACGATCATCTTCCTGTCCATGTCCGTTCTACATTCCGAGCCGAATCAAGGACATGGCGAGTAGAGATTCTCACCCACCGACGGCTTGACCGCCAAATAAAACCAACTTGGGTGGGAGTCTGTCAGATGCTCCGCGAGCCCTGACTTGTCATCTCACCCTCTTTCAAGTTCCAATGTCTTCACACTTGGATGCAGTCAACATTGTCGTAGACGACTCAGTACTCTTCGACCAGCCGAATACTGTCATTGGCGATCCCAATGGCGGCTTTTTCATCAATAGAGAATCAAAGGAATTTGGACTTCCTGCGCGATTCAATAACACTGCGTTGATAATTCAGAGCAACTACGGAAAGGATGGCTGGTTCTTTTCTTTCGATGTCGGTGCTTCAACCCCTCTCTTGTAATGCCGCTATACTGACTCCCACTTCTAGGGCACTTCTATTTCGCTCTATGGCATCACGCCGCCACTTTCCTTCAGCCAGAATATTGCATTTGCGACCTTCCCTTTTGACACAAAGAGCGACCTTTCGACGTCCGATCCAGCCACATATAACATCACCAAATACTCTCAGCCGGCATTTGGTGGACTTCTTTTCAGTACCCCTACGCTACCCGATGGCGCGAGCGCCATCGAAATAGGACTTACTGGTGCTGCTGGTATCATTGTGGACTACGCCGTTGTCAGTGTTGGCAATCTGACTGACCTTCGTAGTCAGACAATCATTCTTGACGACACAAGCCCCGAAATCTTCTGGAATGGCTCGTGGACAGGGAGAAGTGACCTGATCTTGGATGTTCCGTCCATAATGCCATTCGACACGCAATTCAATGAAAGCGGGGCGACACCTTTCACTGCTAGTATGCGACCACATGAGAACACTACGCACGAGACCAGCAGGGTTGGGGATGGGTTCGTCTTCCAATTCAGTGGTAAGCTTTGAGTTGTCTACATCTCGATCCAGTATTTACAATTAGACAGGATCAGCACCACTAGTATCAGGGGTAACGCCGTCTAGCGACTCGACCGGGAGCGACTGGCTTCTGAGCATGTCCTTCACCCTTTATACCACCAATTCAAGTGATGTCCCAACTACGGTCATCACCAACTTCACGCGCGACGTCACCGACTCGACTCGACCCCACTTCACCTACTTCTCAGCACCGTTATTACCGAAAGGCGACCACACACTCGTTGGTCGTATTTTGGCTGTTGCAGGAACGCCGACTCCGCAGGCGCAGATCGACTACATCACTTATCAGCCTGCATTCGCGACGGTGAACGAGAAGCCTAAATTTGATCCAGCCAAGGCTGCGCTAACGCTTGGGAATCAATCGGAAGGCGCGACGAGCTCTAGTACTAGTCCTAGTTCTTCGGCAACACAGAGTAATACTCCACCGTCCACTAAGTCGAACCACTCGAAACACGCAGTCGCTGCGATCGCAGGCGGGGTGGTTGGCGGTATTGGATTTATCATTCTGGTTCTTCTTGTGGCTTTCTGGCTATGGAGGAGAAAATCGAGAAGGAGAGTGTCGGAAGACTCGGAGACTTTTGGTCAGCCAGCACCTTTCATTGGCCTTCAAATACCAACGACCCAATTGTCATTAGCTGGACCACCGTTCAAATCCCCCCAATCGAACTTTTCTGCACCACATACCATGACCATGTACTCGCAGTCATCGGCTCTACCGCTAGTCTACGAGCCTTATCTCAACAGCCCAGTCGTGCAAACCCAGTCTCCTGGATCCATACGCACCCTACGAACTACCGCTTCGCTTGAAGGGACTGCAGACGCAGCTGAGTTGCAAGCCCATATGCGCGAGCTGCAGACTCAGATGGCCCAGTTGACTCATCAGTTGCGCCATCAGACTGTGGTGTCTTTGCCGCCGTCGTATCGTCACGGAGCCTTATCAGACACACTGGGCTCAACAGAGGGAGGGGCTGTTTGAAGGGATCTTTGTAGGCTAGGTTTATACCATGCAAGTTATCAAAATGATAGATAGGGGTTGGACACATTCGACTCGGCCCGGCGGCCCGACCGTGAGTGTGGTCACGACACCAACAATCCTGGTCGCTTTCTTTCCCCTTCAACAGCCTTCAACCCACTTGTAACTCACAATCTAGGTTTCTGCTCCGCAATCCACTTATACCCTACCATGCGGCTTTTAGGTTTGCAAATGATAAGGCTCCAAAGATAGAAGCCGATTCGCGTTGTGGATCCGGTCATTTGACCCCGCTGCTTGCTTCTGCCGTCCACCATGTCGCGCCTTCCCGCCCCAGAGAACCCTGTTCCTGACGCTGAGCCCCAGGCTCACGACCGTGCTTCAGACGACTACAAGGATTCTGACGAAGTTGCAACAGGAGGGAAACCCTCGCTCTTCGTGAGCTCGATAACGAAAGACGAGCCGGCTGTGACGCGGCGGGAGCTGTGGAGCTACTATCGTGCGTGGTTGAAGCATTTGACTTTTTGCAACTAACGTCTTGCAGTGTACTACAACGGTGACAACGTATGTTGCCTAATTCTTTGGGCGTAGGCTTATAACCGCAGGGAGTTGGGCCAAACGGGTACTCGGCAACGCTCTTTCAAGGGTAAGACTCCATATCATACCACCGTCCTCTCTGAATCCATCGCTAGACTGGCCTTCGCGGCAGGTTATGACCCAACCGTTGGCCCTGGCTCTTCCTGCACTTCCGAAAGCTCCTCGGGAAAATGCGTTCTCCCCTGGGGTGGCGGGACAAAATCCGTCACGAGTATAGTGCTTGTGGCGAATGGCGTTAGCTTTGCGGTATGTCTGCCATATTTTGCGGGTTCCTGTTTTGACGGAGTCTCGAGATAATGACGGCAATTTTCACTACTATTGGCAGCGCTGCAGACTACGGGACGTTTGGACGCTGGTTGCTGTTTTTCTTCACGATAGTGTGCTGGGGAGCCCAATTTGCGAGCATGTCACTCACCAGTGCGTTTATTCTGCATATCAAGCTCTCCACTCTAAAGCACTGCAGAACCGTCGCGTTGGGGTGCTGCCATGGCTTTGTATATGGTTGGATTCATCTCTTATGGCGCGACACTCGTCTTCTACGCGGCTCTGTTCCCCCGTTTAGCCCGAAATACTCCCCGTGCCAAAGAGACCCGTGCGAAATATGAAGCAGGAGAAATCACCAAGGAAGAGTATGAGGTCGAGGAGAGCATGCAAAAGAATTTGGTCAGCAATATCAGCACTGTAAGTTGACGCGCTTCTCGATGATCTTTCGTTTCAACGTCGTTTGAAGGCACACAGTAATATCGGCTACATCGTGACTTTGTGCTTGAATCTTTCGATTCTCCTTCCCCTGGCGGACAACCCGTTGGTCAACAACTATACTCTTGTCCTGTGCGTTTGGGCACAGTAATCATAGCTTGTTTTGACAACTTCTCAGAACAAACGGTTACTGGGTTATTGTGGGGATCTGGTGGTGTGCGTCATCCGTCTCCGTTTTCCTCTGTCACGTCTGACCAAACGAGCAGTCATATACCAGCAACCTCGTCCCGGCCCACCACTTCCCAAGGGAGAACACTACATCACCATCGGGTGGAAGCAAATTTGGGCTGCTTGTCTCCAATACAAGCAGCTTCCATACACATTCATCTACCTCTTTGCATTCTTCCTGCTCGCCGATGTTTGTTGTCGTCGTTTTGTGCTGGATTTCCATTGAAGCTTTCCAGGGTCTCAACACAACTGGAACGCTTGTTTCCATCTGTCAAAACGACAAGTTCCACTTTAGCTTCCTGCAGAACACGTACTTGGGACTCTCGCAAGGTCAGCAAGGACCAAAAAATTGGCTTTTTCTAATCGTCGGTAGCAATCACATCAACACTGTCGACATTCGGGTTCTGGTATATCCAGCGGCATTGGAAGATCTCGACGAAGAAGATGGTTTGTGGGGCCCGTCCGTCTGCGATGCTGGGTCTGACACGAAGAGCAGTTCGTCGTAACTAACGTGGTTACTATCATGATCCCACTCTGGGGTGTGTCTCGTTGTCGCAGTTGTTTCGAGACTTGACGCGCGACCCAGGAATGATTGGCATTTGGACTGGAAAGCTGGGTTTCCACAACAAGTGGGAGTTCTGGGCGTACAACGTCGTCTTTGGGCTATTCCAGGCACCATACTACGCGTTTTCGCAGACGATGATGGCGGAGTTGACGCCCCCTGGTTTTGATAACATGGTTTGTTGTTGTTGTCTTTTTTTAGATTTACAGTGCTCTGATTGGAATTAGTTCTTTGGACTCTTCGGGCTGTCAAACCGCGCGAGCTCGATGATTGGTTTGTGCCATCCTTTCGGCTTGGAGAGGGAGTTTTAATCCCTTTTTGTTCAGGTCCAAATGTTATCCAAGCCATTATAGACCGGTCGGGAAACAACTGGATGGGCTTCCCGTTCCTGTTCTCGCTTTGCGTGCTTGCGTCGCTGGTGATTTGGTTTGCGGTCGATGTGGAGAAGGGCCGGGCCGACGCGGTTTCGTGGGCAGAGAGTCTGCGGGCCAACAAGTATGCGGAGGGTGGGCTGGTTACGAAGGAATGAGACATGGCTAATGCTAATAATGGTTATCAACGATTTATTTGGGCAGCACACTTTCACCGATAGCCAAATCGGCGGGCAGGGCGAAAAGAGGTATGTAGAAGCACCAACAGCCGGGTCATGACCCACATCCAATGTGGCGATAGTTTCAGAGAGGCCAGTAAGTGTGTTCACTGGTAATAAGGACTATCAGTAACTTGAGTCAAACAAATAATATCGAACGCAGATGTGTTCATATAACGGTGACGATGCAAGAGCTTTATCAGCTACACTGGGATGCTTTTGTGATTTCTTTGTACAATGACCAAGAAGCTATAGCCAATTTTTACATGTCAGGGGAGAAAGGGGTTGGAAGCTGGTCGAACACGCAGACGGGTGAAAAGCGTGGGTTCATCATGGCTGCTGGGACCACGGACCGGCCGAAATAGAGTTTGTTTTTGTGCTCGAGGGCAAGGACTGTGCCGTTGGCAACGGCGAAGGTTTTCCATGATTCTATAATACGCCAAGTCAGAAAAGCATGTTGATGAACCCGAACAAGTTCACCGTGTGGGACATCACCCAAGGAGGCATCGGACGTCCATTGGGCTAGGTGCTCGTCCAAGTATGCGGGGTGCCAGTCATTCAAGTACATGTCCCGCAGAGAAACAGGTTCCGTGGGCTTGCCGGCATAGGCGTAGTGACAGAGCCATACCCTTCGTCCTGGGCTCGAGGATTGGTCCAGAGGACGGCGATGAACGGTGCGTCGCGGAAGTTGATGATGCACCCATGTCCCCGCGTGCGATCGGGCGTGTCGAAGTTCTCATGCGAGGAGGTTGCGGTTGTTGCGACTTGATAGCTCTCACAGGATTGAGGGCATTGTGGTCGATAGCTTCTGGCTGGAGCTGCCGCCATTGGTCTTCAGTCAAGGCATCGAGCTCTTCGTCTGTGTAGAAAGGTTGGGGTAATCGGCTCTGGGACACTGCAGCTACTTTGCGGGAGGAGTCAGACATGGAGTTAGGGGTGGTCACCAAAAACAAATAAACAAGTCAAGGTACTAGGCTCGCTTATGCCAGCACCCAACGGCTAAAATCAAAGGGCAAGCACGATGATCCGCCAGAGGGGCTGGAACATAATCACCGTCAGCTTGGTGACAACAGCGTTTCGGCGGTCGAGTTTCCTGCACAAGTGAACTTTTTCTCTTAGATTTTCGATTTTTTTGTACCACTGGATAGCCCTCAAAAATCCAAGACTCGTGATGTTTTTATTTTTGCGTGAATGTCATAATTGCGTGTGCTATGGACGAAAGAGTTCCCATCCGGCCGATCAGTCCCGACCCCAAGACTGTTACCGTCACGCTTCTGACAGCTCGGTCCATGCTCGGTCCGAGCAAAGGCTCGGGACTCATCGGCCGCCTCAGGAAACTTTTGCTCTAGCACACACAATTTTGGGTTTCACGCAAAAATAAAAACATCACGACTCTTAAATTTTCAAGGGCTATCGATAGGCATAGAAAAATTGAAAATTTGAGAGAAAAAGTTCATATGTACCAGAAACTCGACGCCCGAAACGCCGATGTCACCAAGCCACCGGTGATTATGTTCCAGTCGTTATTGAAGTCACATTCAATAACGACTGGTCTCGAGTCTATCAAGGTACCTAGTTTGTTGTTTTTAACTTATGTGGTCAACTATTATGATCCCAGTTTGGGGTAGGTTTCTTCATTGCGTTTGTGTTTGGAATTGGTGCTGCTATAGGAATGAATGAGAGAGCTTGGTTTTCGCAACAAGAGGGAGTTTGGGACGTACATCATCGTGTTATGCAGGTCCACATGTTATTCAAGTGGTTAAATCCCGTTCGGGAAACAACTGAATGGGCTTCAGAGCTTCAGCTTGCATGATGACAGGGTCGACGCTCTTAGGTTGTGGGATAACAGGTATGTGGAGGACGGACTCATTACGAGGGAATGAGAGACACGAGTAATTAATGATTATAAGCCATTTACCTGGCGCATATAATTAGTAGCTGGAGCAAGAAACAAGAAAGAACACACTTTTTCTTTGGAGGCGCCTTCTTTTTCGTGTCTGTATGATTCCGCACGAGCTCTCCACCAAGCTGACTTGACCGCATCTTCTCTACGCCTTCCATCCAGTCTACACTCTCGCCAGATCCACCGATTCCCTCGAACCGGCGATTGAAGCGACCCAACCGACCCGTGCTCTCGCTTTCTTCTTCCAGTCCGCGACCATCAGACCACATTGCGGTATTCCAGAGAGGATTGCTTGTCGTGTCTCGTGTTAGGCGGATAAGGGACCGCGGAGAGGTTGTCCAGTGGAGAAATGAGGACCCGTCAGCGCGAATCACGCGTTGGGGAAATTTGGGTACAACTGGGTTGGGCAAAACAGGCTTTCGCCTTTTCCAGACGTGGGTCCGTCCGTACGGAGAGCTAGAGATGGCGCGTGTTTGGACCTGGGGGAACAGCCGGGCGACGGACATGGTCGTTTGCGGGAAGCTCTGAATTGTGCACGTGACGCTCTGTGCTTTCCTCCTTCTCCTCAACCAAACTCGTCCCTCCTCTTCGCCACGCGGCTCCACTCCCCTGTGCCCGCATGGCGGCATATCCGGGCACCTTAGTCCCTGGGCAATCCATATCCGTCAACAAATACACCGTTCAAGTCGAGCGTTACCTGTCTCAAGGTGCTGAAGCTTTTACCAGCTCAATAATATCATTTTCCTGACCAGAACTCAGGTGGTTTTGCCCATGTGTATCTAGTTAGAACTGCGACGCCGGTCTACAACACGACGCACCACGTTCTGAAACGCATCGCCGTGTCCAATGATGCCATGCTCACTGAGGTCAAGAAGGAGGTCGATATCATGGTGTGTGTTTGCGGTTGCTCTTCAGGGTCGTCATAAACCGGCTATACAGCGCTTGCTCAAAGGCCACCCCAACATTGTCCACCTCATCGATGCAGCATGGCATAGAATGCCAAATGGGCTCTACGAGGTCTTTATTCTTATGGAGTTCTGTCCTGGTGAGTCAATACTCCAGCAACTGAAAAACAGCACGCTAATATGTTTAATAGGCGGCGGAATCATCGACATGATGAATAGAAGGCTGCGGGAACGACTCACGGAAGCAGAAATCCTGCAAATATTCGTAGATGTCCTAGAAGGGGTGGCCTATATGCACAACTCGCGACCGCCGCTGCTACACCGTGATCTCAAAGTCGAAAACATATTGCAGTCCTCTGCGACATCCTTCAAACTTTGTGACTTTGGTAGTGCGACAACTGTGGCGCAACGGCCACCAGCCAACACCCAGGAGATCCGTGCGCTGGAAGCAGACTTGAACAGACACACAACTTTACAATATCGTGCGCCAGAAATGGTCGATCCATACATGCGGCGACCAGTTGACGAGAAGAGTGACGTATGGGCGCTTGGGGTTCTACTCTACAAGCTTTGCTATTATACGACCCCATTTGAGGAACACGGGCCCCTCGCAATCCTCAACGTTCAATACCGCATTCCACCATATCCCGTTTACTCGCAACAAATGAACTCGCTAATCGGTGCGTTCTCAAGCAAAATTTTGTCAATATTTTCACTGACGTTACCTGAAGCTTCGATGCTCCGCGAGCACGGTCATCAACGTCCGAGTGTTTTTGAACTGCTGAACAACGTCCATCGTCTTCGGGGCACCAAGTCACAGTTTACATATACTATTCCAACGCCACAACCGCTTTCCCCTCGCACACAAAATCAATTCTCATTACCCTCCTCATCCAACGCTCTCGAATCCACGGTCACTTATCGCTCACAACAACAGCAACAGCAGCCGTCTGCTGGCGTTCAAGCACGCGATAAGGTCCTAGAGGCTATTGCGCCCATGCGTCGTGGTCGACCTACAACGGAAACGCCGACAAATATGAAGTCTTCGTCACGATCGAGAACTACGAGTCCACATAAACAACGGGCAACTCCTCAACCTGACAAGGCTAAGAATTGGCTGGAAGAAGAGGACAAGGCATGGAAGGCAGCAACCGTCCAGAATGATACCAATATTCCAAAGCGGAATGCGTTAGACGATGCTTGGGCTACGCGAGGCGGCTCTGCCGGGAACGCAGCAGCTCCGTCGGGGGCAGGATTCGGAGATGATTTTGCGGAGAAATTATGGGACGAGTTTGACACCAAGAAGTCTACAGTACCTCCCGCCGCTTCCAAATCGTCAACTACTCCGCCATCTCTTCCATTGCGACCATCTGCATATACTGGGACGCCCGCCATTAACCGAAGAGAAAGAGACAAAGACGCATTCGATGGCCTTGGTTTGAGCGGCAGCGACAATAAGCCCGCCCCAACTTTGGGCGAAGCGCGTCTGTTAAGGACAGGGCTCGCAGGCATGTCTAGCTCCAGTTCTCGAGACAAGTACAGCGGGATCAGTGGGGACTATAAAGACTATAAACCCTCCAGACCCTCACCTTCTCCTCGCCCAACCTACATGTCGCAATCAAGTTCATCGCCCGCAACTGCCCTTTCGCCGCCCCCATCCTCACAGTCACAAGCACTTTCACCCCCACCGCCGACATTAAAGCCAACCAGCTCTGGCTCTTCATGGCTCTCGCGACCGCCCTCATCGATGGCTGGAGTAGGTTCAGACGGGAATGATGCTGCTGCAGAGACGAGGTTCCCTTCTCTGGAGGAATTGGATAAAACATTTGGGTCCTCTTCTTCCTCGTCAAACACTTACCAACAATCACATCCTCCGACGCCGTCAATGCCGCCATTACCCCCAAGGAGAGCGACACCAGAGGTTCTTCGTGCTGATTATAAACCAGCGTATGCCTCGAATTCGTTTGGCGATGCTGGACGATCTCAGCCCGCAACAAGTAATGCGATGAGAGATATTAGTTCCAATAACCGGGTTATCCAGCCAATTCCGACCCCTGCAGCTCCTTCCCCTTCTCTCGAGAATTCCAGACCATCTTTAACCCGGAGACATAGAAGTTCATTGACAATGAAACACGCTTATTCCGCCAGCACTGATGAGGGGCTCCCTCTCCCTTCAAGGACCGATGTTGGCTCTTCCTCTGCCCACCCAGCCATTCCATCCAATCACAAGTCTCGAGACTGGTTAACCGGCGATGATACAGACTCTCCTGCCCCTTCCTCACATAGTCGGATGGCAACAACCCCTGCCTCTTCGTCGTCGGGACGGCCTGTTCTGAGAGATTCGCCAAGCAAACGAGCCTCAGTTATCGATCACGTGCCTCTACACTTACAAGAAGCGGTGGTGGTCCAACGCGAGACCATGAACCCGACACCTTCTTCGCCGACCACGAGAGCACAGAGGGTATTCCCTGCGATAGATCTCAACGAGGAGCCGACAACTAAAGATGCTGATTCAGCATCTAGTGCAGATGAGGGACCGGAAGATGCTGGCGGTGGCCTCAAATCTCCACCAAAGTCCATCAAAACTGCACGACCATCGAAACATAAAGCGAGGCAGAGTTCTGTGCATGACTTGGTGGATTTATATGGCGGCGCGGGGTCCATTTCTTTGCTGCAAAAGGACCAAGACTTGACGCCGAAAAAGACTACCTTCTCGCCGGCGCAGCCAACGGAGACGAAAGCAAAGAGGCAATCATCGGCGTTGTCTGCGATTGGTGTTGGGAAGCCTTCCTCCGCAGGCGTGTTATCGTCGGCCTCGCCACGTAGCATCAAATCACCGGTAACGCCTACCTCGCCTTCCACCAAGTCTCGTCCGCAATCGATGTTCCTTTTCCCCTCTTCCAAGCCATCCGACCCAAATGCGCTTGCCAACTCGCTTGCTCCTCCCCCAGAAGACCCCAAGCCGCGAGTTCAGATGCGCCGAACTTCTATATCGGATATGGTGCAACGCTACGAGTCCATCGGCGTTCCCGGGAGTGGTGGTGGGAAGTCGCCAGTCTCGCCGCCTTTGGCCGCGCCGAGCAAGTCGCTGGGGGCGTCTTCTCCGCGAGTGGAGAACGGCTCGGGCAGGTTTTCGTCAGTGTCGAGCTCGAGCACGAGTACATCGAGCTCCTCTTCGGTGGGATATAATGGGCGTTTACCTGTTCTCGATTCTACCAAGGGCTTCCCAGCGAGGGTGTCACCCACACCGAGGACTTCGACACCACAGCAACAACCGTTACAAGAGCCTGTCCCGATAGCAACGCCCCGAGCACGACGGCCGTCTTACAAGTCTCTTGACTTTGGTGTTGCTTCAAACCCGCCCTCGCGGAAATCCACTGTTGATGACCAGCCGCCGCGCTCTGCTTCGCCTGAACGGCCATATCAGGGTGTTGGCAAGCTTATCGACCAGTGGCAGAAGAAGACGGCCGAGTCAGAAGGGCCGCCCGGGCGTGGAAGTCCTGCGAAACGTGGTGGGTTGGTGGCGAAGCGGGCTGGACTGGTGGGAAAGGGTGCTTAGGAGTAAAGAACACGTAATTAAACCTGACTCATGATTAACTCTGGAGAATGACGAGCATGTATTGTCTGTAAATTAGCGCTAATTTTCTACATTGCATGACAGGAAAGGTCTTTAAATAGCCTTTGATGGCTTACCTTATCTGATCTGATCCGCCTTTTTTTTGATTGCGTCATTGATGATCAGGTACCACAGCCAACGATCATTTGGGATTTTCCTCCGTACCGCCTTCTGCCTCTTGTCCCGCTTCTTGTCGGAGCGCCGTCGCCGCGGGGAGTCATTGGTACTAGTTCTTTGCACTGCTTCCAACGCTCACCGCGCTCTTTCGGACTGTTTGAGGTTGCCGGCCGGGGTGGCCGACCCTATAAGTCAGCCCGCCGACTTCTGTGTTGCCTAGACACGATGGCCACGTATTCTACGCTTGCTTTACCCTGTCCCCGCACCGACTTGGCTCCTCCCGATGACTTCTCCGCCTTGTGCGAGCGCTATGCGGCGTTGCGGCTGGAGGCGCTGACAACGTCGCCCACCGCGTTTGGCTCGAGCTATGCCATTGAGAGCGCGTTCACGCCGGAACATTGGGCAGCGAAGGTCTGGCGGGAGGATGCGGTCGTGCTTGTGTGTGTTGCTCATGCGATTGGTGAAGACCCGCGAAAGTCTGGCACCTGGGTTGCAAGCGCGATTTTGCGCGGTCCGATGCCGCTGGAAGAATATACTCTCCCGCCCGAAAGCAACGCGCCACAGCCTGGTAGCGACACAGAGGAGACCCACTGGCAAATGACTGCCGTGTTTGCCTCAGCGGCTCACCGTGGTCGCGGGCTGGGCAAGCTCCTCATTCAAGCAGCAAAGGACTACGCTTTGAATCACACCCGGACAACGACTTGCACGCGTGTCAGACTGCGTGCAATCGTCCACCCAGACAACATCGCTGTCCTGGGTCTTTATACGCGGTTTGGGTTTGCAGATGTCGCGCGGACGACGGGAAAGGAGGCGTATAGAACAAATGGCGACGTGAAAGAGTGGGAGCACAAGTTGGAGACTCTGACGGACGATTTGAAGGTGCGCTGGCAGACTGCGTTGCATGCCGTTGTTTTAGAATGGGAGGGCAGCATTATATAGACGTCTTTTAAATTACACTACCATGGGTTCTTTGTTGGCATTATCTTCCGCTTTCGAATTGCAAACTGTTTCATCATCCTCGGTACCAACCAGTTGATGCTCAACTTGGTCACTGGACTTGGAGGCCGAGCAAAGAAATGCAGTCTGCATTTGAATCAGCTTTTAGGTGGAACAACTCAGGTTACGCACGATCGCAGTGAACCCACTGATCCAGCCCAGAAACGTCCCGATCCCATGTCCCACCCACGTCTCCCCATTTCGGCTCGCCCACGCCAGCACCAAACAGTATGCAAGAACATTGGCCGCAACTGCAAGAGAAACACGCTGGAAAACGCTGCCAGTGTCGTTCCAGTTCGCACTGGTCATTACAGGATCTGTGTCGCATATGAAGGGGGCGAATGTTGGAAAATCAGCAGTCCACTCACTTATTGCGTAGATGACCTGTATAGCAAAGCTTCCAACGAGCATTGTGAAGCATTGCCATGGTGCCCTATCGGCGCATGAAGGGGCGATGGCTGTGATGAATAGGCCTGCTAAGCGACAGACAAAGTCTTCCACCGGCGAGGTCCCCGGAACGAGCGTGAGGCTGATTGCGGCAGAGAATGTGAACAAGAAGTAGAGGACGCTTTTTAGCCAAATTTTCCAGTGCTTTTTGAAGAAGGTTTTGGGGCCCTGCGACATGGTGAGGCTGAGGGGCGGCCTGAAGTGCGTGACTGCTGTTTATAGGGATACTGTAGCTGTCAGTGAGCATGGGGCCCACAGTTGACCAAAGGAATCTCCGAGTCTTTTGCTTTGGTGACTTGATGGCTACGAACCGGCGCTTCAGACGATTATCGACGAAGGGTGTTTGACTGCATGAAAAAGTTGTTGAACGTAGGTACAAGTAAATTAACGCTCATAGCACGGGCCGGATAGGGACTGTTTTGGATGATCATGAAGAGAGACTGGTTTCAACTTACTTACACCCATCGTACTACCTATCCTTCTATAGGGAGGTGAGAAGAAGGGCTGGGATTGCGGCGAAGCGGATTTCATTTTTTACGTAGGCTTATCCGAATGTCCCAGACTCTTGCCTGGCTGCAGAATATCACGTATTCTCTGTTTCTGTGACCGCAACAAGTTAAAATACTGCAGACTGGAGTTGATAATGCTCACAAGAACCTTCAACTCCGGAAACCCACCCTCCGTCTTGCGATCCCAGACCAAACGCGGCGCGTTTCCGTTCTCGGTCACCCAGACACGGAACCGGCCAGCAGTCTCTTCGGAGTTGCGAGGGATGAGTGTAATGGCCTCAATGGCGGGTGGTGGGAACGTTAGTCGGAGTTCCGTTTGCACCCAGGAAGCACGGTGAAGCCACCGACACTACATTATCACCGTGAGTCGAGACGGGCAGTCGCCCGCAAGTCACATGGAAAAAGCTAGGTTTACCCTATCGCAGAATTCTATCGAGACGAGCGAACTGTTGTCCAGAGCAGGAGGGTCAAATGCTTGCACCGTGGTCATTTCCGAATTTCTGCCAAGTTGATCGGGCGTTGATGACCAATCAATCAACACGTGCACGGAAGTAAATGGTGACTTGTTGACTTCCTACCGACAACCCGTTCTTGACCACAAAAACTATTGGTCGTCGGCACAGCAAATGCCTCAGACTGCTTGGCCAGCCTCGACTGCACTGGATTAGATGCACTGTAGAGGTCAGCGGAAGCAGCGTGCTGAAGCTTTTATTCAAACTGCAGCTCGAATTTGACCGTTGGCTGAGCACGGATACTGCACGGATCTGTCGCCGAATTTTCTCGTAATGCGGCCGCATGTCAATGGCTGTCGTCGCGACCCTTGAAGTTATTTCGTATAAAAGGCCACGACGCAACGGACCGCCTACCAATTTCCGTTCGTAAATGACCTTTCCAAAGACACTCCCCAGCGGTTTTCTCGACCGCTTCCCAAAGCTCTCGCGTGAGCAGGCGGGCCACCTGCGACACATCCACAATCTCGCTACCGCGCTGCCTGGCGAGTACCCGCATATGGGCACGCAGATCGCTGGCCAAGAATGGCTCGATTCGCTCCGATACCAGCTCTCTGGGATGGTTTATGCCGCCTCGGTGGCCCACTACCACCGTCTCCCCGCCCTTCGCTCCGTTTTCCGCCAGGTCATCGAAGCGCTCATCGAGAAAATGTTGTACAAAGATGTTTGGTCCTATTGGTATCTCACCAGCCAGAGCGGCCGTCTCGTCGATCCCGACATCCAAGAGTTGCGCAAGCCGTGGCCCGACCCAGTCGTCAAGGAGAACATTATGGTGCTGTTTTTTTTTCAATGCTTTTTCTCTCTTTTCTGATTCAATTTGTAGTATTCTGGCCACCTCTTGCTGATGATATCCTTGCATGCAATGCTGTTCAACGACGACAAATTTGATCAACCTGACGCGATCGTCTTCGACTGGAACCCAATCTTTTGGGGAATGGGTCCGGAGCGCTTCAGCTACACTCGCAGCACTCTTCAAGACGCGATTATAAGAGAAATGGAGCGCGCCAACTGGATCGGTGTCTGCTGCGAGCCGAATTCCGTGTCAGTCCCTGTGGTTTCTGCAGAGGTTTCAATGCTCATTGTTTTCTTGCAGCTTCGTCGTCTGTAACCAGTTTCCGGTGAGCATCCGCCGCCCTAGATTCCCTGCGTGCTCATAAGCAACGCAGATCATCGCGATGAGGTACAACGACATTCGTAAAGGAACAAACACCATCGAAGGAGTTCTCGAGAAGTACATCGCCGCATGGAAGTCAAAGAGCGGTTTTCTACAAGAAGACGGCTTATTTGTCGACTGGTATCAAGTAAAACAGGACCAACGCGTTCCAGCACAGAATATTGGTTTCACTGCGTGGTACGTCCTCACTTCACCAAGCGATTCTTGATCGATATCTCTTCTAGGGCCTGTACCTTCATGAATGCCTGGAACCCTGACCAAATGAAGGCTTTGTTCCCCAAACAAGCACTGGGATACCTCAGCGCGCCTTCAGCCGACGGCCGGATCAACGTTCGGAGTGATGCCATCGCAAAGGCCATTCGCCAGCTTGTCCAAGACGAGAAGGCGGATGCGAACGATGCGTCAGCGATCCGGCGCGCGACCGAGATGGTTGCCGCTGCCCCTCCGCCACCCACCGGCCCGTTTGTGCGTCCCATCTTTGGCTACATCGCGCAGTGGGCCTCCGAGGTGGCCGAAGATCGGGCAATCACGGACGGGCTTTTGGCTCATGCTGACAAATACCTCAACCCGACGTGGGAGCGGGGCGGCCTCTTCTACCCTCGCTCAGGGACCGACGACACTGATGCTGACGGAAACTGGGTTCGTGTGGAGCCCTTTACGGGCAACGCAGCGATCGCCTATGCACGGCTGAACGTGTTTGACGGCCAGCGCAAGATGTGGGACAAGCCGTGGACCCGAGAGCGGTTCGCGGACTACGCCTACGTTGACGGTGTCGGCTTGGGCGGTGGTGTGGACTTCCTGCGTGGAATGTGGGATGGGGAAAACATGGTGGTGACTGTTCGTTCCTGGGACGAGTCAGAAAAGAGGTCAGTTGCCGATGCGTCATGTTTTATTCAACTGATAGTCCCAAAGGCTCGCCCCGGCATTCCACAATCTGCCAAAGGGGAAATATGGTGTCTACGTTGACGGCGCACTTGCCGATGTCAGGGACGTTGCAGCTCGGGGGGAGGTCGTGGAGGTGCCACTGACTGTTGGGAAGAAGGAGGTGGATCTGGTTCTGGTATTGGAAAAGTGATCACGTTGTTTTTTGTTCAAGTTCAATTTCGCACGGGGTGGATTTTCTGTTACACTCAAGTTACACTGGCCAGGGCTTTACTTTTCGCACGCCGCCAATGTCATCCACGTATCATTTCTCACTCAGCCTCAGCGTATCAATCATTGGTGACCGACGATCTTTGACCCCGCCCTGACAGTGAATGTGAGCACTCTCTTGCTTTTCGACCATGAGGGCGGCACTCCTTGCTCTTCTCCCTCTTTCCGTTTACGCTGGCACTGTTCAGCCTCCAGGGATCCCGTTTAAGGCCCCAGTCACCGTCGCAACTGGCTTCACCGCACGCGTGTTATTCTCCAACCTGACGACTCCAAGAGGAATAACCCTTGATGCGAACCAAAATGTGCTGGTGGTCGAGCGTGGGCTGGGGGTAACCGCGTTCAGTCCAGCCCCCCGCTGGGTGGGAGCGAAGCGTCGTCATTGCCAACACGGGGTTCACGCAGGGAATCCAAGTTGATGATGAGGGGCATTTGTATGTCAGCACGGCCGGCCAGGTTCTGGTCTATAGCTACGATGCGGGCAGCAAAACAGTCTCGGGAGAAGCGTGTGTGGTCATTAGCGGCATTCCGCCTGACGGAGATTTGACGACACATACGCTGCAGCTTCAGAAAGAAGGCAATGCTTTGAAGCTTCTCGTGGCCACCGGGCCACAAACAAACATTGACCCTACCGCTCGCAATCCTTCCTCTGGGCGCTCACAAATCCGCCGTTTTGTGCTCCCAGCCGGATGCCCGGCCACACCACTCGACTGGGCAACAGCGGAGATCCTCGTATATGGCATACGGAACCCAGGAGGGTTTGCCTTCCACCCTACCCTTTCCAACACCCTCTACGTGGTCGAGAACGGCGCCAGCATCGACAACGTCACCGACTTAACGGCAGCATTCGTCAACGACAACCCGGCTGATGAAATTAATCGCGTTCATTTAGGTGGTCATTTGAAGTTTTTTGGCTTCCCCGATTGCACAACCCTGTGGAACCCCACCGCGGACCCGACCGGCGACCCGCAATATACGACTTTGCAGCGGGGCGACCAGATCAGCCTGAAGTTGCTGCCGGAAAGGGACGACGCGTGGTGTTCGGACCCGAAAAACAATGTTCCGCCCGCACTCACGCTTCAGGTCCGCTAAAGCAGTATTTATAGCGAAGTCTCATACGGAGTCTAGGCCCATTCTGTCCCCCTGGACATCAAATTCTACCACCCGCCAAAAAAGACTACCGACAAGTCATTCCCTCGGTCGCTCCATGGCGACGCCGTGGTGTCTTTCCATGGCTCTTTCAATCGCTCCCCGCCAACAGGCTATGGGGTCGTTCAGTGTGTGTCTTCTTCTCACAAATTCGTTGGTGCTGAGGTAGCCACAGTGTACCCTTCCCCTTGAGCGACACCTACGACTTCCTCATTCAAGCGACAAACTTGACTTCATGCCCGGGAAAATGCATTCGGCCCGTCGGCCTTGCATTCTCCAACGATGGGCGGCTATTCGTGAGCAGCGATTCCAGTGGCGAGGTGTGTTTGAACTGTTGTCCAAAGTTTGCTACTGATACATTTGTAAATAGCTGTTTGTTATCGAACGAAGTGCTTAGATACAAAATGTGGTCAAGTTGAATAGCGTTCCAAGATCAGCTTTCCCTCCGGCGGAACAGACGTGACATTGAGCGGATCGACAATCGTGTACCGGTTTCCCTCTAGGCGTGGCGTGCCGCTCAGCACGAGCGACCATACAATCATTTTGATTTCTGCAGGTCAATTCAGAGCTTTCGGAAAAGATGACAACGCACCAGAAACTGCGAGAATCCGGCCGGGACACGCCCACCGTCCCATCCCGAATGCGATATAGGACGCGCTGCTCATGATGGCCGGGCGTGCATTCGGCGCGTGCCATCGTTCTGGCTTGAACGTGTCTGGGTCAGGGTGGTGCGCTGCGTTGAAATGCGCGCGTGTGGCTAACGGGAAAACAAGATGTCTGATAAGATTAGATAAGATTGGAGATAAGGAAGGGGAGCAAGAACTTGCTTACCCTTTCGGAATCGTCCGTCCCCCGATGTTCACGTCGACTGTGGTGCGCCGACAGGTGCTGAGGGTGTCGCCTTTGGTGCGCATGACTTCTCGGATGAAGGAATCTAGCCACACTGCTTTCTGGACTGCTGCGCCGATATTTGAAGGGTCTAGTTGGTGGTTGACGGGGTCGGCGTGCTGCAGGGCCTCTTCACGAATGTGCGCAAGGTATTCGGGCCGTATTGAGAGCTCGAATACTATCCACACAACCACGGAAGCACTAATGAAATGTCAAGCATATGGCTGATGGCAGACAAACCAACACACGTCTGGTGGACTGATGCGAAAATCAATCTGTGGAAGTCAGCTCAGTCGACGGACCATATTATGCGCTGACCCAAGAAGCATCACCATTATCCATAGAAACGACCCAACACCCACGACTCCGTCCTTCGCGTGCTTATAAGCCATATATTCGAGCACATTCGTGGCTTTTTCGTCTTGGTTCTTGTGCCATTGACGCGAACGGAGATGCCGCCAGACTTGCGGGCCCATAACGCGGAAGAATGCCAAGATGGTCGTGAAGAAGACTCTGATCCAGGTGAATGCGACATAGACATTAGGGAACTGCCGTCCCAGGAAGGAGGAGTTTTGATACACTGCATGCTTGTTATTGTCCGTGAATAACGGAAGATAGCGGGACATACTTCCTGTTAGACCCGCAATGTCGGTCGCGACCGCCGTGAGTGCCCTGATGTTTCGCGCGTTTGTGTATCCCTACTAGATCGTGAGCATATCGCTGACTTCTTTCACTGCCATCTGACCTCTCCAAAAATAACGACCGTCATCGCCTCAGCAATACTCTGGTGTGCGTACTCAAACATGTCGACAGTCCCTTCTGTTACTGCCGTTTGCGCAGAACGAACGAAGACAGGGCACACTGAACAACGACGTCAAAATTTCTTCTCATAGACGGGAAGAAAATGGGAACTGACTTCGTTCTAACACTGTCTCCAGCATCGGATTGATACCATTTTGAACCAAGTCGTCGATCTCGCGGAAGAAAGACCAAAAGAATGAGACAAAAGGACGGAGGTTGAGGACCTATGAACATCGATCTACTTGTCATGCAGATGTCAGAACGTCGGCGTACTGTGGCCATGGCTTCTTCAAAGCTGAATACTTGGTCGGATGTGAACAACGTGGAGATCAAAGTCTCGTCGACAATGAATTCGAGCTTGGAGGTGTAAGTCGCGAGAGATAAAGCTCCATAGACGACACAACTGACATTGCCTTTCCGATGGACGCCAATGACCGGACCGTATTCGCGAAGTGCTCTTTCATACGCTTCCCGCGGGTTGTTGAATATCTCAGACATCTGGCACGTTCGTGAGCAGACATTATAGGCTGGTTAATCCAGACGATGCACAGGCAAATCGATAATCGGCGGATGGTTTGTGTTTGACTATAACTTTTCAGTGAACATTCAAGCCAGGAACAGCGGTCGCAGACCTTTCTCCATTTCGATCGGGCACCAAGTACGGCTAGTAATCCAGTTCCTAGAACGAGGGATGAGCAAGTCAAGAGGGAGGCCATTTGTGGGTGCAAGAAGCAGCAGTGAGAACGGGAGCTGTGGGAAAGACATGAAGGTTGGCCAGAGGTTCATATGACTAATCGTAATAAGCCACTAGTCGCCAAGCGGCTAGCTTAGCAGCAATGTCCTATTCAGCGGTCAAGTATTCACAGATAGGCTATGCAGGAATGGACAACAAGAAGGCTTCTTGCAACATTTCTTTCGAGATTCGAAGCAGTTGCCGCGGACCATGAATTGCCAGTATCAAACGCGATGTTGACTAGAGGTGCCTTTTTACCGGGTTGCGGTGCAAGCTAGCGCACTGGACGCGAATATATTGAGGAAGTAAGCTTATCACCGACACTGACGACGACTAGATTCAAGTCGAACAAGTATCTATGGGAGACAGAGAAAGCTCAAATGTTTCGATAGGATCATGGACATCTTGAGCTTTGAGTTCTAGATTGGATATGACATGCTGACGTGCTCCGAGTCTTTGTCGACATTCACCAATCACGACTACGCGATGGCTGCTTTATACTGGCGGCGATGATAAGAAGTCTCTATCTTGTCACGAGCAAGGATTCTGTTGCTTGATGACACGTATATGAGCGGCGGACGGCAGTAACTCAGACTGGCTTGGAGGTTTTAGTGGACACTTCATTACACCTGATAGTCGTCAGTATCAGCTACCTCCGGTTTACGAACGGACCTGGAGTACGTACGCATACGCTTATTCTGGACTGTAAGCCGATTATACGATAAGATAAAAAGGGATGCTCAATCTAGTCCGGTCCCATAAGCCGACCAACAACCTGGTTCGCATTATTTTGATTTGCATATTCCAAGGCAGTTAGCCCAACCCCACTCTTGATTTCACGATTTGCTCCATGACTAACGGGACATCAGTCTGACCGAAGAAAGGGTTGGAAGAAACAAACCGGAGAAGTAAGTCAACCCCGGCGAGGTCATTAGCCATCGCCCTCAGATGCAAAGCTGTAAAACCCTCGCGTGTCATAAGATTTACGTCGACGGGTTCTGGGTCCTCCAACAGAGCGATTACAATTGGAAGGTTCCTGACATTGAGCATGTCGAGAAATATTTGCTGCTTGGCTTGTCGAACAAGGACGAATCTATCTTCTACAGCTTGACTTATGTTCGTCCACTTTAAAAACCTTCAGTTCGGTTGTTTCGGAATGATGACTTTTACGGACAGCACCACCAGATTCAATCTGCACCCAGTAGACCTCATTCCTAGTCACTGTTGAAGGAATGAGCCTGTTGCTGACGAACGAGAAACAACCAAACTGATGAGACTACACGTTGGACAGCATTTCCGGAGGTCAAAGGGGGTGGTTAAGAGCTTGTTCATATAACAACCATAATGGAAGTAATGGCCGCAAAGAGTCGTAAAGCCGGGAATTTCGTCAGATGAAGCCGGAGTAGGGATTGGTGGATATGAACAAAGTCCGCAGGTCGTCATTTTCGCGTTTGCGGAAGCAGAGATCGGAGGCGTTTGAGAGGAATGGCTGCTCGAACTAGGTTGTGAACTATTAAGACGCGGCTTCGGTGGTGCTTTACCGCCCGTTGACTTTCGGGCGTAGGTGGGCTTGAAATATGGCTTTTCATTTTCCTCCAGGGCCTGCGGTATGATATCAGCACCAAACAAAAGATAAAGGTCCATTGTTTACGCACCAATTCTGAATCGTCACTCTTGACTCTTTTGCGAGGGGGCTGTCCACCCGTAGACTTTCGAGCGAACTGGTTATTACGTTTTCGAGTTTCCTGAGCCGAGAAGACGTCTTTGTCCGGTGGACTCTACTGATCATTGAGAAACCGATTGGCAGAGAAAGAAAGGAAATAAGTACTCCGGGTTGGGACTGTGACATAATTATTATGAGATAAGACGAGACGATTGGCTTTTCTTCGATGGGTGGGGCATGAAGGGTCGCGCGAAGTGCGTGCTGAGGACAAGAAACTGGAAGAATCTAGTCAGTCGGAAAACCATATGATCCGATCGACAATTGCTGATCGCGTTGTGACGCCGTTGTGACGTTGTCATCCATCGAAAGACGTCACAGCTCTCATCCCTTCAAGCTCCGTTCCGAGCGCTCGACCACTCCGTTCTTTCCTGTTGACCACCACTATGATTCCAGCTAAACGCGTTGCCGCTCTCTCGACTAAACTTTCGCCTGCTGTCGCAGCCACTTCCCGAGCAACCCACACATCTGGCAAGACGGGCCGATGGCAAAGCTCCCAAGCCGCGCTAGTCGTCCCTCGACGTGTTTCTCGCGCCCACACCATCAACAGAACCTTTCCTAAGAGATTATACGCGTCTGAGAGCAGTATGTCTCGCATCTCCAGCCCATTGACCCCACATTTCAACTAGTCTTTCAGAGTCTACCCGCCGTCCACATTTTGACAAGATCCTCATTGCAAATAGGTATGTTATACGCTTACTTTCTTTGATATACTGACATCATCTTAGAGGAGAAATTGCCTGTCGCGTTATCCGGACTGCTAGAAAACTCGGAATCAAGAGCGTTGCTGTCTATAGTGAAGCAGACAGGGATTCTATGCATGTCAAGCTGGTGGGTCAATCTTGATGGCTTTCCTCTGTCATTAAATATCCTGTAGGCTGATGAGGCTTATTGCATCGGGCCAGCACCTTCGTCCGAGAGCTATGTAGGTCTGCTATCGCTCGAAGGTGTCAAGTTTTCATGCGTGAAAAGCTCCGGAGCGACAAGATTATCGAAGTTTGTCGAAGGAGTGGTGCACAAGTGAGTGTAAACATTGGGTACCCTATATCTTCTGACATGTTTAGGCCGTTCATCCTGGGTAACCGAGCTTCTCTCTCTCTATCTTCTTGAGACTGAAAGTGTGGAAGTTATGGCTTCCTCAGCGAAAACGCCCAATTCTCTGAGGACCTTGCTTCAGCCGGAATTGTGTTCATAGGACCACCTCCATCAGCCATCGTCAGTATGGGCTCTAAGAGTGAATCGAAGAATATCATGTCTGGTTGGTAACTTCAGTTCACAAATTCATTTTTCTAAACTTGCACAGCGGCTGGTGTCCCTTGTGTACCTGGATATCACGGAGAAGAACAAACACCCGAGTTTCTATTCGAAAAAGCGCAACAAATTGGGTTTCCCGTTCTCATCAAAGCAATTCATGGCGGCGGGGGGAAAGGCATGCGAACCGTCACAAAACCCACTTTTGCGGCGTTTCAAGAAGCTCTCTCTTCAGCACAGCGCGAATCTTTGAAAGCATTTGGTAACGACACGGTGCTGGTGGAGAAGTATATTGAACGACCACGGCATGTCGAAGTGCAAGTCTTCGCTGACACCTTGGGCAACGTCGTGAGCCTTTGGGAGCGGGATTGCTCGGTCCAGCGCCGTAATCAGAAGATCATAGAGGAAGCTCCAGCGCCAGGTCTAACCCCGGAACTCAGGGCTGACCTGAGCGCAAAGGCCATTGCTGCGGCCAAGGCGGTGAACTATGTTGGTGCGGGCACAGTGGAGTTTATCTTCGACAACGATACCTCAAAATTCTATTTCATGGAGATGTAAGCGATTCCTTCCCAATACCTCGCTAGTTCTCAACTTTGTTTAGGAATACCCGTCTTCAAGTCGAACATCCTGTAACAGAGATGGTATGGGAAACCTACTTTTCGCTCGCTTTCGCTGACTTGGTAACTAGGTCACTGGATTAGACCTTGTCGAATGGCAACTAGAGGTAGCTGCTGGGAACACACTTCCTCTTCCACAAGCTTCTATTCCACTTGTGGGTCACGCGTTCGAGGCACGAATATATGCAGAAAATCCTCGCAACAACTTCCTCCCGGATTCGGGCTCTCTGTTACACCTCTCTACCCCGACCCCAACACTCGTCTTCGCTACCCCGTTTGCACCAACCCTGGCCGCCGATGGTGCAGAATTAACACCCTCGCTCTCATCAGAGAATGTTTTACCTTCAGTTCGCTTAGAACAAGGTTTCGGACAAGGAGCACAAATCGGAGTGTTTTACGATCCTATGATAGCAAAGCTTGTTGTTCATGGTCGTGACCGCACTGAAGCATTGCGAATCCTAAGGAAAGCTTTGGATGAATACCATGTCGTAGGGGTATCTACAAACGTGGAGTTTTTGAGGACATTAGCCGGGAACAAGGCTTTCATTGACGAGGAGGTTGAAACGGGTTTTATTCCGGTTAGTTTGAACACTTTCTTCTCCACAGTGCTGATAAAAGCACCTCAGAAACACTTCGATGAACTCTTTCCGCCCGTCCAACCGCCTTCCCCGGCATTGCTTGCGCAAGCAGCCCTATTCATGGTTCTTCGTGACCACCCGATATCCTCTCCCACACCTTGGACAAGTCTTTCGTCGCGTCGTTTTGGCGGTGATGTCTATGAACGCCCAATCACTTTACAAGAAGAAATGGCCGCTTCTGATGGATCTCCTGCGACTGTCACAGTGAAATCTGCCGGCCCAGGACACTTCCATGTTTCTGTCCATGCTCAGGACACAACGCATTTCCGGTCTGTTGCAGCTGAGCTTCTTTCTCCAACCACCTTGTCATGTGCCCTCGACGACGCCAATGAGCGAATCACGATCGTTTCGCAGCCCCCACCAGCCGGAGTCCCCGCAAGAGCTGGAGCGCCCACAACGATGGAGCGGATCCACATCTTCAACGGCGGTGCCAAGACAACCCTGGTCGTGCCGGCGCCAAAATGGCTGCTCACACTCAGCGAGGATGTTTTGAGTGCTGGAAAAGGTGCTTTACGGGCCCCAATGCCCAGTCTCGTTGTTGAAGTTCGGGTGAAAGTTGGGGAACGTGTGGAGAAGGGGCAAGCGGTGGTTGTGCTGGAGAGCATGAAGACGGAAACGGTTTTAAGGAGTGACGTTGCGGGAATTGTGAAGGCGGTCGGGTGCAAGAATGGGGAGATGGTTGAGGAGGGTCGTGAGTTGGTGGAGATTGAGGAGGATGGCCCTTCAGAAGATTGATAAGTTATTCCTGAAAATGTATTTCTTAGTAGCACTCTTTGTACTATCTAGCGTTCTGCAGACTCAGCTGGGTCATAGTCAGGCACTGCTTATGTAAGACTGACGGGCCGACAGCGTTTCTCTTTTCCCGCCCATGACTCCAGCTGACGCTGCTTCGAATTGCTTTCGAATCTTCCCCGAGTCTCCATGCAATCATTTCGAAGAGTATTATGGTCAGCTGGGTAGCGTCGACGACATCCAGAGACATTTTTTCTCTCACTGGTTTCCGCGCATCTTGTTATAAATGCTGTCGAAGTGACGCGATAAACGACGTTGAGCATGCTTAAGCTGCTGCTATCGCTTGTGTTGGGCTTTGGCGCCGCTCGTGGCGAGCTTTTGGCCCCGAATGCACTCGTGCTGAATATCACGACCACCGCGACCCACCCTGTGAGTCCTTTTGTTCTATCGCTTCGCACCTAGCCTGAGAGCTCTCTCATCCAGATTCCCTCGACGCTGTATGGGTACATGTGGGAGGTGAGGAAACTTATCAGGTCTTGTTTAGAAAACTGACGAATGTTCTAGGACATCAACCATAGGTATTTTCTCATCTTCGTCGCATTGACATCTACTCAAGGTCCTATAGTGGAGACGGTGGACTATACGGTAGGTTATAAGCTATAGGCTTTGACCGCTGGTCTCACCTTTTATCAGCCGAACTTCTACAAAATCGTGCTTTCCAAGCGGTCATTCCTGGCACCCAAAACGCGTTTGTTCTGAATTCAAGTTGATTTACTTTTTTACTGATATTCGGACAGTCTTACCGCATGGCAGCCTTTCAATGGAGCACGACTCTCCGTAACCTCAAGAACACCAGGCGTTTCTCAGGCGTTGCCTAATAGCCTTCAAGTTCAAATCCCAAAAGTAGTCTCTGGGCCGATTGGGTTCGAAAACACCGGATTCTGGGGCATCAAGGTTCAGAGTGGATGGAACTACACTGGCTCCTTCTACGCAAAATCGACTTCGTTCACCGGCAGCGTGACGGTCTCCCTCAAGTCGACACGAGGCACTACGTTCGCCAGCAAAACACTGTCTGGCGTCGGCAGAGAGTGGAAAAAATTCACCTTCACGTTCACACCGACCTCATCCGCTTCGAACGACGACAATGTGCTCAACTTTGTTGTGGATGGCAAGGAGTCTGCGGGCAAGACGATCTTCTTTGGCATGTTTTCCTTGTTCCCGCCTACGTTCAGAGGGAGGGAGAATGGAATGAGGATCGATTTGGCGGAAGCACTCGCTGGGACGGGACCCGCAGTATGGCGGTAAGTGTCAACAGCGTGGTTTGCATCCTGTTCAAATGAGCGACAGATTCCCCGGGGGCAACAACTTGGAAGGGACGAGCATTGCGACTCGCTGGAAGTGGAATGAAACCATCGGCCCGTCAGTTACTACAAGAATTTTCACCTGCGCGTTTCTAATCTCTTCATAGGCTTGAAAGTAGGCCGGGCCGCTTAGCAGACTGGGGCTATCCCAATACCGATGGTCTTGGTCTTCTCGAATACTTGGACTGGGCCGAAGATCTTGGTGCAGTACGTATACTGTCTCATGAGTCTCACGTATAGTTTTGACATTTATGTAGGAGCCTATATTGGGTAAACTAACATTAACTCATGCATTTCTCAGTGTAACTGAATCCAAATGCTAGGTGTATGGGACGGTATTTCTACAGCCAACTATTCCGAGCTCTCCACTTGGTCGGTGGTCCCTGAGGCAGATCTCCAACCTTTCATCGACGACGTGCTGGCGGAGCTCGAGTTTATAACAGGCGATGCAAAGAGCACGAAAGGCGGAAAATTGCGCGCAAGCCTCGGAAGAGAAGAGCCATATGCACTGAAATTTATCGAAATGTTTGTCAATAAACCCTTCTGCTCAAACCCGGACTAAAGCCACAGCCAGCGGGAATGAAGACTTCTTCCAAGCCGATTCGTATGTCCCATGATCATTACTAACCCCCGAAGCCGACTAAAAACTCCCAAAGATATTCTTCATATCGCTGGAATGCATTCACTACTGCGATTGCAGCCCAATATCCAGGAAAATTCGAGTTTCTGGCGACAACGCTACCGTCTACTGCTTTGACCCCTGCCTACCAAAAGAGTATGTCTCTTCTTACTCGGCTTTTTTGATCTCAAACACCGCCACAGTCGACTTCCATGAATACAGCTCCCCATCGTGGTATGAGGCTCATATCACAGTTTATTCTTATTCCTCTGACGATCTTCAGGTTCACAAACAACTCCTTCATGTTCGACGACTACCCTAGGAATGGCACACAGTTTTTCGTTGGCGAATACGCTTGCACCTCTACCAACGACACAAACACGCTTGGAGATCTTCCCAGTGGGAGATTGGCGTATCCGACGCTGGAAGGGTCAGCGGCAGAAGCCGCATTCATGACTGGAATGGAACGGAACAGCGATGTGGTCTTTGCCTCTGCTTGTGGGTTGCCTGGAATTGCTAGTTATTCTCATGTTCATAGGTTTTTTTCTGCTCAACAGATGCCCCGAGCTTTCAACACATCCGCAACTTCCAGTGGACGCCAGATATCATCACTTACGATGCCAGCAGGCTCGTCAAGTCAACGTCATACTACGTTCAACAGGCTAGTCAAATACTTTTTATCTCGCGTTGTTTTTTGCTGATTAGGCGAGTCTAGATGTTTAGTTTGAATAAAGGCACCCATGTTCTCTCGACTACCCCAGCGCCTAGTCCAGACACTGCGCCGCTTTTCTGGGTTGCAAGCTACCACAATGAAAGTGATGTTGTTTTCTTGAAGGTGTGCTTGAATTGTTCGCTACGAGCCTGTCCGACTCAGTAATAAATACTTCTAGGTTTCCAACACTGGTCAGACAGATCTCGTTGCAAATGTCTTCCTTTCCACACCTGCGACATCGTTGTTTGGCTCTGCCGTCTCACTATCGTCGCCGGCTTTGAGCCAGGATCCGGTTTCTGGGCAGTTCAACGTGTCCAACACACTGGATAAACCCAACCAGATCATTCCGGTCTCTTCGTCGTTCGCCTTTCAGTTCAACGACAAATTCAACTATACTTTCCCCGCAACGAGCATTACCGTACTGAGCTTCACCGTCGGAGAGAGTGCAGTACAGATGATTTAAGGTAGTTAGTTCAAACGGTGTTCAAATGACAATTAATTAATCAACTATTCTCTCCACCGTATTCTGTCACTATGATCTAAATTATTCTCGCTGGTTAAGACACTATTTTCTCGTAGGGAGTTTACGACCGCCACGATATTGGGTCTGTAAAAGAGACTATCAAGACACTGGTATAGCCATATCTTGCTGCTCTCATCAAGGAAATCAGAATTGGGATATGGTTGGTCCATGCCAGGGTCTCGGTAGGCGTTAAGCGTTGTCTGCTCAATTAAGCGCATACTCTGTCAGCATTGCGCGCGCCGCTGCGGTAGAGTCCAATTCCAATTCGAGCTGTTTGCTGCTCCAAGTTAGTGTCCTTCAAGTTGCGTAGACTGGAAGTGTAATGGCCCTATCGAAATGATGCGTTCCGACACGCCATCCGTTCATGCTCGGTCTAGGTGCAGCTAGACTGGCAGATATAGTCTGATCTAGTACTTAGCACTTTCGGTTAATCCAGAAGAACGCTACAAGTCAGAGAGAGATTCTTAGTGAGGGTTTTACTCCCGCCGGTGTAAGTCAAGTGTAAGTTGAAAGCTAGGTTGCGGGGGACAGGGGCGAGGCGATGTACGTTGAAGATCAGGTATCTTTTGCAACCAGATCAAATCAAGATTCACGCATCATAAAGGAGCATTCAACGAAAACCAATTTGTTTGAGGTGCTATACCAGTGACTGTTTATGAAGACCACCAGGACCTTCGACCTTATCTGCACAACTTGCTATGTGGTCACCCTGGACTGGGAAAATGAGGGCAGTCTGGATTCGGATGAGCCGTGATCCAATTGGTGAATAATACAATACGCACAATGGCAGTGAAGCCACTGACGTAGCCCAAAAATGTCCCTATCCGCTGCTTGAGAAGAGTGTCCCCGTTTCGGCTTGCCCATGCCAGCACCAAGGAGAATGCGAGAACATCGGCGGCAATGGCAAGTGGTAGCTTCTGGTAGAGGCTGGTCACTTCACTCTTTGGGTTCAACATGTACGGCGCTGAGATGCAATAAGTTGAGGGTATCGAACCAAGCATACAACTCACTCATTGCAAAAATAACTTCCCCAAGGAAAGCTGCGGTAATGGCGAGGACACATTGCTCTTCTGGAACGACTGCGGAACATGACGGGGCGAAGGCTGCTGTGAGGAGGCCCAGTAAACGGATAATCAGGTCAAATGTCGAAGTGCCTGGGACGAGGACGAGACAAACGGCAGCGCCGAACGTGAATAAAAAGTGAATAGTTGATTTGACATTCATCACCCAGCGCTCTTTGGAGGTCTGTTGCATTGGAGTCGTTGGAAGATGATGGCGGCAAGAGTGATGAGTACTTTGATTCTCCAAATACTTTTTACATAACAAATGACATCATATCATCAGAATCCGACCTGAGTCGTGTGGCTGTGACTGACCTCGAGACTTGAAAGCTTAGAGGCTCATCATCCCCAAGGCCACAATCGATCTGGACAAGCTTCGCAGAACAGTATTTTACAGATGACTTGTAGACCCAACACGAAAAAAGAACAAGAGAAGTTGATAAAGACACCACAAAGCTCGTCGACAGTTGGTTGAGGCGCACAGATTTTTCGTCAGTGCATGCCTTAATTGTTGTCTCCAGAAGCTCCTTCGCTAGTTCCAGCACCTTCCTCATCCTCCAAACTCGGCGAAGACTGCTCGACAGTACCTTGACCTGCTTCACCTCCACGGGCAGCTGGCTCTTCACCACCATTCCCGACATTCACTGGCTCGTTATCTTCCTCACTTTCCAAGCCATAATGACGAAAAATATTGAGGAAGATTCTTGAGATGATCTAGGGGATTATTTGTCATTTGAAAACAGGAAAGAAGCGCAAGACTTGCGAGTGGTAATTGTGTTCCAACCCATGTGTCCTCTCCAAGCACCTTACTTGACCACCACATAACGAGAACGAAACCAACACCATTGATCAGGACGGAGAACAAGATCATCCAGAGAGTGATGTTTGGGTTGTCATTGGCGGCACCTTCGAGGAATAGTATTGAATATGTGGGTGGGAACAGGCTACTCACAAACGACCAGAAGCAACTGGAGAATGAGCCACGATAATACGATCACCGAGGCGTCTTCTTTCCAGAGCTTTGGAGTGAATGGTGCGAAGGTGAGGCAGGCGAGCCGGGCGAGTAAATTTGGGATTGGCTTGACAGATGGTGGAGTTGCGAAAGCACTAGCGAACAGAAACACGGCCAGAGTGATAGTGAAGGTCCACATTTTGCCTTGCATTTTTGCTGAGTGACAATTGAGACTAAAAGCTGGAGGCAGGTGGCGGCAAGTCGCAATGATGTTACCGTGACATGATATCGTGACCGTGCATAATATCTGAATCGTGACCCGGAACGACTGCCAACGACACTTTCTCTTTCCCTACCACTGCTTAGCGCTGCTTCGAATCACTCCGAACCTTCCCTGAGTGGAAAAGCTGGTCATAAATAATGGCCAACTACACCTCTTACTTCCGTAGAATCGTGACTTTTCAGCGCCAGACGTGCGTCATCCTCTAAAACCCAAACCATGTCCATTTCAAACCTCAGTTGGCTCGTTCTCTGCTATTCTCAGCCTTCCTATGGGGCGCAACTCTCCGTGCCTCCAAGAATTGCTGAATCACCTTCAAGCACACATCCCAAAAGTTGTCTTGGCGCCCATTGTCTACTCGGGTGACGAAATCAAGATTTCTTCCAAGCCGAATGGTATGTATGTCTCATCATCACTGCTAGTCACCCAAATCGACCGATATTCTCCAAGATATGCTTCATATCGCTGGTACGCTTTTACAACTGCTATTGCAGTCTACAACCCAACGTCCAGGGAAATTCTGGCAACGATGCTACTATGTACTACCTTTAAACATACCAAAGAAGGATACTTCATCTTTCTTGGTGTTTTTGCTCTCATATTCCGCCACAGTCGATTTACACGAATACAGCTTTCTTGGAGATCAGGAACAGCGATCTGGCTCTCGCTTCTGCTTGTGCGTAGCTTCCACACGCTGCGTGTTCACGGATTCCTTTGCTCGACAGATTTCCTGAGCTTTTAACACATCCTGGACTTCCAATGAAAGCCAGACGTCACCGTTTACTGCATAAATGCCCGCCTACCAAAAAAAGTATGTTTCCTCTCAGCCCCGCCACAATCGGTTTCCATGAATACAGCTCCCCATCATGGTATAAGGCTCATATCACAGTTTATTCTCGCTCTGACGATCTTCAGGTTCACAAACAACTCCTTCATGTTCGACGACTACCCGAGGAATGGCACACAGTTTTTCGTTGGCGAATACGCTTGCACCTCTACCAACGACACAAACACGCTTGGAGATCTTCCCAGTGGGAGATTGGCCTATCCGACACTGGAGGGGTCAGCGGCAGAAGCCGCATTCATGACTGGAATGGAGCGGAACAGCGATGTGGTCTTTGCCTCTGCTTGTGGGTTGCCTGGATTTGCTAGTTATTCTTGTGTTCATGAGTTTTTTTTTCTGCTCAACAGATGCCCCGAGCTTTCAACACATCCGCAACTTCCAGTGGACGCCAGATATCATCACTTACGATGCCAGCAGGCTCGTCAAGTCAACGTCATACTACGTTCAACAGGCTAGTCAAATACTTTTTATCTCGGCTTACTTTGCTGATAGGCGAGTCTAGATGTTCAGTTTGAATAAAGGCACCCATGTTCTTTCGACTACACCAGCGCCTAGTCCAGACACTGCGCCGCTTTTCTGGGTTGCAAGTTACCACAATGAGACGGATGTTGTTTTCTTGAAGGTGTGCCTCATTTGCTCGCTACGAGCCTGTCTGGATCAGTAATGAATACTTCTAGGTTTCCAATACTGGTCTGACCGATCTCGTTGCACATGTCTTCCTTTCCACACCTGCGACATCGTTGTTTGTCTCTGCAGTCTCACTATCGTCGCCGGCTTTGAGCCAGGATCCGGTTTCTGGGCAGTTCAACGTGTCCAACACACTGGATAAACCCAACCAGATCATTCCGGTCTCTTCGTCGTTCGCCTTTCAGTTCAACGACAAATTCAACTATACTTTCCCCGCGACTAGCATTACTGTACAGAGCTTCACCGTCGGAGAGGGTGTAGTGCAGACTTAAGGTCTCAATAGCTATTTCGAAGATATTTTTTCATCTTTTGAGTTGGATTCATGTCCACACTGTGCGTAGCAGTAGAGCTCTTGAAACTGACTTAAAACGGCGAATGACTTATTCAGAATCGTACGAGGGAACGCTATCAGTTACACAATGAAAGAGGCTGCTGCGGAGGGACGCTAGTGTGATTTGTCCATATTGTATGTATGTTCGACGTCGACCAAGAAAAGATGTAACAACAAGAGAGAACAAGAACGGTCAAGTTTCACGAGGTTGGGGAAGGGGAGTCAGGAACTGGTCTAACACGTTCAAGGGTGAAAAGCGTAGGTTAAGTTTTACAAGGTTGGGGGAAGGGGAGTCGGGAACTGGTCGAACACGTTCATGGGTGAATAGAGTGGATTCATCATGGCTGCAGGGACCACCGACCGCGCAAAGTGCAGTTTACCTTCGTGTTCAAGGGCGAGGACTGCGCCACTTCCAACGTTAAAGGTCTTTCTTGACTCTGTAGGATAACAAGTCAAAAAAGCAAGGCGCAAAAATTTCATCAAGCATACCATGTGGAACAGAAAGATCCGCGACCCATTCTTTCCCGTCAAAGTCTGCTTCATGCCAACCCTTCAAGTGCATGTCCAGCAGAGATATGGGCTGTTCTGGTTTGCCAGCATACGCATAATGGCATCGCCATTGCCCCTCATCTTGCGCTCGAGGGTCGGTCCACAAGACAGCGATATACGGTGCATTTTCATCCCCATTGCCGTGGAAGTTGATAGTGCACCCGTGTCCGCGGGTGCGAGTAGGCGAGTCAAAGTGCTAATGCAGCAGGTTTAGCTAAGTATAAGTAAAGTTCAAATGCCACCCACACGATTGAGGGCATTGTGGTCAATGCCGTTTGGAATCAGGAGTTGCCGCCACTGCTCTTCAGTGAAGGCATCGAGGTCCTCTAGATTGGAAGGGCTTGTGGAGGAAGGCTGAGGCAATACGTTCTGGGACACTGCACACGACGCCGCCACTTTGAGGGAAGACTGAGGCATAGAGTTAGGGGCGTCAAGGTGGTCACAACCGCGACATGTTACCTCATGTTCTCATGTTACAGTTTTCGGTGTGCATAGGTGTGCATGTGTTCGTCGTTTGCCCTTCAGTTCAACGACAGATTCGACTATACCTTCCCAGCAGCTAGCATTGCTTCACCGTTGGAGAGGAGGTAGTACAGACGTAGCGTCAATAGTCGTGCTGTATTTTCTTGTCAAAGTTGTCATTTGAGTCAGTTTGATTGGCGCCTTCCTTTTTGGGTCGTCAGATGGCAGTGACAGATGCTTCGAGCGTCTGCCTCCTTCCACCCGCGATCCAAACCACTCTCGCTGGTGAATACGCTGAGAATAGCTATGTCTCGTCGCTCTCATACTCGCTCGCCGTCTCCTCGGGCCCCAAAACGCTCCAAAATTGACCATCTCACCAAAGAGGATTTTAAAAATGGAGTATTTCTTGCACCGATGGTGCGCTCTGGGGCTCGTAAGTTGCTCAATATTCTCAGAGGACTGGCCAACTCATCGAAACTAGTGCCCACCCGACTCTTTGCCCTCAAGCACGGAGCCAATCTTGTCTGGGGCCCTGAGATTGTTGACAAGGCCATTCTACACGCAGAGAGAGTCGTTGACCGTGCGTCGTCTGTCTTCTAACCCCACAAATTGACTTATTCCAATGTAGCCGTAACCGGGGTGGTCTCTTACAATGGCAAATCCAAGGCGATCTTCACCACCCACCCCATCGAAAAGCCCTACTACATCTTCCAAATCGGCTCCGCAGACCCCGACCTCGCCGTGCAAGCCGCCCGAACCATCATGCAGGACATTTCCGGCATCGATCTCAACTGCGGCTGCCCTAAACCGTTCTCGACTCACGCTGGGATGGGAGCAGCGCTGTTGACCAACCCCGACCTCCTTTGCTCGATTTTGACGGCACTCAGGGCAGCCATGCCGCCCGAAATCACGGTGACTGCGAAGATTAGACTGCTTCCGTCGCAGGAGGACACCCTCAAACTGGTGGAAAGAATCGTGAATACGGGTGTCAGTGCTCTAACGGTTCATTGCCGAACGAGGTCGATGCGGGACAAGGACGCCGCGTTGGTTGGCCGGCTACGAGAAATCGTCGAATTCGTAGAGAAGATGGGCAAAGGCATTGCAGTTATAGAGAACGGTGATTGCACTGGAGCGGAGGATGCTAAACGGATTCGTGAGCTCACAGGTAAGCGGCATTTGTTCTTTCCGCTCTTTTTCTCAAATTCTATTAGGCGCGCACTCTGTTATGATTGCACGGGCTGCAGAGTCTAATCCAAGCTGCTTCTCTCCGAAACCTCTTATTGATGTGGAGAAAACGCTTTCGCCGGCGTATATCCGTTTGGTATAACCCATCTTTGTGGTATCGAATGCATCTCATTCCACTCTAGGCCCAATACCTCGGCAACAACTGGAGTCTGACCAAGTTTTGTGTCTCGCAGTTCAAGGCCCAACACATTACCTTTGGCAAAACCCTGCAAAAACAGTATCGCGAGGCACTACACGCAGCAAAAGGGTTCGATTCCGCGCTTGACGAGCTCGTGGGCTCGTGGACGGGCGAAGAAGACTTCAAAGAAATTGTGCAAGTGATAGAGGCGAGGGGGCCGCGGCTCAGACTGTTGGACGATGATGAATCAGAATATGCGCCAAGTCCGCCAATGTTATTCACACCGCCTGACACGACAAATCCCGAACCGCCGAGCTCTGGTGCGCCTTTGGTTGGGCTGTCGTTTGAGGCGAAGGAGATTCCTCTGCTCGCCGGTCGAGATCCTATTACGCCGACTCCGACTCCAACTCCTGTTCTTGCATAGATTGTACGTGTTTGGTCGTTAGTTATTCACTTGTCCTTGATGTTTTTTACTCGATCCAGTGGTATAGTCCAGCAATGTGGAGAGGAAGGGGGCAAGGAACCTACTAGTTAGGAATAGTGTTGACTTATCAGAGTATCGGTAAACTTGAGGCGGTAATTGTTCTCTGCGTGGCCACTCCTCTGCTCATATGTAGCTGGTGATTCATGATTTAGACAGTTCTTTGTAAATTCCTGTAAAGTGTTTTCAGTCAGACTAAGGGGAAATAATCGGCAAGTGATAGGCTATTGTCTACTTACAGCTATTTCGGAAAACCTTGAGAATGATCAAAGTTTTTGTGCAACAACTTTTTTTTCGAGTTCGGCGATAACTTCGCTAATCCTGCCTCCATTTGGCATCTCGCGCAAATCTCGAGCTCGGCAACGCGAGCCGAGGTCAGTCTTGTGGGCGTCCAACTAGCAGGAGCCTGCCAGGAGGGGAGGCTCGTTGCACAAGCCGGGCCACGGTACTGCTGGGTTTCCCCAGAATTGTGTCTGCCTTGCGTCCCACTATTTGGATGTAGCTCCAGTCTGCTCTTCAGCTCAGCCAAGACTGAGCGATCACTAGTCTGACATCGGTTGGCGCTGCCGAGGTCAAATACGCGAATTTATCGCCGAACTCGAAAATAAAAGTTGCATCCAAAAATTTTGATGATTCTCAAGGTTTTCCGAAATAGCTGTACTTAATCCCAGGGAATTCCCTCCCAGTCAACAGCCAACAACAGTGGCTGGAATGTCGTTAGGCGAACATCATCAATGGGGCCGGGTGCGGACCCAACTCGGTTGTCTACAACCAGGACAGTTAGTTCTCCGTGTGGACAACGAGCTATGGTTCACCGACACTGCACCACTCGAGACAGCAACATGTTTTGCAAGTGGACTTGATCACTACAACCTGGAATTTCTCTTTCGCCCGGGCCGACTGCACTCTGTCAAACTGGATGTCGATTTCGCGATCGCTTCGGAGTGGGTGCAAATGAACGTTGCCTTGAGTCCCAGAGAGTTGGCACAGTGGGAAGAGGTTGACCAGAGCTGTATACATGCTATTCCTGCTCTAGCGGACGGGCCAAAGCTGGTGGCCGGATGCCGTGTCTTCCTCCCACTTTCACGGCCAAGCACCAGCCCCTTTCGCAGCGGAATCATTGTTGACACTGATGTCAAGGGTCTTTGTCGAGTGCGGGTCAGTTATAACAGTAAACTGCTCAATATGCTCTCCTCAAGCTTGGTGGATGACCTGCTCAGCCCTATAGAGGATCAACACGAAGACAACGACGAAATTGTAGTCGACATAAGGCATCTTCGACCCCATTACCTCACTGGGCCGGCGGAAATTCAGCCTGGAGGCCGTGTTGTTATTCTCAGTGGGCAGCATCGAGGAAGAGTGGGTATAGTCGAGCGAATACAGAGTGCATGGCGCCCCGCAGTGTTGACCATCACCGACAACCAAGTTGCCATCACGAATGTGCCCGTCTGCCATGTTGCTCGTCTCTTCTTCCCTGGTGACCCTGTTGTGGTCAACTATGGGCTTCACCGGGGCAAACGCGGCACAATACAGAGTACCTTCGCGCTGAAACACCTAGAGGATGGGCTGCAGCAATTTCCACCAGGAGGCGCCCAAGTACTCGTCGTAAGCAAAGTGCAGCAGAAAGTGTCGTTTAACAACATTGACATGTTTGACAGGACCAAGTCGTAAGCTCCTGGGCATTCCGTAGCTTCTCACCGTGATACTCAATATTATTTAGGTTGATGTGCCCACTCAATTTCTACTCTTCGATATCCCTGCAATGAATTTTGTCATTAGAACACCAGTAAACGTTGAAGAGCACTGGCTGGGGCGCCCTGGGCTGGTCGGAAAGCGCTTAGATGTGCGCGTCTTGCCGATCCAGCGAGGGCGAATATCGGCAACTCAAGCAAGAGCAGTTGGTAAAGAAGGCTTCATCATCCTGTCTACTCCGGTTACAGCGAATAACTTTGACGTCGCTCTCGACGTGGAGCTCGACAGCAAGCCTTGGCAAGTGCGCATTCGGCCGGAATGGCTACAGCCAATACTGGATATTCCCGGAGATTTCCAGGGCCAATGGCCAGTGGTGGTGATTGGCAAAGACGTCCAGGGACGGGACGACTTTATGGGGAAGTATGCAACTATCGATGCTGGTGGCTATGGGACTTGGCCAGTACAACTAGTCATAAGTGGGGCAAGGGCTTGGTTTCCTCGAGGGTCGTTGTGCAGAGCTAGTCATATCAACTTACCATTCGCTGCGTGGTCTCCACTTGGAACAGCAGGCTACAAACAACTTCCATAGGCAAGGTACGACTGAGCTACGAACACCAGAGTGTCCTTAAAAGTATTGATGTTGGGTAATGTTCCAACACATCAACCTTACTAGTATTGTAATTGGTGACTTTGATACCATTGTCTCAGGTTGTCGAAAGGGCATGGATAGTGAAGAATTTGCTCGTCTATACTATCAATTGTTTCCTAAGACCGGTCTGATCATCTGCGGATTCGGAAATCTTGTTGTCTCTAGAATTGGAGCCCTGTTTTGAGAGAATCAACGTAGCCTGAATTAGTAAATTTATTCAGAGGATGGGAGGAACACACGCACGATAGAAGTGATCCCGCCAACATGCCCCAGGATGGCCTTAATGCGGCATTGCCGACCTGTAGTTTCCTCGTGTCGGCTTCCCCATGCTAGTACCAAGCAGAATGCGACAACATCGGCAGCAACAGCGAGCAGCAACTTGCTGCAGAGACCAGGAGTTTCGCGCATCGGGCCAAACGTGAATGGCCCTGCAGCGAGTTAGGGGTTCGAATGAAGGCGGCGACCCAGCAGACAACTCACACATTGCAAAGATTACTTCCGCAGCGAAGGCCGCGGTAATCGCAATAGTGCTTAGTTCTCTTAGCTCGACTGAGACTTGCGATGCACTGGCAGCGTAGGCCGTGGCGAAGAGGCCCAGTAAGCGCATGGCGAGGTCAAACGTCGGCGAAGTGCCAGGGACAAGGACGAGGCCAACCGCAGCGCCAAAGGTGAACAAGAAGTGGAGAGTCGATTTGAGATACGACATCCAGGACTCTTTGAGGGTCGGTTGCATTGGAAGAAAGGATGGTTGGAAGCAAGTTGGAAGATCGGAAACTGAAAGACTTAGTCATACTCATGAAGGTTAGGGACTCACCATAGCTGGCGCCGGAGTCAACTACTTGATCTTATATCCCAAAGACCCTTGTTAACCTTGTGACTAATGTACAAACTATGTAGATGCTAAATCTGCTGCAGTGAAGACCTCCATACCCAACCCCGACATCCTTCTCGTCGGCTTGATGCTTGTCGGGCTGGTTTCGCTTTCCGGTGGCATCGTCCGTCGCCGACTTGGATTCCTCCGTTCCCTCTCCCGCGTCAGAGTCGACGGTGACAGCGGTTCTTCAACACCATCCGTATCTGGCGTGGGGATGAAATACGGTGCTGCATATGGCTGAGTTCGTAGCTTTGGGGTGGGCGTTGTCGGCGTGCTCGGCCCCGATTTGCACGGATTTCTGGCCTTCAATGATTTGGACCTCGATTTCCGTTGCGGCGTCTGGGGCTCTTCAGGATCAGCGGCGGGAAGCTGTATGGTGGGTGAAAGTGGAGATGTTGAAGGAGATGATGGCGCCGAATCGGTTGTGGGAGAGAGCAGACTTGATGCTGTGTCTGGAATGCTGTCTTGTCGGCTGTGGTGCATGATGGGGCACGAAGCTACACGGAGCATTACTGCATAAAGAATCAATGGGAGGAAGAAGACAGAGATCCAACACATACGAGAGCGTGACCTGTCCTTTTCGGAGCACATCATTGGCTCTGGCGGTGGAACAAAACTTGAGGATTGCGGTATTGTTAAAGAAAGCGTGTTGTTTGTCGGGGGAGGCATTGAGTGTCGCCTGTCAGGAGCAGGAGGAGGCTGCACATGTTCTTGCTTTCTCACTCTCGAGGTTGATTTTTCCCGTTTCTTGTCTCCACCAAACAGCTGAACGATCTTGGACCGCAAACGGCCGGGTTTCCGACCGCGGTGTGAGGCAAACTCGTCTGGCTCGGAGGCGACAAGTGTTGAACTAGTAGAAGTGGAAGGCCGCGTTTCTTCGAAATGCAGCTTGGCCGGGGCAGGAGAAAGCGCGATCTTCGGAATATCTGGCTCAACATCCCGCTCGATTTGATACGCGTGGCGCGTGTTTGTTGGGGGCAGAGAGCGCAAAGGCGACGGCGAAGTCTTTCTTCGGCGTGGAGAACGTGACCGCTCGGTGGGACTACCAGGCAGTTGTAGTGCTGATTGCTGCGGCGTTTCAATGTCGCTGCGGGGCGGGGTCGGTCTCGGACTGACTGACCGAGCCGAGTTTATGCTAACTGTGGTTCGTATTGGTGGAGGAGATGAAGTGGATGAAGGAGTGGATGCCACAATAGCCCGAGCTTTCTCATCTTTGTCGATGCGAAACGCTGGGGACAACTTGGGGGCTTGTAATAGAATACTGGCGGGGGGAGGTGGAGGGTCGCTCCAAAAATAAGTCGTCGCCAAGAAAGAAACAACAGTCGCAAGCACACTCTGCACCGGCTTTTAGCACTGCCCACAGAACACAAGAAATACCTACCAGTGAAAAGCCAACCGAGGCAACAAACAAGGTTGCAGAGCATAGACACAATGTCCGCTTATACTTGAGCAGCGGCATTGGTGCAACAACAACAGAGTGAGGTAGCCAGCGCAGCAGTGGTGGTGGTAGAAGTCAGGGAAGTTCGTAACCGCTCGGCTGAGACTGCGCTAACAAGGTTCGGCGCGTAAAATGTGATTTTGTTGACGGGATTTCGTCAGACTGATTATGTATCCTGCGTGTTAGACCGCTTGGGCGGCTTGAGTGAGTTTCGAAAGGAGTTCCGAGAGGGAGCAGGAGACCTGACTGCTGACTAGTCCGGAGCTCGCACAACAGCGGAAGGTCTCAAGGGAATTTCACCCGTGGAATGAATCGCGTTATAAATATTGGATTTCCGAGTCCTCGCGATTTTTGTTCATGAAGCCTCGTGGTATCAGCCCAGCTTGCAGGCGGGCAGAAGCGAGATCGACATAATTCGCTACGGCGTTGGGGTCGGTGAGGCTACAGAGAGCGAACCCAATCCTGTGCGGGTTCCCATGGGCATCGCGGGTGGGCATATGCCCATGGGTACTCATGGGCATGTCCTGCAGGATAGGTCTATCCATCCTGCAGGATGGGTCTATCCTGTAGGATAGGTACATATCCTACAGGATGGTTGCATCATCCTACAGGATGGTTACATTGTCCTGCAGGATAGATAGACCTATCTTGTCCTGTAGGATAGATAGACCCATCCTACAGGATAGATATACATATTTTTATATAAGAATATCAGCAAGGTTTTCATGTCAACAATATGTTACAACGTGACTGCTTGTGTTTGATGCTTTACTTCCTGCTGCCACCTACCGCGATTGGTACAGGGCAAAGGGGAGGATGTCATCACCTGTGTTTTGTTCCCCACCACCACCACTCTCTCCACTACCTCCCTACAACCCTCTTCGCCCCAGTTACATTTAAATTGCCCCAGTCTATCTCCAACCACACCAGCGCCTAAAGTTGCCCCGTTCACATGGCTACTACAGCCCCAACATGCCCGCCCTGTCCCTTGCATTCTTTCCCCCCGCCACTCCTTCCCCTCTGAGCTCTCTCCCATTTGACCAACACTGCTCGCAAGCACAACCATCATATGGCATGGGAGCGATGAGTCGTTGCACAGCCCTCACACTTGCCCACCCACCAAACTAGTGTGTGACAAGTGGGCCAGGGCCAGTCGTTGGGTCCAGACATTCTAAATATACTAAATTTTACATAGGAATATATAGTTTTGAGTAACAAAGAGCCTCCACACTCTCAGAAATTTTGTGCAAATTTTGATGAGTAACAAAAAATTGGGCCGTGGCCAACTATTTTGAAAACAGCTGTAATTCCATCCTGCAGGATGGGTCTATTTATCCTGTAGGATAGGTATATTGCCATCCTGTAGGACAAATAGGATAGCTATCCTATAGGATTGGTACAAGTATCCTACAGGTTATATTAGCAGTAGTCCTACAGGATATATCAATACTACAGGACAGATATCTGCTATGTATCCTATAGAGAACCATTCCTACAGGACTGGTTGGTTAACCTGTAGGATAGATGTTCAAGCATCCTGAAGGATAAGTCTACCTATCCTATAGGATATATAGAGCCATCCTGCAGGTTATGCCCACATCAAATTACCATGGGAAAATGCCCATGGGCATATGCACAGGATTGGGTGCATTCTGAGGCTACATGTCGAGAAACAACAGACTCAAACTGCATGACATCATTGGCGTGTGTCATAGCTGAAAGTTGGAATCGAAGACAAGTAAAAAACTAGCAAGTCCTCAGATTTGAAATACAGAACTCCGGAGACGGAATCCACACCAAAATCGATTAACACCGGTTCTAAGACGAAGTTGGGTATAAGCAAAATAATAACTTAACCCCGTCCAGCAGGTGTTGGACTCCCCACCAAGCCAAACTGTTCCGTGTCCGGTAATATCGACGCCTCATCGCCATACATCAGCAGATCTCCCGCCGCAGACATTCTCGGAGCAAACCGCGCTTGAGGCGGCCGTCCAAAAATGGTCTCCTCTTCAGCGGTGACCCGCATATCGTCCTCAAATGAGTCGTCATCGAAGGAATCATCGCCCATATAGCCCCCGACAAACTGTTGTTGACCGCCCATGTTCATTAGCACATTCATGGCTTCTTGTTGTCCCGCATCAAAGGAAACGGAATCGTCAGAGTCGTATGATGTGCCAGAGGCAGCAGAGGCGGAAGTAGCCTGGGCGTTCATCATCATCGCTTGAATCTGGCCCTGCTCTTGAACCATCGACTCGCTTTCCGAACCAAACGAGTCGTCGCCTTGGTTAAATTGCATTGGCGTTATCGGCGGTGGGTTAAAAATCGGTGGCGGGTGATATTGTATGGGCTCTGGTGGGGGAACTGGTCGAGTAAATGTTGGAGCATTGTGCTTCGCTTTCAGTCTGAGGCCAGGCGTACCCCCACCAGGGGTCCATGTCTTGGGGTTCAACGAAACACGTCGCATAACACTTTCGAGACTTGTGTCCACACTCTCATCCGTATCGGCAGCTCGGTTATATTTCGATAGAGATGGGGGCGAAGCGAGCGTGCTCAAACTCGATTCGACTCCGCCTTGATACCTCCTTGAGTTCTGAGCCTCCCGAACAAGATCGTTCTTGATGCGTGCTGCAGCTTCTTTTGCAGGCGGTCTGTTATGAAGAAGCTGTAATTCTGCTTTGGACGGTGGCGGGCGGGCAGGTGACATGATTTTCAACGGTGACATGCCCGGAGGTAGACCGTCAACCCAGTCGTCGTCGTCGTCAAACTCGTCTTGTTTCTGTTTGCGTGGTGTCGTGCTCAGTGGCGTTTGTCGTAAATTTACTACACCACTCCAGTTTGCAGGCTCTGTTCCAGACGGAATATAGGGATTAAGCTTTGCTGGAATGGGCGTTCGTAGCTTCCCTTTCGCAGGAGACATTGAAACAAAGGAAACATCATCGTTCTTCGAGTAAAGCGTGTGCCTGAGAACGTTTTGTAGCATTGGTTCTTTGCCCTTGTCTTTCCGCGGTCGTACGATCGTGTTGTCAACTTCGTCTTCTTCCTCCAAAACACTGCCAAGATGCAATGAAGGTAGCCTTGAGCTTTCTTCCCGCTCGTAACTCTCCATGTTACGAGCGAGACGCGTAACAGGCGACTCAATGGAAGCTGACCAGGAAGGGAGCTCGGAGTCGTCCATGTTGGTGGTGCTTCGTCCCACACGGTCGATAGCGGGAGTTGAGGCAAAAGCGGCTTGGTGAGGCATGAAAGATTGCTCGGTAGATGCTATGCTATGTTCTTGGCTGTCTGCAGTGTGCTGGCCGCTAGATTCAGCTTCCCCTTCAAGTTCTTGTCGATCTGACGGCGCGTCATTCACAGTCGAGTAATCTTCGGCTGTCGGTATTCTAATCTGCGCAGCTTTCTCGTAGAAAGAAATCCAGAACTATTGGTGGATGAGTTGGAGAAGATATGCGGCTTTCATATGACGCGCCTTCGCTGATTCCCTCACTGGCTTTGTCGCGACAGCATATCGCTTCACCGAGGGTAATATTCGGGTCGTAAGGACGTTGTGAATCTTAGCAAAGTTTTCGTCTATACCCTACGACGCGTCTCAGCTCATAAAGTCGCGAAATTGAAGATACGCTTACTTGCAGTTTGAGGGTGATAAGTTGTTCGATTTGCTCGATCTGATCAAGCAAGGCAGCTTCGCCATCGACTCCAGGGACAATAATCGATGCAGGAGTAGGGTTTGGCTGCCATCTCGGTGGATTTGGGACAGGACTGCGTCTTCCCTCTCTTCCAGGTTGTGGCATCGCGTCGGAAAGCCGAGAGTAACCGTGACATGACGTGACATGGCACGTGAGGATTTCACACTCTGCTCGTTCAAGTTCCACCGACCTCAGGCTGACTCGGACCTGCAATGTGAAATGCTCATTTAACTGGACTCATACACTTAGGAAGGTGCCTTCTCATAGCACTGCATACTATCTGACTTATTCATGCAGGACTTCCAGTGACTGCCAGTGTCTGAGCCAACTTGAATTCGCAAGTTATCCACAACTCGGACCGTGACCTCACTGAAGAAGCTTCTCAAATGCGGGCCGCTCGACCCGCCGCCCCGATTGTCGTCAACACAGAGTCCAAAACGGAACCGACGCGGACTACTACTACGTAGAATCTTTTTCGGAAGAACCGTCGTGTCGAATGACCAGAGCTTCTCTTTCGCAGTGGATGGAATTCTTGCTCGACTCCACATGATGTAGTGGCTTCGCACGGAACAACCTTTGGTCATCTGCATCCATGGAATGCTTTAAAACGACGTATCGCATTACGAGTCATCTGTTATCGTTGGTGTGAAGTGCAAGTATTCCTTGGCTCTCGAACATTCTGCGATGCTGAAACTCTGTCCCTAGCATGTGGCTGTTGATATTTGCTGCATTGCTTATTCTACACCGTGTTCAAGGACAGAATGGGACACTGGGCTTAAGTGATGGATTTTTGACTTTCAACACGTCAATTTTCAATGTTCAGCTCGTCAAGGACTCACAGACCTTATATTCTCTGACTCCCAAAGGGTCCACCTTCAACTTCATTCCTACCGACCAGTGAGTGCAGAATCATTTGTTCGAGAAAGTCATTGATTGATATTAGAATGACTGCTCGTGCAAACAACCTCAACTATCATCTTGGTGACATAACATTCAGAGGTGCGATTCTTCCGGTCTGGTCATGAAATATTCTCACTATTTGGCAGCACGCAAAGTCGGAACTACTGCATGGACAAGCGGAGACTCGTCTGCAGCACGAAAGAAACTCACCGCCAACACGGTCTCTGGCACAACACTGGCATCTGCCCTCTTGACACCCACTCTCCCAAGCACATCTCTCCTGACAATAACTCGCCGTTGGGTCACCGATGCGAACGGAATCCAACTCCTCTTCGATGTCACGAACCCTCAAAATGTGGCTGTCGAGATTGGGGCTCTTGGTGCACCTCTCGAGTTCAACAATGTAAAGTTGATTTTCGTCTTACTGGATATTCTTCTTATCGTACTCTCCAGATATTTACTGGTCGTACCGCAGCACAAACAAACACTATCTGCAGTCTCTTCGATCCCTACATCGGCCAGGATGCTGGTTTTGTTCAGGTTACTCCACTGTTAGGCACGCTTCCGCCGCTGGTGGTGACTCCAGTAGGGAAAAGTCCTCTTGAAGGCTGGCGCTTTCTTCCCGAATCAACTTCTGCCACGCCTTTTTACCAGAGTCAGACCTTTGAAGGTACTTCGGCTTACAATTGCTAAAGCTAATCGCTCGAATCTGACCATCCCTACAGGTTTATATGAATGGCAATTCCACACCCTTGCCTATGCGGAAAACGAGTGGGCCAATACAACTCCTTGGAATGCACCTACCTCGTTTGTCCTCCAACCAGGACAAACTCGCACATACGGCATCGCTTTCCGGCTTGCATCTTCCATTCGGACCATCGAGCAGACCCTACAGGCGAACTCACGGCCCGTCGCGGTTGGCATCCCGGGATATGTTCTCCCGCTCGACCAAGTAGGAAAAGTTTTCCTCAGTTACTCGTCGGCTGTGGCAAACGTCAGTGTGTCACCTGCTGACGCGCTCACGTGGACAACAAATGCTGATGCGATCACGACTGGCTGGAGTGGCTACACTATTACGCCACGGACATGGGGTCGCTCGAGATTGACGGTGACATATGCCGATGGGGTCGTTCAAACGTTGCATTTCTATGTGACGAATGGCGCGACACAAGCGATTTCGAACCTGGGGAACTTCTTGGTGCGCAAAACACAAATAGACATGTTGTGAAGTTCTAACGCAGTCAGACCACCAGTCAATGGTTCGACGACCCAACCGACCCATTCAAACGCTCGCCGTCCATCATCAGCTACGATAGGCAAGCTAATGCCATCGTGAAGAACGATCCACGTGCTTGGATTCCGGGTTTAAGTGACGAGGCAGGTGCAGGATCTTGGCTCGCTGCTGCCATGAAGCAGTACGTTCAGCCATCTGCCGCAGGTAACTTCTCCAGGTTGTCTTGCTCGCAATACTGAATCACATCTCTCAAGAGGTCACAAAACTTGAACAATTCATCAACCTGACGTTGTATGGATCCATCCAAAACCTGAATTATACGGTCAAGAAAGCGGTCTTCTTTTACGACCCGAAACTTGAACCCAACTATAACTACCCAAGCAGCATCGACTGGGGCAACTGGTGGAGCTGGAATCAACCCTCTTCTTATGCAACGGACCGGGCCTACGATTACGTGCACGTCATTGCTGCCTATTGGGCCCTTTACCGGGTCGCGCGAAACTACCCTGCACTCGTTAGCACGCACACGTGGCAGTGGTACATCAATCAGGCGGTCAATACGGTCAAGGCGATGATGAGCTCTAGTGTTGGGTTCAACCTGGATGGACTCATGGGGGAAACTGTTATCCGGTATCTGTTGGACGATTTGACACGCGAGGGCTTGACAGCAAATGCGACGTTTGTGCAGGCGCAGATGAGGATGCGGTGGTCAGGCTGGTCGACCGAGAGATACCCGTATGGGGTTGTTGTCAATTTGGCCACCGCTGATTTCACGATAGGTTCGGTTCAGAGATGGCGTGGGACTCCACAGGACAAGAAGGAGTATGTTCATATTCCAATTTTTCAATCATTTTGACCACCTTAGGTATATGCCTGGTCCAAGTTCTTCAACGACACAACAACTGCCACGAATGCCCTCAATTCCATTCTCGCATATCAACCGTTGATTCCTCATTGGGGCTACAACGGCAACGCGCGGCGCTATGTTTGTCTTCCTGTTCTGTTCACAAACCTCTTCCTAATAGTTGACAGTGGGACAACGTTTATGGCGGAAAATTGATGCGGATTGAACGTCAGATTCACCATTACGGTAGTGGCTTGAACGCTTTGCCGTTATCGAGCGCCTTCCAGACTGCACCGACCGACTACTATCTCTTGCGGGTGGGATATGCGGGACTGAGTGCGACACTCAGCAACATTGATCAAGGAGGATTTGCCGCGGCGTCATTCCATTCGTTCGCTGACACTGTAAGCTGCTTTTTTTTCGCCTACGATGCATGTTTAACATTCTCGTCCAGCTTGCTTGGGACGGATATTCGGGAGATTATGGCCCAAATTTTTCAGGACACAGTTTGGGTATCGGGACGACACTGATCAACCACCCCGACTTTGGCTGGCAAGCATTTGGTGGTACTGTCACCTCCACCAACTCGACGGTGACAGTGCAAATCAAAGACTCTGCCCGCCGGAGGGTGTTCATTGCGCCTATTGCCGCGTTGCTTTCTCTGGACGCTGGAGCGTTTTCTGCGATAAGCTACACGCCCAGTACCCAGACTGTGGTCGTGACAGTGACGCCTGTTGCATCGGGTGCCTCCAGCGCGGCTGCAAATGCACCGAATGCGAGATTGGTGGTGTCGCAGACTGTAGCCACTGGAGGAGTTGGTGTGTTGAAGCCGACAACGACATTCACTACGGACGCAGGTGCCTTCGTGATGGCATATTCGAATGGAGTTGGGACTATAACGCTGAAGGCATCATAAACTGGCCGTTGGGTATCAGATATATTCCATTTTTTGCAATCAACGTCTTGGACGTTCCACCGAACTGCAACCGTGACATGTTGTGAGTTGCATTACTTTGACTCGCCTACTCGCGGCAACGGGGATGAAAATGCACCGTATATCGCTGTCTTGTGGACTGACCCTCGCGAGGGGCAATGGCGATGCCACTACGCACATGCTGGCAAACCAAAACAGCCCATCTCCCTGCTGGACATGTACTTGAACGGCTGGCATGAAACAGACTTTGACGGGAAATAATGGGTACCTGATCTTTCTGTCCCACACGGTAAGCTGGATAAAATTTTGCGCCTTGCTTTTTGACTTGTTATACTACAGAGTCGCGATTCGACCAAAGACTTTTGACGAACGATGCGAGGAATTAACGACAGGAGACATCCGACCAACGACCTGTTTGGTGATTTCTCAGTCGTTCATTGTCTTATTCTATTTGCCAGTAATCAGTGGAGCTTAGGATGGTAGGTATATACCACCGGAGGCAAGACCCAAGGCAGTAGGGCACCTATGCTTGACATGCACTAGGCGCTGTTTCGAGGTCTTCCTCGTGTTGCCCTCGTTTTTCCCAGGGGTTCCAGTCCAAGGCAATGGACAAGGACCCAAAAACCATGCCTACGGTGTGCATAGTGCCTGGGGGTTTGCCTCTGGTATATGTTTACTCACACTGAGAGAGAATACATATGCCAGAAGTGAATCACGTGATTTGCACACATATCTTATCGGCCGCGGCGGAAGCCAGCGCGTTTGTTTTCGAATGCACTTGAAGCTGACGTTATCATCGCGGGCTCAGGCGGCGGTGGCTGGGAACTACATTAACTGCTTGAAATCTCTGGTAGTGGCGCGGACCGATGAGAACCGACATCTGTCAATCATAGATAAGATAATCTCAACGGAGTGGCGACCGACTTGTGCTTTACTTCGAGCTAAATCATCAGAAACCTTTCCCCCACTCTCCAATGGCTCAGACAAGACACAGCATTTCGCGATCTGTATCTCTGGGGACCGTGACTGTGACAAGGTAACGTATTCGTTCTTGACCTCGATCCACGATGTGGTCCATAGTGCCACTCGTATCTCGTGTCTTTTCTCGCTTCTGTCGAAGCATAGCCCTACCTAGCTGCGTGGTAACCTTAGGTGTGCTCAGAGTTGTGGTCCAACGGGTCGCAACACCTCCTTCGCCGACCTTGACAACCACAACGACCAGGACCGTGACGTATATATTGAGATTCCCTCTTCTTCTCACTCTCCCACCCGCCCCTCCTCCTCCTCCCACAAAGACGTTTCCAGTCTTCATACCCGGCACAGTGCCACTTGGTTACGGATTGTACAATCGCCCCAGTGGCACTTCATATCTTTTCCTTGCCTTCGGGTTCGTCTCTCTTGGGGTAGTTTACGCGACAGCAAATCGCCTGGGTTTTGTCAAGACTCTTGGAAAGAATGTAAGACGAACATCTCATAAGCCAGCAAGTGGCTAACATGTACGGCAGACAACTCGAGGTGGCGACAAACTCCAAACTAGCGTCGCTAATATTCTCAAGAGTTTCCGTGTGTCCTGTCGAGCTACTGCAAAAGAGGTATGTTAGACATTGACCGTCATAGTCAGGCGTTAACCAAACCAGGTTGCTGCTTGTTGCAATGCATATTCCGCCGCCGTCATGGGTTTCCCGTCCTCATCGAAATTCCGCACACTGTTGGATCAGACAATCCAAGGTCGAGACAAGCTTCGCACCATTGTGCTCGATGTGTTTCATCAAGTGGCTACCTATTTCGAGGCGTATGCTGCCACAATCGTCGGCCGTCGCGACATCCAATACGCGTGGAGATTACTCGGACTGTTGCTTATATACGACAACACCAACATCTTCGTCGTGCACGACATCGCTGAGGCTTTTTGCAAGTGGTGGCTTCTTCTTTGTCGCCCTGACCCTGGCGGAGCATCCCAAACTGGCGGATCATCCCAAACTGTTGGCAAAACGTACCCCTTCGTTCCTGGCCATCCATTGAGCTGGGACGACTTCCTCCAATACATCACACTCGACGAAGAATCGTTCTGGGGCTGTGCCAACTGGAAAACTCTCAGCTATGCCGGTTTCGTTCCGACTATATGCCACAAGCAACTCCAGCTTGTCAGACCGCTTGGTCGCGGAGGATTTGGAGAGATCGTTGAAGCAGTAACTGCGACCGGCAAACACGTAGCCGTCAAACGAATCTGCAAGGGCGACTGGGTTCCACGTCGCAGTCGGCGAACCCCTAACGGGAGAGAACAACACCAGGAGCGGAAAATGGTCATGGAGGGCTTTCTACGTGAAGTTATTGTGTCGAGATTGATGACAGAGCATGCCTGCTTCCTCGACATATACGGCGTCTGGCACGACACGAGTTATTTTTACCTTGTGATGGTTGGCATCTGGCTCTCTCTCTGTTTGCTTTAAGTACTGATCCAGCGTTTAAAGGAAATGGGCCAGTCGTGTATCAGCAACCTGCAAATCGAACGGTTGCACACTTATTCGCTGGGGCGGCAGTTGGTAAGCTTTTCCCGTCGTGCGACTAGAGCATACGCTGATGTCAGCTTATAGATTGAGGGTGTACAAGCACTCCACAAGAACGGAATAATCCACCGCGATATCAAACCCGACAATCTTCTCCTCAATGGTGAACAGCTCAAAATCATTGACTTCGGTATAGCGCATATTTTTGACGATCCATCGAACGTTGGCCTTTGGGTGGACTCGCCAGGTCGCGAGTCGTTGCAAGACAAAGCAGGGACACCAGGTTATATGTCGCCATTGGTGGAGAAGCAGAAGCCCTACGCGTTCGATGCAGATCTGTGGAGTGTTGGTGTGACTTTGTTCCAGTGGGTGAGGGGAGAGGTATGCGATTCATTTTTCATTTCTGTCCTTCCGACTGACTGTTCCTCCAGTATGTGTTTCCAGAGTTCCACCCCCGCGGCGCGCTCAAGGTGGAGCATAAGACCTTGACTCCGCTCGAATGGGATTTCTTCCGCAGGGTATTTTCGGTGTCTCCAGAACTTCGTTTCAGCAATTGGGACGAAGTTTTGGAGCACCTCATGTGGGACGAGTCAGTCCCCCCATTCTTCCGTTCCGCTGTGTACTGACAATTCTCCAGGCTGCTTGAAGCAGCGCGCTAAGGAAGACGGATGACCGGAGAGGCTGTCGGAGGAATAAGAAGCTCTAAGGACATGCATGTGGGGACGCCCACATCGAGTCTAAAAGTCTGTTTCGTGCGGGACGCCAAGCGATTCAGACTTCTCTTTATAGAGCAATTCCTCCGTCAGTAGTATCCGGTTTCGTCAGCGCCAATGGTTTATTTTTTTCGTCTCTTTTCCTCTCCTGGATCTCTGTTTCTTTATTTTGGCATCTCGTAATTTATTCAAATAAATGGATTTTTATTGAAATTGGGGATGAGATTTCGGACAAAACGTGAATGACTGAACATTTTAGCAAAACTGTCATAGACTAACAGAACTACCTGATTCGAGCCCGTTATCTCCGTTCCAAAGCACTGTTGTATCGAGCTCAAGTCTGAACAGCTCCGGTCGCCGATAATGTCCTGCGGCGTCAATCCACACCTTAACATCTCTTAACACGCCGAGGTCGATATCTGCCTCAACCAGCTGCTCCTCACCGCCTTCGTGTGGGCCTGCCAAGTACAGGCAGAATGGATGGATAACCGCGGACCACCCTCCCCCGAGTTTTACCGACTCTTGATGACCAAGATTTGCCTCCATCCATTTAAGGCAAGTTTCGTCGACAAAACTGGAGGCGCAGACGACAAAGGTTTGACACATCAGCGCGTGGCTTTGGGCTAGCGCGGCAATCTGTGCGTTGGCGGAGTCCTCGAAGCCGGCCATGGTGTTGAGGGCCGGCCAGGCTGCGGCGTGTATGTGCTCGTTTTGGTCGATGAGAGCTTGTCGGGCGAGATGCATTGTGTTTTCCCAACAACACAGGCCTAATCCAAGTCAATGCCTTATTAGTAGTGGATAATTTAGAATGGCTACCCCCCCAGATTGTACCCTGCACCGAATTTATACGTCTTCAAGGTTGCGCCACCGCCTTGGGCCCAGACTGCGCGTTCGACATAGGTCGGCTGGACTTTGCGATGAACTCCCAGTAAGTCTCCGTTTGCATCGATATTGACTTGGCTGTTGAACAATGTGTACCCGCCTCCGATTCTTTCAGATATGCCAAGGCTGACTGCGACGCCGGCTTCTTGGCAGGCTTTGCGGATCGCGAGTATTTCTGTTGCCTCCTCACCGGAGACGACAATGGATTGCTGTTTACCTCGTGAGAACGCTGATATCAGGCTATCAGCGGTTAAGACGTGTACCTCTCCATATCGAGCAATGGCTGAGACGACTTTGAGTGGAGGGTAACATTCGATGAAGTATGGGTAGCCTGGAATGAACGTTTCTGGAAAGACGAGAAGATCGATTCCACGAGAGCCTGCTTGCTTGATGAGCGCGATAACCTTAGTGGTTGTTGCCAGCTGAATTGGAGCTGATCAGAGTTTGTGCTAATTTCCGGGGAGAAAGTCGTTGACCTTGTCCATGAACACTGGTGCTGCATGAACGGCCGCTGCCCTAATTCTTGCAGTGCTCATGGCACTCTATGAGAAGGACTTCTGACTTGACTTGAACTTGACTGCATTTCCCTTGGCTCTCCACGGTCAGCCAACATTTGAGCCGCTGCGGACCGGAAACTTGAAGGTTTGGAGCAAGACGTCACGAGTGGGTCACGCTTACGTGAGACTTGAGGCGGTCCAGAGACGACGACCATTTCTACACTTTCTCTTCTCCTCCACTAACTCTACGATCGATGGGTTGCATCCGGCCCGCAACACCAGGTAGACTTGAATACAACCCACTTCTTTCATAGGCTTATTTTCTCCAGGTTTCCTCCTCACGGCCCTGGCAACAGCTCTTCTTGCCGTCGTATCGTTTTGTGTCCCTTACTTCAAGTCTATTTTCTTCTTGCAAGCCGATATTTCGTCGAATGGAGTGAGTGGGTCCATCACATTTGGGACGCTGGGCTACTGTGTCAATCTGGCGGGCACAACGACTTGCTCAAAGCCAGCGATAGGATATGAGCTTGGTGCGTGAATGAATGTCTCTGGAAGAATATCTTCTCAAGTCTCGTTAGACATCAACGGTCTTGTCGGGAACAGGCTGCCCATCCAGATTCCGACAGTCGTCGTCAAATGGCTCACATACGCTCTTTTCCTCCATGTCATTGCCCTTATTCTTGCTGCGGGGGCCGCTATATTTGGCCTCTTGGCGCACGTCCGGGAGATGTCGATGACCTATTGCTCCACCCTGATTTCGGGCTTCGCAGCGGTTGTCGCCCTTCTGGCCTTCATCTTCGACTTGGTCCTATTCTTCATCGCCAAATCCCGCATAAACGCTGTCGGCAAAGCTACTATGGGCAATGCTATCTGGCTAACCCTCGCCGCCTGGATTCTGCTGTTCTTTAGTGGATGCTTTTATACTGTTGGAAGATGTTGCATCTCTAACCGCAAACGCGGCGACTGGGACAATCGCAAGACTGCCCCAGACCCCCATGCCGCTTATCGTGCTGAAGAAGGACTTCGTTTGGATGCGATCAAGGCTGAAGCTGACCGCAAGGCACGCCAAAAGGCCAGCGAAGAGGGTGGCTTACCCGCTTTCCATGAAAGACAGCCCCTCAACACAACGGCTTACGATGATGGATCCAATGTCTACACAGATAAACCCCATACAGTTGGTGGTTATGCGCCTGCCACTCCCGGAACTCGGACCGTCGACCAGTATTATGAGAATGCCTACAACTCGTCGGCTTATCCTCCTCCTCCCCAGCGCAATAATAATAATTACGCGCCTTCGACTTATAGCAACAATGCACCTCCACAGCGTCAAAACACATACCCCACACAACAATACCAGTCGACACCACCAGCACAACCAACCTACCAAGCCACTCCTCCAGCCCAACAACCGTACCAATCCACTCCTCCTGTCCCACTGCCATATCAATCGACTACTCCACAACAGTCATACCCTCCGCAACAATCGTTATCACCACCACCGGGCGGTTTTGCCGCACTGGGTGCAATTCGAACTGCATCTCCTCAGCAGCAACAGCCAAACCCTTACCTTGACCCCAACCCCAACCCCAACCCATACTTGGGTCACGCTCCTCGAGGAACGTCTTATCACTCTGCTGCTTCACATGGTGGAGATTACTCGCAGTACGATCCGTATGACGCCGGAGTAAATGCACAGGCGCAAGGAGCCGAGTATTTCAACCAGTCTCCTTACACCACCCAATACAACACGCCGCAAGGCCAATCTCAGTATTCAAATAGTCCAGCCCATGACGACCCTTACGGCGGGTATTCTGGTGGGGGTGATGGCTATGGGCAGAATACCGTTCCGCCGTTGGCTACGAGTGGCTACTTCCCTGCAGCTGGCCCATCGGCGGACATGCCTCCCAAATCACCCTCGTCGCCAAAGGGTCCGAGAAGCCACCGACATTCGCTCCGCGCAATGAACATCGCGGAGGAAGAGCCACCTCGGTATGAACAAGGGTCAGAACATGTACCGGGGGCCTGGGGCAAGAGCTAGTGAATAATTTTACTCGTATTTAATGTACCACGGACCTCTGCTTGACTTTCTGTATTGCCGAATACGACTTGTTTACAATCCACGCAGCGGTAACCATTAATCTGAGACTGAATGATTTTGGCAGTCACGTGTGACAACGCGTTTTGTCCCATGTCGGGAGAGTCGTCGAAACGGTCGAACCTCATTGACGTGTATGTTCCTTATTCACGCGTTGAGACCTAACTAAACAACGCCTAGATCATATGGCCAGCTTCACCAAGCCCTGTCTGGGCGATTGGAGGGCACGACCAGCGACCAACTCATAGAGTACATTACCCCACGCCTCGACACCCTCCGACACATCGCAGAGCCCTTCGGCAAGCCGTCAGACGCGTCGAAGAAGAAGATTGACGGCGGCGCTGTTGCGCTCAGCGACGGGGTCACTGTGCGGATCGACGATGCCGACAAAGAGTATGTGTTGGCGGTCAGCAAAAAGTTCCAGATTGACCAAGTCCACGCACTGGTACTCCTGCGCTCGTTTCTCTACAACAAGGGCCTGCCGGCGACGGCGAAGGAGGGCAAAGATTCGTTTGTGGACGAGCTGGTGGAGTGGATCACACCATTCTACTTTTCGGAGCGGTTGGCGGTGTTGAGGGTCCTGTTACCACTTTTCCGCGCCAGGGGAGACCCTGACGACCCGCTATACGACTTTGCCACCACGTTTTTGCCCAAGATTATCCCGGACGGACCGAAATTTGTGGAACTCTTGTTGGCGGAGTTCTCGAAACGAACAAGGACGCAAGTCACGGCCAGAACCCCGAAGGATGCCGCGTTGGAGGCGAAGCAAAGTTGTGCGGAGCAGTTGGTGCTGTTGGAGGTGCTGTTTGCGACGATGTGGGACTATGTCAAATGCGATGGGAGCATGGTCGCTAAGCTCTACGAAACGGCATATGAGACGGGCATCGGAACCATCCAGGCGAATACTGCGCTATTACTGGACAGCGAATCGAGTCAATTACTTCAAGACATTGCAACACTGTGGACAGTCATCATGGTCGAGATTTTGGAGCTCGAGGCGTTGGCGGATCCAGCAGGCAGAATCGAGATATCAGACAACCCGATAGACACTAGCGTTTATACCGCTTCCGCCAAGTCACTGCAACGAATCCACGAGCTCGTCATGGCGAACGATGACGGCCAATATGTGATCGTGTACATTGCGTGGGCATTTGTGGTCTCTCGGTTGGCAGACACCGCAAGTAAACTCGAGTCGATACCAGACACGTACCGCCAATTCTTCGAAACAATTCTCCCTCATCTCCAACGAAATTCCAAAGATCGAGAACCAGCACATTTGTGGATGACCAGGACCGCACTTGCTCCGGGAGCTGGGTTGTTCGGCCTTTTGTTCAGCTTCTTGACAGACTCGCCACTATTTGTGGCCTCTGTTGCATGGAAGCGCGCATCTGGAGTGACCGATCCTAACGCAACAGCCTATCGTTCAGTTATCAAAGGTGCTTGATTTGGTCAAGTGTCAACAACACTCACGTATCTGCAGGACTTCTCATCGCCATCGTCGAACTAACTCCGGTCGAACATATTGCGGATTCGGATGCGTTCATCGATGTCTGGATAGCTTTGTTTGGTCGCAGTGAAAGCAATGTATGTTTTTTTTGTGGTTTTTTGTTATATTTCATTCATTTATCTGTTTCTTCTTTAGTCCGTTGCCCTCATATGTGCCCAGTATTGGGAGTCGGACTGGCACGTCTCCTCCGCCCGCCGCGCCATCTTCGACGTTGCTCGTTCCCGCTTCCCTATCAACTTCCAAACCCTCATTCGCCTTCTCCGCGCTATGACCGGCAACGGCTTCCTCGATACAGATCCGCTTTGCTCGACCCAAGAAGGCCCTCCGACCCGTCTTGCATCTCAAGCTGCTGCGCGCGACTCCTGCGCCCGTCACGTGTTCTACTACCTCGAAAACCTCACGACCTATTCCCAAGTTGTCCCTATCCATTTGACAACAGGCCCCAACGCGATGATAGAACGCAGTGGCCATCCAAACACACCTGTCGGGCTCAGTTATGCCAGTCAAAGGCAGATTCGTCTTCCCGGCGGATCAATGATGCCTTCCGGGTCCTCCGGCAGGCTGCTCAATAGTGATGGGGCAGAGTGGCTCATCGTGTGTTGGCAACATCAGCACTCTGGGTGGAAGCTCATTTTGGAGGTCCTGACTGACTACGTAAACAAACGTCAGGTTCTTTCTGGGGGTTACTCGGATGTGTCGTTTGCGCCGCGCGGGGCGGGCCAGCCCGTGACTGTCCGTTTGGAGGATGTCGGTGTCGAAACCAACTCCGGGGGGATTAACGAGACTGTGATAACACACGCGTTGGATTTGGTGCAGAGTTTGATCCAAGACAGTCCTGCTCAGGCTGAACAGCTGATGCAAGCCTTCGAAGCTGGAGATCCCGTCGTTTCACACACCATGACGGAAGCCCGACCGCCAGACCTGGTCCAACTCACGACAATGATATTGGAAGACGCGTTAACCTCTTCCGGGCACCGAAGTAACGGGTATCGAATTCAGCTCATTACATCCGCCATGAGCGTTCTGTCTGCCATATTGGCGTTGCCTCGATATGCTCATCGCGTCTGGTTATACGTTCGCTCGACAGGGGCTTTGTTCGGAGAACGGGGTGCGGGTTTTGGATCAGTTGCTTTAGCTGCTGAAAAAGTCAGTGGGCGATATACGATGACGCTGGGCCTTTTGCATCTTGTCCAGCGGTTGGCCGCGGAGGCCTTTTCATCCGTTCTTCCAGACAATCCGAAACTTCTGCAGCTCAAAGAGGAGGTGTTGATGCGGGGGATCCGCTTTGTGCATACGGAAGTTTGGGTTGAGCATTTAAGCTGGAAGTATGCGCAGAAGGCGGAGCGGTACGACATCGGCCAACAAGTCATGACTTTCTATGGGACGATTCTCGAGCATGCACCGCCAGTTTTAGATGACTCCGCAACGGTTAGTGCTAGTTATACATCTTGAAGCTTACACTCACGATACCTAGAAATATCCGTTTGCGAAACTTGTGCAAACAGTGCTCGACCTGACACTGTTCAAAGCTACAACCTCAACAATCAATCCCTTGGTCTCGACAATAACGTCAGGCATCTCCGTGCTGGAATCACTATACGACTCGCGGCTCCATGCGGATGTCCGCCGATTGGTCTTTTGTCTTGAAGCCCACCTTCATCTGGCGCGGATTGTGATGAACCTAAAAATCAATACTCGTTCGACCAAGCCCTGCTTATTGGAACAGTTGTTTTGTACTCGTGTCACTGGCGGAGCTTTTTCGCGCGATTCCAACACGTTCGTCAAGGCGGACCCAATCGAGGTGCTTGCTCTTTATGTCAAACAACGAGGGATGGGGAATGTTGTTCCCGTCGAGGCTATGCGTGTGTTATGCGCCTTGCGCGCCTCATTTGCATTGATATCCCCCTCACCACCAACCATCATTGCCCATCTAGGCAACCCCGAAACAACGGTTGCTTCACTTGTCCAGATCATCCAGCATCCTTACGAGGATATGACTTTACGCGGCGCCGTTTGGAACTTCCTCTCCCTGGCTGTCGCATCCGAGCCTGCTCTTGGTGGCTTGTTTGTCAATGGCCGATTCCGCACCCCTGCCCAGCTAAAAGGCAAAGCCAAAGCAATAACCGACAGCCCAGCTGACGAGAGCGCTGAAAGTGCATTGGATGTTGCGACGGACATGTTGGCTGGATGGAGCGAGATGTGGGATATGAATCCGCAGCTATTGTCTTCCGTCTTGAAGTTTTTGGAGGTCGTTTGGGAGCATGGACTGGAACATCGAGGAGTTCTTGAAGGCTTCAGAGACAGCCCCGAATTCTGGGACCGCATAACAAACCTGGCTTCCAAAGAATTGGGACCAGTCCCAGAATACGAGTCTGGTGTTTTCGAAATAGTCGATGGTATTCGGCGGTCGGCACATCACGAGGTTGTTTCGATGCATACTTATCGGACCCTGGCGAAATCGTATGCTCTGAAAATCATTGCCCATGACATTGGAATGCATTTCGCCGTTAATAAGGATGCCGCCAAATCCAAGCCGATTAGTTTCACCAAGATGGAACCGCGATTCCGGTCTTCGGATGATTTGAGTGAGCTGTTGTTGGAGGCAACACCCAGCTCGTATGACCCATCTCTATACGACGAGCTGGCTGAACAATTGAAGGATGGCTTCCCTTCGTTGACACTGGAGCAAGTCCGGTCATTCGAATCCGCTGCCGAGCGGGAGTTTGGAGATGACTTCATCTTCTCTACTTCACTATTCCACACCCGCATCAACGCTTACCAGAGCAAATTTCCTGCAGACCACCGTGACTCTCTGGTCGCGCAAGTTCACCTCATCAACATGAATTTGTCTTTGACCCAGTCCCAAACTGCGCTGGCTGAATCGTGGCAGTTGTTGCTCCAGAAAACGGTTCCTTATCTTCGAGGAGACGCCACTGTCGCACCCTTGCTTATGGCTAGCGCTGCGTCGATGTCGTATGATATTGCAGCTGAAAAGCGTTCTGGGGATATGATGTCAACAATACACGGAACTAGATTGGCGTTGTTGTTAGCCGTCTTGGAGGTCGTATGGTTTGCGGCGACAGATAAGAAGCCCGAGATCCAGTCTTTCGTCGACCTCGTTAACAACGTGCAAAACATCATTCTCAATGAAGCCCAGCCGCCCTCCAAATCATTCCTTGGCGCGCTTTCAGTCCCTTTCCATCGAACACTCCTACTCATCCTCTACTTCTGCGCGCGCAACTGCGGCATTCTGGCTCGACGCGCTAAAGCTCTGAATGCTGACCAACGACTGAAGATTGCTTCCATGATCGATGCGGCGTTAGCAATGGTCATTGATGCCCTTCGCGTGGTTTTCGACGCAGCACGAAGTCGAGTGGATGTAGAACTCGACAGGGACATGGAGTTTTTGGTTTCGCTGTTTGAGCAATGTACCCGGTCGGACGTTAACCCTTCGACCACGCTCTGGCTTGTTCGCTGTCAAGAAAGCGACATTATCCGCGCCAGTTTGGACCTCTATGTCCATATCGACCTTGCAGGACTGTCGGATCTTCCGTTGCTCCTTGCACGAAAGCAGCCACTCTATGCTCCACATATTCTGCTCTTCCACATGGCCCTGGCCTCAATCCCTTCAGCTGCCGAACGATTTGCGAGCGAGGGCGTTTTAGCCGCTTACAGCAACAATTCGCTCAGCGCGGCCATCAGTGCCGGAATGATTGATGTCACGTTACCGGAAATGCCGGGTCATAGGAGTCCGGCGCATACTGGCTATTGCGCGATGCTGGCGATAGTTTCGGGAGTTGTGACCGCACTGGGACGCCAAAACCACTACTTTGACGCCGAGGCCAGCGGTTTGATCCAGTTATACGGCGAGCAAATCATCCGCTCACTTTCGTGGACGATTGGCGATCCCATAACGCTGCCGCTTGTGGAGGAGCTGGAGCACGTTGTCAACGTATTTTACTCGATTGCAGAAGGCGCGCCGGTGTCGCAAACCAACGTCAACCCTGCGGTCGAGAAAGTGCTTCATGCGTTCCCCATTCCCGCGCTGCGACTGCTGCAGCAACTTAACTACGCGTTGACGCATCCAAATCATCTCGCGAGTCTGTTTGAGCCTGTGACTACCGACGAGCGGACACTATTGGAGAAAGACCCGCCAGCAATGGACCCCCTCAAACGGCCACTTATTGCCCATCTCGTCCATCGGTTGTTCCGCCTCTCGAGCAACATCCTGTCGACGCTGGTCACCGTCAACCGCGCGTATTTGGTGTTGACGAGCGATAGGGATGACTGGCCAGTCCACGAAGCGTTGATTCAGCCGGTATGTGTAATAAGCTGGTCGAGGTAGTTGCCTGACTCTTTTTTTTTTGTATAGCACTCGAAAGTTGTCCTTGGAGAAGCCGCATCGATGGGCACGCTTCTGGAGCTCGGAAATTGCACGCTTGATGTGTTGCGCGATCTCGTCAACCGACCCGCTGGCCAAAGTCTTGCTGATGTGGGGGCCATTCCGGGCACTTTCCCGTTGGATGTCCGACAGGGAGTGAGCACTGCGCGACGGAACCTTGAGGCGCTGCTTATCTACGCGGTCACACAACTGGTTATGTCGCTGTCAAAGCCTGACACGACCGAAGCTAGCGGTGGGGAGGTGGAGATGGACACGGAGCACGTGGAGGAACAACGACGGGCACCAAGAGCGTCGTTGTCGCTTGCGGACCGACTAAGGCGAGGTGTCACAGGCGAAATGGCGGCCGATCTGCAGTCGCTGCTGACGAAATCCAAGCCGATTGTGGCCAAATGTGATTCTGTGGTCGGAGGCACACCTGCAGTCGATTTGACGGGGGTGCTGGCGAACTTCTTACAGGAAAGAATACTGGTCCAGCAATAAAAAGTAGCATTAGTTTTGTAATAGTTGGTCATTCTGCGAGAACATTTGAAATTTAGGGAACAACACAATTAGGTGCTAGGTCCGGTAGCTCTCCGATGGAGGCATGTACCATATTACTGTCAGGGGAACCTCCCTTTCGGCCCCTCGGAGACGCCTCCGATTCCGGTCCGACTCCGGTTCCGTCTCCGGTCCGGCCCTCCATCTCGCCCGCACAATCACCGATCCGTCAACACCCTCCCGACGGTCGCCCTGGGACCTCGCCTGCGACGCCGCCCAAGCCTTCTGTGCCCGACAGCGGCAGCTACGGACAAGCAGTATATAGTCAGCTACCTAGCAGGCGGACCCTTAGAGTTTCTTCTCTTCGGATCCTCCCCTGCTAGGTCAGCTTCATTTGTATTCGCTTACCAATGTTCACTCTTCGGATCCTCCCCTGCTAGGACCTTGATCTCAGGCCTCCGGGGTTGCCCTTACAATTACAAACAAACAAACAAACAAACACCGTTGATGGCGTTGATGGCATTGGCATACAAGTGTCTACAGGATATGTAATTACTTTTTATTATGTAAAAGAATCAGAGGTTGTAGAATTTTTGGGGTATTTCTCGTTGTCGCTAACTCCTTGACTGACTTAATGAATGAGGGAGAGCAATGCTGGCTGCCAAGCTTTGCGTCATCATTTTAGCATCAGCATCAACCTCAGCGTCAGCATCTATGCTCTCATGTCAGATCACGCTCTTGTGTCAGATAACGGTCATATTTTAACACATCTAAATCTCCTGCAATCATGTACACTGGCGTAGTCTACTTTCACCAAAAGCTGGTGCAGTTGACTATTATTATAATATAGCTTTTTTTGTTGGAGAACGACACCGGACTCAGGCTGTCTGTCATATGGCACAGCAATACTGACTAAAGACCAATTCCCTGTCGATGGTGACACACATCATCAACTTCCTGTGATCCCATCACTGAGTTTCAATCCCAGCACAACACCAACAACTTCCCATGCACTATAATCCAGTTGTCCTTTGTCAGCCTATCTCTTGTTGTCCAATTGTCGTGTGTGGGCTGCTTGCCTCCGCTACCTGGGTTGTGAACCAGAGTCTCTCAACCCCCAAGGTGCGTTTGTAGTCTTTCTTTTGGTTTTGGTGCCTGCTGACTTACTACAGCTCTTCCTCATTGAAACTCGCTTGGAGGAATATGATCTTGATAAGAAGATTCTGCGCGTAACTTTGGTGCGTCATTATTTCAGTCACCACTTCAGCGTTCTGTTTGCTTACCTTTGTCTTGTGCGCCAGTCTCGCGCTATGTTCGCGAGTGGGTGCACTGGCGTCTCAGCCTTCATGTCACTATGTCAACAAGGCATTCCTTATCTCACATGCACTGTAGAGCATGAGCAAGTTAACTGTTGCAGTATACTTGATCTGCTGTAACAAGAAACACCAAGATGACAATGCGAGAATTGTGCTATCTCCCAGCAGACTCCTGCTTCATGTAGTTGGATGCCAGTGTCAGGTTAGTATATGTAAGATGTATCCCTTTTCTTATCTTTTGCTTCCAATATTACAAGAACTCACTGGACATAGCCAAGTCTCAGCAAGAAAGTATACTTCTAAGGTTAGCAAAGATAGGAATGGGAATGGGAAGAGCACTCTTGGGATAAGTATGTTGCTGAAATGTACTTATGTTGATCAAGTATTCTTAATGGGAAGGTGTGAGGATAAAACTTGATTTTCCAAGGATAACATGGTTGTTGTCCTTGATCGGTATACCCCGTAGCGTAGCACGGGCTTATGCTAGTGGGATCAAATGCCGTTGATGTGGAAAGTTGGGTCAATCTGGAGACATTCTGCTGTGTGTTGTTTCCATCATCTTGTTAGGACCTCGACGCCATTCTCCGTTATCAAGACCATATGCTCTGTTTGGGCGCTGCGTGCGCAATCCTGAAAGAGTTGAATGTCAGGGTAGATCAGGGTCAAAAAAGTACCTCTGTTGATGCAGTCCAACCATCCGGGAAAATCCAGCATGTCGGCTGCTTGCCTTGGATTATGCAGGGCTGCCTCTTATTTAGTAAAACGACGAAGCGAGAAGAACGAGTCACTTCTATCGTAAAACAGTGGCCAGGTTCCATACGTTCGACTTCCTCGTTGACAATATGGAATATCCATGGCTTGCGATGGAATTCCGAGCCGATACCATGACCGGAGAACATCGGGGACGCGGAGAAGTTGGTGTTACGCAGAACATCGTGAATTGCTCTGCCTATATCCCGAAAGGGCCGGCCAGGGCCGCACGCGGAAATTCCAGCCTCAACGGCTTGATTGGCCATGCTAACCGTTTCACGGCCTGCAGTATCCTGTAGTCTTATTCAGATTTTATGGAGCAGAAGAACCGAGTGGGACGTACTACATCACCGACGAAAAATGTTTCTGCAGTGTCGCCGTGGTAGCCATTGAGATAGACCGTTATATCGACGCACACAATGTCGCCGTTTTCCAGCGGACGACTGAAAGAAATTAGATGGCGAGGGAACGCATTAGAAACCTACTCGTCTGGGATTCCATGCGTGATGATATTGTTCACGCTACTATCATGAGTAAAGAAAGGCAAATTGAGCAGTAAACAAACCTCGTACAGCAAGAACGAGGGAACCCGGAGTATCTGAGGGGTGACGGGTATGCAGAGCTCTCGATGATGCGGTTATGGACGGCTTCGTCGATCTCGTTGGTAGTAATGCCAGGCTTAACACGACTCAGTTGAAAAAGAGCTGTGAGATCTATACCGAACACACCTTGACCAGAGACCCAGCAAACACGCGTACTTCGCGCGCGAGCTTTGCCGCAGCTCTCAAACGCCTCTCTGCGTCACCCCCGAGGAAGACTTTCCCATCTACATCTGCATTAGTTGTTGGCCGGCCACCAGCGTAATCCGGTCTGAGGATGTGGGTTGGTACACTCCGCTGCGTAATATGGCCTACGCCGTAGACGAAGGGCTCCTGAGGTAGTATTACAGAGTAGTTGCCAAAGTCCTGGAAGGCCCGGCTCAACCGTGGGGGTACGCGTCGTGGAAGTCGGGACCAAAGCATTCGGGTCACGGGATCGGCGCGGCGATGACATAATCCGCCTTCTCAGTTGCCGCTCCCGACCCGGCGACCCGGAGGTCAAAAATCGTAGAATGGCCAATCTTCACGTCCGAAACTAAGGCCGCGCGCTTCATTCGCCGCAGATAGCCATGCGCAGGGAATTCCGGTATCTGTTGGCATAATCCACGTCAATCATTTTCACCACCTTGCTGCAAGCGGTTCTTCTTCTCTCATGGCCACCACGTACAGTGCGTGGCTCGCAGTCCGGAAAGGCGAACCTGCAGAGGCCGTTCAACTAAAATCTGACCTTCCTGTGCCGACCACGATCCCCAAGAATCATGTTCTTGTCAAGGTGCTTGCAACGGCTCTGAACCCAGTGTAAGTTTGCCGATAATCTCTCACTATTTTGCGGCTGAAGCAGCCCAGAGGCTACAAGCTTCTCCGCTCTATGCCCAATTTTGTCATGGGTCGGCCTCATCCTATGGAACAAGACTTTGCCGGCGTAGTTGCCGACGCCAACGGAACGGATTTCAAAGTTGGAGACAGAGTCTTTGGAGCGAGCCCGAGTCCCAAGAATGGGACCCTTGCGGAGTATACTATCATCCCTGCCGATGTATTGGCCACCATTCCGCCCAACATCTCGGCTGTTGACGCGTCCGGTCTGGCTACAGTGATGCTCACAGCTGTCCAAGCACTGAAGGACTTGAAACTCGAGAAGGGGCAGACTGTCTTCATTAATGGAGGCAGCTCGGCTGTCGGATGGAGTGCTATCCAGCTCGCGAAAGCCAAAGGCTACCGAGTTGTAGCAACTGCGAGTGGGAAGAACAAAGAGTTGCTGCTGGGACTAGGTGTGGACGAAGTGAGCCGTCTACAACGTTTGATTGCATTCAAAACTAACGAATATAGTTCATCGACTACACAGAGTCGCCTCTTGCTGAGCGACTCAAATCTACCCCACCTTCGCCTCAGTTTAATGGGATCCTTGACGCTGTCGGTCTGACTGATCCTGCCCTCTACCTCAACTGCGCAAAATATCTTGCGCCGGGTGGACGATATCTCACAGCCGGCACCCTTCCCCACAGCGGAGCGGAGTGGGCAGGCCTGATTCGCCAAGTCCTGGAGGGCCTCCTGCGACCGTCCTGGCTGGGCGGTGTTCCCAGGAAGTTTGGGTGGGTATTTTCGCTCCCTTGCCGCCACAGTATTCTCACCAACTTTCCAGGGCTGTTGCGGTCAAGTTTAAGAAGCAGGATTTAGACGACATCCGCCAACTTGTCGCTGATGGTATGTCGATGCACTCTATTCGCAACCTTGAATGATTGTGTTTAGGGTCCGTCAAACCAATCGTCGATTCTGTGTATACTTTCGACCGCGATGGTGTGATGCGTGCGTATGAGAGGCTGATGACGAAGCGCGCTGTTGGGAAAGTGGTGGTTAAGGTAGCGGATGAGCAGTAGCGGTTTCATGAAGGGCATCTTTCGTGGTGGAACTTGTGTTGATCATGAAGAAGATTATCGAGCAGTCATCGCCGTTAGATGTTGAATCTAAGTGGGTATTGATAACCCTGAACGGTCGAGGCCTTCTGAATTGTGGACTACTCCTGAGGTACACATCGCAAGAAATGAAAATTGGTACAGTGAACTGGCGGTCTAGACCACTCCTGAGATAGGTCGACGAGAAAGGGGTGAAGCAGTGGTGAAGCTGTTCCACGTGCAGTGTTGCCAAGGTTTCGACCCCGCAGTCGACAGCGATGTTTGTAATGCTCATGACGATCAAGCAACTATAGAGCCAAAGAATCTCAGTGGTGGTCCATTATTGTGCGGCGCAAACCCAGCATCGAGCGAGTCGAATAGACGCGCCAAAAGAATACGACCGAACTCGGGTCCTCGTCGGCAGAAGCAGGGAGATTCAGAGTCTGAAGATCACATGTCCGTTTCTTCGGTTATTATTTGGAGCCCCACACCCACGCTCTTATCCTCTCTCCACCACGACGACAACTTGGACGAGAGGGCTTGCTGTCGTCTCCCCCGCTCTCAAACGGGAAACGTCGCCCCCCAAGGATCGACAATGCTTCTACCTACCGCTCTTTTGTTACTTTTGGCGAGCTTCTCTGCCGTTAATGGAGCGGACCCCCTTCGTGCGTTTAATACAATCTATCTCTTGCTTCTAAGCTCATCCAAACCCATCTCATCGTAGCTAACCCGCCTTTCTCTTGGTTGAGCATTCCACAAATGACGACTTGCCAGTCTGCGCCAATAAATTGGTTTTTTGGCACTGCTCCAGTAGACAACCCCATTACCCTCTACATTTCAATCACAAACGCAGGAGTCACCCAAGCCCCAGCCCCGTCAAAAACTTCGACGGGTGCGTTCTCAACGGCACGCAATCCCAGAGGCTATGTCAGCAGTGAACGGACACGGAGGGCCGACCCCGAGTTGTTGACGATGCAAATCTCTGGCTCACTTCCTGCGGACTTGCGTAGCTTTACCTGGCCCTCAGCCAATGTCACCTCTGGGTGGTATGCGCTAATTGCTACATTCCCGACTACGAGCACGGTTCAGGTGTCAAACCCATTCTTCGTCCAAGCTGGGTCAGATGTATCCTGTTTACAAACCACAGCGCCTTCTTCACCAACAAGCTCATCCTCGCCGCCTCCAACTTCGACTTCGAGTGGGAACCCATCGTCTTCTTCAGGCGTCGTTCTTCCCGTAAATGGCGCTTCATCATCCAATGTTAATCGAGGGGCCATCGCTGGTGGGGTGATTGGAGGGCTTGCGGTCATTGCGGCAGTCATCGCAGCTTTCTTTTACTTCCGATATGCCTCTGGGTCGGCCGTAAGCAAGAAACGCTCGCGCAAATGGAACGGGATTAGTTCCACCGACTCCAAGGCCCCAGCTGTTGGGCGACACCATTATCAGTCAGAGTCGATGGGTCCGCTCAATTCAACTTCTGGACTGGGACACGACAATAATGTCTACGTTATCGGCGGAGTTGGGATTGACTCTCGACCCTCACGAATCAACACGGGCCTTGAGGAAGAGGATGTGGCAAACTCATACTACTCGCCTTCGCAGGAGAAGTTCTCTTCTCCGGGCCACGGTTCGCCCATACGCTCACCATTCTCTGACTCGGGTCACGTGGACGATGAGGTCCCGCTGGACCTTATAACGCCTTTGCCCAACGTTACACGCAACTCATCTACCTCGACCGCTTCCCACATGAGCAGAAACAACTTCAGTCGTCCCCGCTCCCATCCGAGCTCACCATATGCCTCGCCTACCTCGCCAGAGCCGTCTACCGAGTCGTATCCACCGTCGTCACCCTTCCCGTCTGGGGCATCAGCCGAAGCAACCTCACCCATCAACCCTGCCCCGCTAGCGACGAGAAGAGGGTCGACCAGTGAAGGTCAGGGCCGCCGTGTCGCTAGGAAGGCGGTCCCCCAGTACAACCCCAACGACCCATCCCTCGTCTCGCAAACGTCTGTCGGTATTCCCGAATCAGAGAGCAGCAGCAGCCTCGAGGGCCCGAGTGTGCCCCAGCTTCACCACCAACACAGTTTTGGGGAGGGCAAGCCGGTGCATTATCTGATGCCAGATATGCCCCCTCCGCAGCGGGGTTGACCAAAATGTTCGTTTATGTGTATTATATCATATCATACTTATCTGTGGACGTTGTTGTTGTTTTCATGGCCGTTTATAGTACTGTGCTTTCTTTGTGTAGTCACAGTAGTGGACCACAAATATTTTTACGAATCCGAAAAATGGCCGAATTGTTAAGTTGCTTTGGATCTGTTTCACATTCTTGATATTCACTTTATTGTAATTGGACGGCGAGTTAAGGTACTTTGCTCAAGGCTTCACTAGCTTCACTAGCTTCACTTACTTGAATTTTTTCTTGTCACTGATCATCATCATCAACTCCCTTTGGTCCGAACATCGATGTCCAACTTGAAGCCCTTCTTCTTCAATGGCGTTCACAACCTGTTCACAACGAACAATGTCAGCGTTGCGGGCCGAACAACCCCAGTCTCATGGTGCTCATGGAGTTTCCGAACCTCGAAGTCGAATCTCGTGAGCAGCACAACCGGCTCGTCGCTGCCGCACGCAGTGTCTTCTCTGAATAAAAGGCTCGTTCTTTGGCGGTCTTTGCAACAATGAGAGCCCAACTTTTTTTCATCGCCTCCGTGGCTTGTGTTGTGCGCGGTCTACCGACATTCGACGGTAGCAAAGACATATGGTTCACCTTCCCGGGATTCTTTCCCACCTTCGAGTCCTCATTGCCCATTGGCAATGGCCGCGTTGCGGGCTCTATCTACGGTGGTGCCTCCGAGGTCATTGGCGTCAATGAGAACTCCATCTGGTCAGTTTTCAACTAACAATCATTTGGTCAGTTTTTGACGAGTAAGTGACCCAGGTCCGGACCGTTCCAGGACCGAATCGCATCCACGGCTGCTTCGGCGGTGCCTGTTGTGCGCAACATGCTCCTCGCAGGCAACCTATCACAGGCGAGGGCATACACCTACGAACACATGATCACGAGCGTGACCAGCCCGCGCTCCTACAGCTATTTTGGCAACATCAACATCGATTTTGGGCATGCGGGGAAGACCATGACGAACTATGTGAGGTCGCTTGACACGCGACAAGGTGTTGTTGGTGTGCAATATACGATTGGGGGAGCCACATTCTCGTACGCCCATTCTCATTAGCATTGATGGACCTTATTCATTTTATAGGCGCGAGTACATTGCAAGCTACCCAGCCGGAGTATTGGCAGCACGATTTAAATCCAGCCAGAAAGGAACTCTAAATATGACGATTACAATGACGGGAAACATCAAAATACTCTCGCTCGTACCTTCTGCCGCCGCCAACAATATCAGTTTGACTCTTCGTGGATCGAGTGGCCAATCCGTTAGTCCTATTCTGTGGACCGGTCAAGCCCGTTTGGTTCCAGATGCAGGAGCCACTGTGTCCGTTTCAGGGCAAAACCTCGTCATTACCAAGGCGACTCAAGTCGATATGTTCTTCGACACCGAGACCAGCTTTCGCTACACCAGCCAGGCCGCTTGGGAAGCTGAAATGCTTCGTAAAATCAACGCCGCAGTGGGGTTGGGCTATGACTCAGTCAAGAATGCGGCCACTGTCTGGGCAACTCCCCAAATGGATGGGCGGCGCTTCCCACCGACCAGCGGATTTCCGTTGCCCGAAACACGTCACAGGATTTGCAACTCAGCACCCTTGTCTTCAACTTCGGTCGCTATCTGCTTGCTGCTTCATCCCGCCCGAGTAACGATGGGTCGATTACACTTCCAGCAAATCTGCAGGGTATCTGGAACAACTCCACGGCTCCAATATTCGGGAGCAAGTACACGGTCAACATCAACATCGAGATGAACTACTGGCCAGCGGGACCAACGAATATGGCGGAGACGGAGCTTCCGCTCTTTGACTTGATCAAGATATCAATTCCAAGAGGGCAAGTTGCCGCACAGCGGATGTATGGTTGTCCAGGGACGGTATGGCATCATAACCTCGACTTGTGGGGCGACCCTGCGCCAACGGACAACTTCACGGCGAGCACGATGTGGCCGTTTGGCTCAGCGTGGTTTGCTTGGCACGCGATCGACCACTACCGCTTCACCCAGGACAAAACATTTTTGCAGAACGTCGCGTATCCGTTCTTGACGCAGGTCGCCGCGTTCTACGAGTGCTATGCGTTTGCTCACGACGGGTTCAACGCCACTGGCCCATCCCTCAGTCCAGAAAATACGTTTGTTGTTCCGTCGAATGAGAGTGTTGCTGGCGCGGGCGAGTCTGTCGATATAGCGCCTGCGATGGATGGCCAGCTAATGACCGAAATTTTCGAAGGCCTGTTGGAGGCTGCATCAGCGCTTGGGATCGCCAACTCGGACCCTGCTGTTGTGGCCGCGCGAAACTTCTTGCCCACGATTAAACCGCAGCAAATTGGGTCGCTTGGACAGATCCTTGAGTGGCGGCAGGAATATACGGAGGCGGTCCCTGACAACCCGCATTTATCACCACTTTGGGCACTCATGCCGGGCCGGGCGTTCTCCCCTCTAGTAAACAACACGCTTTCGAAGGCCGCGCAAGTTGTGCTAGACAAACGCGTGGCGAGTGGGTCGGGGAGCACTGGCTGGAGCAGAACATGGCTGATCAACCAGTACGCGCGCGCTTTTCGTGCGAACGATGCGTGGATGCATTTAGGCCAGTGGCTGGCGCTGTTCACGCCCTCTTTTAGTCTCTTCGACACCTGGACCGCCACAAACCCTATTTTCCAGATTGACGGAAACTTTGGCTTTGTGAGCGGCGTCGCGGAGATGCTGCTGCAGAGTCATGTTGGCATTGTGCATTTACTTCCTGCGTTGCCGGGTAGCGCTGTGCCGACTGGATCGGTCAAGGGGCTGGTTGCGCGGGGAAACTTTGTGGTCGATATTAATTGGAGCGGTGGCGGATTCGCTAGCGCCAATGTTACGAGTCGCAGTGGCGCTCAGCTGGCATTGAGAATCGCAGATGGGACAGGCAGTATCCTGGTCGATGGGGCGGTTTACAAAGGGCCTTTTGCGACGACTGTAGGTAAAACCTATGCGGTTACGCTTGCATAGTTCATGTCTCCATAACCGGTCCGACCATATCCTATCCTATCCAACGGTTTATGTCATGGATTTTCTCGGTTTTCGTCCCTTAATGAAATTACATCAGCTGCGGGTGATGATCAGAGCTAATTTTTGACGTACGTTACGTTCCCGCCCGCTGTCTTTCTGTTTCTGTCCACCACCGTCATCGACGCGTCGTCACACTTCACTCTTTTCTCTCCAACTCAGTCCCCTCGCCTCGCTACTTTCACGTCTGGAAACGGCTCAATATCAGCTCTGCCGAGTCGTATAGCCACACGTTGCATCGACAAGCTTATGTGCGTTTTGTCCCGCACCAATGCCTGAGAAAACATTTAGTCGAAGAAGTGGAGATGAGGGGTACTATGGGAGCGATGGAGGTGCATGGTATGGAAACGGGGAGAGCATCAGCGCTGGACCGAGACGCGGGGGAATAGGGAGACAGTCAGCCTTCTCGACACCCTCTTCATCGTCCGATTCAGAAAGCGAGGACAACTACGGCCAGGCGGACCCGACCCCGAAATCCTTTAAACCGCTGTCAAAGCCGGTCAATGCGACAAGCGTTTCAGCCCCGCCACTAACAGCGACAACTCGCGGAGTCGGTTCGGATTCTGACGAGGACGATGTGCCCCTGGCTCAGCAAATCCCTTCTGCTCTAAAGGCGCAGCGAACTATTCGTCGGAAGGTTAGAGAGGAGAGAGACCAGCGACGGCGAGAGAAATCGGAACAGGCTTTAAGCAGCAGACGGCCTTCTGGCGCCGGAGAGGCAAATCCAAACGAGGTTGCATACAGTTCAAGGGAAGCGGCTCGAATGGCGGAGGACTCTCGCCGCCCTAGACAACGCTCTCAAACATTATCAGGCGGTGGAGGATTGCAGTCTCCGGTTAGCGACGAATTTACGAAGAAGCGCCAGATTTCACCCCGACCTCCACCAATACCGATCAGCTCTGGCCCACTTCCGGACAAACACCGCGAGAAGCTCTTATCACCCAACCCAGCGACCCCTACCAGCTCGACTTCCCCTCAGATGCGGAGCCAAGCATTGCCAGAATCGCGCAGTTTACGTCCAATGCGCTCCTTTCATCGGCCCAAGACAGCCGAGCCACTTTCAACACATAATGATCCTCCACTTCCGAACGATGCTGTAAGGAGAAGTAATACAACTCGACGACCCAATGAACGACCACCAGTTGAAGCACCACCAACGCCTTCTCTTGCCGCGCCAGCACCAAGCAAGCTTACCAAGGCCCCGCCGCCTGCGGAAATGAGGGCTCCCCGCCCTTCTGCGGATATTCCAACGAAGACTTCTGGCCTCGACGGGCTGGCTTCGCCGCTACCAAATCATCGCCATGTTGCATCGAAATCTCAGGGTGCGCTTACGCGAGTGTTTGTTGGCGACATGCAGCGATTCAATATGGTCGACATTGGCCCATCAACAAGCGCCAAGGAAGTGCTCGCAATTGTCGAAGAGCAGGGATCGCTTAAGGGCTGGGTCGGGTCTGGCGGGTGGATGGTGTGGGAAGTGGCCCAAGACTTCGGGATGGAGCGGCCAATTCGCAGCTTCGAGTTGCTTGCGGACGTTCAGGCGTCGTGGAATAAAGACAAGATGGTGAATATGTTTATGGTCAGGCTGACCCCGTTTGCGCCGATATTGAGTCGATCGGTGAGTTTTCGTTCTTATTCAAGTGACTAGGTCTTATTAGTTTTCAGAACCTGCCCTCCAGCTCGCCGTTGTTCTCTGGCTACATCGACTGGGAGTATAAGCGCGGGAAGTGGACGAAGCGGTACATGCGGCTGAAGGAGCACAGCTTGTGGCTGTCGAAACGGGACAACGTGAGTGGACATTTATCATTTGCTTGACTTGACGTGCTGACTCTGGCGCAGGGTAAAGACGAAGTGTGTCTGTGCTCGCTGTCGAATTTCGACGCATACCACGTTACGCGGCTGCACAAGGCGCCGAAGCCGTTCGTCTTTGCGGTCAAGTCGACGGATAACCTGTCGTTCTTCGAGAACACGGCGGACTACCTGCATGTGTTTTCGTGCAACCAGAAGGACGGGGAGAAGTGGATGGAGAAGATCTTGCTCGCGCGGGTGGGTGTTTCTTTGCCAAACTTAACTTCCCTTGTGCTAACAATCGGCCAGTCATATGTGCTGTTCCAGGAACGCAACGTTTTGTTTAATCCAAAGTCCCCTAGCGGGAATGCAGCTCCCGGTGTTGGAGGCGGGGCATCGGGACTGGCGAGAGCACCGACACGGAAAGCGACAGCGCCTATAGCACCGCTCCTTGTCGCGCCCGACCGGAATGATGTGTTTGCGCCAGGATCGTTGCTTCGGGCCTAAGAGTTGCAGTTGCAGTTGAAACCAAGTCTTGTATACCAGTATAATCATTATCTATCGTTAAAGAAAGTCTTAAAGAGGTTTGAAGCTTATTTGGTGTTACTTTGGGTGTCGGTACGATACAGGGGCTACTTCTCTTCTGGGAAATATCACGTGGTATTTGTAAAATGGCCACGGGAGACGAGCTCACGGCCGCGTGTGTTACAGCCCACTTTCTTCTCTCCGCCTTCCATCACAACTCGTACTCGATCCACGCGCCGCACACTCAAAATCAGCGCAGTACTAGTCCCGGGCCGCGCGACGCCATTTTAGGTTCTCCCCCGCCCGGCCCGTCAGCAAGACCTCAAAAACTATCTACTGGGTATACGCGGCCAGCTCGCTCGGCCAACACCTCCCCCGGGCCCGGGCCGGTCCGTCTCCGGGGACCGGAACCCGCCGAATGGACTGACTCTGCAACGACAACCTCAGGCTGGGCGACAGTGACGAGTACCGCTTACGGCTTATGCGGGACGGCGCGGGGGGCATTGCCGCTGACGCGGAGGTTTTCACTGCTGGAACGAGGTCCGTGCGCTCGACGAGCAGCGTGACAAGCAACTGGCCAGTGACCGTGTTTCTCGACGGTGGAGCAGCGCTGCTGGTTTCGGCCGCGGCGTCCGCCGTCGGTGCAGGGAGCGGGCCCGGGCCGCAGGCTGGGGTCGGGGGAGCGGCCGCCGGCCGTGAACGATACCCGAAGCTGACCAACTCGGCCCATCAAGAAACAACGAGACGTCGGTGAACGGAGCGCCCCAAGTCTGGAACTTGAGCTGCGTGCACGTGTGCGCGGACGACACCGTGACACTGGATGGCAAACTGGCCGTCTCTTCGGCCAGCAATCTCGGTCGGGGAACTTTGAACCGGCTTCGCACAACTGTGGCGCGCGCGTTGTTCGAAATCTCAGTAGGCTGCGAAACACGAGAACTTGTGCAAACTCGCCGTTCAAGCGCTTCGGACACACCTAGTTCAAGGTCAGTCTCGGCAAAGCGCCGAGACTGGCAAACCCCCCTCAGACTCGGACGCGAACAGCCGCAAGCGCAAGAATGGCGGCAACGATGCGTGGGGTGGTCACTGGTCGTGGACCGAAGTCATGCTTGATGTCAGATGGGTGCTATGTTGATGATGCTACGCTACTTGTTGTTGCAGGGCAAGACTAAAGACAAGTGCTACACCTCCACATCCTTGAACGGGGCCATTGTTGTGGGCTCAGTTGAAGCAGCGCGGGACCGAGGAACCTGTTAGCAAGTGAGTTGCGAACAACAGGGGGCAAGCAGACAGGTCCAGGAAAGAGACATACGATGTGCAGGGGTTTCGAGCGCCCACCTCCGCCCTTTGCCCCCGCCCTGGAGCATCGCCACGAGGAACGCGAGAAAGTTGGTGACGAGCGCAAAACAGGTGACGGCCGCCTGCCACAGCGACGCCTCCTCCGCCGCGATGATCGGGTCTGACAAAGCCATCAGCACTACGAAATGACGCGCAACTGCGACTCACACAGCGCGAAGAGGAGGATGCTGTGCATCGCGATCACGCGCATCGGGAAGCATTCCGTGTCCGGGTCCGTGTACAAGCGCTGCCCGAACGCGACGAAGACGCGGGCAGAGAGTGCGTAGACTGACGTGGGGAGGGGCGCGGGGAGTCCGGGCGGGAGGGCGAGCAGGAGGAACAGCAGGATCGCGAGGGGGGTGCGGAGATGCGGATGTATCTGGGTTGTGGGTGAGTTATGTAAGAAGGGTGGGGGCCGGCTCGCACCTTGTTCCAAGGCGGTGGGACGTCGACCGTGGATGCAGCCGTCGCCGGGGCGGGCGCTGATGGCCCCGGGAGCGCGCCGTAGCCGACTATGGGTGTTTCTCCGTCGTTGAGAGTCGCCATAGGGTAAGTTGTGGTTGTGGTTTAGAAAAAAGAGGTTCCTTTATAGAGGGCACTGGCGGAGCTCCTGTCTCACAAGACTCGGCCGCGAAACATCCATGTCTTGCATTTCCCGTGCTGTCGAAGGAGCACAGCATCGCCGAGAGAGGGGAACAGACACATCCCGCTTGGAGGGCAAGGACTCGGAAGCGCGTTGGCACTCCACCACTAACACTATTCTCGTCGCTGATCGGCTCGGCGACAGCGTGATATCACCCCTCTCACCGCCTCCACTAGCTCCACTCACGATTGGCTACCGGTCGCGTTTCCGGCGCGGCCGCCCCCGGCCCGGTTTCCGCATCCCGCGCTCGACAGGGGGGGGAGGCATTGGGACTGACGCGGGAGGGCGCTTTTCACTGCCGGAACAAGGCCAGTCTGCGCAACAAGCAGCATGTAGTGCTGTCCACAATTATATTATGCTAGAATATATTTTGAATATATTCGAATAAATATGATTATATTATGCCCTTTGCATATTCAGACCCATTGAATATGAGTGATTATGAATATGAATATATTATGAATATAATATATTATACCCTGGCCATAATTAATTATATTCAAATACACCAGCAAGCCCTTCAGCCAGAGGTACTAGCTCTGTAGCAGGCTACTAGCAGCAGTAGCAACATCTTCAAACTCAGTCTTTACCATATCAATGGCTTTTGGCAGTAAATCAGGCTGGACAATATCCATATCCAGCCCTGACAGAAGGCTGAAGTTGACCTTTATATTGCTACCCTGGACTTTGATGATACTCTTCGCTGGTGAAGGTATCATACTTGACCTAGGCTAGAGTTTTGTTCAGCTTAATATCTTGTTGTAGAATATCCAGGCTATGTTAATAACCAGGATTGGTAACTTACCAATCCTGGTTATGGCTGCAAAGAGCATCTCTGTAGGGCACCTGGTCTCCAGACTCCAGCATCAAGCATAGGATGACAGATATGCATGCCTCAATGACTGCAAAATTGGCCACAGAAACAACCATAACCAAGGAGTGGTTCAATAAACCATGAGATAAGGTGGATTATATGCACTATGTGCAGACTTGTGAAGCTTGAATATAATTGAATATATTCATAATATATTCATATTCTGAGCCCAATTATGATTATGAATATGAATACAATTATAATATGCTCCAGCAGAGAGAATATATTATGAATATGAATAAATTATGAAAATTTCGTATTCATAATCATAATTGGACAGCACTAGCAGCATGACAAGAAACTGACCAGCGACCGTGTTTCTCGATTGTGAAGGTGAAGCAGCGGCGCGGGTTTTGGGTGGAGGGCGCAGGCCGCCGCCGCAGGCCGGGGTCGGGGGGAGCGGCCGTGAACGATATGTCAGGCTGAGGTAAGTGACCAACTCGGCATCGAGTAACAACGCGACGTCGGTGAACGGAGCGGGCCCCAAGTCAAGTTCTGGAACGAGCCAAGTGCCGTAGTTCAAGGTCAGTGTCGGCGAAGCGCCGAGACTGATGGCAAACTCCCCTTAGACTTGAACAGCAGCAAGCACAGGAACGGCGGCGCCGATGGCATAGGCAGCAAGAAGAAGAGGATAGAATGGGTGGTCTTGGAATTGACAAATGTTATGCTACCGATTTGTGACTGATAACAGTGTACGATGTAGGTAGAGAACTTGAATAGCGTCCGGCCTCTACATCCTTGCCTGTGACTACTACTGGTGTGGGATTAGTTCGAGTGCGGGACCAAGAAACCTGTTGGCAGATGAGTGTGCCTTGGCGACAAGAGGGGGCAAGCGAACAGACACACGTACAGGAAAGAGACATACGATTTGCTGCAGGTGTCCAAGTACCCACTTCCTCCCTCTGCCCCCGCCCAGGACCATGGCGACCAGAAAGGCAAGGAAGTTTGAGGCGACAGCACCGCATGCGATGGCTGCTGGTATCAGCGACGCCTCGCGCGCCGCGAGGATGGGGACTGGCACGGTGGTCAGCGGGGCATGGATGATGATGCCCGAGACTCACAGAGAGCAAAGAGGGGGATCGCGTACATCGCGATTACCCGTATATGGAGCCCTTCCGTGTCCGGGTCCTCGTACAGTCGCGTCACAAAGGCGACCCAGAAGCCGAAGAAGAGGCGGCTGCCGAGGGCGTAGATGGACACGTGGAGCGGGGCGGGGAGGCCCGGCGGGTAGGCGAGGAGGATGTAGAGCAAGATGGCGAATATGGTTAGGAGAAACCTTGGGATAAACCGATATATCTGGGTTGGGGGTGAGTTGAGAAGGGCAGAGTGCTGGCTCGCACCTTATGCCAGTCCCATCCAATCCCACATGAAGGTGGTGAGGCCGTGGACTCAGGCTGAGCAGCCGGCACCTCACTGGCGGGAGCTGATAGCCCGGGGAGGGTACCGTAGCCAGTGTAAATGACAATTTGTAGGCTTTCGGTGTCGGCCATAACGCGTCTTGCTGTTGTGGTCAAAGGCCCCCTTCAAGGTTCCTTTATATGAGGGCAGATCTCCTGTCTCACAGTGGTGACTCGCTTCCCGCCTTCCGAGACTGATATTCCGAGTCGGCCGCGAAACCAATGTGCCGAAACATCCGTGTCTTGCATTTTCCGCGCTGTCGAAGAAGCAAAACATCGCCGTCAAGCGCGTTGGGCCGCGGCGGTCTAGGTAGGCACTTGGCAGTACTAACATCAGCGATCAACCCTTGCTCACCGCCTCCTCTACTTCAACCAGACACGAGCACGGCTGCCAGATGCCCGAGGACCTTGACAGCAAGGAACCAGCCCAGGACGAAACCGCGTCCCTCATGGACTTTGACGGGCTCGATGCCTGGTTGGGCTTTGAAAGCCGGAATTCATGCGATAACTCTCAGGCGCGAGATGGAGACGCGTGAGCGTCAAGACTGCAAATGGTATCAGAGCGCAGAACGGCTTGTCTCATTGCTGGGGTCAAACCACAGTCCTAAAGCGGTTGCGCTGTTCCCGGAGTGGGCCACCACTCAGGCTGGCGAGTTTCAGCGGTCCCATATCGAGTCCGCCGGCGGGAATCCACAGTCGTCGTTCAGGTGTGAGTGCCAAATAGCCTGTGCATGGTCTAGGAGCCTGAGTCGCTAATCCACATTGAAAGAACAGAGCATGGCGCGGAGGATCACGAATACTTCGAGCGAAGAGGCCGTTAATTGAACTTTGAAGAGGACGACGCCGCGCCAGATATGAGCTCGGCCACAAGCGGCGCGGCTAGTGTGAGATCGAAAGAAGCACCGGAGGCGGAACCACAGGCAGCGCAGCCTTTAAGAAGAAACACAGACTCGGACAATGGACGACCAGCAGTGGCAGCAACGACCAAGTCAAAAACTCGACGGTCCTTTAGCTACGAAGACTGGGGACATTTATCATTCCCAGACGACGATTGCTCTAGCCCCGGCTATATCCTTGTCAAGTTACCACCTGCGGAACCATGGGTCGATGAACGTGCCTTCACAAAGCTCTCTGCCGTCCTCCAACTTCTCGTCAGTCCGCAATTGCCAACCACAGAGACGTGCAGAAGTTCTGCAAGGAGTAGTTTGTCCCGCCTTGTCAATTTGCGCGTGGGCGTCACCAGTCAGCTGCCTCGATGTCGCGGACGTTCAAGCGCTTTGAGTGGAAATGGCAAGAGCACAGCCCCGGGCCCGTGGACGATATGAGCGGGCCGGTTTGTCATTGCAACTTCGTCATCACCCTCGGCTCGGACTTGGCACATTTCATCGAGTAAACAGCCCAGGTCATTGCTGAATGGAAGTTATGGAATGTTCATGTGCATGCTTATGATTGAATGTAGTATGTATTTAGTTATGTATGATTATCATGACAGTATGCTAGGAAATTGCTTGGACTTGTCCTTGGATTTGGCTCTATGGCTTTTGAAGTGGAATATAAAGTTGTGAACAATGGGCCTTCATTTATTTACTGTACTGTAGTCTGTAGCAAGTCCTAAGCCTACATATGTTCTGATTTCTATCTCTCACCAACTTCTTATGGCAATAATAGCATCCTTGCCTCTCATACTATGGAATAGATCATATCAGATGATTCAGATCTAGTGCTGGCCAAATACAAATATAATATGGAATTGACATATTATATTGTATTCATATCATATTCACGTACTTGGGAGAATATTATATTTGTAGTATATTATATTCATATTTCCTCTCAGATATTCGATATGATATGAATATATTCAAATATAATGTATTGATTTGAAATGTCTGCCAAACTCACCTTTACCTGTTCCTTGGTAATGATACTGTCTTTGTTGGACAGACATCAGACATCTGGAAACTGGTGTCAGGAACAGGGCCGGCCCGGGCCCACGTGACGGTCTCCTGCCAGTCTGACAAGTGTGGGAAAGATGGTTCAACCCCCATAGCTGGGTGGTTGGCAGCCAGGCAGCGTAGATGGTGCCACTGCTGCAATAGAGAACAGGGTAGGGACAGCTCGGGGCGACTCGAGATGCCCCGCTGTCATGTTGTGTGACAGCGGTGTCACAGGATACGAGTAGTCGTCTAGAGTGTCCTACCCCTGCTGAAGGGAACGAGTCCATAGCCAAAGAGTGCTGCCTAGTAGAGTTGGTGCCCAAGGCATAGGGCAAGGCATAGGCTGGGCCAGTTGAACAAGCCGTTCGGGCGGGGCGTGACGTAACGCGGTCACGCCCGACGGTTCGGGGGGTCGAGGGGAGTCGCCCCGCAGCAGGGGCTGCGGGCCCGAGACCCCTGGAGCACTTTGAGAAGGGTTGCCAGTCCAAGGGGCGACATATCTCCTTTCCTGGAGAAACGAGTCGCTGTGGCTCCTAGACACCGCGTGACTGCGCGGTGTGACGCGTGACATGCGGGCCCGATCGGGCCCGCACCCTCCCATCACCCCGTACCAGGGGAACCCAGAGCTTGAGGCCAGAGAGCAAGAAGAAGTGGCTAGGACAAGGGTGAACATAAGAGACAAGAGCCTGAGCTGTCCAGCCCAACCAAGGGCTCAGGTCAATGAGGCAAGCTAGCCTGGGTGTTGGAAGTCGTCTAGACGCCCCCTTTCCCGGGGTATGGTTGCAGCAACCCCGCTCTAGGGGACCAGGCCGGAGTAGGGTTCAAAGGAAGAGACTTCAATGCTAAACCTAAGGTACAGGAGTAATACTCTAGTCTTTATATACTGTGGGCGCTAGGGGCCGATCGGGCCCGCTGAGGGTCGATCAGAAGGGAGCAGGGGATGTCTCTGGTCGTCCCTGGTCGCTCCGCTAGGAGCCCAGGGACCATTCCTCTGGAAAGGAGCCATGCCAAAGTCGACACTAAGGAGTGTTTGGCAATGCAACAGTAAGGAGCTCCCTCCTGGACCCTGTGGTTGTCTAGGGCCGATTGGGCCCGCTGTCAAGGGCGTCCGCGCATCATGATCCCTGATGGCGGGTCATGATGGCTTGATGGCTGACTAAAGCGCGATCCGTGATTATGTCCCTTCTCTGGGATATTAGTGTTGTTGCTCAGTGCTTTGAGCTTGTGAATATATGAGGGCTTGTCAAGCCCTAGGGCTCTAAGGGTGGTGAGGGCCCGTCGGGCCGTATAGGGCCCGACGGCCCGACCCGAACCGTCACAACTGGGTGGTCTAGCCCAGAAACACTGAGGAACACACAGAAACACAACAGAATCCTGCTATATTCTGGAACAACAATGGAGGACAGAGGTGAGTGACTAAAGAGGCAGTGCTAATGTGACGGAAGAATGTAGGTAAGGCTCCCACGCTTACAACATCCCATGCTTGAGGCAGAGGTGTGCAACTCAGCCAATATCCAACTTTGATGTGGCCTCCTGCCTTATATGGTAGGTCTGCACACCATGAGCACAGAAAATATAAAGATTGACCAGTTTGGGCCAGTTTAGGACCTTAGAAACTTGTTGTTGTGACCTGTGACTAGCACAAGAATTCCAGTCAAAAATGTTAATGTAACTATGTGTCACGGTTCGGGTCGGGCCGACGGGCCACGGGGCTGCTCGGGGCTGATCAGGCCTGCTTAAGCCCCGCACGACCGCCATACTCCTCAACGCTCCCCCATTCTTCCAACCCCTTCCCTTCACCCCTGCGGCCCTACGCAGCGCCCATCCGATCCACCCTGGGACCTGGCCCCCGTCCGATCCATCCCTAATATCTTAGCGTATAAAAACCATACTCACAAGATGTAGTCGTTAGGCTAATATTGTCTATTCTCCAGGCTAAAACCCATCTCTCGTGCTCCTCAGACCCTCTCGAAGTCGGAACCCCGACGCCCTGATACGGCCCGAGCCCGACGTTGACACTATGACAGGATTAAGTGATCAAAATAGTACACTAAATGTTTCAGAGATACACTAAAATCAGGAATAGTTAAATACTTGAGTATAATTGAATATTCTTAGGCAGTAATATAATGTATTCATAATATATTATATTATATTCAGGTATATTAACATTCAAGGTCTGCACTGACATCATATTATATCCCTAACATTCAGAATATATTCAATATTTATTCAAAGATATTTATTTATGGCCAGCACTATTCAGGTCATGTCTATACCTATACATATACAGATATAAAGTACTTTCACAAAAAGACTATTCTTGGAAAAAGACCAATCTCACAAAAAGACCAATCACAAAAAAGACCAATCACAAAAAAGACCAATCTCAAAATAGACTAATCTCAAGAAAGACCAAAGACTCTGGAAAAAGACCAAAGATTAGGGCGGCCCATTAGGCACCAAAGACCTACTCTCAAGGACCAAAGACCCTCCCCAAAGACCAAAGACCGGAAAGACTTTTATGCTATTTTACTGATGGTATGGGTTTAATTTCTGCCAAACTACCTTAATCGGTTTTTTTCTCATTGAGCTTGCAGACAATCTCGAGCCAACTTCTTGCCAGTGCACGTTTCCCATCGCTGGCCGATGTCCATATACGATCCAGGCACCAAAGAAAAAGTCGCTTGATAACACGGACACTCAATGTGGCACTTTGTTGAGAATGTGTAAGGGGAGCATGTGATGTGACAGCTGTGACTGGTCACGTGACTGGTCCGTGCGCAGATAGCCCTGTACTTAAGTAGTTGGCCGTGGGGCTGTTCCCCCGGCTTTGGTATCAACTAGGCACCTGGACCCTCATCCCCTGACAGCATACCAAAGCCTCTATATCAACTCTGGCACTCTTCTAGCCCCAGTTGATCCTCTCTATCTCCTATATTCGTCCTCACCCTACTGTGCTTGCCTGCTCTTCCCCAATGACGACTCCTGGCGTCCCTGTTGACCTGTATTCGTACTGCCTGCTCCTGCAGAGCGAAATTACTCGCCTCACCGACCGTCTAGACCGCCTTGAGTATGGTACGCCTGCTCCACCCCCTGCTCCCCCTTCTCCTGGTCCTACATTCCATGACATTTGGGACGGCACTCGCTGGGTTCTTCCAACAGTCCCGGCCCCTACCCCTGCCGTCATCGCTGTAGCCTACACTTCCATACCGCTTGCCGAAACCTCCCCCCCTACTGCGCTCGACACTGTCACGCGCTTCTCTTGTACGCTTGTGGTGCCTGACTCGGCTGTCGGGCATATCGTGGGTCATGGCGGCAAGGGTCTCCACCAAGCTCACGACACTTCCGGTGCTCAGTTGCGCGCGTACTCTGATCGCGCTGCGCCTGGCGAGCGCCGAGTCTCTATCCGGGGAACCGACCAGGAAATCGGTGAAGCGCTTATTACGCTTGGGAAACGGTTCATGCGCAAGCGTGTCCGTGTGAAGAAGCAACGTCAGCCACCGTCTGCTGAGGGACCTGCCCCCCCTCCTCCTGCGGCGGAGTCCTGCCGCGCCTGTGCCTGTACCACGTGCCACAAAGATGGATGTCGACCGTGCCCCTCCGCACCGCTCGTCCACCGTGATCCACGCCCAGTCTCAGGTGCCCCGCGCCACTACTGCGGTTCGACCTGCCACTCATCCAAGGGCCTCGGCCGCCGGTGGGCCAGCTGGGCATTCGCGACTGTCTTCCCCCCCTCTTCCCGTCTTCCCTACCCCGCCAACCTGCTGCCGCCACTACCCAACCTATGCAGGCCGCGGCACCACCTCTTCCTACCCCCCAGCCTTACCCTACTCCCTTCACACCCTCGGTGGTTATGGCCACTCCGTCGGCGCTGACCAGCGCGTCACCTACCCCGATCGGCTCTCCTATGCAGATCGACGTAGCTCACGCCCGGCCGCGTAACCGGCAGACTGCCCGACGAGGGGGCGTACCTGCGCAGTCATCGCGCGTCATAGGCGACAACCTCTATTTTCCTGGCGATCCCGAATACGAGTTCGCAGAACCCTACACTCCGCCTATCCGTCGAGGCGACGGATCTTGAGGAGGGGTTGGTGTAAGGGGAGCATGTGATGTGACAGCTGTGACTGGTCACGTGACTGGTCCGTGCGCAGATAGCCCTGTACTTAAGTAGTTGGCCGTGGGGCTGTTCCCCCGGCTTTGGTATCAACTAGGCACCTGGACCCTCATCCCCTGACAGAATGAAGGTAGATGGAACAGCGCGGAGGAGTCCTAGTGTTCTTCTGGCTTTGGCTTCAGGCCAAAAAGCCATGGCTTTTTGGCTTTGGTACCAGGGCCAAAGCCAAGCCAGAAATCTTGGCCTATGTTGGCTTTGGCCTGGCTTGAGGGTTTAGAAAGCCAAGGCCAGGCCAAAAGCCAATGGCTTTCAGTCTGATCATTGATGCCTGATCTGACCTCCCACAAAGGAAGTTATCCAGTCATATATTGGCTTAGGAGGGCTATGGCTAGTATGTAAAGGCTTTATGGAGGTTCTCCATGCTATCTTATGACCACTCTCTATACCAAATTAAATATAAACTATTATTTTTGATGCCAACATGTGATCAATCACACCGGATCACACCCAGCCGAGGCCATGGCCTAGGCCAAAGCCAAGCTAAAGCCAAGCTAAAGCCAGGCCAAAGCCAGCTGAGTTGGGCTGGCCTGATGATTTGCCAGGCCAAACTAAGGAAAGCCGTGCCAAAGCCATGGCTTTCAGGCCAAGCCAAGGCCAGAAGACCACCTACGGAGGACTCGGAGCAAAAGGATCGAAGAACAAGAAGATAAGTATTGTATCTACAAGGCAAATCCACTGCTGAAATAATAATGTGAGAGTATATGGAACAACATGCTATCGAGTGTTCCAAAACCAGGGAAAAATCCTCAAACAGCTGAGGGATATCGTGGAATTGCATTGCAGAGTGCGGTGTACAAAGGACTGTCAGCGGTCTATGATGCTAAGCTCTCTCGATTGGCAAACAAGGCAGGGAAAATTCCCCCGATGCAGAACGGATTCCGAGCAGGATATCGCACGAACAACAACGCATTCATTTTGCGCACGTTGATCGATAAATCGGAAGCATCGGGGGAACCTCTGTACGTGGCATTTGTGGACATTTCAAACGCGTTTGCAGCTGTAAATCAAGATCAGCTGTGGTTGATAATGGCGGAGCTGGGGCTGACAGGTCCATATTTTGACTTTTTGAGGATGATGTACGACAGGATGGTGATTATGGTAGCTTCGGGAGGTGCGGTTGCAGAAGAGTGGAGGTCGTTGTGTGGTGTTCTAATGGGGGACCCCCCCTCGCCTACACTGTGGAACATATTCTTGTCAACATTTCAGTTAGCGGTAGATCCAGACGATGCATACCTGGCTGGGATGTTTGTGGCTTACCTTGCGCAAGCAGATGATATGGTGTTAGTGTCAAGAACATGGGAGGGACTGCAGCGCCGACTGCAGTTGCTGGAGAAATGGTGTAGAAAGATGTTCTTGCGGGCAAATGGATCGAAATCAGCTGGGATGGTCTTTGGCCGAATACCTGCGAAACCAAGTCAACGTCCAACGACCTGTTTGTCTTTCGGAGGATCAGACATACCATGGGTAAACGAGCATAAATTTGTGGGGATCACGTTTGTGACGGGTGTGCGCGATATATTTCGAAGACACTACGAGGATAAAGCAAGGGCCGCCAGAAAGTCGTATTGGGGCAAGATCGTAGCGTGTGAGCACTATGTGGGACGTGGTCGTTTGCCGCCTAGTATTGGATGCGATTTATATTATGCAATGGTCGACTGCCATTTGACGCATGGATGTGATGTAGTCTTGGACGTGGACCCGGTTTCATTCGATTTGTTGCAACAAGAGAATTTGATGGTGCTACGCAGTATCTTGGGAGTCCGAGTCGGTTCTCATTCGAGTTGGCCCCCTCTGTTTACCGAGTTGGGTGTATACCCATTGAGCGTTTGACGGGCTGAATTGGCAGTTCGGTTCTTGAGATATGTGCTGACGCTGGACCACTCACATCTAGCCCACAAGGCAATGCGAGAGGCAGATAGGTTGCGCAATAACGGCTTCTCCTCGTGGCTGAGTGATTTGTCGTATGTGTTGCGCTCGTTCCCGTGGCCTATGCCTCGCCTGCGTTCACTGCAACACCTCTCTCCATCGGTGTGCGACACTTTGGGTAGAGAACTGAAAAGAGGTTGTAATTCAATTGCAGGCGCGTGCGTCACTGTACCTGCTGCATCATCGTCTGGAACCCCATAAAGACAATTCCTCTCGATTCATGCACTTGACGCGCCGCCATTACCTGCATCGGGTGTCAAATTGGGAGCATCGACGAGCCTTGATCCACTTACTATTCGGCTGCTATGGATTTCGTGGCGTTCATTCCAATGATTCGATGGTTCCGAATGAAAGGAGATTGTGTCGCAGATGCGGTGAGGGCCAGGAAACTCCCCAACATGTTTTTTTGGTGTGTTCAGATCCAACAACGTTGGTGACACGACTCGAGTTGTGGGACACTTTGCGAGAGAAATACTCGTACAATCTACCTGCGAGCTTAGCAGGTTTCCCAGATGAGGAGGTGTTACTCATACTGAAAAGGTTGATCTTTGGCTGGGATCGAGTTATTCCAACCGCAAGGTTTGTGTTCAAGGTGGCGAAAGATTGGAAATGGTTCGGTGTGACGATACCAGGTTGATTAATGGAGAATAGTTTATTTTTCCGGATAGTGGCTTAGCATCTACTCGTACGGTAGAGGTTTCTCTGTAGACGGGGGACAGGTCGCCTGCGAGTAGGTGCTAGGTCCAGTAGCTCTCCGATGGAGGCATTTACTGTATTACAAACAAACAAACATACATACAAGATTTCTGTTTGGCAAGTTGGGATCTATGATGCCGCTGCCAGAAAAGCTTGCCGACTGCCTCCCACCTCCATGTATAAGTACATGCTGCACGACCAACACTATTCTCGTCGCTGATCGGCTCGGCGACAACGTGATATCAACCCTCTCTCACCGCCTCCACTTCCTCCTTGCCAAGCGCACCGCTCAACGACATGAGCACGCCAGACGCGGACTACGGCGACGCGTTCCACTGGGGGCTCGACGGGGAGCACGTGCTCTTCGCCTCCGTGCGGCTCGACTCGGCGGGCGGGCTCCTCGCCGGCGCGCTGCTGACGGCGGGCGTGTGCGCGTGCGAGCGGTGCGTCGTCCGCTTCCCCTTCCTTCACGCTACTGACAGCTTCTGACAGGCTGCTGACGTATGCGCACGAGCGGCGGTGGGCGCCGGCGCGGGTGAGACGGGCGGGGGGCGGCGCAGGCGGCGTGGCGGGCGGGGGTGTACTGGGTGCTCGTGCTGCTCCGTCTGTGAGTGGCTGTGTCAATGCGAAGAGGAGGAGCTCATGGCTGCAGCGCGTATATGCTGATTGCGATGACCTTCCACGCCGGGTGCGCCGTGGTCTTCTCTCTGCTTTGCCAGTCTTCCTGACCGGCTTTGTAGGCTCATTCTCATCGCGGTAAGACCGTCCCCTCTGCTGGCACTTCCGACCGACCGACCGACCCCCCTTTCAGGCGACGACCCTGGCTATCGGCCAGTTCTTCATCGAGCTGAGGACGGCCCCGCAGCTCCTGGACCGCGAGTGCGTCAGGCCCCCTTACTAACTCAGGCATTAACCATTAACACTCCTAGATATGCGCCCTTGGACGACCCCCGCCCGCACCGCCACCGCAACTCGTATTCGATGCACGCACACCCAAAAGCAGAGCACTCCGGGACCGGCCGGACGGACTTCGAGCCGCCGGCGCCGCGGTTGTGGGATGCCGGGGACGGCCCCGAGGCGGCGCGCGGGCTGCTCGGCGCCGCCCAGCGGTCGCCGCCGTTCCAGGTCGGCGGGCACGGACACGGACACGACAGCGAGGAGGAGGATTGACTGCGACTGTCTGTATCGCTGGCTGTGGAACACTTGTCTTTCTTGGACGCGTTGCCAGCTGAGTTGCTACGTGGATGCTTTTCTTTCTTTCTTTCTTTCTTTCTCTCCCCTCCTCGACATCGACTAGACAGGCGGGCGGCGCCGCAAGGGACTGGACGGATCACGCCGTCCGCAGGCTCGTTCTGTGAATTCTGCGTGATCTCCTGGAGTTCATGACTATAAGGACGGGTTGCCGGTCCGTTATAATGATTGCGATGTCGCATGTACACCGGACCAGTGAGTCTGACCAGAATATGCACCTCAGTTGTAAATAAGTACGGCGCGGACGCGGAGCAGATGGTCTTCTTTGAAGCTGTGCATAAACATCGCTATTTCTAGCGGTGGCCAGCTATCTGCGCGCCATAAATATGATAAGATATCGACCACACTGGCAGTTGAGATCCCAGAACAGCCAACGACGGGGGTTCTCAGGGACATAGCCGTTAGCATATAGGACTCCAAGAAGCAGCCCGAAGCCGTCGCTGATTTCTGTGCTATATACTACAGTTAGCCCTTTCACAACACCCCTATTCGACATACACAGGCGGCGCCTCCGAGAATTCGGGATCTGGCGTCGGCGTCACCAGCTGCCGCGCGGGGTCCAGTATCCGTGCGGCGCAGCCACCCTGCCGCGGGCGCCGGGGACCCGGAGGACGCGGACACGCGCTGCACGTGCGTCCTCGCCGGCCTGTGCGGCGTCTGCCCTGTGCGCACGCGCACGCGCACGCCGGCGCTTGCGTGCCCGGCTTGTGAAGACCGCGGCCGCGGCGCCCGGGCCGAAGAGGACGGGCGCTGCGACGGCGACGGGGACCGCGTGGGCCGCGGGCCACGGGCCGGCGGGGCCGCGCTGGACTTCCCGCCGCCTGTACGCGCCTGATCGTGATCGACCCCGGATCCGGACTCGGATGCGGACCGATTGCAGCCCTGCGCCGCCGCGTGCCGAGCGTCGAGGGCGGGACAGTCCTGACTCCGCTCCCGGGCCGGGGCCGGGGCATCACGTGCCCGCCGTGTGGGTGGGGCGTGGGAACGCCACGCAAGCTGGCTTGTCAACAAGGGCCTTGTTCTTTTGTCTTGTTTTGGGTGCGCTGTGGGCGTGCATGGGGCATATATGGGTCTCCCGCCTTTCTCCCACTCCCACTACTAAGCATGTCCCCCGCAGAGCAGCCCGAGCTCGACCCCGAGACGCCGCACTACGTGCCCGAGCGGGGGACGTTCTCGGTGATGACGCTCGACCCCGTCGCGTCCGTCGCGCACCTCGACGACGCGCAGGCGACCGCCGCGGCCGCCGCGCTCGTTAGTAAGGGCTACGTCATCTACCTCGTCGGCGTGCGGCCGCTCTTCAGCCCGCGCGCCGCCTTCCGCGAGGAGACGCCGTACTTCGTGCAGCGCGGCATCCCGCGGGACCTTCCTGCACAGCATGTCGATGCGAGCATCCATCCAAACGCGCACCACTCACGATGGCGACGAACGCGTTCCCGTGGGCGGACTGCCACCACGACCGTGCGCAGCCCGAACGTGCGCGCCGTGGACCGCGTCGTGTGCGCGCTGGACCGGGCGGCGCGCTTCCGCGTCATCGAGGCGTTCAACGAGGACAGGGACGCGCGGCACGACCGGCTGGCGGCGCGGCGGGAGAGGGAGAGGGCCGCCGGCGCCGGGCACGGAGACGCCGGGGACGAGAAGGAGGCGGACGCAGGGCTGCAGGAGCAGGCGCCCGTCGACGAGGCCGAGGCCGGCGCGATCTTCCGCGCGCTGATCGCGGACGACGCGGAGGAGCGCCTCCCCGTCGCGCACTTCACGTACGACCTGGCCCGCGTCGGCGCGGTCCACGACGTGTGCGAGTACCGGGCGGAGGCGGAGAGGATTGCAGCGTAAGTTTTTGTCCATAACTCGTCTTTTGATTTATTTCTGATGCACTGTAGCATCGTCGCGGCGTCGCTGGCGCGCAAGAAGGCCGCGATCGCGGAGGGGGACGCCGCACGGTACGATACGCGAACGGGTAGGCGGCCCAATGTATCTTCTTTTTTTCCCTGATTGACCGTTGGCGCAGCCGAGCTTCTGCACGGCCACCGGGCCCGGGCCGCAGGCCGCCGCGTGCGGCGGATCATAACGCGCAGCACGGCGCTGGTCCGGCGGATACTGTGCATATCATGACCGTTAGCTGTTACTCACTTCTACCCCTCGCTTTGTCCCCACTGTCCTATATATATATATATATATATATATATATATATATGCATTCTACAACAAGCTGTCACCGCATTTTCCACCGGGGAGACGCAGAGGTCAAATGCCCGACTAAATTCCTGCACGATACAACTGCTGTATACATAGACACAACAACACAACATTTCTGCAGCACAAAATCCCAGGCCAACAAACACGGTGACCACATCACAATACATATTTATCTATCTGCTCATTGGACCTGGCATTGCTACAAAAGAAGAAAAAAAAAAAAAAAAAAAAAAAAAAACTGGACATTTATCTGGAAGTGTATGTATGGGCAACCCTGGAGGCAGTCCGAGCAGGTGTCAGGGGAGCCTCCCCGCCGCCCGGCCCTCCAGAGACGTCTCCAGTCCGTTTCTGCTTCCGCTTGCATTTCCAGTCCAACCCCCTTTCTCACCCGCACGATCATGCATTCGTCACTGCCCTCCCCTTGGATAGCCCACCCTGTCACAGGCGCATCATCAGGTAATTCATGGGAGGTGAGCATATTCAAGAGTTCATATGGCCTGCCATGTGTGTTTGAAGGTTCCAGGCACATATAGTGCTGGCCAGAATTATATTATGATTGATTAAATATTGAATATATTTAGAATATTGAATATATTGTATTATATTATGACTATACTATATTATAGTCACAGAATATTCAAATATAGTAAGGTGGATGATCACAGCTATTTTCTCAGTCCATGTACTCAGTCACAGTACTAATCTTAGTCTGAGTTAGCCCTACTTCTGATGAATATCACATATTATCTGTTATCTATGGTGATTCATACATTACACCTAATAGGAACAAGTGTCAGGAGTGGACCCTATTAAACATCGTGTAGAACCCCTGATTAAGTGTCTACAGGCCAACCTAATACTAGTGGCAATGCCCCTACTAATCACGTGGTTGGTTATCGGGTTTATAAACCAGTTTATACACACTAGTTTGGGACACCAAAAATTATAAAATGTTTTGTCATACTCAAATCTTTAAAAACTGCACCCTAATGCCATTGTCATTGTGTGTGTTCCTCCCTACTGGGGCACCTGTTGCCTGTCGTCACATGCTGTGTGTGTTGCGTAGTGCTGGCCAAATATGATTATATTATTTTATAGGCATAATATATTATAATCATATCATATTCAGAGCTCCAACCCAATAATATATTTGTAGTATAATATAATCATATTCAGCTGGAAAATATGAATATGTTATGAATATATTCAACTATAATCTAGTATGCATATCTCTTGATATGTTTGATATATTTGCTGCTAGAAAAAAGAATCAAAAACATAAAATAGATACTAGATTGTAGGGCAAGCCTGGGTTACATAGGACTCTCAAAATACAATCAGGGGCATTGCCACTAGTATTAGGTTAGCCAGTAGCCACTTGATCAGGGTCCTATACTATGTTTAATAGGGTCAACCCAAAGTGATCACTCCTGACACCTGTTCCTACTAAGAGTAATGTATGAATCACCATATATAACAGATAATATGTGACATTTATCAGAAGTAGGGCTAACTTAGACTAAGATTAGTACTATAACTAAGTAGATGGACTGAGAAAATAGCTGTAATCATCCACCTTACTATAGTTGAATATTCTGTGACTATAATATAGTATAGTCAGAATATAATATAATATATTCAAATATAATCATATTCAAGTGATCCACGAAGGGCATAATATATTCATAATATTCTGAATATATTCAATATTTAATCAAGCATAATATAATTCTGGCCAGCACTAGTGTTGTGGGCCCTCGGTGGCCCAACACCAGTGCTGGTCTTATCTGTGATAGCTGGTGGTGATAGCTTGTGTCTACGGTAGGCGAGACGGTTGAGGTTCGATTGCACACTTGACAGGTGATGCTTGGCGGATTGACAAGTAGACATCACCACTTTTGTGAGTGTTTTTGAGGCTTTAAACAATAGAATGAGTAAGTAAATACCTGTGTGGATCTTCTCTACACCCTTTGTACCTCATTGGGCCACAAATCAGTGTTTTGATGGAACACCTTTGATTTTATTGATGCACCAACCGGCACATACACTGCAAATGATATATGCGCTTCGTAGAGTGCGGCATCTAAGACATGTCCCCGGACATTGATCTAATACCCACCCACCTGCAATGTTGTCGCAAAGTTCTGAGATGATTCAAAGGAGCTCGGCCAAAGCTGGCTGAGAGCCGGCATTCGAGGGCTTGCCGGATCCGATGTCATCCGGACCTCTTACATCATTCCAGTGAATAGCCGACGCTCGGCCCACACGGACATCAAAGTCCGTTGTCAAGTCCAAGGGCCCGCCCATCTCCGAAATAGCCAATATAGTTCACACGCTCCGATAAGCTTATTGCAGCCTCTACGCGAAAGATATCGAGTTTCTAGGCGTAGGACAGTCATAGATCAGCTCAACATACCCCCCAAAAGGCTCAAATCTACAAAAACACAAGAGAAAATAGATAGATTTTGGCCATCATACATCTGTCAGAATGAAATTCATCCTCAACCGTCTCGCCTACCGTATTGTGTCACCCAATCTGAAATAGGAATATCAGCTATCTGATCTGATTGATGGGGTGGTCCAGTGTTCAGCATTCAAATGTGTTACCACTGGCCAAATACCAAACTGAACTTCAGGTTCAGGTTCAGGTTCAGGTTCAGGTTCAGCCTTGTGCACTGCACTTTGAAACTGAATGCTTTGACTTGCGGCAAATTTAGCAACGTCACGTGAAAGCTCCCACGGCCTAGAAAGGGAATTTTCGATATGTCCCCCGACATGCGGCGGGATTGATGCGCCATGATTTGTCATTGACACAAAAGTCAGGGAAATGCATTAAATTTGTACAAACATATGTAAACCAACATATAACATATTAATATCTGTATTCACCAGGAGGTGGCATGAAGACAGGTGCGGGGTATGGATAGAACGGAGGAGGGGGAAGGTAATGCATCGGTGGAGGGTGGCTATATGGAGTGTAACCAGGGTATGGCGCATAGAATGGCCCATATTGAGCCACTGGTGGACCGAATTGTGGGGTGGCAACAGCAACGAGTGGCTCTGCGGCTGAGCCGGTATCTGTTGTCTCTGATGAGCCTTGTGCTGATTGCTTGCGGCTCCGCTTGGGCGCGTTTTCATTCGTTTTCTTCTTCTTCGGCGCCTGTTTCTTCTTCCTGGCTTGTTTTTTGCTTGGGGGGGCCAAGTGTGGACGCCTGTTCCGCAAGTAGCGCTGTTGCCTCTGTCGATGTCTCGACTGTTTCTGCGACAGTGGCTTCTGCCGTCGTTGTTGGCAATAGCATTGGTGCCAAGGGAGCCGAGAGAGCATCCAATCGGGCCTTTTTCCCCGACTTCTCCCCTCCACCATACGGATCTAAATGCTTCCGCTTATGGGGTTTTTTTCTCGCCAATATCCGAAGGGCCTACTCTTGTATTGGGCTTCATCTTTGGCTTGCTTCCCATCTTCATCGCATCAGCGGCCCAATCATTATGTTGATTTGGGCCAATCCTCTCCTTCGGCGGCAGAAGCTCGGACACAGGCAGAAGCAGCTGTGAGGCATGACCCCCGCAGATCACGAAGATCGCTGATGGCTCGAGGATTCTCAGACAGTTGGGTTGCCAACTCAATTAGCTCCCGAGCGGTTGCTTGACAGTAAGCGCGCGCTCAAGGTCAGAGTGCTCTGGAACTGGGCTGAGACTTAGAGGCTGAAAATCTTGTGTTGATGCTTGTTCTGGCTTGGTTTCCGGATAGACACGGCGATGAAGAGTCGTAAGCGCCCGAGGATCGGCAATTGTCATATCAATCTTGAGCTCGCGAAAGCATGTGCCTACTGCCGCGATGTGGGTGCAAAAACTGATCCGAGGGAAGCTGGCGCAGGTACAGGTTGGCAACTCAAAAGCAGTCGCGCTGACCTCATAGGTTTTCGTGGGGTCACTCTGCGATTTCACGTGGTAGACAGTGCTGTTGCCGTCCGGTGGAGTTATGTCACTGATGTTGATTGAGGTCGCGCGCGTTTCAGAACATCGAGACGAGCCATCTGTTCTAAATTGTGGCCATCACGACCACCAAGCTGGGCTTGATGCTTGACTTTGAACCACAAGTCGACATCTACTGTCAAGATGACAATGAGGTGGTCGAGACGGCAGTTGCGCTTCCCATCGCCAAAGAATGATTTGAGGACGTGATGCCATCTGTCGAGCAATGAGAAATGAACGAGAGAAACCATGAATACGCACGCCTCGATCAACATATTGGTATCAGATTCCAAAAAGATTGTCCGACCTGTGCGCGGAAATAGGCAGCCCACATCGGAAGCCATTGTGGGGCCATCCAATATTGCTCCAAGTACTCGATGACTGAGATGGGGCACTGAGAAGACGGCAATGCCTTGATTTTGGCCCAGAGAGTGTTGAATTCTGCCTCTGTCTTGACATAAGTGAGTTGCTGTAGCATCTTCCACAGTTCTGGGAAGGCCGTTGTTGACAGATGCTGATACCATGCATGCAGGACATGCCAGCGACATAATAATATGACGGCTTGCAAATATATCTGGCGGACGGCGTTGATCTGTCCAGGATCACGATCGCTCATCCATTCCCGTGGGACCACCGGAGGATCGACTTGGACTGTAGGATCGACCGTCGTTTGTTCCGCGATTGGGGCCATATATTCGATCTGCATGAGTGGCACATTGATAGACGCGTGAAGTGTCGGAGGAATTGGGGTGGCAAGTGGAACCGAGGTGGAATCGGCGTTGTCCACAGTCAGTGTAGTCGGCGGAGGCGGCACAGAGAGCCTAAACTTGGTGGTAAATGATGCCATCCTTGATGGCTCGATGGCGGCGAGGGGGGGAAATGTTTTTAATGGTCACATGATAGCTAATAATTACATGAAAAAGTACTGGAAATGGCGGGACGGCGGGAGGCGGGGCACATTTCCTTTTTGGGTAGTCACGTGGCGTTGCTTAAAAGCTAATAGCTAATGCTTTGTAAATGTACGTTTGGTTTGAACTTGAACCAGAGAGCCAAACCAGACACTGTCATCGCTAAGTTATTATGAATGTCACCAGTGATGCAATCACTAAGTGTAATAATAATAAGTTATTAAGGCTCTATGATGTCCAAACTAAGAGGTTATCATTATCATCTTGCAAAGGGTTAATATGGCAACCCCTTTGCATCTTATCATCAACACTGTATTTCTAGGCTATGGTAGCCTACCCTGACATGCTTTCTCACTACAGTGAGAAAAGACAAGAAAATGCCAGAGTCCTTCAAAGGGCTCCAACAGCAACTAGAGCTAACAGCTCAAGGGAAAGAGAAGGAAGAGAATATGATGATCCAATGCTACTCTACTACATGCCTTTTATACTAAAGCATACAGGAGAGAACTGAATAAAAGGAACAGGAACTAGCAACACAGGTGAGCAACAAGTCCGGAAAGGCGGGACCGACGGATCAATGCTGACTAAGCAGAACTGACGAGCCTCGGCGGCTCGTCAACCCAAAACACAACTTTAAACAATCTTTATTCTGTTTGTCAATTGGATTTTAGATATGCTACTAGTACTCAACATACACAGGCGGCGCCTCAAAATCTGGTGTTGGTGATGTCAACTGCACCTCGAGGTCCACGATCCGCGCACGCAGCTGCTCGATGTTCGACAGCGCGTGCTGCAGCTGCTCCTGGATCTCGTGACTACTACTATCCCCCACCGTGGCCGTGCCCCGGGCCGAGTCTGGCTCATGATCAAAAACTGTGCTCCAGCTGATCGAGCGCCGCGAGTCGGCGTCGGCGTCGGCGCCGCGGAGACGCACGGACTGCGCCTCCAGCTCCGTGACCTTCTGTTTCGCGCGCCGGATCTGGTTGGATATGTACAGCTGCTGCGTCGACGCCGAGGCCGCGCTGCTCGTGCTGCTCACGCGGCCGAGCTCCAGTGTCTCTGGACCGGCGGCGGCGCTCGCACGTGCCGGCGCCCTGAAAACGCGCTCGACACTCCGCCGCACGAACCGGTGCCACGACCCGGCGCGGCCCGGGGCCCCCGACTGCGGCCGGACGGCGCCGCTGAACCGCCGCGGCGCCAGGTCCGGCGGGACGCCCGGGCCGGCGGCGGAGTCACGCGCGCGGGCACCGTGCCGTCTGCGGGCGCAGAACACGGTCGCCGTCGTGAGGAGCGCCCCGAGGAGGAGCAGCGCCGCGAGCCCGCCGACGATGAGGCCCGCGTGCACATTCGCCGGCTTGGCGGATCGTCAAGTTGATGTGCCAGTGGCTTTGGGGGAGGAGTAGTGCAAGGGGCCGGGGTATATGGGTATGGGTAAGGCCGCCAGCGTATGACCATGGGGCCAGGGCGCTAGCGGCGGCCACGTGCCAGTGCGCGAGAAGTGTGAAGAGCAGGTATAGTACCCCGGGAGTGCTATGGACTCTGCCCATAGAAGGCCTGGTGGCAGTCCACCGCGGCGGTCCCAGCTCTGCGGGTGTTATATATCTTCGCGCAGGGAGAAGAACGTTTACGGCGCTGGATGAGATCAGGAGCGAGTGGAGCTTGTTGACCTCCCGCTGTTGCGACCGTGACGCTAACAGACCACTGGCAGAATGGCCATTGACGACTGAATTGATAGCCCCGGCGACCCTCATCTCACTCTGATTAGGCAGGCTGCCAAACATGAATCCGCCGGGAGTTCTGTTCATTGCACAGGTCAACCTGAAGCAGCACTGGTGACGCTCAACTCTAAGTTGAAGTACTCATTACTCTGAGTTTGAAGAGAAGGGTCCTGGGTATACAGATATAGGATATAACAGGAGAAAGTAGGTACTTAGTGCATGGCTAGATCTAGAGTCTAGACAGTAGTGCGCGTGCCGCCCGCGTAAGCGCCAGAGATTTCCGAGCCGATAAAGATCATGCTCAGCACCCAGGGACTCGGATGGGAACGCACTAGGCCCCGACGGGAATTTGGGACCCTGGCTTCGTGGGGAAACTTGAAGGTTTGGGGCGAGGGTTGGCGTGTTTATATATGCTACCGCCGCCGAGACTGGCCACGCTTCTGACCCCACTTGCAGCGCTTGACATCACACTGTCTACCATCGCACTCAGGTTGAATGGGTTAGCCAGTGAGGAGCGAGTGGTATATTGGGATGGTGGGCGGCGTGGATGCTTGGTCTGGCGCGTCTGGCAGCTGTCAGCCCTGCCAGTGGTCATCGAGTCCTTCCAAGACTAGCTCGCCGATTAGCCGGATTGCTCAGAATGTTGCGTCGGATAGGATGAACTTGAAAGCACTTACCACAAGAAACTTTTCAACTTGGCGCACGAACGCTGGATCCGTTTCCACACGCAGACTCCACGCTCGCGAGATGTCCGCGCTAAGCTCGTGCAGCAAGTCGAGATTGACTCTGTCGAAATGTACGCCGTCAGGAAGAAGATCAGATCGCCACAGCGGGAGATCTTGGACATCGTCGACGCGTGGTCTGAACGGGACAGCAAGGATCCATTGGTCGTATTTGTGGGACCATTCCGGGACGGAGTGCACATGGCCAGCCTGCGGGCTCTGTGCCACTGTCGGGAAGACAGGAACCAGAAATTCGCGCAGAAGGTCGGGTGGGGGGTCGCCGTCAAAACTGCACAGAAGGCATACTTCCTGCCTCTTTGCTTTTGTCACTATGCAGGGTCGTGTTGGCTTCCCGGAGGCAACGTTGGCAGCGACCCCAGTCAAGGTGGATGATTTAACACTTTTGGCGAAGAGACCAAGGAGGGGCACGCGGATCGAGGTGTATTCCGCTGTTCTGACGGCGCCATTTCGCACCGTCTCCTGTCCTTTACCCTCAGGGTAGTGGACACGAGTGGGCCCAGGATTGGTGCACTGTTTGCAGGAGGGAGCCTGAAGTGGGGGAGTGGATGCTGGCATGATACGAGTAGTACTATGGATGTTCAGTCATGTTGGCAGCCTTTTATGAGCCTGAAGACAACAAGCGGGGACAAAAGACTAGTGAGTCTGTGTGTCCAGTCATAGATACCTTGTCCCTCACCTTGATCGTCGTCGTAACCATTTAAAATCTTTTGTCATTGCTTGCGGTTCTCGCTTTGGAGTTGGTCATGGTAGCCATTGGTTACTAGTAGGTCATCGGAGGGCATGATCGCAGTAGAAATGCGGCATACCGTTCAAACTGCCACAGTCTGCTTGGAGTGGGCAAGCTTCCGTGTGACATGCACGTGCTCATGTCACACGTTCACACACTGTCATATCTTTCTTGTTCTTTTATTGTTCTTGTTCTTGTTCTCGCGTTGCTCTGTGGGCGTCCATATAGCTTTAACGTGGATTTCTAGACTCGCCGCAGCTGCCTTCTCCCCGCTCTTCTCCAATCCTTCGACATATGTCCGAGCAGGAGGACACGCCTCACTATGTTCCCGAGAGAGGTTCTTTCTCCGTTATGACCCTCGACCCCGTAGCGTCCGTTGCGTATCTCGAAGACCCAGAGGCGACCGCCGCGGCCGCCGCGCTCGACAGCAAGGGCTATGTGATATACCTTCCTGGGGTAAGTTTCTCGTCTGTTCTCATTACCACCTGAGCTTGTTACAGGTCAGGACCCTCTTCAGTCCGCATGCGGCATTCCGCGAAGAGATCCCCTACTTCGTGCAGCGCGGAATCCCGCGGGACATTCCCGCACAGCATGTCGATGCAAGCATGTCGCTTCCCATCTCCCCTCAGACGAGCAGCGCCGAGCACCACCCATCGACACGCGCACCACTCACGATGGCGACGAATGCGTTCCCATGGGCGGATTGCTACTTGGCGGCGTTCCTGACCACCACGGTCCGCAGCCCGAACGTCCGCGTCGTCGACCGCGTCGTGTGCGAGCTGGACAGGGCGGAGCGGTTCCGGGTTATTCAGGCCATCAACGCGGACGATGACCTGCGGGACGACCGGCTGGAGGAACAGAGGCAGAGAGAGAAGGCCGCGCTCGTCGAAACGAACGGGCATGGAAACGCTGGCGATCAAGGTGATGAGAAGGGAGAGCGCGGACGCAGGGGTCCAAGAGCAGGCGCCCGTCGACGAGGCCGAGGCCGTCGCCATCTTCCGCGAGCTGATATCGAATGAAGCGGAGGAGCACCTCCTCGTCGCCAACTTCACGTACGACCTGTCCCGCGTCGGCGAGGTGCACGACGTCCGCGAGTACTGGGCGGAGGCGGAGAGGATTGCAGCGTGAGTTTCGGTCCATAGCACGTCTTTTGATTCTTTTCTGATGAACTGCAGGATCGTCGCGGCGTCGCTGGCGCGGAAGGAAGCGGAAAAGAGGGCGATAGCTGAGAAGGATGCAGCAAGGTACGATACGCGAACGGGTATGTCCACCAAGTTCTCTCCACATCGAGTAAATCTTGACCTTTGGCGCAGCCGAGCTTCTGCACGGCCACCAGGCCGCGCGGGCCACAGGTCTCCGCATACGGCGAACCATAACGCGCAGTGCTGCCCGGGCGAAAGCGCTGTTCCGGCGGATACTCTGTATGTCATGACCGTCAGTTACTTACTTACTTATACCCATCGCTTTGTCTCTGCTTTCCGTATGCTTTCTAGAACAAGTTGTAACCTTTACTCCCATCCCATAGGTGAATCACGTGTCATAACCACTGTTGATCTCTTTCCACCATCTGTTCGATTCCCGACCGATAGCTGCTACTCGCGAGCGCCGTATCATATTCGAGTCACAGCTCATGCGCGTAATCGGCCCTGAAGACGCCGACTTTGAGTCGGAACACTGGCCGTTGGATTGTGGCCACTGATTCCTTTCAAGTTTCCGCTACTCGACATAGACAGGCGGCGGCTCGGCGGCTCGAGGGCGGGCGTCGCCAGCTGAAACGCGAGCTCCACGATGCGCGCGCGCAGTTGTTCAATGCTGGTGAGCGCGTCCTGCAACTGCGCCTGGATCTCAGGCTCCTGGCCGTCGTCCCCCGGGGCCGGGGCCTGCTTTGGCGGCTGATGATGGTGCGCCCGCCGGCTGATCGCCGCGCGTCGGCGTCCCGCAGGCGCACAGACTCCGCCTCCGGCTCTGCGACCTTCTGCTTCGCGCGCCGGAGCGGGTTGGAGAGGTAGAGCTGCTGGCCATGGGTCGTGGTGGATGCCTCCGTGTTCGTGCGACTTGGCTGCACCACGTGCACTGGCAACGCACCGGTTCCTAAACCGTAATCCCTCTATAATTATCTTGACATCAATTCACACGTCAAACGATACCCCCGCTTGCACGGCTCGCTCCAACGCTAAGTCGCGCTCGCTCGCCAAGTCGCGCGAGCGAGAGCGCATTCTAATATACCCCGCTGGAGCGTGCACGGACCTATCAACAAGGTCATGTGAGTACTTTGTGCGTCGAGCAGCGGGAGATTTTTGGGGATTTGGGAGGGCTTTGGAGTGAATTTGCGGTGTTCTCGGGCAGGCTTTCCGGGCAGGCATAAGGTAGTGCAAAACATCATATATTCAGTATTTCGACGAGACACGCTAATATACGACGCGTCGCGACGCGTTTGATCGCGTCAAAACCAGCGCAATTCCACCAAGTCCCCCAAATCTACCATCTCATATCCCATCTACAAGCGGCAGCGGCAGCGCGCTCGCATCGCAGCTTTGCAGTCGTCCCGTTCGTTGGCCTCCGGCGGCCCGGACCCTGGAAATTGTGAGCCTTATATCGCGTCAAACAGAGGCAAAAACTCACCCAAAAGATACCATCAAATGAAGCGCGGACAGCACCGTTGACATGAGACATCCGCCTCTGGCAGTATCCGAGTTGCAGCATCCCGCGCAGGGCTCTTCAAGTCATCTACAATCAAGGTCAGTTAATGACCGGCAACATTCGCAGCAGAAACATACCCAACAGAAGTGCCGCCGTCCACAAGATCACGCACGCGCCGTGAGTTGGGGACGCAATGCCGATTAGGACTTGGCGGAGACCAAGCTCCATCAGGCAGACGGGTACGAGTTCGGGCCAGCAGCAGTAGGACCAGCCGATTGCTGCAGAGATAGAGGCAGGTCTTGCCGAGGGCGGGACGTGGCGTGGAGGAGATGGGGGATTGACACAAGTCGACAACAGACACCATGTCTTGTACGGACTCAGGTCCGTGCCGAGGTTGGGATGTGAAGATGGTACTCGGCACTTAACACCTCGCGAGCTTTGCGTCCCCACAGCACCGCCAAATGTCTTAGTTGACCCGATGGGCAAGGTGTCGGCGCTTCGCGTGACGCCCTCCTGACGCCCATGACGAGGGCAGCCAACGGCACAGTGACGCTGATGCAGTCATTCCAATCTGCCATCCGTGTGATTTCTCGGCGCTGCGCGCCTCGCGCGCTCGCGATTAATGCAGCCCAATGTTGACGGCGGCAGTGTGGAAAGCACACTGCCGAGAGCTTTGAAGTCCAGGGCGTTTGGTTCGCCTCCGGCGGCAAAAACCTGTGAAAAAGTGAGCTATTTAGACGCTAAAAAGAGGGTAAGAATGTACCCAAAAATACCATCAACACGTGATTGATGGGATCAAATCAAGCGAAAACTGAACGGAAAGTGAGCAGAAACATTGAGAAGAATGGGTTGGACATACATTGGAGATGGCTCGGCGGCGCCTCGCTCCCGATCCCGCAGACCATTGATGGCAGTGGTATGGCCCGGGACGGCAGGTGACGGAGCTGTTTGATGACTCGGCGCTTCGCGCCTCGCTCGTTCACGATCCAGCCCAACGTTGATGGCAGCAGGGTAGGAAGCACACTGCCGAGAGCTTTGAAGTCTAGCGTGTTTGATTCGCCTCCGGCGGCAAAAACCTGTGAAAAAGTGAGCTATTTAAGCGCTAAGAAGAGGGCAGAAATGTACCGAAAAATACCATCAAAATCAGATGATGGCATCAGGCCGAGACGTGCCGGTGCCGGTCCGAGATCGGCGCGGCGTGATATGGCATCAAATTGGGCGGCACTGCAACGGAGCAGCAAAGTCGAAAGCCCAGGTGGTAGCGCAGGCCTCTGGCAGCAAAAATCTAGGAAAAAATGAGCTTTTTGGACGTCAAAAGTGTGGGCAAATCTGCTTACGTAAGCGTCCTTTGCATATCAAAATCTCGATAGTCGTCCATGCCGAAGAGCTAGTATAGCCCCCCGATCTAACATGACATGAATGACATGCAACAGTGAAGTAGAAAGGCCATACCAGTTGAGTTTTGCCGTACCAGCAGAGGTTCCCCCTCTGGTCAAGAATAGATCACGACTTCTGAGAAAATAGTCAGTACATCATCTCACGCACAAGCACAAATACATACCGCTGAAGCGTGACCGAAGCAGATGTCCTCTACGACAGCAAGAGTAAGTCTAAGGCGGCCGTCAGCGCCACATTAGCAAATATCAGTGACAACGTACCAGGATGGATCTCCCGCCCGAGCAGAGGTTCCCCCTCTGCGCGTAGTCATGGTCAATGCCAATACTAATCGGACATCAGTACACGCTCATATCCCAACAGCAGAAACAACTTACGAGCAATATTCTGCCTCCAAGCAGAGGTTCACGCTCCCGCGAGAAGATAGGTGAACGACATAACCTGCGTGGAAATGTTAATCCTCAGTAACATGCGATGGAGGCTAACATACCAGCAGTAGTTCCATGTACAAACAGAGGTTCACCCTCTGAGTTAATGGGCGACGCGTCGACATTGCCTCGCGAACGACAGTCACAAATCTAAAGCTGATATCAGCATCTTATCATCGAAGAACAACAGCGATAACTTACTAACGAAGAATCTGTGCACGAGCAGAGGTTACCCCTCCATATTGAGTCGCGTTGAGAAGAGCAATGCTAGGTGGGACATCAATACAATATCATATAACAACGATGAAGGGAACTTACAAGCAAGAATTCGACGTCCGAGCAGAGGTTCACCCTCTTTGAACGTCCGTCAGGCTCCAGCTGAAATAGAATGTCAATACTTTGTTAGGAGCAATGGAGTAACGACAGACCAGTCGTAGTTCCACTGACAAGCGCAGCAGAGTATCCAGATTTGATGAAGCCACAAATCTACATTGTAGATGAGCATCGTACACCACCAAAGACAGAGACGACTTACGCACAAGCATAGGTCCCCAATTTCTGGAAGACAGCAGCGCAGACAGCTATGAATCTGTGCAAACATCAGCAACACAATAGGAAGCAAGAAAGATATTGACATACCAGCATAGTCTCGACATCCATGCAGAGGTTCCCCCTCCTGCCGATTTGTCGCTATCGTTGCATGGGAATGTTGACGGCCGCCTGTGGAGAGAGTTAATCAGCAGCATAAACGGCAAGGGCAGTTCGACATACATGATGTGATGAGGAGGAGTTGTGGACAGCCAGGAACGGCGGGTTGCGTCAATACACCGAATAAGCGTCAGTCTGGGCCAGCGAGTGAGTAGTGATTTGGAGGTGGAGAGAACAAGGAGACATACGTGACGATGCGCTCGCTGGTCGTGTGCGCAGCAGTACAGAGCACGCAAAGTTGTGTCTTGTTGTTTGGTTCTGCCTTCAGTTGGGGCTCAGGTCAACGCCCCAGTCAAATGTGTCGTTTTTTGGTCTGAGTGAACGGGTGAGTATATGAGCAACGAAAACAGAAGAAGACGAACCTGGTGGTTGCTGACATCACCTCCCGCGTTGACATAGACGAGTTTTTGAGTTTTGCGCAAGGCATCTTCAAGAAGTCGAAGGGTTGGCGTCTGTTGTTGCTGGGTCTGGATAAACGAGTCTGAGGACGTGCAAAAAAAGGGAAAAGAGAGCAACAAGATGGACCTTGTCGTTGCTGGGGTAGAGGCTGTCGCGTAGACGAGTTGTTGGGTGTGCAAAGGGTGTCGAAGTTCGCTAAAGTGAGTGAGTTAGGCTGAGGAACTCGAAAACAACGGCTGACCTGTTGTTGCTAGTGGAGCGCGCAGAGGATAGAGTCGACGGCAGTTGTTGACGACGAGGATGGTGGTGGAGTGAAGTCAAGGAGTGATGGTGCTCGTGACTTGGATCATCTTGTCAACAAACGGGCTTCGGGCACTATTTTTATCTCGGACTATCTTAGACCCGAGGCTAATTTTAACCGAACAACAGTCGCGAGGCTCGGGGAGTCGAGAAGGGCCGATGGGCGGTAGAGCGGAGAATGGAAGGTGGGCTATGACGTGAAATGGGGTTCGGCATCTAAAATAACTGGACAGGCAGGGTCGAGGCGACGTGAAGGATGCCCGAGTGGCCGAGCCAGGAAGTGAATCCTGGTATAGCTGGTGGTCTTGCCCTGTGGTTTTGAGCTGGTGAAGTTCAACCTCTTTTGTTCAAATGTTATACAAAATCTCTTTTTGGTTCCGTTTTGGCAGCTTTTGACGCGGTGTGTCACGCGTTTTTCACCCGCATCCACCCTGATTTTCCCAAGACGCAGTCGGGCTTGCACGCGCAGGTTTCTGGCGCCATCAAACCACTACGCTGCCCCACCATATCGGGCAATTCAACCGGTAAGGCTCGGATTGCTCGCGGGCCGCTCGCGCGAGCTGACTCAATTCAGGAAACTTCAAGATGGAGTTGTCGCCGAGCCCGCCCCGTGGTTCCGAATGCGAATCGCGCTCGCGATTGCATACTATTCCAGCTGATTAAACTCTTCAACATTCCGGGATAAGTCGGGAGGTGCGTCTTAATCGGGCCTGTGAATGACCCTGACGATATTAATAGCCTACCCTCAGTCAGCACGGTGGTTTCCAAGCTAATTCGCCGTCGCTTGAGCGCACAATTCGCGAAACTCTGCCAACGCCACCAAGGAATTCCGTATCATGACGCCAGGGTCTAGAATCGAAGCACCGCTCTGTCTCCGCCTGACAGATGGATCCTCCCGGCGCGTTGCCAGCCAGTTATTCTGGTCTTGCGAGCTTCACCTGCGCTATGTTTTGCATTGTTGAGTATCATGACTTTTTCCAGTACTGCACTCTATACTGACCACATCTGAGCCAGGTTCAACTTGAAGCCTTGCGGAAAGGCCCATCTCAAGCTCTTGCGCAGCTTAAAATAGCTCGCTTCATGTTGACAAACCAACATTCTTGCGAAGCCAATGTCAGCACCTCGCGACGATAACGGAAGATCCCTCGGATGTGTCCATCACAAATGCTCCACCGATCTACGCCGGACGGGAGTATATAAACAGCACGGGTGTCAACCCACGCCCGCATGCTCTTTCCTTCCCTCCCCCAACTTCTCGCTCCGACTTCAACTCACGTGCAAGTTGACTTTGCGTTTCGCCTGGGCGACGCAGGTATGCTCCTGTTATCCCCCACTCTTCCGTTCTCCTTTTCACTCTACCTATATTACTTATACCTACCACTGCCTTCATCGTCTTTCACTTTTGCTTTCCTCGTTGTGGTGCTCGCATTGCAGATAGACTACCTACATTCTCTACTTACTGTTCACTTCTTCTTATCCATCGCCTCTCTTCGATCCACTCCGTTGTCCACCGTCACTGACCGCACTTCAAGCCCTTACTGATGTTGCTTCTGTTCGCCAGAGTTCCGCAGGCGACGCCAGCGGGCACGAGTAGACTGGTGGATTAGGGTTAGTGTGTTGGTTTGGTTCACAACGCTGACCTTATTCGAAGTGCTCCGCAGATTATCCCTGTGCCCGTTTACCTCCACCCTTCCTATCAGTGAGTTCGTCGTCGTCGACCTCTTTGCGTCGCGGGCTAACCTGGCGTCAGTTCTTGCGCATCACCTCCGTCAAGCCATTTCCGAACCCTCCGCCCGCTGCGCTGCTGGGAGAAGTTGACCAAAAGTACGTGTCAGTGAGTTCGTCGTCGAGCTCTTTGCTTCGCGGGCTAACCTGGTGTCAGTTCTTGCTCATCACCCGCCATCTTCAAGTCATTTCCGAACCCTCCTCCTCGTTGCGCTGAAAGTGCGTGTCGTACTTGTACTTGCAATCAACGCGCTGACTAAAATCTCAGTTCCCGTTCCCTCCAGAACGAGATTATCTCACCGTTTCCGACCTCCACCCTTCCTATCAGTGAGTTTGTCGTCGAGCTCTTTGCTTCGCGGGCTAACCTGGTGTCAGTTCTTGCTCATCACCCGCCATCTTCAAGTCATTTCCGAACCCTCCTCCTCGTTGCGCTGCTCAGAGACCTTGACCAAAGTGCGTGTCGTACTTGTACTTGCAATCAACACGCTGACTAAAATCTCAGTTCCCGTTCCTTTCAAAACGAGATAATCTCACCGTTTCTGACCTCTCGTCGCATGTTGCGTTACTGACCGTCCTTTACAGTCCCTCAATAGAGCTTTGCAAGTTGGCAGTTCTTGGATGGCGCGGTAAGAGGGTGAGTCGTTTCGTGCTGGGTTGTTGGCTTGCTGATGTCGTTGCCCCCAGTGGTCGGCCTAGCAAGTTGACGGATTGGCTAAAACGCGCGGTTGCAGCAACAGACTCGTCACCAAGGTGTGTTTCCCGTTGTCTTGCCGCGTTCACCACTGAATCCATGTCAGTCAAAGTCTTGCGCCATGTTCAACAAGCGCACCGAGTTCGATCCCCTCCCTTTCCCTCCGCATGCTCACCCCCGTTTACAGGCCGCCGCCTTCAGCGCCCAGTGCGCGTTCTGCTCATCATCGAGATTTGGCGCTGACCACCTGCTTGCTTGCAGCGTCGATTTGGCGGGCGGTGGAGAGGGAAATCACGGCTCGGGAGGTATTCAAGTTGGCGCATATCGGCAGACGGCTGGAGGGGCGTAGTCAGCGTCGTAGACCACTGTAGACAGATACGGCGCCGTGCCGTTGGCCTGGGGCCGTTCGCGGCTGTGCAGTTGGCGCGTCTTGATGGTGGCGACGCTCGTGTGCCGGAGGCCGCGCCAGCGAGGCGGGGATGGGAGGCGGGAGTGGTTCGTCAGCAGCACGTGCCTTCGGGTGACGGACCCGACAGGCCACTTGGGCTGGGCCAGCGCGTTGGCATCCTGGGGTAAGTTTCTCGTCTGTTCTCATTACCACCTGAGCTTGTTACAGGTCAGGACCCTCTTCAGTCCGCATGCGGCATTCCGCGAAGAGATCCCCTACTTCGTGCAGCGCGGAATCCCGCGGGACCTTCCTGCACAGCATGTCGATGCAAGCATGTCGCTTCCCATCTCCCCTCAGACGAGCAGCGCCGAGCACCACCCATCGACACGCGCACCACTCACGATGGCGACGAATGCGTTCCCATGGGCGGATTCTTGGCGGCGTTCCTGACCACCACGGTCCGCAGCCCGAATGTCCGCGTCGTCGACCGCGTCGTGTGCGAGCTGGACAGGGCGGAGCGGTTCCGGGTTATTCAGGCCATCAACGCGGACGATGACCTGCGGGACGACCGGCTGGAGGCGCAGAGGCAGAGAGAGAAGGCCGCGCTCGCCGGAACGAACGGGCATGGCGATCAAGGTGATGAGAAGGAGAGCGGGAGTGGCGCGGACGCAGGGGTCCAAGAGCAGGCGCCGGTCGACGAGGCCGAGGCCGTCGCCATCTTCCGCGAGCTGATATCGAATGAGGCGGAGGAGCACCTCCTGGTTGCTAATTTCACGTACGACCTGTCCCGCGTCGGCGAGGTCCACGACGTCCGCGAGTACCGGGCGGAGGCGGAGAGGATTGCAGCGTAAGTTTCGGTCCATAACACGTCTTTTGATTTATTTCTGACGCACTGTAGGATCGTCGCGGCGTCGCTGGCGCGGAAGGAAGCGGAAAAGAGGGCGATAGCTGAGAAGGATGCAGCAAGGTACGATACGCGAACGGGTATGTCCACCAAGTTCTCTCCACATCGAGTAAATCTTGACCTTTGGCGCAGCCGAGCTTCTGCACGGCCACCAGGCCGCGCGGGCCACAGGTCTCCGCATACGGCGAACCATAACGCGCAGTGCTGCCCGGGCGAAAGCGCTGTTCCGGCGGATACTCTGTATGTCATGACCGTCAGTTACTTACTTACTTATACCCATCGCTTTGTCTCTGCTTTCCGTATGCTTTCTAGAACAAGTTGTAACCTTTACTCCCATCCCATAGGTGAATCACGTGTCATAACCACTGTTGATCTCTTTCCACCATCTGTTCGATTCCCGACCGATAGCTGCTACTCGCGAGCGCCGTATCATATTCGAGTCACAGCTCATGCGCGTAATCGGCCCTGAAGACGCCGACTTTGAGTCGGAACACTGGCCGTTGGATTGTGGCCACTGATTCCTTTCAAGTTTCCGCTACTCGACATAGACAGGCGGCGGCTCGGCGGCTCGAGGGCGGGCGTCGCCAGCTGAAACGCGAGCTCCACGATGCGCGCGCGCAGTTGTTCAATGCTGGTGAGCGCGTCCTGCAACTGCGCCTGGATCTCAGGCTCCTGGCCGTCGTCCCCCGCGGGCCCGGGCCTGCTTTGGCGGCTGATGATGGTGCGCCCGCCGGCTGATCGCCGCGCGTCGGCGTCCCGCAGGCGCACAGACTCCGCCTCCGGCTCTGCGACCTTCTGCTTCGCGCGCCGGAGCGGGTTGGAGAGGTAGAGCTGCTGGCCATGGGTCGTGGTGGATGCCTCCGTGTTCGTGCGACTTGGCTGCACCACGTGCACTGGCAACGCACCGGTTCCTAAACCGTAATCCCTCTATAATTATCTTGACATCAATTCACACGTCAAACGATACCCCCGCTTGCACGGCTCGCTCCAACGCTAAGTCGCGCTCGCTCGCCAAGTCGCGCGAGCGAGAGCGCATTCTAATATACCCCGCTGGAGCGTGCACGGACCTATCAACAAGGTCATGTGAGTACTTTGTGCGTCGAGCAGCGGGAGATTTTTGGGGATTTGGGAGGGCTTTGGAGTGAATTTGCGGTGTTCTCGGGCAGGCTTTCCGGGCAGGCATAAGGTAGTGCAAAACATCATATATTCAGTATTTCGACGAGACACGCTAATATACGACGCGTCGCGACGCGTTTGATCGCGTCAAAACCAGCGCAATTCCACCAAGTCCCCCAAATCTACCATCTCATATCCCATCTACAAGCGGCAGCGGCAGCGCGCTCGCATCGCAGCTTTGCAGTCGTCCCGTTCGTTGGCCTCCGGCGGCCCGGACCCTGGAAATTGTGAGCCTTATATCGCGTCAAACAGAGGCAAAAACTCACCCAAAAGATACCATCAAATGAAGCGCGGACAGCACCGTTGACATGAGACATCCGCCTCTGGCAGTATCCGAGTTGCAGCATCCCGCGCAGGGCTCTTCAAGTCATCTACAATCAAGGTCAGTTAATGACCGGCAACATTCGCAGCAGAAACATACCCAACAGAAGTGCCGCCGTCCACAAGATCACGCACGCGCCGTGAGTTGGGGACGCAATGCCGATTAGGACTTGGCGGAGACCAAGCTCCATCAGGCAGACGGGTACGAGTTCGGGCCAGCAGCAGTAGGACCAGCCGATTGCTGCAGAGATAGAGGCAGGTCTTGCCGAGGGCGGGACGTGGCGTGGAGGAGATGGGGGATTGACACAAGTCGACAACAGACACCATGTCTTGTACGGACTCAGGTCCGTGCCGAGGTTGGGATGTGAAGATGGTACTCGGCACTTAACACCTCGCGAGCTTTGCGTCCCCACAGCACCGCCAAATGTCTTAGTTGACCCGATGGGCAAGGTGTCGGCGCTTCGCGTGACGCCCTCCTGACGCCCATGACGAGGGCAGCCAACGGCACAGTGACGCTGATGCAGTCATTCCAATCTGCCATCCGTGTGATTTCTCGGCGCTGCGCGCCTCGCGCGCTCGCGATTAATGCAGCCCAATGTTGACGGCGGCAGTGTGGAAAGCACACTGCCGAGAGCTTTGAAGTCCAGGGCGTTTGGTTCGCCTCCGGCGGCAAAAACCTGTGAAAAAGTGAGCTATTTAGACGCTAAAAAGAGGGTAAGAATGTACCCAAAAATACCATCAACACGTGATTGATGGGATCAAATCAAGCGAAAACTGAACGGAAAGTGAGCAGAAACATTGAGAAGAATGGGTTGGACATACATTGGAGATGGCTCGGCGGCGCCTCGCTCCCGATCCCGCAGACCATTGATGGCAGTGGTATGGCCCGGGACGGCAGGTGACGGAGCTGTTTGATGACTCGGCGCTTCGCGCCTCGCTCGTTCACGATCCAGCCCAACGTTGATGGCAGCAGGGTAGGAAGCACACTGCCGAGAGCTTTGAAGTCTAGCGTGTTTGATTCGCCTCCGGCGGCAAAAACCTGTGAAAAAGTGAGCTATTTAAGCGCTAAGAAGAGGGCAGAAATGTACCGAAAAATACCATCAAAATCAGATGATGGCATCAGGCCGAGACGTGCCGGTGCCGGTCCGAGATCGGCGCGGCGTGATATGGCATCAAATTGGGCGGCACTGCAACGGAGCAGCAAAGTCGAAAGCCCAGGTGGTAGCGCAGGCCTCTGGCAGCAAAAATCTAGGAAAAAATGAGCTTTTTGGACGTCAAAAGTGTGGGCAAATCTGCTTACGTAAGCGTCCTTTGCATATCAAAATCTCGATAGTCGTCCATGCCGAAGAGCTAGTATAGCCCCCCGATCTAACATGACATGAATGACATGCAACAGTGAAGTAGAAAGGCCATACCAGTTGAGTTTTGCCGTACCAGCAGAGGTTCCCCCTCTGGTCAAGAATAGATCACGACTTCTGAGAAAATAGTCAGTACATCATCTCACGCACAAGCACAAATACATACCGCTGAAGCGTGACCGAAGCAGATGTCCTCTACGACAGCAAGAGTAAGTCTAAGGCGGCCGTCAGCGCCACATTAGCAAATATCAGTGACAACGTACCAGGATGGATCTCCCGCCCGAGCAGAGGTTCCCCCTCTGCGCGTAGTCATGGTCAATGCCAATACTAATCGGACATCAGTACACGCTCATATCCCAACAGCAGAAACAACTTACGAGCAATATTCTGCCTCCAAGCAGAGGTTCACGCTCCCGCGAGAAGATAGGTGAACGACATAACCTGCGTGGAAATGTTAATCCTCAGTAACATGCGATGGAGGCTAACATACCAGCAGTAGTTCCATGTACAAACAGAGGTTCACCCTCTGAGTTAATGGGCGACGCGTCGACATTGCCTCGCGAACGACAGTCACAAATCTAAAGCTGATATCAGCATCTTATCATCGAAGAACAACAGCGATAACTTACTAACGAAGAATCTGTGCACGAGCAGAGGTTACCCCTCCATATTGAGTCGCGTTGAGAAGAGCAATGCTAGGTGGGACATCAATACAATATCATATAACAACGATGAAGGGAACTTACAAGCAAGAATTCGACGTCCGAGCAGAGGTTCACCCTCTTTGAACGTCCGTCAGGCTCCAGCTGAAATAGAATGTCAATACTTTGTTAGGAGCAATGGAGTAACGACAGACCAGTCGTAGTTCCACTGACAAGCGCAGCAGAGTATCCAGATTTGATGAAGCCACAAATCTACATTGTAGATGAGCATCGTACACCACCAAAGACAGAGACGACTTACGCACAAGCATAGGTCCCCAATTTCTGGAAGACAGCAGCGCAGACAGCTATGAATCTGTGCAAACATCAGCAACACAATAGGAAGCAAGAAAGATATTGACATACCAGCATAGTCTCGACATCCATGCAGAGGTTCCCCCTCCTGCCGATTTGTCGCTATCGTTGCATGGGAATGTTGACGGCCGCCTGTGGAGAGAGTTAATCAGCAGCATAAACGGCAAGGGCAGTTCGACATACATGATGTGATGAGGAGGAGTTGTGGACAGCCAGGAACGGCGGGTTGCGTCAATACACCGAATAAGCGTCAGTCTGGGCCAGCGAGTGAGTAGTGATTTGGAGGTGGAGAGAACAAGGAGACATACGTGACGATGCGCTCGCTGGTCGTGTGCGCAGCAGTACAGAGCACGCAAAGTTGTGTCTTGTTGTTTGGTTCTGCCTTCAGTTGGGGCTCAGGTCAACGCCCCAGTCAAATGTGTCGTTTTTTGGTCTGAGTGAACGGGTGAGTATATGAGCAACGAAAACAGAAGAAGACGAACCTGGTGGTTGCTGACATCACCTCCCGCGTTGACATAGACGAGTTTTTGAGTTTTGCGCAAGGCATCTTCAAGAAGTCGAAGGGTTGGCGTCTGTTGTTGCTGGGTCTGGATAAACGAGTCTGAGGACGTGCAAAAAAAGGGAAAAGAGAGCAACAAGATGGACCTTGTCGTTGCTGGGGTAGAGGCTGTCGCGTAGACGAGTTGTTGGGTGTGCAAAGGGTGTCGAAGTTCGCTAAAGTGAGTGAGTTAGGCTGAGGAACTCGAAAACAACGGCTGACCTGTTGTTGCTAGTGGAGCGCGCAGAGGATAGAGTCGACGGCAGTTGTTGACGACGAGGATGGTGGTGGAGTGAAGTCAAGGAGTGATGGTGCTCGTGACTTGGATCATCTTGTCAACAAACGGGCTTCGGGCACTATTTTTATCTCGGACTATCTTAGACCCGAGGCTAATTTTAACCGAACAACAGTCGCGAGGCTCGGGGAGTCGAGAAGGGCCGATGGGCGGTAGAGCGGAGAATGGAAGGTGGGCTATGACGTGAAATGGGGTTCGGCATCTAAAATAACTGGACAGGCAGGGTCGAGGCGACGTGAAGGATGCCCGAGTGGCCGAGCCAGGAAGTGAATCCTGGTATAGCTGGTGGTCTTGCCCTGTGGTTTTGAGCTGGTGAAGTTCAACCTCTTTTGTTCAAATGTTATACAAAATCTCTTTTTGGTTCCGTTTTGGCAGCTTTTGACGCGGTGTGTCACGCGTTTTTCACCCGCATCCACCCTGATTTTCCCAAGACGCAGTCGGGCTTGCACGCGCAGGTTTCTGGCGCCATCAAACCACTACGCTGCCCCACCATATCGGGCAATTCAACCGGTAAGGCTCGGATTGCTCGCGGGCCGCTCGCGCGAGCTGACTCAATTCAGGAAACTTCAAGATGGAGTTGTCGCCGAGCCCGCCCCGTGGTTCCGAATGCGAATCGCGCTCGCGATTGCATACTATTCCAGCTGATTAAACTCTTCAACATTCCGGGATAAGTCGGGAGGTGCGTCTTAATCGGGCCTGTGAATGACCCTGACGATATTAATAGCCTACCCTCAGTCAGCACGGTGGTTTCCAAGCTAATTCGCCGTCGCTTGAGCGCACAATTCGCGAAACTCTGCCAACGCCACCAAGGAATTCCGTATCATGACGCCAGGGTCTAGAATCGAAGCACCGCTCTGTCTCCGCCTGACAGATGGATCCTCCCGGCGCGTTGCCAGCCAGTTATTCTGGTCTTGCGAGCTTCACCTGCGCTATGTTTTGCATTGTTGAGTATCATGACTTTTTCCAGTACTGCACTCTATACTGACCACATCTGAGCCAGGTTCAACTTGAAGCCTTGCGGAAAGGCCCATCTC